GTGGTTGCTTCTTGATCCTCCATGGGATTCTGAGTTGATTCACAAATGCGGGCGAGATGAGATCCATCTGCGCTCCTCCATCCACTAACGCGAGGGCTTCGATCTTCCCCCATCGCGCTGTGATCCAGAGCCTGTTGTCTGGCTTGGTGCTTCGTACAGCAGCTACTTCGTGTTCGTCTGCTGGGAGGTCGTTGTAAGGCTTCTGCTTGCGCCAGTTCTTCCTGTACTGCGCAGCCTGTCTCCGTTGCTGTGGAGTTAGCGGTTTCCGGGCCCCTCGGAGGGCCCTGAGCCGTTTCCCAAGCTCTTGTGGTGTTTCAAGGCGTCCCTGTCCGCACCTTGGCTTGCGGCGTCAATCGTCTGGTGTTCTTGGAGCCATTGGGCCGCCCATGCCTCAACTGGGCGCCTCTCGTTCCTTCGGGACGCTCTCGTCCTCTGGTGTGGCTTCCTCTGGGATTGCTGTTCCATGTATCCCCAGATTTTCTCGTCGGCGTGTGGTAGGCAGTCTGCGCTTCGGCATTCGTTGACTCCTACGCCCGCCATACAGCGTCGGGGCCAGGCTGCCTTGGGTTTAACCCTCAGCCTGCCCTCGTGAGTGCGTTGGGTGTCCCACAACATGCCTGCGGGAGCGTCGCCGCTGTCGTATACCCATCTGATGGGCAGGGGTTGCATTCCCTTTTCTTCTCTTGTGGGCCAGAAACTGTTGCGAAATTTGTCCTGGAAGTGGTACCGACATTCGTGCGTGATGCACTGGAACCAGGGCAGGTAGATGTGACTTTCTTTTCGTGGGTCCACCCGCTCGTGGTCTTCTGATAACAACTGGAATCCCTCCGTGTTGTTCTCGCCCCGAAAACCCCACCATTCAAGGTCGGAGGTTTGTCGTCCGGCGCGCACGATGTGCTGATGTCGCGTCCAGTATTCTTCCCAGCTCTGCTGTTTTCTTCCTTTCGCCGCATTCTGTTCCTGTGCGTAGTCGAAAAGTTGCTCGGGGTATCGTACTCCGTTTTCGTATCCTTCCGCCTCTTCGGTGGGTCCATCCCACGGTGTGTGGTGCGGAAGTGCCTGGCGGATGTCGTCCTGCAAGGCCTGTGCCTCTCTTAATGTCTTTTCGACGTGATCCCCGGCCCTGTTGTTGGCCTCGGTGATCTCTTGGACTCGTTCCCTGGCGAAATCGAGTTCCGCGCAAAGTCGTCCGTACTGGTCGTTCCTTCTCTGGAGAAGTTGCTCGAGTTCTTCTTTCTCTCTTGACAACTCCTCGATCCTTTGCCGTTGGCTTAGGACCCTCTGCTGTAGGAAGGTGAGGTTCGGGCTGACTCCTCCTTCACCCTCGTGGGTTCGCCATTGCCCGTCCTCTTGCTGAACCAGGGTGATGCCCCAGTCCTCAGCGACTTGTCGGATGTACCGCGGGGGAGCCAGTTCTCCCTCGTCATCCGTTTCGATGAAAGCGTGATGGGCGGTGTCATTTCCCTCCTGGTGGTTGCTGCTCCTCAAGTCTTCTTGATCCGAGTCGGTGAGTTCATCGTCCTGCTCGATGACTCGGTCAATGTCGATTTCGAGGTCGTCCTGCGTGTAGCTGGCGGCTGCGACCTCCAGAAACCGGGTTCTTCTTCCGACCGTGTCTTGGTCGATGGTGGCAGCTTCCTTCCCTGGAACCGGTCTCCACCCTTTCTTGCTGCGGCAGTCACGTTTGAAGTGACCCTTCCTCCCGCAGTTGTAACAGGTGATGCCTGATTTGTCCTTGGCACCATCTCTCTTTCCTGCCCACTGTGCCTGGGCAGCGCTGACGTCCATGGGTCCCGAGTGCGTGCCGTATGACGTGCTCTGGTGCTGGCGTTTCTTTTTGTCGTTGGGCTTGTGGTAGCCTGCGGATCGCTGAACCTCGCTGCCCTTCTTCTGTTGTTTGCGGGCGAACTGTCGGTCGTCAATCTTGACAGCCATGGCGATGTACTCGTCGAGCGTGTCAGGTCGGCTCTCCTTGTAGAGCTCGTCCTTGACCTCCTCCTTCAGTCCTCCGTAGAACAGGTGCATCAGCCCCTCGTCGTCTATCTCTGCCTTCATGGAGTCTTGTCGGAAAATCGTGGCGTAGGCGGTGGCTGACCTAGTCTGCTTCAGCCGTCCTAGCCGTTCCTGGGCGTGTAACTTCTCGTCCTTGTCACCGAACACCTTCTGAATCTCACTCTCGAACTCGGAGTAGTTCTCGAAGACTTTTTTGGTGAAGGGTTTGTGGATTGCTCCGCCGAGGAAATCACTCAGTGTTCCCGTGAACCACTTGAGGGCCTTGTCCTTGAGTCGGGTGGCGGCGTATCTGGTCTTGGATTCCTCAGTGGCGAACTGGTGCGAGTTGTGGTCGAGATAGTTCCGCATCTCCGTGATCCAACCTGGCAAGGCTTCCTGGTCGCCCCCGTACTTCTCGGGTTGCTCCAATTTGACCTTCGTCTTGGCCGGGTCCTTGGTGTGGACCTCGGTCGCCGCAAGTCGGGCTGCCAATGCCGCGTTGCTGGCCTTGGTCTTCGCAAGCTCTTCTTCAGTTTCATCGAGTCGTTCGGTGACTCTCTGAAGCGCGGCCGTGATCTGGCCCGGCGTCGGTTGAGTTGCCATGTCGTTTTACCTTCGAGCCTGAACTGTAACAGATCAAAGGGAGTTAGCAACGTGTGACGAACCTGTCTCTGGACCCGTCCTGTTAGGGTTCAGTATCGGTCGAAGGTATTCTCTCAAGGGTGCTTAGGTTCGGTGCAGCCAAAGGGTGCACAACAAAGACTTGTCTCAACAGTAGGCTCTCGAGCTTGTAGCGAACTGTAGTTGTGATTGCTAACTGGAGAACTCCCAGAGCTCTCCAGAACGAGTGACTATATACTATCTAAATTCTTAGTGCTCAAGGTGCTCAAAGCCCCGTCGCTGAGCATTCTGAGCACATGGTGCTCAGGGTGCTCACAACGTCCTTGGTGAGCAGAATGAGCACCTGCTCATTCTCTTGGCACAGTCCTTCATGAGCAATGAGAGCTACCGTCCCATTGGCCATACATCTTCCTTAATGATTGGCTCGGGATACTGCCAGCGTACCCCGCCGGCCGGCTGCAGGCGGCCATATCCGTGACAGGTTTCCAGTCTGGACGGTTATATAATTATCTATAGAATTCAATCCATCGTTACCGGCTACAAAGGATATTAAGCTTAGTATTATCGGAGTAGTTCGGTCGAAGAGGGTGTTAGCCGTTTCCTCAATCCCAGATATATTGGAGCTCTTCTGAGGTAAGCGGTAGGGCCTTAGGTACTTCCAGCCCTACAAGCTGCGCTTAGATTCGACCAATCAAATCGTAATCTATTAGCTCGCGGATCGAAGAGCCTAGTACGGTATAAGTTAGCGATATACACTGTTAGCCATCCAACGGCAGTTTAAAACCTATACAAGAGTTAATATATAATACTGACTGAGTTGGCCCTATCTCTTACAATGAAAGCAAACCTTCAGGAACGAAAATATATATGTAAGTACGACGCGAAATAAGCCCTATTCATCTGGCTCTGGGGCTGCGCCAGAGTCCGGGATCCCGGCTTCTCATATTAAGCCTGTACCGCGCGCCGTGCTGTGTGGATGACGTACTGTGTGCGTACAGGGAACTCCGAGAAGTATATACGCCCCACTGAAAATGGACTTGTCCAGGGTGATCAGGCCTTCCGGAAATGGTGGGTCTGGGCTTCCATTTTCGGCACCCAAAACCCTGACACACGCACTCTTCGTGTAACTCTCGCACTTCCAATTACGTCGTGTCACCTCCTTTCCCGACTCAATGTTGACGTCAAGCATACCTGTCAACATGGTTACACATCTTTCTCCTTGTCCTCCCTTACCCGTGAACTGAGCTCGGATTCTGTTTCTGGCTATGAAAACCCAATCCTGTTAACGCCGAGCTTGCTCCTTCCCCAAAAGTTCATTCCATTGCCGCCGACTCCCGCCGACTCCCATGATCGCCCGGCTCTCGGTGTTCTTGGTCTGAGATCCAAGAGTTCTCTTGCCGCCTGCCGAGTCCTCACAAGGGGGGCTTCGAATCTCAAGGCCCCTTTTGATCGTCGACATCAACAACTCCTTTCCGGCTCCGTACCCGAGACCTCGTTGTCTCAGTCTCGCCAAGACAGGACAAGACTTCAATGTCGAGTTAAGCATTTCTCCTGCAAGACCATCCTCACTAGGTAGGTAGTTTTGGTGGAGTATCTTTCCTATGATTCCACATAGTCTGACTCATGGCTCTCCCCTCCCCTCTCCCCCCGCAGTGAGCCGGCACGGGTGCTTTGGTCTTCCCGTGGTTGAACCAGGATCCCTTCATGTCAAGACCGAAGGCCCGCTCGCCACACTGAATTTGCCGATCTCCGACCATCCCTTGCTGGAGAACATGGAATATTTCCATGTCTCTTCGGCGCTACAGGTTGTCGCCGCCGGGGTTATGACATGGTATAACGTGCATCCGTCCATCTCCGCGCAGTCTCGGTGCTCCGTGTCCCCGACGTCACATATTGCTACTAGCCGAATGTGATTACAACAACTTGGCATTCTGACATGCAGAATGGCCCAACAGCCAGCTGATTCATCCAAAAGTCTCAACTGCGACCTGACCACGTGGTCAATCCATGCCTCGCCTTGTCTCTGTCGTACCCGGATGTATCGCAAAGCCCGCGGTCTCCGCCCAGCTCCCAGGTGAAGGGGCCTTCATCCGTCGTAGCGTCGGCGACTGCCATAAACCGAGCCAGCGAAACATAGGAGTCCTCTCGTATGTTCCATTCGGGGCCCATAAATCCTGATCAACCTGTCGGGCGGTGAGCTTGGCGGACGGAGGTAACGGGGGACGAGGGGGATACGTGCACATGCGGAGTTATAAAGTATCGCCACTCTTCACCCAGCTGGGGATTGTTCGCCTGACTTCTATCCACCTCATCCTCATCTTCTTCATCTTAGCTCAGCCTGTTGCCTCCAGTAACCCAAACTGTCGATACCCCAAACAAACGACAAAATGACAGTCAACGCGGCGCCCACCCACCCCACTCGGGTTTGGCTCCTCACATCACCTCGCACCGCGTCCAACATGTTGGTGAAGATTCTGAACCTCGATGCCCAGAACGTGCGCCCCGCCGAACACGGCGGGTACTTCTTTCTGAACGCCGGGGTAAAACGCTTTACCTTCCACGACACACCGATGAACACGTGGAAAGATGAGGACCGGGCAGCGGTCTACGCGGCGCAGCAAGTAGCCTTCGACAACCTACAGGAGTACCTCGACGCGGCCGAGAAGGAAGGACAGCGCGTGTTCGTCAAGGAGCACGCCTTCATGATGAACGACCCCCACTACGAGTCGGAGCACACGTACGGCCCCGACGCCGTCACGGGCACGCCGGGCACCCTCACCGCGAAGGGCATCGAACACCCCACGCGTTCGGCGCTCAACCTCACCTCGCTGCCGGACGAGTTCCTCAAGACGTGGCGGCCGACCTTTCTGATCCGCCACCCGGCCATGATGCTGCCGTCGCTCTACCGCACCTGCATCCGGGACGACGTGAACGCGTTCGTGGTCGACGGCCGCAAGGCGCGCCCCGGCAAGGAGCCCCTCCAGTGCGAGGTCACCATGAAGTGGATCCGGACCATGCACCGCTTCTACGAGGCCCACTTCGGCGACGACAGCACCTGGCCCATCGTGCTCGACGCCGACGACATCATGGTCAACCCGGAGCTGGTGACCAAGTACGCCGCGCTGGCCGGGCTCGAGCCGGAGAAGCTGCGCTTCTCGTGGGAGAAGGCCAGCGAAGAGCAGGTGGCGAAAATGGCGCCGCCGAACAGGGTCATGTTGAGCTCGATCAACGCGAGCTCCAAGGTCGACATGAGCAAGGTCGCCGGGGCTATCGACATCGATGCCGAGGCTGTGAAGTGGAGGGTTGAGTTCGGCGAGGAGGGCGGTAGGAATCTTGAGAAGTGGGTCAGGGATGCGATGCCGGATTACCTTGACTTGCACGCGAAGAGGCTGAGGCTTTAGGTGCTTTGTCTACTTGGGTCATCATTATGTGTGCGGTGCTTGGCGGCTTTTAGAAACTTATCTCAAAGAATACAAGTTTGTATACTAAGAGTTTCCGCTTGCTCTCCCAGCCTTGATGACTGTCTTCCGTGCCTTGAGCCTCTTAGCTTCCAGGCTTTGTCCAGGTCATAGACCGGAACGTCCGCCCTTTCTTTGCCGTATCAAGATCCCGGTTCCGGTCTTATCCACTTCTTCGTTGCTGCATCTTTTTTTGCAAATGCCGACCCCTTTGTTTCTGTGCTCGGCGCCCGAGTATTCGATCCTAGTTAGGTCCTTCGACAGGTTTCCGGGTTTAGGGCCCTTGACTTCTTCGTTGCTGCATCTTTTTTTGCAAATGCCGACCCCTTTGTTTCTGTGCTCGGCGCCCGAGTATTCGATCCTAGTTAGGTCCTTCGACAGGTTTCCGGGTTTAGGGCCCTTGTTCGCGGCCGTCTCTAATATACTACGGCATATCATCGAGCAGCAATCTTGTTCGCTCGCAATCTATATCTCGCAAATGACCTCTTCTGGCATTCACCCATTTTGAGCCTCCTCCCTCTTGCCCATTCGAGCGCCCGACGTTCCTGGAATGGCGGCTATCCCTGGTCCTCCCCGCCGTAAGGTGGACAAATCACCGGAGAGGCTCACCAACGAGATCTTAGCCTGTAGGGCGCCCACGTACTACAATGCCGGCAAAGCATGGAACATTCTTGGGTATTACCGGCAGGAGCGGCCAGGCCTGGAGGATTTTGTCGAGGCTGTCGACGCTCTCTGGGACCATCAAGCAAAGCTGACAACCCTTAAGGGTCGGAGAGCCCGGGCCTACATGATCGATGCTCTGAGAACGCTCGGGTTTCGCGGCGCCCAATTTCACCCGGATCGATACTCGTTGCAGCTGGCAGTCGACGACCAGGATGGCTCATGGTCAGACCTCCCTGATCCTCCTCGGGGAGGATACAATTACGGAAAAAGTGATGCTCGTGAGTACCTCGCCGCAGTTGCGCCGCGTGCGAGTCCCCGCGAACCCATGCGTATGGACCTCCACGTGCAAGAAGTGATGTTGCGGGACTTCCATCTATTCCACGGGTTTTCTGAGATCCCTTGGGTTGGTCCAAAGCGGGCACTTCATGTCCCCAGTGGCGCTGACTCGCTCTGGTATTGCTTGTCGTAAGTTGACGTCGAATTTGTGTTAAGTACCCGGCCGCTGACTCGTGTCGTAGACACTTTCTATATCGGCGGGACCGGCTACCCGATGGCTCACCCGTGGGCGGTCACAGTCTCTGGCATCATTGGGAGGTGAAAGCTCGGATTTGGACATACTTCATGCAAGTCTTGAAGGACCCCTCGCATGAACGGTGGGCGGAATACCATCTACTACAACAAAAATCCAAAACCGTGGACCCAGACTTTGGTACCCTCTCCATGGCGCGGTCTCTCTACGCATCCTCCTCCCAGGGCAAACCCGCATATCCCCACGAGTATCTCCTACACGTCATTGCCGATTATTTTTGCGCCCCGGTCGATGTCTATACCAGCACCGCCGACGACATAAACAAAGAGTAAGCTAGTCTACTCCAGAATCCCATATCCCACACCCCCGCTACATCCATCACACTAACACCTCCTCCCCCCTTCCGCTCAGCTCACTTGATCTCAGCGTCACGTCCAAACACTACGCCATGCACAACCAATTCAGCGACTTCCGCTGCATCAGGCTCGCCACCAACCACGACAAGACGCAATACAGCATCGTCGTAAGCGACAGCGCGGCCCTCGACAAAGCCCCGGACCTCACCCCCGACCCCCCCTTCGTAGACCCCTGGGAGGCAGTCAAGCTCGCCCGCGAGCGTGCCGCCGCCGCACGCCGCCCAAATCCCCGCGCGCCCGACGAACCCATCCCGGTGCCTGCCCCGCGCAAGCTGCGCCCGCCCTGCGAGCACGCCCGCTACAACTACTTCGCGCCCGAGGACCGGCCCGCGCTGGAGGCGGTAGCGGATGCGGAGGGGGTTATTCCCCCCCAGACGCCGGTGCCGCAGACGGCGTACTATCCCGCGGGCGACGGCGCGGCGAATCATGTGGTGGGCGTGTTGCCGTGGCGGCTGCCGCAGGAGCGCTGGGGGGATGTGCTGCTCACGCCGGAGGTGTTTGCGCGGTTCCGCGCGGGCATCGACATACCCGGGTGGGGGTTTGCGGCGCCCGAGGGGGAGGTTGTGGATCGGTGGTTGGAGGAGGCTGGTGGGGACATGTTTAAGTTGCAGGCTGAGCGCACGGCGATGCCTGGGTTTGTGCATACCCCCGAGAGGTGGCAGTGGCGGTTTGGGGAGGATCCGATGGGGTTGGGGCAGAGGCCGCTGCCGAGTGAGACGGTGGAGGAGGGGAGGCATATGCTGGATGATCCATATCTGGAGTTTGAGCGGGATAGGTCGCGGGCTGTGCCCGGCAGGTTTGGGCGGTAAGGTTGGTGGGTTTGGTTGGTTGGTTCTGTTGGTTGGTCTTGTTCATTTGTCATTCTCGAGCTGTAGTTAAGGACTTAGATAGTATCTGCGTGAGCCCTAGCCTGTCAGCATACGCTTATTCTTTTCGGGTAGGGTGAATATATCACCGTTGCGTGTGTGGCTGGGAGCCTACCTAGGTAAAGATGAAGTCCGCCCATTTGTGCTTCTTACTACCTTAGTAGTACTGTACTTGGTAATACGGCCATCGTTTCGGGCCACTTCGGGAATTTTCGAATCCTACGATCACTTGCACAGCAAATCAGACCAGGTGGTACCCACTCGCATTTATGAAGCAGGTTGTTCTTCCCCCAGTCATCCGAGGAATCGAATGATGTCTCCCCCACATCCACCTTCCTTCCCAACCCCCTAGTGCTTACACCTTAAATCCGCGCTTGGTCATCCCCCGTTCGGAAGGGCATCCGGGTGCTTTAAACTTCCAACTCTAGGTATCTACACTGGGCACACCTCTTTACAAACAGACTTCGCCATTCCAACGCCGTGAACCTCACCACCAAAACCAAGTCATAATAGACCCGGCGACATGGCATCCCGGCTCTTTTTCGACCCCGTCGTAGCTCTCCGCGCCGCACCGCTAGTCTCGGCGACATGCACGCTCCTGTACGCCCGCGACCAGGACTTCTTCCTCCGCATCTTCAACGAGCCCGGGAACCGAGAAAAAAGTCGCGCCCTCCTCCCCTCGTACTGGAGAATCTTCTTCCGCCGCGGCGTCGTTGTGGTCGTTGGCTGCTTGGCCGCGACCTTCTGGTCCTCGATCGCCAACCTCTTCGTCCGCCGCCGTGCTTTGGAGGCCACGCAGTCCTTTTGGTGGTACGTCGCCGGTGCGGCCCTCGCGGCTGGCCACTTGCTCTTTATACCTGCGGTCGCGCCGTCCGTCAGGGCGATCTCGAATGCGGATAAGGACGGTACCGATCCTAACTCTGCGCTGGATGGGTGGCTGGTGATCAACCGGTTCCGCATGTGGACCGTTGACATTGCGGCTTGGGCGGCGTGTGCTGTTGCTGTGACGAGAACATTGGAGGCTTAATCAGGAGGGTTTGGTGCTGGTGTGAGAAGAGGAAGCGGTTTTGGTAGGATATGCGTTGCTAAAGGTCGATGGGCTCCAAGTATAAGACTGACTTCATGTCTAATAAACCCCGAGCATAGAATAGTACTTAAGTTTCTTAAGGCATCAGATTTCACTCTGATTTACTCATTCCTGTCCGCATCCAGGTTTGATGCCCTCCTATGTAAAATTCGGGTCCTGTGGATGGGGCCACTGAGTGCGGGAAGTACTTGTAGCCGAACCGAAACAACAAGGCGCAAAACTCCGGAGTCTGGTTGATAGGGTACTGGAAACAGATTTACTCGGGCCCATGGCCCGATATCTTTATGAATCGCACTGGGCAGACGGAAGTTTCCGTTCCTCTAGAAACTTATAGCCGACGAATTTAATGGGAAGACGTCCACGATAGCCTCGGACGGCATCTACCTGCTAGTTTGACCTCCTGGTGCAATAATTAACATAATGTACGAACTTTCATTCACGTTCGACGTTTGCGAGTAGATTCCACACGGCGAGGGAATATCCTATGCTGGCCTGGGTTGCATGCGAGTTCTTTACCACATATATGCGCGGACACACAGCAGACATACCGCTGTTGTTTCCCTGACCTCGAAGGTGTCGTTTGTATTCCGTAAATTGGCAAACGATGGGCCCGCGGTGAGCACGACATAAACTCCCCAATATCGAAGAACGTGGATAACTAGGTAGCTAGCAGGGGAAAAAGACCTATACGACAAGCTAGCGGATGTCCGGCGAAACAAAAGCATGTTAGCCGGACTCACATCGTGCACTCTCTCCTTTCATGACGCGACGTGAGCGGTCAATTTCTATCAGCCCCTAATTTAGGACATTGCTACCGAAACAAAAGGACCAGCCTAATTATTCCGCTACCAAGCACCATACCTAACTCTAGAACACCAGTTTCTAGAGTTGACCAGCGCCACAATCAATAGTAGTTGCGCCGGGATCGGTTTGACCCGGAGGTCTGGCGTGAACCCCCGCTACCGCGGCTGTCGGAACGACCCTTTCGGTCTCTGTCTTCGCGCTCCTTGCGCTCCCTATCCCTACGCTCCCTCTCCTGACGCTCCTGACGCTCCCTCTCCTCGCGCTCCCTGCGCTCCTTCTCCTTCCTCTGTCTCTCCCGTTCCCGCTCACGCTCCCGCTCCCGCTCCCGCTCCCTCCTCTCTCGCTCCTTTCTGTCCTGCTCCGCCTGGCGCCTCGCGCGTTCCTCTTCGTCCCGACGCTGGCGGCGGCGGGCCTCGGCCTCTTCGCGCTCTCGTTCCCGGCGGCGACGGTCACTGTTCCCCGACAGTGTTGAAGACTGAACGCACTGGTTGCATGACTTGCCGCGCATGTAATAGGAGCCGTCTATGGGGCACTGCTCGACGTGGCCCTTGAACACGCAGCGCGTGGAACACGCTTTCTTGCAGACGGGGCTTTTTAGGGTGCGCCGTTAGCCTTGAGACGACCCGTCAGAGGGATCAAATAGGTACATACCAATGATGGACCATGGTGGTAAGCTGAAGCGAGACCTATACCGCGGCGAATGAAGTTGGAAGGCTTCAAGAGATTCTGGGAAGAGATAGTCGTTTGATGAACCAAGTTTCGTCTTGAAGAGTTGTGATACCGGTTGGTGGTGCTAATGCTGGAGTAAGCAATACAAATGTGAAAAGAAGGGGATGATGTCTTATGGAAAGCTTCCTGGAGATAGTGAGTGAGGGTGGTTCCTTTATGGACTTCACGAAACCAGCAACACCGATCTGACTTCTCCAACTCCGGCCATCCCCCGTGAGGCTGCCCTGCTACCCCCGTTGGAGTCTCGAGCCGTTGATCTCCCTGAGGTAACGATGCGGCTCAGGCCTGGGTCTGGTCCACGGTTAGGGTCTCGTTGGTCAACCGCCACATCAGGCCCTCGTCAATGGAATTGCTAAATATAGGATGCTACACAAAACCGTCAAACTCTAGATACTGGGCCAGTGCCGATCGGTTCTGTTGCTAGAGAATGGGGTTGGGTGCCGCCGTGTAGGGCCACCCTCCATCACCGACATTACACAAACTTGAAACCCAGGACACGGGATTCACTGGTGTCAAGTCCGCTCTTTTGACAATGTGACGTTGGGGGGCGCCGGAGTTCCCACGGTCACTGCCCAGTGTCAGGCCGTTTCATCCAAAAGGGGTGGCGGAAACCTGAATCAGTGGACGACGAAGGTACGGCGCATGATCAGCTTGTCTGGCGTTGAGATGGCTCTCGAGGCGTAGCTCGAACATGGAGGTGGCGCCGTCGTAGTTCAACACATCTGAACGGCGACGCCGACGGAGTTGACAGTCCGTTCAAGTGTTACACCAAGCCATGCGGCCAACAACCAACAACAACCAAATATACAGGCTCACCCATCCGATTGGCCCAAAACTGAAAGTAGACGTGATAAAGTTATTTGGTACCTGACCTTCCCTTTTTACACGGCCCCTGCCTAGGTACCATGCTGTACCGCGGTCTGGCATCAAGCGGGGTTTAAACCAGGGCAGGTGCATCGCCCCCAAACCGTGTTTCAATTCCTCAAGCACAAAACCGTCATTAATATTCGGGACTCGGACGGTTCAACGTCCCGACCTCCTCCGAGTCCAAATTACTGGCAACGTTCTTGTTGTCCATTTTCGCGTCGATAGCAGCCACGTTGCGCTAGCAACATGCCCCCCCACGACATCCCCTCCCCGGTCGCTTCTGACGAAGATGATCTTGAGCGCTTTACGCCGGTGTTGGCCCTGCTTCAATTGAGCGAGATCCCGGGTGCGGCTGCCCGTCTCTGGGCGACCAAGAATCCGGAGAAGACCCTCTCCGGGTTGCCAGTGGTTGGTGGGCCTCTACACGGGTCGTACCACATTTTGTTCCCCGTCGAATTCCCAGAGCAGGGCGCGAAATGGCTGCTCAAGATCCCCATCAATGGCGCCGCGGAGCATTGGGACGAGCTCTCAGCCGAACAGCTGCAGTCAGAAGCCAGAACAATGCAGTTTATCAAACGACGCACATCAATTCCTCTCCCTGAAGTCTTCGGCTTCAGCACCAGCCTCGCGAACCCCCTCGGTTGCCCGCACATCTGGCTCTCCTTCATCCCCGGAGTCTCTCTCTACGACTTTTGGTTCAACACCCCACCCACCGCAGACGACGACGACGACGCCCTACACCGCCGGCGCATCCAGATCCTAAAAGACGTTGCGTCCGCCATGGTCCAGCTCGGCCAGCTCCGCTTTCCCAAAGGCGGTAGGCTCGTATTCGATGCCGGCGACGACAACGGCGACCCAGTGGGCGTCGGCCCACAACGGCAGCTCGACGACGCAGCGTGCCAGAAACGCTTGATGCGCGACCCGCCGGATTACATGCCCGTCTACTTCGCGGCCGGCCCGTTCAAGACGGCGCGCGAGTTCTACACCTGCCCGCTGGAGAGAGAGGCGATGCCCCCCCTCGCCATCCTAGCGGGCCAGCAGCGCCTACTACGGTTCCTACTGGACTGCATGGCCGACTTTTTTGAGGGCGTCAAGGGCGGAGGCGAGGAGTTTGTTCTAACCCATCCCGACTTCGACATCCAGAACTTCATCGTCTCGCCCACGGACGGGCGGCTAGTAGGCATCATCGACTGGGACGGCGTCGGCGCCTGGCCGGTATCTCTGGGCAACCTGCGCTACCCGGGCTGGTTGACGCGCGACTGGGACCCGGGCATGTACGGGTACGGCGAGGACGGGGTGCTCGCGGATGGGGTGACGAGGGAGGACTCGCCCGAGACGTTGCAGCGGTGTCGCTGGGCGTATTGGAAGGCGGTGCGGGATAGCTTGGAGGAGCTTGAAGCTGGCCAGGCGGGGAGTCGAGAAGGAAAGGGGGGGGGTGAGTACGAGACGAGTGCCACGATTATCACCGAGAATCTGCACATTGCTGCTGCTGGGAACGGGCGCGCCAATATATTAAAAAAGATTGTCGATGAAATCGCGGCCGTAGTGGACGTGCCGTGTGAGAACGGCCCTGAGTTTTTTTACATGGAGTTGGCCATGGCTGGGCAGGGTGAGTGGAAGGATGGGGTAAAGGAGGCATTGCGGGCTGGGTTGGAAACGCTGCTTCGGGACCAGTTGCTGTAGGGTCGGGAGTAAGCTTTGGCAAGCAAGAGAATCCCCCAGGGACACGCTTTACTTGTACATGTGGCTCTTGATCGAGATGCATATGGTATCGAGGACTGCATGCGTCCAATAACCCTATACGTGCCGACGCCCGTAAAAATTTCGAATCACACTGCCTGTCTGTACTGACAAATCCCACAATCCACATGTGAGATCAATCAACCCCAACAGTTTGCTTACCCAAGCCGACCCGGATCACCAACATCAAAAACGATCAAAGGAGGCAAAAGCAAAAGCAAAAGGGAAGCACATCGCGTCTGGACGGGAATTGAGCCCGACGTGGGGGTCGAACCCACAACCTTGAGATGGGTGATACACGTTTGTAAGAGTCTCACGCTCTACCGATTGAGCTAGCCGGGCGATGCGTTATTTGTTGGTGTTTCCGTATGTTGGAAGAGTTTTTCTGTGCATGGTGTTGAGGGCTGCTCCCAGTTTTTCGGTGGTGGGGGTTGGTGGGGTTGATGGATGGAGCCTCAAACCGTGTGCGTGCCCACTCAGCCCTGAATCAACCGATTACGGTTAGTTTTTCAGGGTAAAACCAGGGACCCGGTTGCAGCAATGCCCTATTCCAGTTAGCCAAATTCAAGCAAATTTGCATCAGGTTAGCCCACCATCTTGGGCGACCGTTCCTGATCGTCGCTGCGAACCGAACTGCCCTGTGGCTGTGGGTCGCCAATAACATCTGACATGCATTGACATGCATATTTCACAGAAGCCTATTCACGCAACAACATCTCTTAGAGCCGCGTAGGCTGACCGACGATCTGGATTACACAGTTCGTAGGCGCACAGCAGCATGGACCCCGCCAATAGTCGAAACATGTGCCCAATCGAGGAGGGCGCCAATCCTTTGGCGAAGTCCACCATCGCGAGCGCTGTCCCTTTGGAGTCTGGAGCGTGTTGTCAGAGTCTAAAGTAGAAATCGCTCTGACGCCGGCGCTTGCCAAAGAACGACCGTGATGCTGCCAGACTCGATCGGGCGTAGAACGCCCACAGACAAGTAACAACGGGGAGCAAGCGAAAGGAATGATGGTGGTTCGAACTTGGAGAATATAAAGCGCGACGGTGGCCCCGACTATGCCTGCCGTCACGGCCGAAGCAGCACACTCGTCTTGTACCAAAAGCCATCATGGTTCACTTGCTTGTTCTGGCTGTTGCTTTTGTCCTGGGAGCCGCCGGCGCACGCGACCCTGGCCACCAAGCCCATGATCTCAGCTCTCATCCCTCTCCGGTTGCCAACTTGGGCAAGAACTTGCCAACCCAAGTCAGCCCCCGCCTTGCGAGAGCAACATCCGACACGGGAGCACTGCTCTGTGGAACCAACGAGGTGTGCCTCGATGGAAGGTCTGTTGTTTGATCCTGCTTGACCTGTCCACCGAGTGCGTTGCTGATTCGACTCTAGTTGCTGTGGTCCTCTTGGAATCTGCGGGTACGGGCCCGATTTCTGCGGCGCCGGCTGCTTAAACAACTGCGATGCGAAGGCCATGTGCGGAATCTACAGCGAAGGAGGTACCGAAAAGTGCGGCATGAACCTCTGCTGCGGTGCTGCTGGTTGGTGCGGTGTATGTTACCCCTGTGTCCGTAACCTCCCGTTCTCCCCATCACTAACTGGCCCGCAGACCTCGGAAACACACTGCATCGGCCCGGATTATTGGCCGTGCCAGGAAGGCTACGGATCATGCCAGATCGTTCAACCTCCCTCCTGCGATGCCAATGCCGGCTCAGCCGAGGGACGCCGCATTGGTTACTACCAGAGCTGGAATGTCCGCGACCGCGTGTGCATGAAGGTGGCGCCGAGCGACATCCAGACCGCCAACTACACCCATCTGTACTTCTCTTTCGCCAGCATTGATCCCGACACCTTTGCTGTGGTACCGGCCAACGCGGGCGACGTGGCCCTGATGTACGAGTTCACCGCGCTCAAGTCGTCCACCCTCCAGACGTGGATCGCCATCGGAGGGTACAGCTTCAGCGACCCAGGCCCGACTCACACGACGTGGAGCGACATGGTATCCACGCAGGCGCGCCGTGCGGCCTTCATCCAGTCGCTGATCGTCTTCATGCAGGCGTACGGCTTCCAGGGCGCCGACCTCGACTGGGAGTACCCGGTGGACGAGAAGCGCGGCGGGCGGAAGGGCGACTCGGCCAACTTCGCGCTCCTCGTGAAGGAGATGCGACAGGCCTTCGGCGCGCAGTACGGCATCAGCCTCGCGCTCGCGCCTGACTACTGGTACCTGCGTTACTTCGATGCCAAGGCGATGGAGCCGTACGTGGATTGGTTCGGGTTCATGGCATACGACCTGCACGGCTCGTGGGACTCGGATGTCGGTGCCCTGGGCTCCATCGTCCGCGGCCAGGCCGACGTGCGCGAGATTTACAACAACACGATGCCGCTGTGGTACGCCGCCCTCAACCCGGCCAAGATCAACTTCGGCCTCGCCTACTACGGCCGCGGCTACACCCTGGCCAACCCCGCATGCAACACCCTAGGTTGTGGCTTCACCGGTCCCAACAAGCCGTTCCCTTGTACCGCCTACCCGGGCGTCATGTCTCTCGCCGAAGGTGAGAAGTTTGCCCGGGATAACGGTATCACCCCGAAGCTGCTCGCGGGCGCTATGATGAAGGAGCTCACGTGGGACGACCAGTGGGTTGGGTATGACGACCACGAGACGATCGAGATGAAGATGCGGTTTGCTAGCGGTCTCTGCTTCGGCGGGACCATGGCCTGGAGCATCGACTTCAACTCGGGTGCGGGCAGCGGCCTCGAGCCCCCCGTGACTACAGATGGTACTTGTGGCGCGGTAAACGGAAACACAGTTTGCGGGAACGGATTCGGCAACTGCTGCTCGGCATCGGGATGGTGCGGTGACAGTGCCGCACATTGCGGGAGCGGATGCCAGAGTGGCGAATGCCTTGTAAGTACCAACAGCTTTGTTTTGCAAACAACAAGTGAAGACTGACGTTGAACACAGACGGGGTTCGTTACTACTGACGGAACCTGTGGTGCCGCACACGGTGACTCGATCTGCGGCAACTGGGCGGCCGGTGGCTGCTGCTCATCGTCGGGCTTCTGTGGCAGCTCTGACGCGCATTGCGGCACTGGCTGCCAGAGTGGGTGCGACGGGAAGGGAGGCAACAACACCTCGCAGACCAACTTCACGACCCGAAGGTGGATGACCCCATCCCCTCGATTGTGGACGTAGTGATTAACACGGTGAAGCGCTGGGGTTTCAAGTATTTTTGCCACAATTTCCCCTGGCTTGTCGGGTACTCCGGTCTCGAGCCATGTCCCAACCATTCCGCCAACCGCGGCACCTTCAGAAACAAACCCACCATTTTCGAGCGAGGTCCAGGAATCAGATGACCCCCTCCCAACGCCGATCACCGTCTCGCCAACCGCAGCGCCCTCAGAGGCTGAGCCACCATTTCCAAGCGAGGTCGAGGAATCGGATGACCCCATGCCCACACTGACGGCCAACCCCTCTTTCCAACCCTCCATGTCCGATTGGTGACCAGGTGGAATTTTGGGAGAGCTATCCGACCTACGGCGCTGCAAAGCAGTTGATGGGACCGGGGGCCTTTGTGAAGATCCTTAAATATGTACGTATTTAGGAACGTCACTGGGCAATGCATAAACCACATGAGCACTTTTACCGTGTGTTCGGCCCTCTTCTTTTGCAATACTGCCCGTGATCCTTCCTTTCTACGCAACACGGGCCTTGAGTTGGCGCTGGCCAAGCTGCAGAAGGTCGCGGAGGCCGAAGCCTTTGTTCCATCCTTTGCCCCGCTCCCTAGCTTCCTTGATTCTCCAAAAGATTGTCCCCTGTGTTGTCAACACGGATCCAAGACCATCGAGCGATAAGCCAACTTACGTCGTATGTCTGCCGAAGATCCTCCTTCGACACGCGCCCATCCTTCTGCAGTAGCAGCCAGGTGGTGCCAAACTCAAAGATGGCCGCTCCCCACTATGCCATATTAGTACGACTCTCAACCCAGCAAGAGGCCGGAGACATACCCCGAACGGGTCAGCAGCTAACCGATGCCCCTTGATCATATGCCACAGCTCGCCAGCCGACAACGACCCAGCCCCATGGACATCCCACTTGGCGAACACGTCCTCAAACATCTGCGGCACGAACCGTCCCTCCTTGTCGTATGTGCCCGAGTCGGAGCCATGCTGTCCCTCCTCAGTCACTCGCCCCCAACAAAACAGGGAATAAATGCTCGTATGCACTCACCTTCGCCTTGTGGATCGAGCCCACATACACGCGGAACCACAGATCAGGCCACCACGACACCGCCAACCGCGTCGGATACGAGAAGTTCACGTTGATAATCACCACAGCGAGCAGCGAGAACAGCACGCTGAACCCCAGGTCCCGGAACCCCACATATGTATCCCACGGGTAGATCTCGCTGTCCCCGTCCCGGTCCCAGAAGAGCACATGCTGCTGCAACACCGTCTGTTGTCCATATCAGCCACTGACTGCATTCTGCCACAAATCCCAACCCCCGAACCAAACCGCAACGGCTGGAGAGCATCATCACCACAAGCACAGCACAGAAACCAGGTGGGGAAAAAGGGAAATAGAGAAACGTACGTAATCCCTCATCGCCGCCCCCTTGGACGTGGGACTGCCGTCGGGCACTTCTGCCGAGACAGCGAGGTTGGCACGCGCGATGCCCGGCTTTTCGAGGAAGGCATCGGAGCCGGTGGCCTGCTGGCGCTCGGAGGTCGCGGGGCAGTTGGGCACGGTGTGGTCGAAGGGGAGGGTTGATGAGGCGGTGGAGTTGTTCATGTTGACAGCAAGTGTTATTGGCGTGTTCTGGGTTTGGGTGGGTTGGTAATGCTGTGCTGGGGATGGGATGTCAGTGTCTTTGGGGTCTTTTGGAGTGCTGGCGTTGGTTATGTGTGAATGATACTTGTGCCAATTGCCATGCTTTGATTTGCGTTCCTGACGTCATGGATAGAGTCTGGCATGCCATCGAGGTGCCCCGCTCAGGGGTATTCAAAGGTTGTTGATTACGTCGATCACATGTAAATGTTTGGGCGGGTTACATCCGGATTTCACTCGCTCAAGAAACAGAGTGCATCAAACGCATCGTTGGGAAGCGGATAAGAGCCCATACGGAAAGCAGGGACACTCAATTCAGCTATTTATTCTAAAAATGGCACCTCGAAATGATCATCCTTTACAAGGCGCCGAGCAGAGAGGTGTAGGCAGCCTTGGGCTGGTAGTTGCCGTCGAAGAGGAGCGGGTTCTCATCCGACCTCCAGCTGTCCTTGTCAGAGACACCCCAGACGGTGATACCGACGCACTTGGAGACCTCGAGGCAGGCGTTCATGACGGTCAGGTAGTCGTTGGCGGCGGCACCAGCGATGTCGAGCTCGGTGATGGCAACCTCATCAACGTTGGCGGCAGCGAGGGTCCTCAGGGCATCCGGGACACCAGAGGCAGGGTTCCAGCCGCCGGGAGCGGCCAAGTGGGCCTGGGTGCCGATGCCGTCGATGGGGACGCCCTGGGACACCCACTTGTTGACCTTCTCGACCATACCGCGGGTGACTTTGGCGTAGTTGGCAATGTCGAGGTTGTAGTCGTTGATGTAGAGCTTGGCCGCCGGGTCGGCAGCACGGGCAGCGCGGAAAGCGATGCCAACGAAGTCCTCGCCGAGAACACGGCTGAAGACGCTGTCGCGGAGCGAGCCGTCCTCGGCAAAGATCTCGTTGACGACATCCCACTGGACGATCTTGCCCTTGTAGCGGGTGACCATGGTGGTGACGTGGTTCTCAATGACTTGAGTCAAGGTGTTACGGTCACCGATGTTCTTCACCCACTGCGGCAGCTGAGAGTGCCAGACCAGGGTGTGGCCACGGACGAGCTTGCCGTTGGCCTGAGCAAAGTCGACAACGGCATCAGCGTTGGCGAAGCTGAATTGGTTGCGGCTCGCTGTTTTGGATACGTCAGCTTCGACTCGTTCTCCTTGGAAATCGGTGCGAGGGGAAAGCCAAACTCACGTTCAATCGCATCCCACTTCATGCTGTTCTCGTTGGTGACCTGACCAAAGGTGTCCTTGACAATGGTGGTCAAGGCGTTGTTGTTGAGATGGTAGTGGTCGATCTCCGTTCCGAAGTAGAGCTTTCCCTTGGCCGTGAACCCCTCGTGCAGGCCAGTGGCGGCATTGCCGCCACCGCCGGTAGGAGGGGGGTCGGTTGACCCGGATCCGGGCACACACTGCGAGTACCAGTCACTGGGGAGACTTGTTAACAACGAACGGCCCGTGGGAGGGAAGCAAGTTTCCACGCGAGAGAGTGTACCTACTTGACCTTCTCGCATTTTGTGCCAGACACACAGGACGTGGAACCCGACCAGCCTTGACCGCCACCTATTGTAAAAAGATAATCAGTATCGTAGTGAATATCAAAATGAAAATGAGGTTTCACTTACACTGGCCCCAGAGAGCGGACTGGGCAAACACAACCGCCGGAGCGACGGCGAGCACGATCGGAAGAGTATGCATGATGATGGTTGGTCTTCAAGCAAGCCTACACGTGGGGGTGGACAAGAAACGGCAAGATTCCCAACCATCGAAGGACGGCTTGTCTCTTATAAGCTTTCAAGTTGTTTCACGGAGTATCCTCCGCATACCAATTGAGAAGTACGCTGGGGCCCCTTTCTGCCATTGTCAACAACGGGGCCTAACCGCACCTATCATGAATCAGGGAGATTGCAACGGGGTCCAAGGGGCCCACCGACAAAACAGCCCACGGACTTGGCTTCCGTCGATATCCAGACTGCAATGAGTTAGAGCCTTGGCGCGGTGGACTATTTCGCATTGTACGTGGTGGAGAGTTATTTCCCGATGTCGACCATGACGGAGAAACATGCGGCATTGTGCTCCTGATTACCGCTTTTGTCTCTGCTGGGGCGAGATTTAAAAGCTCAGCTCCGTCAGCTCTCCGGCACATCTTGCGAAACTGGTCTGATTGGCCACCCCTAAACCTGCAATGGGCCAGCTGAGCCTGTCGCTATGGCACGCACGCACTTCGACGTCACCCTTAACCGCCCAAGACCTACAGGTAATACCGAGTACTCTACATAGTAAGAGCTTAAAGCATGGGCCTTCTATGTCTAGGTATGTACATGGCATATCGCATCTTCAAGGTACGGGGGAGCTCCGGCCTACCTCACCGCGGGAACGTGCGAGATACGCGAGGGCTGGGAGACAATATCAAGTCATCAACTAAAGGTGATAGATTATAGCAACCCGATTCTCCTGAGCGCGGCTGCCCGCGACGGTCTGCTCCCGTCGAATAGATCTTAACTACCTCCCTACCCGGATATATCAGCGAGAAGGACCACTGTGAGCATGTCATTGCCCAGCCCGGAACCACAGCTTCCATACCTAAAGATGGCGGAGCAAAGGTTAGCTTTACCTTTACCGAGGTTCCCAACCCAACAGTTTAAGGTGACAATGATCATCGCCCATAACCGGGTAAGCGAAAACCACTCCTACCGAAAATAGGAAAGGAGTCGTACCGAGCTGATTGATTGGCGCGGCTAATTCGCATCGGGCAATTCGGAAGGTGAGTCGGCGTTCCATTTCCTCCAGCACAGAGACACCACTCTGTTCTTCTGCAAGCGACCTCTCATCACTCGCCAGAACGGCGGAGCGACGTCGTGGCAAACCCAGGACCATGAGGCGCACTCAAAAAGCTCCGTAGCCGACGGCCAATTCGGTCACAAGAAGACCCGCGAATAAGCGTCACGTACACAATTCAGGCCGCAAGCAGCGCGTCAGAGCAACCCTTTCCCTGAAAGGGGCAAGGGGTGAGTGTCAATTCGGCAAGGGCTCGAAAACTGTTATAAGCGGCCTTGTAAGGTCGATCTTGGAATGAACTATTACTCACATAGAGCGACTTCGCTGAATGGCCGTTGTGCATTCGTAAAGCGCGAGGGAAGTATGCGTCCCAATGCAATACACTGCTTTCCAAGAGTTATTCCAGATATAGTACATTTCCTGCGATGGGTTGGGTGAGGGAGCTCGACACTCGCGCAACCATCGTGTTGGTCTGGCATTAATTAATACAGACGGCGTCTCACCACCGGGGCCCAGAGCTCTCTCACAATCATTCCAACAACCTCTAGGAGAGACTATGGAAATCCAAGAGTTTTGGGTAATAAGACGGCAGCACTGCAGGCATTGGTGATTTAGTCGTGGCCCCAAACGGAGCCGTCTAAGGAAATACAGACGCACAAATATTAGCTGGAAAAGGAGGTATCTAACTCAGGAATCCGTTTGTGACTTGTACAACAAATGCGGTAAGGGGGTTATACGGAGGTATGAAGTACATACAAAACACAAAAGACGCAAATACTCCGCATAGTTACTTCGAGCCGTTCTCATTCGGATCAGTGCTCTCCCCCTAATAATTTTCTACTAGTCGTATAAGATCCGCTCTATATAGGGGCTTTGAGGGGCAACAATGGCAACAGGGAGAACCATGGACTACCTATATCACTGTCTAGGTATAGTAGTGGAGAGGAGACGGGTTTCACACCATTTCCGCTGTTCTTATCCACCCTGCAATAAAAATATCGAGCCTATGGCCCTGATGTTGAACTTGCGCTTTGCTGTACTCGTTCCCCTTTCACATTTCCTGCCCAGCCTTCCACCTTTTTTCGGGGTCTGCGAAGAAAAGGAATTTATCGCCAGCGTCCCGTGAATCTCTGTCTGCACCCTAGGCTCGCAGCCGAACCCTCCACTTCACGTCATATTGCACCATCCACCCGTTCCCAGACTGGCCGGGCCGTCATCTTAGGGATGGCAAAGCACCATCAGGTGGGGTGGGTCCGAACCCAAGTCTTTGTTGTTGTCGAAGCTCACAACCCGCAAGCGGCCAGCTCTTTCGGGGACTCTTAATAGCACGTCATCCGCGAAACGAACCCGACAGCCAGAGCATCAACCAAGATAGCCAACATCAACAAGTCATCCGCCACGTTGAAGCTGCCATAACCTCACAAGGGACCGCAAGGGGAGAACAAAAGAGGCGGGAAGGGTGGTCCTGGGCCTTAATTTTCAGGGACGAAGAGATCCTCCTGTATTAGCAGCTCTTAAATTTATCTTGTTCGAGCCAGGTCTCACAGGGAGGGACGATGTCAATGCTAAAACTGCTCAATATGCTACGGGAAATGGCGCTGTGGTGGTGAGGGTGGAAAGGATTAGGAAGAAGCTGCCCGGCTGCGCTAGGAACCTAACTAACAGAGGCGAGTGGCTCGAAGGAAAGAAAATGCAGTGCTGCTATTCTCTCGCCTCAAAGGCTCCCTCATAAGAACCCTCACCCCTACTCCCTCCAACGGCCCCAGCAAGACCCAGATATCTCTCGATAGCCCTACCGGGAATTGGTAAGCTAGGAGACCTACCTAATCTCTCTCAAGGCGAACCTCCAAACCCGGAGGGGACGGCGGCAAAAAGCGACTCGGATACCGGGAGTCGAACCCGGGGCTGTTGAGAGAGCAGTCACTCCTGAGAAGTGAGAGTCAACGATGTTACCGCTACACCATACCCGATTGAATCAGATGTGGTTCCGATGTTGTTGGAGCGGCGAGCGGGGGCCTGCATTATTATGTGCGTGAGATTGTGGCCGATGGAGCGGAGCCGGGAGGTGGACCATGAGGGCTATGCCCCTGTCGTGGACGGAGAAGCGAGTCCCACGTAGAACTTTGTGACTGACTCGAGCATATCTAAGGACAAACATTCGAGACTCTGTATTGTTGCTTAGTTGTCTTTTTTTATCTATTCCCTCAGATTGTAGTGATTCCCGGTTGTAACTTGTAACTTGTCATTTACGAACATCTAAGAATACAAGGATTTTGCTGGGAAAAAGTGAGCCACCTAACTCATTACTTACTTATATAGCGAGCTCAGCACCTACCTTCTTTTGTTTCTTATGTACTTGCTCCTAGGCCCCTTTCGAACCTGTAATTAAACTCTTGCTTCTTTCGAGGCGGAGTGGTCGGCCGACCTGAACGATAAAGACCACCACCACCACCACCCCGATACCACCCCACCATCACCGCAGACCTCCGGCCCCGTTTTGCAAACTTCCGACCCCGTATTGCCAACAGTAGAACGGACCCATAGACTGTCTTGCTCTCTGTGGAGTTCATTTACATTTCTCATAACAGAGCTTCGGAAGTCAACACAACCCAAGCCGAGCCCGGACAACGGGAGTCCAGTGAAGATTACCAGCCTCTCCTTCCGCCACGGGAATTCGATATCGGCCTACACCCATATATTCAGCGACGCCAGCGACGTTAGTAACACCATAGCCAAATCAAAGAACCCCCGAGCGGAGACGACCTTTCTTAGCCGGACAGACGCCGTTATGATGGGTAAAACACAGGCGTGACTTTCATATATCGTACTTTGGAGCCACTGCAGCATGCGCAGCCTCTATCACCGTCATACCTTCAATGTTGTTGGTCTGAATAATACCCCGAGCGTGGTTCAGAGGACTGTAACTTCTCAAAACATCGATGAAAGGAGAGCTAGTCATGCCTGTGAATTCTGTGACTACATCGGATGACGATGGCCTACAAATTGCAGTCTCAGTGGTCATCAAATGACTCCTTCTCGTTAGAGTGTCGGGAAGCCCAGCCAACCATATACTGATAGAGCGCCTGGTTCTTCCTCATCATCGCGCAGTCAACATCAGACTCGCCTGGAGATTTGTACGGGACCACGTCCATCCAGGAGGTCTTCCAGGCCGCCTTTTCCCTCTCGCCTATCTCTTTAGCAGTGAATAGAATACCGCCCGTACCGCACGGACTAGCCTTCAGAAGAACGGCTCTTGTACAGTCAATATTATCATCCGTAACCCCTGTGGAAAAGGTCCAAATAGATTTCGAGGTATTAGCGTGTTCCCAGTCTTTTGCGTCAGAACCTACGATGGAGTATATCGTAAGCTCCTCTTTTCCGAAGAGTAATGTACTCAATCGTGGCCAGATTTGATCGGAGAAGGCGGGACGCGCAAGAGCGAAGGTCTTAGTTGCGGCAACTGTCGCCGCATCGGTCGGAATTTCGTGCTGACCTTTGAACAGGCGGGCAGGCCACCACCAAGGTCGGGGCCGCTCCATTTGGGGGACTGGGGTGGTGTTTGGGTCGAAGTCCTTTACCAACAGAGAAAATGGAATCGTGACGTGGACATGAATTGGCCCATCTTTGATCGGGAGGCTCATTGATTCAGCCTCAAGAGATACTAGGAGGGCCATGGTCTGATCGACATGCCAGGCTGGTGGTGTTTGCAAGAATCCAGTTGGAGGTTTGGGAGACTTCAATGGCTGCTCCGGTCTTGGGTGGACATAATTACACCCCGCTTTGAATGAAGTGAAAGATGCTGGGCCGCGCGCTCGTTTTTACCTCCTAACCAACCAGAGCGAGCGGGACGGGGTGTTGGGATGCTGTGCCGCCCAACCAGCATGCAAGGCAGCATGCTGCAGAGCAAACAAGCACTCGGCCTTCGGGGCTATATTTGTCTTGTGAACGGCTACCGCAACCCGCTTGAAAGGAAGGGTGTCGTTGGCAGCTGGTTTGGTACCACCCTGTGTGATTGAAAATTGATAGTCTCCTCGCCAGCTATGTTGCCAGCGGGGGAGATACAAAAGTGATGGGTTTAATCTTTCCACCCTCCGCTCGTCTTCTCGCCATCGCTGGCTGAACTCCGTCTTGGTAACGAGTTTTCATTCGCTGTCGTCCATTAGAAGATGGTTGTGTCCGTTGTCGTCGCCCTGACGATGGCCCCAGTGACCTACGTCGGTCATGGTTTCGATCAATTCCGGGGTTTGTGTGACGAGTTGTGGGAAATGTTGGCGTGGAGAAAATTTGGGGTGTTTTGTTAATTACCTAGAGGTTGTTGGAAAAGATCATTTTTTTCCTCGCTGCTCTGAGTTGTGGAAAGTATTCAACAGTCGCCTCCTGCAACCTCCATCTCATTAATACCTACCTTAGGTAGGTATCTTACTCAGGCTGAATTCGATCCTCCTCGTCGGGCTGGCAATCTAACTTCGATGTTCGTCCGGGGTAGGTGCCCTATGGCCTGCGCCTAGCCATCGGCACTATTACATTCATCAACGGTGCCCTCATCGCCTCAACATGAAAGACAAGGGAAGAAGGCACGAGTAATTCCGTCTCAGGTAGTATGTACCAGATAATCCTGCTGCCAAGTAGGGCAAATTCCGTCGCCGGCATCCTTCACTGCTTGGCGTGATTAACTACAGCAGGTGCCAAGGTCCTGCTATAAAGTGGTCATGTAACTCGGGTTCAAGAGTCACCTATCGGCTTCTATATCCGTCCAGATCTGCCCCGCTTGCAGCCGCCGGGGCCTGGAAGGAATCGCCGTTGAGCGGTTAGTGATGGTCCGGGAAATCTCAATGTGACGCGAGTGGCCGTTGTGTGAGACATTGATGTGTGTGTAACGTTGATTTAGAATGCGGGGAGGACTTGGCTGTCGCGGGGAAAAAAACAAGGTTCTGACGATCGTCATGGCAGGCACGCTGTGGTTTGATTATTATTAAGTGGCATTTATATCGAGTGGTTGGGCGATCGTGCCTGCATGAACTTATAGTTCACGCATTTCCCGCACTTCCCGCACGTTCTGGGCCGCGAAGTCAAACCCGTCCTGCACACCACACGGGTTAAGCCACTGCAAGTTGGGGGGCGGACAAGATGCATCCAAAACGGGCGGCCATTGCCATTTTCTTTGCAGCCCAAGCCCAAACCGGCGTTGGAGCTCTGGTGTCTTCACCAGGAGAAACGGTTCCAATTCCATCATGGGACTTGCAGTCGTCTGCTGACGCCGGAACCGACCTCGAGGCACTCTCACAAACCGGACTCGACACCGCGTCATGGCATCACGTTGAAACATCGAAGTGCACCCTTATGGGTTGTCTCATCGAAGCCGGAGTTTACGATCAAGAAGAGCTGTTTTATTCGGAAAACCTGCGCAGTGTCGACGAAAAGCAATTCTCAGTGCCATGGATCTACCGCAACGAATTCTCTCTTGAGCCTGGCTCCGGCAAGCACTTCTTCCTGCAGACACACGGCATATCTTCCCGGGCCGATATAACTCTCAATGGCAAACCGGTTGCCACTTCATCGGAGCAAGTGGGTTCATACGTGGGGCGGAACTACGACATCACCGAGGTTGTTGGTACCGACAACGCCCTCGCCATCCAGGTGCACCCAACCGACTATTACCACGACCTTGCCCTCGGGTGGGTGGACTGGAATCCATGGCCCGCGGATAACGGCACCGGTATCTGGCGCGACATCGAAATCAAGCAGACCGGCGCGGTGATGTTGGAACCACTCCGGGTTGTAACGCAACTGGGCCCTACCCTCGGAGACGAACCAGCCAACATCACCCTCAAGGCACGGGCACACAACCTCGAGGACACCCCCATCACCATCACGGCCACCGCCCTCATCACGCCAGACTCGGGCGACAGCCCCATAACCGTCAGCGAGACCTTCACCCTCGACCCGCTCTCCACCACCGACCTCATCCTCACCACCACCCTGCCCAACCCCCAAATCTGGTGGCCACGCCAATGGGGCGCCCAACCGCTCTACACCGCCACCCTGACCACCACCCCGGCCAACACTACCACCCCCTCTGACCACACCACCGCCACCTTCGGCCTGCGCACGGTGACCACCACGCTCAACGCCCACAACGACACGACCTTCCACATCAACGCGCGGCCCTTCCAGGTCCTCGGCGCCGGCTACACGCCCAACCTCTTCCTGCGCTTCTCCCCCGCCAAGTGGGACGCCGAGCTGCGCTACGCGCTCGACCTGGGCCTGAACACGATCCGCCTCGAGGGCAAGGACGAGCACCCGGCGCTGTACGCGGCGGCCGATCGCGCAGGCGTCATGTTGCTGGCCGGCTGGGAGTGCTGCGATAAGTGGGAGGCGTGGAGCTATAACCCCGACCTGGCGGTCAGTCCGGTGCCGGTGTGGGATGATGAGGACTATGCGGTGGCGAGGGAGGGGATGGCGCATGAGGGGGGGATGATGCAGGCGCATCCAAGCGTGTTGGGGTTTTTGGTGGGGAGTGATTACTGGCCGGATGAAAGGGCGACGAAGGGGTATTTGGAGGCGTTTGAGGCGGTCGATTGGCAGTTGCCTGTGCTGGGGTCGGCGTCGGAGAGGGGGTTCTCCGAGCAGACGGGGCCGAGTGGCATGAAGATGGCCGGGCCGTATGATTGGGTGCCGCCGGGGTATTGGTGGGATACGGAGCCGGCGGAAGAGCGGTTCGGTGCGGCGTTTGGGTTTGGGTCGGAGCTGGGTGCGGGTGTGGGTACCCCGGAGTTGGGATCGCTGACGAAGTTTCTGGGGGGGGCCGAGTTGGAGGATCTGTGGAAGAGCCCAAATAAGAGCCTGTACCACATGTCGCGGGAGACGTCCCAGTTCGAGACGAGGGAGATCTACAACGCTGGGTTGTGGAGCCGATGGGGGGCGCCGACCAGTCTGGACGACTATCTGATGAAAGCGCAGCTGCTGGACTATGAGGCTACGCGAGCAGAGATCGAGGCGTACACGGCGATGTGGAACGCCGAGCACCCTGCCACCGGGCTGATCTACTGGATGCTGAACAACGCCTGGCCCAGTCTGCACTGGAACCTGTGGGACTACTACATGCGCCCGGCGGGGAGCTACTTTGGGGCCAAGGTCGGCCTAAGGATGGAGAACGCCGCGTTTGACTATGTCAAGAAAGCCGTATGGTTGGTGAACCGGTCGTTGGACAAGCAAGGGGAGAGGAGGGTGGAGGTGGAGGTGATGGATCTGCAAGGGACGGTGGTGCACAAGGAATCGGTGGCAACGGCAACAACCCCCAATACCAGCGAGAACATCCTGTCTTTGGCAGAGGTGTTAGGAAATGCCACGGATGTGGTCTTTCTGCGGCTAGTTCTTTACGATGCCCCCGTGGAAGGGAACGTCCTGAGCCGGAACGTGTATTGGGTTGCGAAGGAGCCGGATGTGTTGGACTGGGCGAGCACGACCTGGTATCACACTCCAGTCACCACTTACTCGGACTACACTGCGCTCAATGAGCTCCAGACGGCAGATGTCGATGTTCACGGTGTCTGGAGTGGCGATGCCGTGGACGTGACGCTGGAGAACAAGTCCGAGGTGCCGGCTTTCTTCGTCAGCCTGAACTTGGTGAATCAAGACGGGGCCGATCTGCTGCCGGTGACGTGGGAGGACAATTATGTCACACTATGGCCGGGAGAGAGCATCACACTGAGGGCTGGAATTGCAGGTGCGAGCGGGGAGCCGAAAGAGATCGTAGTTGTAGGGAAGAATGTTGCTAGGGTGAATACAGGGGTGTAGTGCCGAGTAGGGATAGCTGAGGAGATGGTTACTTCATCTCTAGTACTAGTTTATTTATAGACTATAATAGTTACGATGAGTGCCGTTTCGACCGCTAGGCAGTCCAACCAAAAGCGAGCCTCCCCTCTTCGAGCAGTTGAGTGGTGATCTATGTGTTTACCCCTGAGCAACCGGGAAAAGGCGTACTTCAAGCAGACTCCATGAGCCGCCCTCAACAAATCATCTAGCCTGCCCGGCTAGCTCAATCGGTAGAGCGTGAGACTCTTATATCTCAACACATCTCAAGGTTGTGGGTTCGACCCCCACGTCGGGCTCAATCCCCGGCAGCGATGCCTCTCTTTTGACTTTTTTGCTTCCGGTAACCACGCCGGCCACGGCGTGTCAATTCTTTTACATACCCGCCAGTAGCCGAGTACTGTAATGGTGAGAGAATGTAGCTCTGAGAGTGGATTATATCTATAATGGCTTAGTGGTGCAAATCTTTGTATTGCGCGTATATCACCTGCTCCGTAGCTCATTACCCTCCCCTACGTTTATATTTATGATGGGCTTGCCAACCTGACAGTTCTGCCTTTGCTCTTCTGCTTACCTAGGGTTAAAGTTTTCACATTGGTGGGTTGTTCAGAGCACAATGTTACAAATCACGAACATGGTCAGGGCTTCCGGCAGATAGATTTCCCAAACAACGCGCTAGTCATGGCAGTATTATCCCGGTTGTCCACTCTCGGCGTTCACCTGACTAATGGACCGTGTGTTCGTCTAGATTACACAGTCCAGCCCACGGGGTTCACTTAACACATCACTTTGCAGAAGGTACTGTGTAAATAACCTTAACCCGGTGAATCACGAAGAAACCTAGACCCAATGTGAATGTGGCACCCCCAGACCAACAGAAAAGAATCCCGGTCTGACCTGTCTCTCATCCGATGAAATTCGGTGAATACCTTGTAGTTATTCACATCTGCGGGATTGTTTGTTCATCGGTCATCAGACCTGTCGTGGATGTGGCGTCCAGTAAGGTTTCCCCGGCTGACCATGGCCCATTCACTCGAGGGAGTCCACCGCCTCGACCCCAGGGAGGTATAAAACCGGGATGGTGTTTGCTCCCCGGAGGATCAGCAAAAGTCCATCTACGCCTCCCAAGCTCTCACCGCAACACCCACCAAACAACATGTCGCTTCCCACCTCCCAAAAACAGTGGCTTATCCAAGGCACCGGCCAGGGTTTCGACAGTCTCGTCTACCAGGATGCTCCCATCCCCAAGCTCGGCGCCGACGACGTGCTCGTCCAGTTTCAGGGGGCATCTCTCAACTTCCGCGACCTGCTCATCCCTCAGGTATGTACCTCCCCTCCCCCAGCCACCACACCACCCGCTCCCAAACCACCCGCTAACCCACCTCCCCGCAGGGAAAATACATCTTCCCCCTCCAGCTCCCCATCGTCGCGGGCTCCGACGGCGCCGGCACCGTCCTCGCCGTCGGCAGCAACGTGACGGAGTGGGCCGCCGGCGACCGCGTCCTCCCGCTCTTCAACCAGGGCCACCAGAAGGGCGCCATCGACACCGCCGCCGCCGGCACGGGGCTGGGCGGGTGTGTCGACGGCACGCTGCGCCGCTACGGCGTGTTCGGTCGGACCGGCGTCGTGCGCATGCCGGCCAACTTGGACTTTGTCGAGGCCGCAACGCTGGGCTGTGCCGCGCTGACGGCGTGGAATGCGTTTTATGGGTTGAAGAAGTTGGCTAAGGGTGAGACGGTGCTGGTGTTGGGGACGGGGGGCGTTGCTTTGTTTGGGTTGCAGGTATGTCGAGCGAGTCTGGGGCTTTTGTTTCGAGGGGGCCGAAGCTAACGTGGTGTTTCAGTTCGCCAAAGCAGCTGGCGCCACTGTCATCGCGACCACATCATCTGCTGAAAAGGCCGACGTCCTCAAGAAGCTCGGCGCTGACCACGTCATCAACTACCGCGAGGATCCCAACTGGGGCGAGACGGCGCGCAAGCTGACGCCGAACGGCGAAGGTGTTGACCACATCATTGAGATCGGCGGCGAGGGTACCATGACGCAGAGCCTGAACGCCATCAAGATGGAGGGCATCATCTCGGTCATTGGAGTTATATCGGGCACTCCGCCCAAGGACAACATCATCGAAGCGCTGTCGCGGCTGTGCACGGTCCGTGGCGTGTACGTTGGGTCAAGGGAGCTGTTTGAGGAGATGGTTCAGGCGATTGAGAAGCATGATCTCCACCCGGTGTTGGATGAGAAGAGGTTTACGCTGGAGACCGCAAAGGAGGCGTATGAATACATGGTGAGTACTTCTTCAACTCCCGAGTTGACAAACAATGCTAACGCTGTAGCAGTGGGCGCAGAAGCACTTTGGCAAGATCGGAATCAAGATCGAGTAACGGGTTGGGGTAGGGTTATTGCGGCTACTGAATACTGGGCGCTTATTTTATCTGCGGTTGGTGGCACGGCAAGGAAGGCAAGATAAAGGCTTGCGTGGGGATGTCAACGGAAACGCTGCGGGGAGAGAATCATCTGTTTCGGGCCGCCGTCACCGTCCACTGGTTCAGGGGCTCAGGGGTTGGGGATGAACATACATTCCCTTAGCCCCCGTTGATCGTCGCAATTGCATCATTTGACTCTCACCCTTCACCACAGTATCGGCCTCTCCGGAAACACCTGATTGTGTTCTAAATGTGAACCAACTAGGTAGGTACCTCGGTATTCGCGCAGAAAGGTGACAACAATAATATCATGGTTGCCTAACACCAAGCAAGCCACCACGTGCAGGAAGTGCGGCTGATCCGCGACGTGTCCGAACCCCAAAACCGATCCCTGATCCCAGATATCCCTCGAACAAACTGTTCCACTCCCGAACAATTCCCCTACCCAATTCCACAAGACCATCATCTCCCACACCACCACAGCGCCGAACCGCAACCATCAAACCAGCCAACAACCATGACCACCCCCACCACGACCCTCCCCCCCTCCGCAACCACCCACCTCCTCCACGCCACCCTCCAAGACCGCATCGCCGGCGTGCTAATCGGCTCCGCCCTCGGCGACGCCATCGGCCTGTACACAGAATTCATGACCGCCGCCACCGCCGCCACCGCCTACCCCACCGGCAAGTTCACACTCGGGGGCGGCGGCGACGGCGGTGATGGCCACGCCCGCCCGACCCCCTTCAAGCTGGACGCGCACCGCGCGCCGAAACTGCCCGGCGACTGGACCGACGACACGGACCACGCGCTGCTGGTGCTGCTGGCCTTTTTGCGCACGGCGCGCACGGCCGGGGGGCGGATGTCGGGGTTTGATTTTGGGTTGGGTACCGGGGAGGATGATGGTGATGGTGATGGTGATGGTGGGGGTAAGGGGAAAGGTGGGAAGGGGCTGGCGGGATCGCAGCGGCTGCCGACGCAGCAGGACCTGGCGGCGCGGCTGCGCGTGTGGGTGAGTCAGGGTTTTCGGCCGCTCGAGACCATGCCGTTGGGGCTGGGGCGCTTGGTCGGTACGGTGGTCGCGTCGGCGGGGTTTGATACGGACCCGGAGCGCGTGGCGAGGGAGTACTGGGAGCGGACGGGCCGGAGGGTGGCGCCGAATGGGAGTTTAATGAGGACCCATCCGCTGGGGGTGGTTTGCTTGTTCCGGCCGGAGGAGGAGGCGTTTGAGATTGCTGCGACTCTGTCGCGGGTTACCCACTTCGATCCGCGGTGTGTGCTGGCGTGTGTTTTGGGGACGGGGTTGGTCAGGGCGCTGGCGAGGGGTGAGGTGGTGGTGGAGGGCGATGTGGATGCGGTGATAAGGCGTGCGCTCAAGTGGTTTCAGGCTACGCAGCAAGAAGCGGATAAGCTGGACAGTGAGGAGTTGATGAGGCATGTTAGCTCTGGTGAGGTGTTAGATGACCTGAAACTGGACGAGCAGGCTGCAATCGGGTATGTGTACAAGACGCTCGGATCGGGGGTGGTACTCTTGCGCATGGCGATTCGACGGTTGGTGGCAAGCAAGAACGAGCTGCTGGACCGGACTATTCTGTTTGAGCAGCTCATCACAGATCTCATTATGCGTGGTGGGGACGCTGACACCAACGCATGCTTTGCCGGGGCATTGCTCGGCGCCTATCTTGGCTACTCCGCGTTGCCGGACCACTGGAAGCATGGCCTGAAGAACGGAGAGTGGCTTCTGGGCAAGGCAGTTGTTTTATGCCAGGTTCTCGGGGTGAAGGATGGCTTTTACGCCGGGACGGAGGATAAAGACAGTCACCCTCTCGGCGGGAAGCCCGCCATCAGCCAACAGGAGATGGAAGGCCGCTGGATGGTGTTGCAGCAAGCCACAATGAGGAAAATGGAGGATGCAGCGAAGACACCCTCGAAACCTTCTGGGTCGAATTGGTCGTCGTTTTTGTGGAAGAAGGGGAGCGAAGGGAACCCACGTTAATGGTGCTAGGGTAGGTAGTTATGAGTATGATGAGGTAGTCGAGTCTGGGGCGCAAAGGTCGACTGGGGTGTTTGGTTGTTGGAGCTGACGAGTACACCACGGCTCGAGCAGAAAATGGGATTTTCAGAGCAATTATATGCCTTCTCATCATCAAGGGCCACGTTGTGATAACCTGAATGGTCCCAGGCACACGGTCGGGGTTCGGGTATGGGTGGCAAGAATCGACCGGCAGTTGACACGGCTCGCACCCATTGAAACATGCACAAGGTCTTACCTACAGTATGCATAACGTACTCAGACCTGTTTCTAGAGTACATCGTCATGGCTTGGCACCCTACTGGTTCTTTCCAACCCAAAGCCCCATCAACGGAGACGCAGCAGCTAGATGCACAGCCCTTTCTTTCGTGATATCGTTGTGGTTTGACATGTTCGTGAGTTGGGTTAGGGTTATTCGTTATGGCTGACCTGCATGACTCGTCTCTCGTCCCATCTCTTTAACCGGCAACTTAACCGGGCGCTTTCCACTGGTCAAATCCCGCCACGCCCTCCAATGATAACCAAGAAACTCTTTCAGCAGTTCTCAACAAGGTCCGCTGGCTCAATGGCAGAGCGTCTGACTACGACTCCTTATTCTGGGATATCCCCAGGAAGAGATCGAGTAATCAGGAGGTTCCAGGTTCGACCCCTGGGTGGATCGAGATAAACTGGTCACAGGACCAGACCTTGCTTTTTGAAGGCATTTTCTTTTCCCATTCTCGCCCTCTTTTTCTGTTTTTAGCCCTCAGATGATTCGAGGGTATGGGTTGGTGGCTTTTTTTACCCTTGGATGCATTGTCAAAGTGAGATGCAGTCATTGTTTGTGTTGCGTTATACCGCTCTCCTTTTACTTGCCATCCCCCTTTTCCGGCCCGACGGTTTCAATACCTCGGTTCATGCATCAAATACGATGGTAGGATTGCTCGGTCGGCGAATCTGACGAAGTCGAGCTTCCCTTCTTTTAGAAGCGATGCAACACAACCTGTAAAGAACCGACATTTACATGACAAGTGTCTTGGAGTCGTGTTTAACTGCAACATTGGAACTCACTCGCAACAACATCATTTGGACCATCTGGACCATCTGCGGCTGAGATGCCCAATCCCATATTTTCATTCAGGAGGACAACTTCCCAATATCGCTTCGGCCCACCCAGCCAAGGTCTACTAGAGGGCATCTCGGCACCTAGCCATGTATGCTCAGATCACCAACGCCAGATGCTCAAAACCACTCCCCAGCCAACTCGTGAAATCATTTACTCCACATCCCAACAACTAACAACCCCCTCCCGGTCTACTCCATCCTAGTTTACCCTTTCCCCCTCCCCCTTCCCACCCGCATCACCATTACCACCACCACCACCCCCCTCCAACCTCCGAATCACCCTCGCCGGATTCCCCGCCACCACCACAAAATCCTCCACATCCCTCGTCACCACACTGCCGGCGCCCACCGTGACCCCCTTCCCAATCGTGACACCAGGACACACGATCACGCCGCCGCCAAACCAGCAGTCCTCGCCGACCACGATCGGCTTGCCGGACTCGGGCCCGCGCAGGCCGTCGCGCACGGCCGGGTCGAGCGGGTGGGTGCCCGAGTAGAAGCTGCAGTTGGGCCCGACCAGGGTGCGGGCGCCGATGTGGATGGCGCAGGTGTCGATGAAGGTGGTCGAGGAGTTGAGGTACACGCCGGGGCCGAAGCTGTTTTCCGACGAGGAGGGGTGGGTTGTGAGTGGGGATGTGGTGGGCGGGCGAGCGGTGGGCTTGTGGGGAGGGGGGGGGGGGCGGGGAAACGGAGACTTACGTGCACTGGACGCCGTAGTCGAATTTGATCGGACTGTCGACCCAGGGGTAGTTGCGCAGGGCTGCTTCCTCTTCGGGACTGCCTGCCGGTGGGAGGGCTGTTTCGTCGCGGACGATGCTGTTGTTGGGTGGTGAGTGATGGGTTTCCATGCGAGTGGGTTGGACCCGGAAAAGGACATCGACATACTCTTTCCACAACTCGACTAGCTTCCGGCGCGGAGCCCCGGCGGCATCTTGTATGTTGTAGGCATTACAGGCAACCTTGCACCGGAGGCGGTCTGCGATAAGATCGGGGGTGAAGGCGTAGTACAGCTCACCGGCGAGCATGCGGCGACGGTTCTCAACCAGGTCAAGGTTGTTCGGGTCCATCGTAATGGTGTCTAACTATCACCTCGGTGGCTGTTGAGAGCCGTCTCCGGTGCCAAAGTTCCTGATTCTTCACCGTCTAGATTGATCTTCCTTGGCTGCAGCCTGTCGGAGGCGGGGTCGCGAGTTTGTCGACGGCTCCGGCTTTAAAGTTGCCGGAGCGGCACTCCAGCGGGTCTCAGCTTCCGGGGGTCCCCATTGTTACCTGGTGGGATTGCCAAGTCTCACGAAGTCAGGGGCTCTGAGAGCCTGAAGAGCCGGAATTTGACAGTCCTCTCAAGGAGGGCAAAGAAGAAACCTAGAAAAGAAAACAAAAACAAAACAAACAAGAAGACGAGGCTTTCCGAGAAGGATTGTTCCTGCATTCGCATCAAGACCCATGCCCCTTCGTGTTCAGCGATGATGTCATTCGCCAACTTGAGCAATTTCCAAATTGTCTTCTTTCGCGCGGCAAGAAGCTGGCCTGAGCACGGAAGCCGGGATGAAAAGTCCTTCGCAGGAAAGTGAAGACTTCACCACATCCCGCTCCCGCTCCTGCATCACTTCCTTCCGGTAGCGAGACACCGCGGGGCGAAGCATCAAGATCGCGCAAACCGACCCAAAAGTTCCTTAGCTCCGCGCCCCGGGCTCCGCGCGTCGCAGCTCGTGACGGGACTCACGGGAGAATCACGGGAGAAAGCGACATGTTGACCAATTGAGTGGAGGACAATCAGCAGGTGGCAGACACGCAGCTTCCACAACATATGTACAGACATACAGACGGGGCAACCATGCTTCGCCGGCTCGGTCAGCCTCTTGGGTCCAATCTCGGATCACCTCTTTACTGGCCTCTGCTGGAAGACGAGAGCTGAGGTGTCGCATGCCGGGCCACTGCTACCACCCACCCACCCCAAGACAGAGACTCGCCGCTGCATGGACGGGACGAGCGCCACAGCATGTCCTTCAACTTCCCATTCCAGCGGACCGATGACAACGGCCTCGGTCTTATTGGTTGAACGCGACAAGGAAACCCGTGTTGATGCGACAACTGCACACCAGCGTTTTGGATAAAAGCAAGGCGGACCGATGAGCGATCCAGGATATGTAAGCCGTGGGAGCCGGACCAGAAACTTTGGTGGGCCGTAGAATCCTACCAAGGCAGGGGTGCCTCCCGCATCTCATGTTAATTTGCTTGACATGATTTCGATCTTGTTAACAATGCCACACTGCTGCCCGCCGTGGTGACGCGGCAGCGCGGCTTCGATCCTGGCCCCCCTGGGCGACCGGTCATCCGGGGAATCCGAGCTGCTGCCCTACGGTACGATCTTTGCTCCACTACCGACGTGGTACTGCAGCATGTATGAGGCTGTGCGAGCCATGCTCCCATGCTGCCATGAGGAGGGATGGCACTGTGGGTGGATGGTTATCGAAGCCCAAATGAAACCCAGCTCGCTGGACAGGTCCGTCGGGAACGGACCAAGAAGATGGGAGCCGGCCCCGAGAAACCTCCAGATCCAATCGAGGACAAGGGAAACCACCCGTGGGGAAATTACAATCCGTGTGGAAACTTGGTATAAATGTCAAGCAACCAGCCGGCTTCAATGCTGATATGACACCCACCTTCATCTTCCAACTCAAGTCCCATCTACAGTCGTTTTAACCGCTCAACTCATCAATATGAGGACCTCCCTGCTCCCAGCTCTCGCCGCCGTCACCCCGGTCCTCGCCGGGTTTGACACCTGGGCGCCCCCGGGACCGTATGATGGTAATGACGGCCGGATCATAACAAGCAAGACTACGAGCAAAACGCTAACCAGTATCCGCTCCCAGTGCGAGGCCCATGCCCCATGCTCAACACCCTCACCAACCACGGCTTCCTTCCTCACAATGGTCGGAACATCGACCAGGAGACAACCGAAAACGCCCTGTATGATGCCCTCAACCTGAAGAAGACTTTGGGCGGCTTTTTGTTCGACTTCGCCATGACCACCAACCCGATCGCCAACGCGACCACCTTCTCTCTGAACGATCTCGGAAACCACAACGTCCTCGAGCACGACGCCAGTCTCAGGTATGATGCTTGACTACTGTTATCTAGATCAAATCTCTAACGTCACGCAGCCGTGCCGATGCCTATCACGGAAGTGTCCTTGCCTTCAACCACACCATCTTCGAGGAGACCAAGTCTTACTGGACCGACGAAGTCATCACCCTCAAGATGGCCGCCGACGCGAGATACTACCGGATCAAGACTTCGCAAGCCACCAACCCGGAGTACAGCATGTCCGAGCTCGGCGATGCCTTCACCTACGGAGAGTCGGCTGCCTACGTCGTTCTCTTTGGCGACAAGGAGTCCAGGACCGTCCCGAGGAACTGGGTCGAGTGGCTTTTCGGTAAGTCTATCTGTTCTGTGCCATCAGAAACGGATCGGACGAGTTTAGAAGCTAATGTTTTGCCCGTCCAAAGAGAAGGAGCAGCTGCCTCAGCACCTCGGCTGGAAGAGGCCGGCCGTGGAGTTCGTCGACGGCGATTTGGAGAGGTTCATGGGCGAGATTCAGAACTACACCAGGGAGATCGAGAACCCGGCATGCGAATCACGCAAGCAGCGCCGCAGGGGCCGGGTTCCTTCCCACTTCGGTTTCTAATCGGTGAGACAATGGATGGGAGGGACTCGGGAACATACCGGCCAAACCTCCACCGTCAATACCGTCCTGAAAATCAGTAGATCCTAGGTAGTTATACAACGACTGCAGCTCGAGACAATCTAAGCCTATCTACTACACAATCTGGAGGGCCACTCCACCATCTCGCAAAGGGAATATTGATTTAGTGCGGTATCTGCCAGCCCTTTTTCTCCAGCTAGACATGCCGACCTCTACGTCTCTAGAGATTGTACTTGGAGCGGTCATTGTTCACCCCAACCAACCACATCCCGCATACTTGGTAACCGCCGGCACCACCCGTGCTCACGTACATAGTGCTCACGTACATAGTGCAGAACAGTCTGACGGGTCTGCTGTGCCCTTCAGCCACACCACAACCATCGACCGCAGTACGACCTTCCCCAAAGGGGAGCCACGCGTTCACGGCTGAGACTCGGGCAGAGAACAGGTAAGGCTGACAAGCCCTGTCCTTCGCTGCGCTCCAACAACCCCCTCATAATAAATCGTCGTTCGACAATAGGCGCTCAAGTGAGATGATTATTAACGTAAGCTTGTCCGCAGGAGCTGGCCAAACAACGTTCTGTTTTCGTACTTCCATATTGTCTCCCTGTGAGTCATGGCTCTCATGACCTCCTCGCCCGAACGCGTCGCCCACACCACCATCACCAGTTCCATGGAATCGGGTATTAGCTTGCGCATCAAAGTTGGAGGGGATTACGAAACCGCCAGCTGGCAGCCCACGTCGCCATACTGCCGCAAATCGACTGGAAGCATCTGCAAGAGAGCCTGCATATCTGCTGATCCCCGACCACTTCATTTGTTGACCCACGACTACACCCCGTAATGCGGACAGACCCTACGCCGATTGCTCCCCAGGTACCTCACCCACCGCCCCGGCGGAGACGGGCATTCGCAGACGGAACAGCACAACAAACCCAGGCCACCCGCCTCCGGCGGTCTTGTGTGACATGGAAGGCGTGATTTTGTCCCCCCCGCCGTGCGATCGGGATTCCCAGGCTCCGCCGATAGGACTCCTCATCTCCGCTCGCGCTCCCACTCCTCCCTCATCCATCCTGCTTGTCACCAGACCATCCCTTGCAGAACCTCACCTCAAATCTCTCGCCCGCAGGTGAGGTCTCCCTAGCTTGCTGGAACGATCCAAAGCCCCGTAACGGGTCCGGGAAGTGGCGGAGTGGAATGAATGCCGATGGATTTATCACGTCGTCTCTGTCATAGATAGGTAGGGATTGGGTTCATCGTCTAAGCGCAGCGTCACTTGGCGCTAGAGGCTATTTGATATTCAAGTTGGGTACTTGCAGCTAGACCTTTCGGAACATCGATCGAATTTATATCTGGGCCCTTGCCGAAGGGACGGTATTCGGGAACTGTCACAGGTAGTTGAGGAGGCTCGGAGTATGTTATCCTACCCATGGACGGCGTGAGCTATTGTTTAATAAGTCCAAGCCGCGGGGTGACAAATTTATCTCAGCCGGAATAGCTCAGTGGGAGAGCGTAGCACTCGTACCAACGCGATCAGGTCCAATGCTAAGGTCCACGGTTCAATCCCGTGTTTCGGCATCTCTAGAAAGGACTGTGAATTAATTTCACTTTTTGCAGAACTACATACTATGTAGAAGAATAAGTAGTTGAACCCTCGTTGTGCACTGAGGGAAGAGTGGAAAGAGGAAAACAAATCTCTATAACCTGAAGGGAATAGGTAATATTAAGGCTTGCTACCTACTAGTCCCCTACCTACCTAAAGATAAGGGAATACAGCACTCGCGTGCATAGCTCCGGCTCACCGAATCCATTTCGCCGTTTACCTAGATAACTACCTAACGAACGCCTAACCTCTATCTATATTTGACTCAAATGTACAATGATCACTAGAACTGGAAGAAACCGAACCAAGCAGAACCCAAACCGGAACTAATAAACAAAAAGAGAAGAGAACAAACTGGAAGAAAAAGATGCAGCAAACGCGAACACGCGACCGTTAAATCACCTCTTCGAAACGACCCTCCGCCCCTCATCATCCGTCACAACCAGCTCCTGGGCCGTAAAGAACCACTTGAAGACGCCGGCGCGTTTCGCCATGCCAACCCACTGCAACGCCGGCACGCTCGGCAAGCCCCGAACCCCGCGGTTCCCGTCCTCTTCCAACGCCTTCTCGACCCACGCGGCCAAAGCCTCTGTCCGCACGCTGGCGGTCGCGGGGTGGCTGACGATCCGCATCGCCTTCACCTCAGACCCTTGCCCGTCCATGTATTCATCACTACCACTGCCCGTCCGCGCCACCGCATCCGCCACCGCAGCAGCGACCTCGTCAACGGGCGCCACATGCAGGCTGCCGCTGATGTGGTTGAAGTCGGGCCGCACGCCGAGCTGCGGTGCCGTGGAGAGGATGCTACGGGCTAGGGCGTTTTCCATTTCCGTCAGTTGGTCGTCCCCACTGTTCCCTCCCACTCTGTCAATGTCCTCAACCTCGGGAGTCTCCTTTGGTGCTGCTGTTGGCGACAGGGCGGTGGGCCGATGGGCCGTGATGCGCAAGCCAGCCTGTCGCGCTGCGTTGGCAAGGTAGCGCTCGGCCGCCCATTTGGACGCTACGTATCCGAGCGCCGGGTCGGGTCGTGGCCCGAGTTTCCCTTCGTGCTGGCGGTGGTCGGCATCCTCCTCGTAGTCTGCTACCGCACCGGAGCTGAGCACGTGCAGGGCCGAACCCGTGTGCGCGGCCAGCCGGGCAAGCCCCTTGACGGCGTTGACGTTGACGGGCTTGAGCGCCGCATAGCCGTCCCAGAAGTTGCGGTCGGCTGCGACGTGGAGGATGACGTCGAGGGATTGGAGCTCGGGCGCCTCGGTTGGGATGGCAGGCAGCTCGGTGGGTATGACACGTATCTTGTTGTTGCTGTCGGAGAGGTTGGGGAATAGACGGGTGAGGTCTCGACGGTCGGCATCTGGCCGCGCCAGGACGATGACCTGCGCAATGCGTGCGTCGGCAACTAGAAGCGGCATTATGTTCTTGCCAAGAAGGCCCGTCGCACCGGTGACGAGCACGCGAAGACCGTTGCCCGTGTCTTTGTGTCTCTGTTGCTGCGGGACAAGATCTGCCAAATCAAAGTCAAGAGCCGTCTCCTCGTCCCAATCTGGACCAGCAGCTCCTCCTCCGGATGTCTCGAGCAGTGGCATCAGCAGTATCGCCATGCTCCCAAGTTCTGGGGCGCCCATTAGCTTGCTGAGACGGGGCGCCTCGCCGCCCAATGTGCTCTTGATGGCCGCCTGCAGCTTCACCAGCAGCAGCGAGTTGCCGCCGGCGCGGAAGAAGTCGGTTCGTCGCGTTAACGGCTCGGCGGCCAGCGCGTATGGCGGCAGCAAGGTAGCCCATATATCGGCAAGACGTTGTTCGGCAGCTGTCAGAAGACCTTCCGCCTGCTGCTGCCCGGTCGAGAGGAGAGCCTCGGGCAGTGCCAAGTCCCGCACAGCATTGCGGTCGACCTTGCCATGTGCCGTCAGGGGAATCTCGTCGACTGGAACAAGGACCGCCGGAATCATGTACTGGGGGAGGGAAAGGGCCAGACGCGCGCGTAGCTGGTCAAGTACTCCGGCGACGGTTGTGGAGGCCGTCTTGCTGTTGGTTTCTTGCATAACGACATGCGCAACAAGGAACCCATCGTGATCGCCTTCCCCGTCGCGTAGGGTGACTACAACAGACGCCAATGCACCGGCAGCCTCCTTGAGTATCACCCCCTCGATTTCGCCCAGTTCGACCCGGAAGCCGCGAATCTTGACCTGAGCATCGCCGGCGATGCGGCCCTCCACTGTGAGTCTGCCTTGGGAATCGAGGCGTCCATAATCACCAGTACGGTACATACGACCCCAACCACTCGCCGTCTTGTTGTCGCTAGGAGCAAAAGGATCCGCCGGAAATCGATCCGCGGTGACATCTGGTCGACCAAGGTACTCATTGTCGCCTACCCCGGCGCCCCCTATGATGATCTCGCCCGGCACGCCAAGCGGCACAGGTCGTAAGTCCTCGTCGACGATATAGATGGCGTAATTGGGGAGTATGCGAATTGGAACCGGAACGGTCACCTCGGCGTCCTGACGCAACAAGACCTCGCCCTTGGCCGCCGAGATGGTGGCCTCGGTCGGACCATATGTGTGGAAGACGCGCAGCTTCGGCAAAGTTTGGCTCAGTGCGCGGAACGAGTCCAGCAAGCTCTGCGGCGCCTTTTCGCCGCCGAACCAGGCTGACGTCAGGGCCGTGCAGCGACGGAGGCCGTTGGATGCAAAACGGAACCACATGCTCCACTCAGACGACGTAGTTATGGCACATGTTACCCCTTCTTCAGCCATGAGCTGTGTCAGTTCGACGGGATCCCCGCGGGTGTGGACCGGGGCAATAACGAGACAGCCGCCGGTGGTGAAGGCAGAGGCTATTTGCTTCAAGGAGCCGTCCGCGGTCAGCGGCAACTGCTGGAGCACGACACCGTTAGCCCCGAGGTCCGCGGCCGTATCCCATTGTCGGATATAGCCCTCGGCCATAGCGCGGAAGCTGGCATGCTTGACCACAACGCCTTTTGGTGTACCGGTGGAGCCGCTGGTAAAGATGATGTAGGCTGGGCTTTGTGACTGGGCCGTCGTTTTGATCCGTTCAGTGTTGCTGCCCGGAGCCGTGGCTGGGAGGGCCGATAGGTTGACGAGGGCGGTCGGATGCTCTATCCCAATGTCTTTCGTGAGACCGGCCATGGTATCGTCAGTCAGGATAACGGCCGGCTGTGCCGCTTTGACATAGCCGTCGAGACGTGAGGCCGAGACTTTGAGATCAAGTGGCAGGTAGACGGCCCCCACACGCATGATGGCGATAAGCGAGGCCATCCAACCGGCCGCCGGGGTTTGGAACACGCCCACAACGGATCCTTGACGGGTCTTCTCGGGCAGGAGATCGCAAAGCACGCGTGCTATACTGTCAACCTGCTCATTCAGCGCCGCGTAGGTCCAACAACGACCGAAACCGTCCTTGATGGCGATGTTGTCCGGGTACTGGGCAATGACTTGGTCGATGCGGTGGGCAACGGTGTCGGGCCATTCGAGATGCATTTCAGGGCCTACAACTTGCAGTCAGTAATGGCTTTTACTTCCGGCGGGACTCTTGCGGAGGGCTTCTCGCTTCACCCGGGGTCGGCAAGGGGGGTGGGTATGGGAGAGATGAAACAAGAAACCAACAAAAAACAAGAAACGGAAAAGAAAGAAACACACCTTTACCCCGTTCCAAGGCCACCTTCACATCCTCACCATCCCACTTCTCCAACTCATCCACCACCACATTCCCCCCACCATCCCCCGTCACCACCCCCAAGACATTCTCAAACCCGCTCAAAAACAACTCGGCCGCCTCCTGCGTATACAACCCCCCATACATATACACCGACACCAGCGCCGTCTCGTCGTACTCGACAATCTCCACCGCCACATCGTACGACCCGTCGGGCAACATCCACGCGTGGTCGCTCACGGCACAGCCGCCCCAGCGCATGGCGGCCTGCTCGCGCGTCACCAGCTTGTAGTCGACAATCACCTGGCACAGCGGCGGGTGGGTGTTGGACCGCGGCACCGCCAGCTCGTCGAGCAGGACCTCGAAGGGGAGCTGCGAGTGCTCGAGGGCCGCGTGCACTTTGCGGCGGGTTGCTTCGATGGCTTGGCCGAAGGTTTCGCTGTTGTTGTTATTTTGGCCCTTGTTGTTGCTGCTGTCGGCAGAAGAACCAAAGACGAGCGGGAGGATGTTCAGAAAGTTGCCGATGCTGCCGAGGAACTGGGCGCCGACACGGTTGGCGTCGGCGATGCCGATGACAATGTTCTTCTCGTCCTTGCTTGCTGTGCTCCCGGTCGAAGAAGCGGTTGGGGCAGCCGAGGGCAGGAGTCGGAGGATGAGGGCTTGCAGGGCGGCGAGATAGCCGTGGAACGAGGTGGCGCGGTGGGTGCGCGCGAGCTGCTTCAGGCGGGCGGCCACGTCGGGCTGGAGCCGGCGCCGGGCGACGGAGCTGGGGCAGTACCGGTCCTGCGGCTGTCTGACTTGGGTGCGGGAAAAGGGGAGCAGTTCGATGGGCCGGGTGAGATCCACCCCGGCGAGTGTCTGGCGGAAGTGGTTGATGGCGGGCTGCAGCTTGCCCGAGGTGTAAGCCAACGTTTCTTGTTTTCCAAACGCCGTGGCCTGGAACTCGGCGGCTAGGGGAGGCGGTGGGCTGGACCCCCATCGGTAGGCTTGGTAGGCCTGGTTGATATCGGCCATCAGGATGGTTATGCTGTACCCGTCCAGCGAGATGTGGTGCCCGCTCATGGACAGCCAGTGGACTGTGTCCGATAGCGAGAGGAGCTGCACGCGCACTTGGCCCCAGTCCCCGAGATCCCACTCATGCTTCCGCATGGCGACGAGTTCTTGGGCCGCCTGGGCCTCGGACTCGATCGTGCCTGTTTCCAGACGCAAAAGCCCCTTGGACAGGATGCCTTGCATGGGCGTCTTGTGAGTGCCGCTCTCGTCTTGTTCGTCGCCCCAGAAGTAGCGCGTGCGCAGGGCCTCGTGCCGTTGTGCTACCGCCTCCACAGCCTCGGCGAGATGGCGGGTCTGGATGCGTCCCTCGAGGCGGAATTGATACGCCATATTGAAGGCCGTGTGGTCATCGACGTAGTGGTGGAGAAACCAAAAACGCTTTTGTCCATATGTCATTGGCTCTTTGGTCTCGGTCGACGTTTCAATGATGGCTCTCCGGCGAGCTGCTTCTCGCTCCTTTTCCAGTGCCCGCATCACTTCTTGCGGGTGGATTTGCATTGCGGCGGCCTTTTGGGCCGAGCCATCGTCTAACCCTCCCCAGGTCTCTGGGGGTGATTCCTGAGGCGTGTCTTGTGCTTCACCGGCTTGGCGATTACTTGTGCCGTTCGAGTCTGTTGTTTCGGGTTCTGTTCCTATCGCGGCCGTTGGTGGCGTCCTTGGCGAGGCCGGTCCACTAGTTGAAACAACGTCTGATGCTGCACCAACTGAAGAGGGAGCAATCAAAGGGGGTGGGGTGACAGCAGAAGATGGGGCAACGGCAGGAGCCGAAGCAACAATAGGAGCTGAAGCAACAACAGGAGCTGAAGCAGTAGAGTCCAGGTTCAAAATGGTGGCCGGGATCCTGTCGAGAATCTCGCCCAACAGAGACTCAACCGTGGTGTCGGCCCCCAGAATCTTGAGCACAGGCATGTCAATGTCGAGTTCCTTGAGGAACCAGGACCGCAGCTCGACGGCCATGATGGAGTCGACGCCCTGCCCGATAACACTGGCCTTGGGATCCACAGTCGTGTCGTTATGAGCCATCAAGATGCGTCGCAGGCGGTCGACAAAGGCGTCCCGGACCACATCCCTCGCTTCGTCGAGCGACTTGATGGCCGCCAGCCGCACACGCAGACGCTCCGTCTTGTTAGCCCCGCCGTGCCCACCGTGAGCCCCCGCGCCGGCAGCGGCATCGTGTAGCATGAAATGGCTGAATCGCGGGTTGGTGCGCAGCTGGATGTGTGTCTGGGGATCGTCGCGGAAGAGAGAAACCCCCGTCGCCACCTCCGCCACACCCTGGGCACGCGAGCCAGGTCGTCCCGCAAGAACCGTCTCTGCAAAAAGCTCGTGCAAGTCACGCTCGGAAACCCCGCGATACGTCAGCCGCAAGAGGAAGTCGGCGTAGTTCGAATCACCCTTCTTCTTGTTGTGCTCCACGTAGCCGCGCCCGTAGACGAAGCTGATGGCCATGTTGGACCCGGCCACGCCGCGCACGTCGCGGCGCTGCGCCGCCAGCGCGTTCATGAACTGGTTGGCCATGACGTACGCCGACTGCCCGCCGTTGCCCACCACCTGGGCGGTCGAGGTCATGAGCACGAAGAAATCGAGCGGGGCGTCGTAGAAGAGCTCGTCGAGCAGCACCGAGCCATCGACTTTGGGCGGGGCGCTGCGTTCGAGCGAGTCCATGTCGAGGTCCTCGAAGAGCTTGTCCTCGAGCACCATAGCGCCGTTGACGACGCCGATGATGGGTGGCATCCTGGCGGCCTGCATGGTGTCGAGGGCAGCGCGCAGGGAGTCGCGGGATGTTACATCTATGGGCAAAACCTGGATGCGGCAGGCGTCGCTGTACTCGGTGGAGAGCGCGGCAATGAAGCGAGGGTCGATCTTGGGCCGTCGGCTGCCGATCACAACGTGACGTGCGCCGCGGGAAACCATCCATTCACAGAGGGACTGACCGAGATCGCCGGCAAGACCGATGAGTAAATATGTTCCGTCGGCCCGGAAGATGGTGCCGTGGTCAATGGGCCGCACGAGGGCGCGCACCGAGGACGATGCAGTCCAGTCGACGGCGGTGAACTTGGTGAGCTTGACGGGGGTGTCCGTGACATCTTGGAGCGGGACGAAGGACTCGGAAGTTGCCCCATGCTGTCGCTGCTGCCTCCTCGTCACGGCCTGCCAAGCGGCCTTGAGACGACTGCCCACCTGGTCGGCGTCGGCATCGGGAGACAAGCGAGGTTGCACACACACAAACTCTGCCGCCGTGGCTTTGTGAATGCTCGGCGGGAGAATACGGCCAAAGAGGTCGGAGCAGTCGGTGGTCGTGTCGCTAGAGTCAGGAGACGCTGTACTAGCCAAGTTGACGAAAAAGGAGACATCGCGTGGCAGCAGTGCGCGCCCCTGGCGCAGAGACATCTTGTCGTGAACCAAAATATACGGGCCATGCTGCTGCTGCTGTTGTTGTTTCGGTGTGTTAGTCTTGGCCGCTGTAGTATAAACAACGCGCATGCCTTCCCACTGGGATTCTCTCTCGAGCGCATTCCGGAGATGTTCGTCTGCTTCGTGCACAAGCACGGTACCGAAGCGCGGCGCCGCAGCAAGGATACTCTGCGCGACAAGATGGGCGCCAGCCGCGAGGAGAGACGCCGCCAGTGTCTCTTTGGTTGTATCAGTGCTGTGATTGTTGATATTACCATTCGCACGGCCATACACGCCATATTCGCCATATCCGCCATATCTGTTGTTGCTGTTTTGTGTGACACGCGCCGTCCACTCGACCGGGACGCGAGTGCAAGACTCGACGGCGGTGTCAGCCAGCGCAACCAGGTTTTCGTGTCCGTTGGCCACATCAGTCCCCACAAACAGCGTGAGAAAACCGGCGTCGCCAACTTTGACCACTTGCAACAATGACTGCTCGACCCGCAGCACAACACTCCCACGAGCCGTTGGCGGTGGTGTCGGGGAGATCCTTAGAGGCGACACGGCAGCCAGCTCGAATGCAGTGCCGTCTGGTGTTGGCTCCAGGGCAACTGTGTTCTCGCCCAATGCAAAGTCATCAAACACGGGACGACGATAGGCGTTGTACCGAAGGTTGGCCTGTATATCCGGCATCAACCGCGGCACTAGCAGCCGTCCGTTTTCATAATGCGTCTCGGGCTCGACAGTCCAGAGCACCGTACCCTCCTTGGCATACTGCCCACCCAGTTCCAGACGTATAAGGGCCTCGGCAATGGACTGGGATGTCATCTCCGTCGTACCGTCAAAGTCGAGCAACTGCAAGTTGATGCTGGGATATTCGAGGCGTACAACGCGCGACAAGCCAAGCGTCAGCGACGAAAAGGGGCGTTCATCGCGCGCCCCACGCGTCACCCACAGGATACTGCCGGCATTGCGAAAGAGTGTTTTGAGGGCCTCGAGCTTGGCCGAGGTACGCGTCTCGAGGAGCTGCTCGTCCAGTTCAGTGAGTGATAACACGGCGGTTCCGGGTTCGAGTTTAGCTTGGTGGCGGCTGTTGAGCTCTTCGGGATGTGCTATTATGCTGATGTCGCGGTAATGCGGGCCGAGTACGGTGGCGATGTCGTCGGCGAGCTGTCTGACGGAGGGTGTGCGACCGCCAATGATAACCAACTCCCTGGCACCGTCCCCATGAAGAACAGTGCTAGTAGGGCCAGGAACAGCGAGCGGCTCGCGCAGACTATTGACACGGTCGTCAACAGCCTGGCAAGCAAAGACGGAAAACCACTGCTCCTCGTTGAGAACAGGGACATGGCTGTCCACGCCGCCAAAACCATGCCGGCGTGTAAGGGCATCCCACTTATCGAGGGTGAGACACGGTCCGTCCCTGCGCGCATCATCTTTCATGGCCCCAGCCCACCAGCCCGGCATACCGCCCATCACCAGATTGATAACGAGCGTGTGGTCGGACACGATCTCGAGCGCAACCAGGTATCCGCCTGGCCGAAGGAGACGGCGTACATGCGTCAGTACACCATCCAGGTCCCCCGTCGCGTGGAGCACGTTGGACGCAATCACAACATCGTACGTCCCGGCCACAAACCCCTGCTCCTCAGGCGCCCGCTCCATGTCGAACGTGGCAAAGGACATGCGGTCGGCGTACTCATTGTCGGCAAATGAGTCCTGGGCGCGCGACAGGAACCCGGCGCCAATATCGCTAAAGGTGTAGCTCGAGAAAGCACCGCGCAGCTCACCAAGGATCTGCCGTGTAGCACTGCCCGTACCCGCGCCGACTTCGAACAGGTTCATGCGCGGGTAGCGGTGGGCGAGCTGGCCTACGACGCGGGCAATCCAGCGGTTGGCCGTATCAACACCGGCGCAGTCGGCATAGAAGCGGTCTAAGAGGCCATCCTTCATCATGTGCTCGAGCATATTACCGTCGCGCCGGATCTCGGTCGCAATGTTCTCGCCCACAGCTTCCGTGATTTGCGCGTCGGAACGGCCGCGGTACCGGCCCATCAGCGACCGGATGAAGGCTGGTGTGTCGTTGAGGGCTTCGCGCGGTACGGCACCGCATTCGCCACGCTGTACCCTATCCAAGAGTCGGCCGGCGTAGGCGAGCATGCATTGATAATGCGGTAAAGCCGCGTCCCTCTCGGCCGGTGTCAGTGTCTCGTACAATCTGCGGAGGTAAAAGAAGCCGACGCGGTTAAGGTTCCTCCACAGCTCGGAGATCTCGCGCGGCACCAGCTCCTTGTTCTGCTCAACCGCCTCGGCAGCATCGAGCGTTGCCGGACGGTAGTTGAAGCGGGAAAACATGATGGTATCGTCGCGGGGGGAGGGCGTCGCCAGGTACGTGACCTTAAGCGTGTCAAACTGCACAAAAGCGTGGGACGCCGCGGCATGGTCATCACTGCTGCCAGCAAAGACATCAATGTCGCAGACCATCGGCGCATCGGGCACCAGACGAACTGTGGTCTGATATTGCAGAGCCCGGGTGGCGGGTCGGGGGCCAGCAGACGCGGCGGCCGTAGCAGTCCGGTGGTGGGAAAAGAAAAAGGGGTTAATAACAATGGACCGGATCTCTGTCGGAACAAGCAGGGCATGTAGACGGTTGTCGAGAGGGTGCGTATAAGCCGCGAAGCAAGTCTGCACGGCCGAGTCTAGCCACCCGGGATGTACCAACAGCTGGTCCTCCCAAGCGCCTCCTGCTTCGTCCTCAATCTCCCCCGTTGCCCATCCCAACTTGCGTTGGATCGAGCGTACGCCTGTGAAGGGAGTGGAATAATTATATCCGAGGTTTGCAAACTGCGAGTACAGCATCTCAGGCGCCGTATCGACAAGGTTGACCTCGTCATAATACCGCGTAGCGGGAAGCGTATGCGGCATCGCGTCATGGAAGTCCACCTCGATGGCAGTACTGAAATTGAGGGCAAGCGGTGTACCGCTCGCGTCCAGAGGCAGTCCGGAATGGCAGGTGATATGGGCCGCCAACCCGTTGTTGTTGGAGCGAGTCACTCGCAAGTTGACGTTGATTTCGACACCGATGTTCTCGTCAGTAAAGGCCAGCGCCCGGCCGATAGCCACGTCGCGTAGTGTGACGAGCCCAAGTTGTCGGTCTCCGCCAGCAGCGGTAGCAGCAACAACCGCGACAGCCTCGACGGCCAGAGACACAAAGCCCATAGCAGGAAACACGTTTTGGCCTTGCAATCCGTGGCCCTGAATCCAGCTGATCTCGGATGGTCGGAGGATATTGCGCCACGCAACTGTATCGGCTGTCTCTACCTCTACCATGCGTCGTCCAAGCAGCGGGTGCGGCGGCGCGTGTAAGTGCCGATGGCCACCTGAGAAACGGGAGAGGGCCAAAAACGAACGGGGTCGGTCAAAGGGATAGCCGGGGAGATCGGCTAGTGGTCGTTTTTGCTGGTGTTGCCGCTGCTGCTCGGGCAAGAGAGCAACCCCCGAGACCAGGTTCTCAAATGCATCAAAGTTGACGGAGGAGGTACCCAACTGTGTCCAGATATACCCCAAAGCTGACGCCAGCTCGTCGATATCGTCCTTGGCTCGGCGCAGCACCCCTGTATAGGGGATCTTCTCCCCGGTTAGCGCCTCGATCGTATCAAGGGCCGGACCTTTCAGTGCGGGATGCGGGCCTAGTTCGATGGCGATGTCAAAGGGCCCGGCATCGTCCACAGCGCACGAGACGGCCGGCGCAAACAAGACCGGGTTCGTCATGTTGTCGGCCCAGTATTGGGGGTCCTGCACGTCCTCCTTGGTCATGACATGCCCACCACCACCAATAACACTGGAGAACCAAGAAACCGTGCTGTCGCCGTCGCCCACGGCGTAGCCGGCTCTTGCCAGACCCGCAAGATAGGGCGCCTCACACGGCAACATGTGCGTGGAATGGTATGCCGTGTCGACAGTGAGGCGGCGCGCAAACTTCTTTTCATCCTTGAAGATCGCCACCGCCTCCTCAATAACCTCTTCGTCGCCAGACAGGGTAATACTGGTAGGCGAGTTGCGCGCCGCCACCTGGATCCGCCCAGCAAAGCAGTCAAGCCGGCAGAAGGCGAGGGCGTCTTCGTACGAGGTACCCACAGCCATCATGGCACCGCGGCAGCCCGCGCCATCACCACCATCCCCATCCCCATCCTCATCATCACCCGGCGGGCCCGACGCAAGAGCCGCATGCAACCCCCTATAATACGCCACGCGCAGCGCATCCTCCGCCGTCAGGAACCCGGCCGCGTACGCCGCCGCGATCTCGCCCGACGAGTGGCCCACCACGGCGCGGAACCTCAACCCCGCCGCGCGCACCATGTCCACCAAGACGATCTGCACGGCCGTGCACAGCGGCTGCGACACGGCCGCCTCGGCGACGCGCGACGTCTGCGGGTCGGCCAGCAGCTGCGCGCTGAGCGTCCAGTCCGGGCGGTCCCCCGCGGGGAGGGTGGCGAGGGCGCGCTGGAGCTCGGCCAGGCGGTGGGACGCGAAGGGGGATGACTCCAGGAGGCGGGCGCCCATGCGCGGCCATTGCGCGCCTTGGCCGGTGAAGATGCCGAGGATGGAGGCGGGGTGGGTGAGGTCGTGGTGGCGTGTTGATAGATCGCTCGTTGCGTCGCTGCTGCTGTTGAGGAGAGCGTCGATCCGTGTGATGGCTTCTGGGATGGTGCTGGCTACGATGGTCTTGCGGTAGCCTAGGGTGGAACGCCGGGTTTGGAGCGTGTATGCTAGCGAGCGGATGTCGGTGTTGGGGTGGGTGTCGAGGTAGACCCGTAGGTCGGAAAGGGTGGCGCGGAGGGCTGACGGGGAGGCGGCGGATAGGATGAGCGGAGTGAAGGATGGGGTGCCCACGGTAGAGAGGCTGGGATTGTTGCCAGTGGTGGGCGCGGGTGACGATTCGGGTTCGAAGTACTCGATGATGGCATGGGCATTCGTGCCACCGAATCCTGTCCCAGACCACCGGCCGTCAGTATTAGAGAGGTTCACTTCTTGATCTCGATCGGTTTATTCTGCACGTACCAAAACTGTTGACGCTCACTCGCCGCGGCTGGCCTGCAAGAAGCTGAGGCCAGGGCTTGGGAGCTGTAGGAACCTCGAGATGCGTGTAGTACGGGGCAACCCGATCACTCAAGTTCTCAAAATGGAGGTTAGGTGGGATGATGCCCTTCTGCATAGCCAACGCAGATCCAATTAGGCTAGCAAGGCCGGCAGCGCCCTCTGTGTGACTGCAAAGTGTATTTTAGCGTTTGTTTATTCTTTGCCCCATTGTGTAGCCCGCCGGGGCGGGGGCGGGGAGCGTTCTTTGGCATTTGACATGGGTGGGTAGGTAGGAAGCGCGAAACATACCCGATAATGGTCTTGATGGAGCCCACGTAAAGTGTATCAGTGACCTTGCCGTCCCCAAAAAACGACTGTGAGATAGCCTCGGCTTCTTGGGGATCGCCAGCCTGTGTCCCAGTGCCGTGGGCATGGAAAAACTGAGGGCGGTCTTTGATATCGTTGATATCCAGCCCAGAGCGCGCATAGGCTTCACGGATGAGAGCTGCCTGCGCCTGGTTGCTTGGGACAGTTATGCCGGTAGTCTTGCCGTCCTGGTTTACTGTAATTATTTGGATCCTGCTTAGTACACGTATACAGGTATATGAAGGCGGAAAAAGGGAGAGCGGGCCGAAGAAAAGAGAAGATCCGCCAAAGACATACCAGCCGTACCGCGGATGATACAATCAATATGATCGCCATCGCGCAGTGCCGCACTAAGGGGCTTCAGCACCACCGAGGCCACGCCTTCGCCGCGGGCATAACCATCGGCCGCCGCATCCCACATCTTGCTGGTCCCCGTCGGCGAGAGCATGTGCAATTTACTTTCGCCAATAAACATGCCTGTGACCACAGGCCCAAAAGGAGATTAGCATCACACTCCATCTTCTCGTAAAACTGGTAGGAAAGCGAAAACGCACCAGGCGCTAGCATCAAGTTCACACCAGCCGCAACAGCCACCCGACACTCCCCGTTGCGCAGGGCCGTCACGCCCTGGTGCACCGCGACAAGCGACGACGAGCAAGCCGTATCGATGGTCATACTGGGGCCGTGCCAGTCGAAGAAATACGACAGGCGGTTGGCTACGATGGCCCGGCTTATGCCCGTCGCCGTGTAGGTTGGCATCTGGTCCCAGTCGCGCGCCATGACCTGCGCCCAGTCGTCACACATGAGCCCGACATAGGCGGCCGTATCGCTGCCCCGGAGATCTTCTAGTTTCTGTCCGCTGGCACATCTGGTCATGGTCAACTTGGGTCCCCAAGGGCTTGTAGTGCGTGTACAAAGGGGCGGGATACGTATGGCTTGCCAAACAACAGGAGACTTACAGCGAATCGTACACAGTTTCCATCAAAAGACGCTGCTGCGGGTCCATAGCCTCGGCCTCGGCCGCAGGGATGTTGAAAAAGCCATTGTCAAACTGCGTCACATCCTCCTCTAGAAAGTAGGCTTTCTGCGCATCGGTAGCGCCGTGGTGAGACCCGTTGCTATGGTAGAAGCCGGCAATGTCGAAACGGTCGGCCGGGACGCGCTTCGTCAGATCGCGCGGTGCGCGTAGCAAGTCCCATAGCTTCGATGGGGAGTCGCAGCCGCCCGGGAAGCGACATGCCATGCCGATGACGGCGATAGGCTCCTGGGTTTGGTCTTGTGGTGCCATGGTTATGGACGTGTTACGCAATGCAGTTGATGATCTTTACCAGGCTTGCTTGGGTTGAACAACTCGTGGGACCAGACGCGTAGTCAGTCGAGGCTGTGTACTAGTAATTCACCGCTTCCCAGGTCGCTGGGAATGGCACTATATGTTGCATGCGTCAGTACGCAGAGCATGGGACGGCGGGACAATGGACTTTGAGGACTCGGCATGCTGATCTTTGGTGTCAACGATATTGTCCCGGTCACCGGATTGGATTACTATCAAAGGGCTCATGGGCGTTTACAGTATTACTCTCAACTAGGTAACCAATCAGGAACTCAACACATGCGTCAACAAGAAAGATCGGTACGGACTACTGCACTCCGGCTGCCGTGGGACGAGATGAAACCCTTCCAGCCGACTTCATGAACCCGGGTTACTCATCTTGGGGCTGTCAGCTTGCCTCCGTCCGGTAAGTGTGGGAGCCAACAAAGTCAAAATGATTCAGCCGCAATCAATGGAGAATAGCAAGATGCTATTTTTGTCGGGGATTTTGCTCTCCGCGGACATGACTCGGAGCTCCTTTTTCTTTTGCATCGTTTAGGTTACCTACAGGTAGGTAGGTTGGTACCACACACACACACCGAAACACGCCGAGTTGTTGCGCGCGTTCAAGGTTTCTGGAGAAGCTCGGTTGCAGCGAATGTAACCTCACTACCAGGGACCGACCTTCTGGGTAGAGCTGGGTTGCCTCACAAGTTACTACTGGGACCGTGTTTTGCTCAGCTCTACCTACCTAGACAAATGTTATTCACAATAATATCAATAATATCCCTGTCACCGAGGGAAAAGGGAGGGTAGAATGAGCCTTGTCCTGGAAAACCTGGAAGTTGCGGCAAACAATCCCAAGTCATGTACGTCAACAACCTCCTCGAAGCCGTGCGGGCCAACCGGCTTTGCAAGTCGTTCGCCATCAAGATCTCAACCAACGGCCAGGTAGTGCAGATTGCACGCAACGCCGGCTTCGACTGCCTGTTCATCGACCTTGAGCACGGTTGGCTCAGCCTGGCCGAGGCGGCTAACCTGTGCCATGTCGGCCTCCTCGCCGGCATCACCCCGTTCGTCCGCGTGCCGCACCAGTGTGGGATCGGCTTTATGCAGCGCGTTCTCGACGGCGGCGCCATGGGTGTCATTTTCCCCCACGTAGAGTCGGCAGGTATGAACTATGAACTCTCTCCCTCTAGCCTCCTGCTTGTTAGGTACCCTTCTTCTTGTCTGATACAGTTCTGCTGCCTCCAGAAGACGCAAAAGAGGCAGTCGATAACTGCAAATACCCGCCTCTCGGGCGCCGGTCCATCACCGGGCAGACACCCCTCTGCGGCATGCAGCCTCTCCCCCCGGCCGAGCTGATTGAGCAGACAAACCGCAGCGGTTCGACCGTGCTTGTCATGGTTGAGAGTGCCAAGGCCGTCGACAGTGCCGACGAGATTGCGGCCGTCGAGGGGGTTGATGCCATCATCATGGGCTCCCAGGATCTGTGCGTCGATCTGGGCGTGCCCGGTCAGGTCGACAGCCCCAAGGTGCGCTCGGCTTTGGAGACTGTCAGCCGGGCCTGCCGTGACCATGGCAAGACCTTTGGGGTTGCCGGTATTTACAACAACCCGACCTTGCAGGACTGGGCCATCAACACCCTGGGAGCCCGGTTCTTGCTTGTGCAGTTGGATGTTTCCCTCCTGACACTGGGTGGCGCTCAGGCAGTAGCTGCGGTTCCGGGCGTGAAACAGTAAAATAGCCATCGGCGGAGGAGAGGCTCAAGAAAAAAAGGGCAGGATAAGATATCTTATGTGCATATGACAATAGATCCATGCTCTACTCACTGTGCCTATTTAAATAAACGTTGGATATGAGGCACGCTTGCACGTCGATTCTTCGCACCCCAGACCTCCGTCTTCTGTCATATCCGCTCTCACACCTTTCAACAAGGAACCGTGTGCGCAACCACTCCCCGTTCGGTAACAGAAAGGCAGTGGCGTAAGACGAAGGATCCAATGCCGCAGCCAGCATTGGTCAAGACTAGGTACTGTTCCATATCCAGAGGATCATGTGGTTTGTTTTGTCAACAAAAGGGGGTGACGGGGTTTGGTTTCTGCACCCCCAACGCCCCAGCAACGTACAAACTGTCCAGAATGTCCACTGTCCATTGACAATATCCATTGTCCAGATCCAGGTATCCTGCAGTGGGGAGCGGTACGTTGCTGTCGCAAAAGCGTCGTCGCAATTGCGAGTCAGCAATTGCACCCTCGACTGTCACAAGTGCGCACGAATCATTACTCCCAGAGTTACCGTGCCACACTCGTACATGAATGCTGCTGAACGGTCGGAAGCCACCCTTGAGCGATTCCGTGCAGAAGACAGGTAGGGACCCAGCGACGCCGCAACCATGGCACAGGCACTTGCCAAAGAGTAATTGCTGCCGGTCGGAGGAATCTCTTGCCGGCAAGGCCATGGCTGACCCGCATCTTGCAGAAGCCAATGTGCCGAGATAATGGTAGGAGGACTTTCCAGGCACAGCCGTGCAGAGTTGTATTAGTTGTATCACGTCAGCGGGACTCTCGACGCGCGGAGGATTTCGTAGCATTTCGGCCAACAACCCGGACGCCTGAATCGGGAACCTCTGCGATTGGAACGAGGAAGTCGGGCGAGCCGAGAAGTGTCAATTGCACGGCGTTGTATTGCGTTTCAGAAGGTTGGTAACTTTCTCTCAATGTTGTTCTCATGGAATACTAGTACAGGTTGAGCCAAGGGGGGGAGGGGAGAGAGAGAGACAGAGAGAGCCTCGAACATGAACCGAGAATAAGGGCTCAAATAAACAAGAAAGCAACAAGGCAAAAGACCTACAGATCAAAACAATGACAGTCACAGAAACGCAGTCCGCCTTGATCGGTGGGCCTGATGGCGAGATCATCCTCTCCAAGTCATGCCCACTGCCACAGGGAGAGCTTCGAGATGACGAACTGGCCGTGGCTGTCAAGGCGATCGCACTCAATCCCGTCGACTCAAAGATGAAGGGGGACTTTCTCACGCTGGGGGCCACGCTGGGGTTCGATGCCGCCGGCGTGGTGACGGCCGTGGGGTCTACGGCCGAGAAGCAATGGGGATATCGCGTGGGCGACCGCGTCGTCGTCGCCATCAACGGCATGAATCCCGTGCGGCCAACCATAGGCGGCTTTGCGGAATACACGAGATCATACGCATGGGGCACGCTCAAAATTCCGGATGCCTGGACATTTGCTCAGGGCGCGGGCGGCATGGGCGGGAGCGCCTGGCTCACGGTTCCCTGGGCCCTCTTCCACTCGCTCGGGCTGCCCGCCGGACCCGAACTCGAGCCACTGCACAGCCGTCGTCTGACGCCGGCCGGACTCGAGCCCAAGATCAACATCATCACCTCCCACAGCCTGCCTCGCAAGCCCAGGCTCAACCCCAGCGGCCGCGGCATCGATACCACCAACCAACAAGTCACCACGGTCCTAGTTAACGGCGGCGGCAGCTACACGGGCACATGCGCGATCCAGCTGCTGAAACTCGCCGGCTTCTACGTGGTAGCAACATGCTCGCCCCGCAGCTTCAAGCAGACTAAATCTTTCGGGGCCGACGCCGTGTTCGACTACAACTCAGCGACGTGCGCGGCCGACATCCGCGCGCACACGCGCGACAATCTCCGGCTAGCGATCGACTGCATCGCCACCCCCGACACGATGAAGCTGTGCTACGCGGCCATGGGCCGGGCCGGCGGGCGGTACGCGGCGCTGGACCCCTTCAGCCCCGACGTGGCGGCGACGCGGGCCGTGGTGCGCCCGAGCTGGGTGGTGGGCATGGAGCCGCTGGGCGACGAGATTGTGTGGCCGGCGCCGTACGGACGCGACGCCAACCCGGCCGCGCTCGAGTTCTGCAGGGCCTGGAACCCGACCATGCAGCGCCTGCTCGACCGCGGCCTGGTTCGCCTGCACCCGCAGCGCGTGCGCGACACGGGGCTGGCTGGCGCCTTGGAGGGTCTGGCCGAGATTCGGGCGAAGAAGTTCGCGGGGGAGAAGCTCATCTTTACTTTGTGAGAGTACCTTTGTATGTGCAGCAAGGCACGGATGGAATTATGGCTGCTTTTGTGTACCGTACCTTATCTATGAATTCAAGTCTGCTTCGCTCCTGAATGAAAGAGCTATACGCGTTGAACCCAAGTCGGCGGCCGCTTACATGTACCTACCTACTTAGGTAGGTAACAGTGTAGGCGGCGGTGATACCTCTGGGAGGGGGGGCGCCACCAGCAAACAACAAACATGGTGTCAGTGTCCTTGTAGGTAGGCCACTTGTGATACTCCCAATTACCATGCGCACGTGCTTTGAAAGGAGAAAGGAAAAAGCAACATGGCAAATTACATGTATTCACACGACCTTAGTTGCATCATTGTTTTAGATGTGCTTAGATCTAATAACCAACACATGATCATCAATTAATCTAAGATAGGTAACTTGTCTGCTTTCCATGATCCCCAGCAACCTCGATCGATCAAACCACCCCGCCACCGAGCGCGACGGCAACAAGCCCAGCCGCCAATACACCAAAGAGGACGCGACCCGCCGGGCGCAGCACAGCGCCAGCACCCGTCACGACGGCTGACGAGGCGGGCGGCGTCTGCTGAGTCGTATTAGACACTGTGGACGCAGACACAGTTGGTGCAGCAGAGCCCAAAAGCTTCTCTGCACCCGCGGTAATCGTAATGGGTGACAGTCGGTCCCAGATGCTGGTAAAAATGTAGGGAGTTGTCGTGACCACGCCATTCACGTCGACCGTGTTGGTGCAGTACCCGTTATCGCCCTGCAAGACGCATGCTACGTAGCTAGCACTGAGTGGTCGATGGGTTAGAATAGGTAGGTAGGTAACGTTACCACAGCGGGGTGAGAGAGAAAGGGAGAAAAAGAAAAAGAAGAGAAAAGAAGAAGAAAGCAAAGAGAGGATAACGTACACGGTTGTCGTAGGGGCGGGGCCGTCAGTCACAGTCCAATCGGCCGTATATTGTATGCTGCCCTGCATTATGGATAAGCCACCTACAACCCGGGAGCATTCATTTGTCGGCTCTGGAACTGTGGCCGTCGTTCGGCAGTCGATCGAGAATAACGTCCCTTCCGGCAGGACGGAGACGACCGACGCCTCGAATGCGGCACCCTCAATCCGGTCCAGGAGCACTGTGGCAACCGGGAGAGCCGAACTGCTAGCTTGGGCCGCTGTCATGGTGGCAAGCGCTGCCACGAGACACACACCAAGAAGGGTTTGTTTGGCCATGATTGATCCAAGGCGGGATGTGGGTTACGGAAAGGGGGTAAGATGTTGTTTCGGCTTCTCGGGCTTTCTCGCTCTCTCCTACGACGCTTGCGGCTTGCAAAATGTATTACTAAATTTTGGTGGCCACCTATTTGTAGGTTTCGTGCAGTTCTCAAATATTACGAGGCACCCGGACGGAACCTCGGTAAGGTACCGTCTCGAAAACAAGATTGTGGTCTCAGATAGGTTGTGGTCTTCAACGGCTGCGGTCGCATCTCGGCGTCGTCCTTGGCCTGCCGAAATGCCCCGAAATTCTCCAGCCGCAGCTAGCCTGCTTAGGTACGAACATACCGCGAGCCCGTACTGGTTCCAGCCATTTGCAGCATCACAACTCATCCACTCGTCAGACAGACTGTCAACGAGTTTTCAAACCGCCGCAGGAGCATTGTTCCGGTTGGAAAGGAGGAGTAGTAAACCTTATGTCAGTTTGGTGTGCGAATAGTTCCGCCCAGTTATGCTTACCCCTTTTTCTTTTATTCGGTGGTTTTCTTTTTCTTTTTAAAAACAATCCATTTGTATTTATACAACTTACACACACCCTTCCAACGCGAATAAAGACTCAGCCCTAATACCTAACCTTAAAATTACTACAGCGGCGGCACTGTACACACGAAACCACCAAAACCCCAAATAGCTCAAGCTGAGCGTAATTACGAGCGCCATGTCCGATACCGTTCTCTACGAGAATGCTTTGTATACCAAGGCGAGGCGCGGACTGCTTTGCAAGGTATGTCTGTCCTGAGAAACGACAGACAGAGTGGGAACAAATACTAACAAAGATACCACAGGCCTTCGTGGTACGGATGGTGACGAACCCGCTCATCATACACTTTGCCAAAAATGCCGGTTTCGAGCTCGTATGGGTCGAGATGGAGCACTCGACCTATTCCACCTCCGAGGCCTGCGTGCTCACGAGCGCCGCCATGATGGCTGGCATCACACCCATCGTCCGTGTGCCGTACGAGTGCGGCATGGGCTACGTGCAGCGGGTGCTCGACTCGGGAGCCATGGGTGTGGTGTTCCCGCACATCGTCACGGCCGCCGACGCCGAAGCTGCCGTCCAAATGTGCAAGTTCCCGCCCCGGGGGCGCCGCTCGCTGTGGCTACAGCAGGCCGCCGCCGGTCTACGCACTTCGATGCCGATGCAGACTATGGCCGACGACGTTAATGCGACGGCATCGGCCGTCGGTGTGATGATCGAAGCCGTCGACAGCATCCCCAACGTCGACGCCATCGCCGCCGTCGACGGCGTCGACATGCTCGTTGTCGGCTGCATGGACCTATCGGCCGACATGGGCGCGCCCGGTATGACCAACAGACCAGAATTCCGCGCCGCCCTCGAGGCCGTCAGCGCGGCATGCCGGCGCCATAACAAGATCTTTGGCTTGGCCGGCAGCTACAAGGACCTTAACTTTCTGGACTGGGTTATCAACACCCTGGGGGTACGTATGGTCTTGGGTTATGTTGATTCGAATCTCCTCTCGGCTGGCGCCGGGGAGAGTATCAAGGTGTTATCCAGCATCGATCGCACTGCGCTTTCCGTGCCTGTATCTAACTCCAATGGTGCGGCTGCGGCCGTCAACGGCGGCTGTACCATCCCTACTCTTCCCAACGGTAACGGGACTGTCGAGTACTTGAAGGGCAAACAGGACTTGGGGAGCAAACATGATTCGATTCGGGTTTCGGTCGCACCTTTGTAACTGTATCTAGGTACCTTAGGCAGGTAGGTAGGTAGGTAGGTAGGTACTCCAAGCCGGTATTATTTAGAGGACAGAAACAATGATAAGGAAAGAAATAACCTGGAACCCAAAGATCCTGCACAGAGTAACATTGGTAGCATCAGAGTTTTGTTGGCTACCCTACCTAAGTACCTAAAGCACCTACTTACCCAAAGCATCTCCCAGACATCAGAACTCTACTTGACATCAGGCTGCAATAGCTAAGCTACGACAAACCCATGCCGTCGGCTGGTCCGACCTGTAAGTACGAGACTTGTCCGTGTGGCCGATACGGCCGGGGCTCCGGGACCCGAGGACGCCGCCCCACGAAGAAGTTGGTGATCTGGGTGACGACTTCGTGCGTGCCGTCGATCTTGTCGGCGAGCTCTGTTGTTCGTTTCTTCTTCTATCGTTTCCGATCCGAATGTCTTGATACCTAGGTACCTAGACTTCTTCCGAGAAGCGGGAGCTCTGATTGTACGGCCCGCCTCTCCTGCTCCTCAGCTGAAGTGGTTGTTAGCCCTGCCCCTATTTTCAGCGCGAGCCATATTCGGCGCTTTTCGGTCAAACGATGGACCAATATTTCTACCGTATGGTTATGCAGGTTTCCTGCGGTATGACACGTGGATTTATGTTGGACATACGTGTTACACATGCATCCGAAATAGCCCGGCTTCTGGTCAGCAGGCCAGACTTCCATATCTTTGATCCAAAACACTATTCTCAACTGCTTAATTCGACGATTGCGAGCCGATTCAAAGCCCCAGAAATCCATTACTGCCTTGTTTATTGTGCTTCTCGACTGGTCCGGTTACAACAGCCTCCTTTACATGTAGTCAACCATGTCGCTGTTTGACCAAGTCCCAGCTGTGCCACCGGATGGCACTTTTGCTTTGGTGGAAGCCTACCGAGCTGACGATCACCATCTCAAAGTGAACCTCACCCCCGGCATCTACCGCGACGAGAATGCAAAACCATGGGTTCTGCCTTCGGTGAAACAAGCAAGTTGCATTTCCATCCACGTCGATACGGGTTTCCGCCCCTATCCCACTACTAATTACCCCCCCTTCAGGCGAGAGCAGCCCTCCTGGCAGACCAGTCCCTCAACCATGACATCTTGCCCCAGCTCGGCCACACCCAGTTTCTCTCGGCAGCGCGGCAGCTCGCGTTCAAAGACACGCTAGACGGTCGGTTCGTCACGTCCATACAAACCATCTCGGGCACGGGCGCCAACCACTTCATCGCAAGTCTGCTCGCGAGCCACCTCCACCCCAAGGCCGTATGGATTCCCGATCCGACCTGGGACAACCACCAAGGAATCTGGAGACATGTCGACCCCGGTATCGAGCGGCGCACCTACCCTTACTATGACGAGAACACATTTGGGATCGACGGCGATGCGCTGCTCTCCACGCTAAGAGAACAGGCAAACCCCGGGGACGCCATAATCCTGCATGCGTGCGCGCATAACCCGACGGGCGTGGATCCGTCGCCGGAGCTCTGGGAGGGGATTGCGCAAGTGTGCGAGGAAAAGGGGCTATTTCCCATCTTTGATCTCGCCTAGTTGGTCTCTCTCTCTCTCTCTCTGTTCCTCCCCTACTCTCAACGTACCTGACCTGGTGTGCCCACAGCCAGGGCTTCGCAACCGGCGACGTCGACAACGACGCCTGGGCGGTCCGACACTTCACCACCCGCTCCTCCGGCAATAACAACAACAACAACACGCCCCTCGAATTCGCCGTCGCCCAATCCTTCTCCAAAAGCTTCGGCCTCTACAGCGAGCGGGTCGGCGCCCTGCACGTCGTGGCGCGCACGCGGGACGGCGCGGCCAAGGTCGACGGCGTGCTGAAACGCATCTCGCGCGCCGAGATCACGTCGATGCCCGCGTTCGGGGCGCGCATCGTCGCCGCCGTGCTGCACGATCCCGTCCTGGAGGCGCAGTGGCGGCAAGACCTAAAGACGATGAGCGGGCGGCTGGCGAGTATGAGGAAGAGGCTGTACGAGGAGTTGGTGAGGAGGGGGACGCCGGGGAGGTGGGGACATGTGCTGACTGATGTGAGTGTTCTGCGACGTGAGGAGAGAGGAAGAGGCTACCTTGGGTACGTACGTAAGGGGCTGACAGTTTGGTCTCTCCAAAGATCGGCATGTTCTCCATGACAGGCCTGTCGCCCGAGAAAGTCGCCGCCATCAAGGATCGGTTCCACGTCTATCTACTTCCCAACGGTCGGCTTTCCTTCACCGGTTGTAAGTGTCTACGCATTCCGCTGCGGGAACGCAATTCAACAGCGCAGCTAACTGATTGGTGGGTAATTAGTGACGGAGGGAAATGTTGAGTATGTTGCGGAGTCCATCTACCAAATTGTTGTTCATCAGTAAATGGTGGAATCTTGGTTGGTCTACGGAGTCGGGGGCTGGTGCCTGGGCAAACTAGAGTCAAATTATGAAAGTTCAGTTGTCGTGAATACCTATCGACGTATACTGCTCTTGTGTAGGCACTGGCAATGAGGGCGTCGTTGCCCGGTTGGAGGTTATCCATTTCTGAGTCGTACTGACATCCCGTGCCCTAACCGGGTTAGATGCATGGATGATGTGATGGCGTTCTGCCGCGTGCCCAGCCACGGCAATCTCACGTTCCACGTAGTGGACATACTATCCGGTTTGTCTGTCAAAACGCCACCACTTTCCCGGGGATCAGGGGCCTCGGGCTGGTGCCTGTGTTGGGGGGGGGGGGCGGGAGGGTTCGGGCCTATCTCCCGGCCGACCAACTTCGGAACACTCGAGGAGAAGACCTGCATGAGCTGATTCCAGGGAGGGACGGCACGGCGCTTTTGCATGCACACAGACAAGCTCATTCCGTCTTACGCCTAGCCCTGACGGTACCGAGATGGTGTGGGAGCTGTTAATTTGGTGCCGATGACGGCTCTTGATGCTTCAAACTAAATTTTGATGGCGGTCGAGTTGCTAGAGAGTTTTGGCCATCTTTCAAGTGAATATTTACACAGTAGATGTTGGAAAGTGGGCAGCTGGGACAGTCAGAGTCTCGATTTGGTGAGGCAGGGCGGTCAAGCTCGGAATGGTACTCGGGGGAGAGTTCGTCCGTCTCCGCACCCGGAGGCCACCGCCGGCGCCATGCCGGCCCATCGGCATACATATATTGATATATTGGGCTGGTCCGCATTGCCAACTTAGCCGTGCTACTCGTATCCCGGGGCTTAAATCGGCGATGGAACCCACCACGCCTCCAAACCGCTTTGTCATCCAGGGCGTTTAACACAACATCTTTCTCTTTCTCCCCACAACACTACCTACCTATGGAAATACCCATTGGGAAACATTGGGCGTCCTCTCGGGAACCATAGGTCGGTGCGCCGAGGACTGCCCGAAAAATAATCGACAAATCTTGCGCCCTCGAGGACGGAAGCCAGGCGACGAAAGTGTAAATAAGAGCCGTGGGCTGTAGAGACCTAGGTACTTTGGTGGACAAGGGTTGCAGTGCTTGGAGTCTGGAACAGCCTGAAAAGAAGGGGGGGGGAGTTCTCCGGGAGCCAATGAAAGATATGGTACGAGAGGTGTTGTGCCACCCACCGGATTCAATCTGTCGGTCCCATTAGTCGAGCTTAAAGGTGTGAAAAAGAAGAGTTGACTTATGTATCTCCATGTCACCACACGGGCATCATGTCAGCAAACATCGGTATATGGTCAGCCATACCGAGAGTCGGACGAATTATGGCGCCAGCCACGTACTTGGCGCTATCTTTATCTTCCTAATGGAATCAGTGAACCTGGTGTTGTTCGCCATGTGCAGCGGGTGGTCGTCGTCAAAATCTCGGCCTCGAAAACGCAAAGGAGGGGAGCACAACAGACTTAACTCACGTTAAGCTCCTTTGAGATCTGGTGGCTTGCTCTTAATCTTGGTTGCCCGTCTCAGGTTTCACCTTAATCTATTCTCTTCTTCGCTGCCGGAAACCGAACCCGACAAACAACGAAATGGTGCCCGCCACCACCGTCGACGACGACACGCTCCAGTCGGTCCGGTCGTCGTGTGATCGCTGCCGGTTCTACAAGCTCAAGTGCACCGTCCCGACCCAGCCCGAGTCCGAGGGCCCGTTGCCGTGCGAACGATGCAGTCGAGCCAAGGTGCCGTGTGTTTTTGGGCGTCGAAGACGGGCGGCGAGGATAGCCGAAGCCAACCACAAGCTGCAACAACAACGGCAGCAGCAGCAGCAGCAGATATCGGCAACGCCATCGACGGCCCCAGCCATGCCGACGACCATGCTTCCCACCCCGCCGTCCCTCACCTCGCCGACTGCGACTCCGGTCACCGACACGACTTCGGCTGGTAGCACGGGTGCCTGGGGTTTGCCGCCGCAGCAGGGCTTTTACTTGGGCGACTTGTACGCCTTGAATACCACCAATGTTCCTGGCTACGGTAGCCAGCAGCAGCACCAGAGCGGCGGTGCCATATTTCCCTGGGATTGGTCTCAGCACGGGTTCGGTCTGGACGACACATGCATGCTGGAAGCCACCGACTTGATGGGTAATATTCCCCCGGAGCAAGGGGGGACGTCACAGTCGCCAACCCTGTTCGCCATGACACCGACCTCGATGCAGCAACAGCCGACGACCGACGACATAGGCCCCATGGCTGCCGTCCGCGGGGATACGAGGCCGGGCGAAGACGGCAGTAATAGCCCGGCTCCGGGTCTGTGGCCACTCCTCCTTGCCTTGACCGCAGAGATGCAGCAGACGCTCAAGATGCTTGAGGAAGGATCGTGGCGCCTCGGTGGGGGCGACGAGGGGAGTGAGAACAACTTCGACAACTATCCTGTCGGTACTGTGCTCCACCTCTTGCAGGAATTCGGAGCCGTCGCCGGCCCGGTCATCCGCGAGGCAGCCAGTGCCGGGGAAGCGGTGACGGCGTCGTCGTCGGTAAAGGAGCGCAACTTTGCATCGGGAGTTACTGCCTCGGACGGTGGCGACAATGTTGATATGAGGGAGAAGGGGCAGGCACCGCATACATCCGAGCGTGTGTCCGAGGACGTCGAGGCTGCGGGTACAGCTGGGCCTACAGAATACGGAACAGCGGTAAATACGGCAACAATCATGCTGATCCTGGGCGGGTACATGTGCTTGTCGCACATCTGCAACACCGTTCTGGGGCATTTTCACACATACCTCAGTCGCATACCGTCAGGTGCAAGCTACCCCGACGTCCCGGGTCAAGTTGGTGGCAGCGGTGGTGGCGGCGGTGGTGCAACCAGGAGCGCAAGCACAACGAGCCCAACCCTAAAGCTGGGCGAGCTCCCTTGCTTCAGCGCGGCCCCTGACCTCGGCAAGATCCACAACGCGCTGAACATGGTCCTCGCCGCCATGGGGGGCGTTGAGGAGCAGTTAGGCGCGGGAGGCGTAGTGGCCCGCAATCTCGTTGTGTCGGCTCTCGTCTCGCACGAGACCGTCGATGGAACCTACGGCGAACTCGAGGATCGGTACCGTAAGTTGGACGAAAGGGTGCAATCAGTTAAACTACTCCTACGGGAGAAAATAGGCCTCTGATGGTTTTAACAAAACATCTTTTAGCCTGGACTTGGTCGGCTGCGTGGGACAAGATTCGGTTCTCGCTATACATGTACAGTTCCGATATTACATGGTACCTATCGTGCGACGGTGGAAGGAACCACCCGCAATTTCGCAATGATCATCGTGGTCTTTTGGTAATACGTACGTGACCTTGCCTCGGGAGCTTGTGGATCCGGTGAATCCGAGGCCTTGAATACCCAAGTACCGACCTACCTCCATCGCCCGTCTACATATGTGTGTCAAGCCGCAAGCGTGGCCCAGTTTTGTTTACGCCCAGATCTAGCTACAGGTACCCATACCGACCTTTGTGGAAAGGGCCTAGATTCTAATTCTTTTCACCTTCCTTTTTAGTCTTTCCTTTTGCCTCTTTTGACGGTTCTGTCGTGATTACATGCCGCAGGCCCCGATGAAAAGAAGGCGATTTGATATTGTTCAGCACTTGTCTCGGATAGCCAGTTATACACAGGAGTGCCCTCTCCTCACAAGGCGTCCGTTACCACTTCCTAGCTGAAACCATTTCATGAGACGGTTGAAAAAAGCATCTAGTGGCGCGGCCACCAAGGCGCTAGTCTGTGGAAACCCATCGAGGGGGTGTCGAGGGCCGCGTAAGCCAGCCCCCTTCCCGTCGACGGGTATCGGCACAGCCGCCTTGGCCTTACCGCATCGCGGACCAGAGTGGGAGGGGATCCTTTCAGCCACACACACCGTCTGCCGTCTTGCGTTTCATTGCATGAGAACGAGGGCCTGCGCTACGCTATCGCCGCTGGAATTCGGGACATTTCGGTCCTTGTCATAACACTACCATGCCGTCCAAGTGTAAGGTACCAAACTGGCTTGCATCCCCACGGAAGTCTGCTAGAGTGGGACTTTCGCTTACATGGGAGGTTGTGCTTATCGACCACCTGCACGTTAACAATATCCACCTTACCATGAAACCGAAAGGCACGGAGCCATGATGTGGGATACCGAGACCGGTATGAACCATTGGTCCATCCCGCAGTCCCGGGTGAAATTAATATACAAGTATATATAATACAATAACGTTTGGTCGCGGTGGGCGAACACCCCCACGAGGTGGCGTGTGCCTCCACACACGTGGCACAGCCACTGACACTTGAAGAAAGACCTTCTGCTGCCTCAAGAATACATGGGCCTATCCATTAAGTCTAGAGATACCTAAGTCGTGTACGCAGCAAAGCTCATGGGGCTAGTTGTGATATTGGAGATACTTGTCGACAAACGTGGAAGCATAAACCGCCCCAAGAGGTGTACAATTCTCTACCGACAACCAAGCCGCTTTCCAAACGATGCGGGACCTCAAGGGTCCATCGGGACAATATACCCTAAGGTAGGTAGTCGAGGCTACCTGAGAATTCTTTGTGCGAGCAGGGCACGAATAAAGTCTAGAACCGTATTCTCCCGTTCTATTTATTTACGTTTGGAACATGGACAGGACATCTCTGCATAGGTACCTAGCGTAGCGTTGATGACTATTGAACTGGGGCGTCGATCTCTTTGTGACCAGAGGGCCATGGGGCTTGGAATTTCGTTTTTCGGTTTCTTCACTGGGTTCGTGCGCCGGGCGCGTCCTTGTATTTAGGTAGTCAGAGGCTCGGGACCTCTCAGAGGTTACGGGGGAGGCAATTCATTCCTTTTCCCGCACTTGTTGAAAGTGACTCCTTTTTTCGGCAGCTGTGAACGCGGCCTTCTGACCAGAAGGCCACACACGGAGGTGTATTGATTCCACAATCGTAGGGTCCGTGGCGTTGAAGTTTGTTCCTTGAGCCATTTCCTCCCTCATGCTGCATTGACATCACAACGCACGCAGCACGTTACCAGTGGTTGGTGGTGTGTGTGGCTTTGAGGTGTGTGTCACCACTTCACTGTATGTACATGGTGACCGTATACCATCAGGGTAAAAACACCGAAAGGAATTGAACTGCAACAACGATAACAGGCCAACGAGTGTACCTGGAGCAACTAGATATGATGAGTTTGCTCCCTAGCCAACATAAGGTTGAAGCTACCTACCTACGAGTTGATGGGAGAGCGCTAGAAATCGCATTAGCCCCATTGGAGACCCATTGCCTCGTTCAAGCTTTGGTCACCGAGATGAAGGAACTAGCTCCGAGTTGGAAAAGGGGCTGGGATAATACATGCCAAAAACCCTATTCAGGTTGAGATAGTCTGTAGCAACTAAGTAGCGGAGAAAAGAAAGTCAAGGCCGGGTGTTTTGGCGGCCGGACCGGATACAGGGCATCCATGGCAGTTGGTTGTTGGTTGGGAATTCAGAACCCAAACTGCTTCTGGTTGGGCCACGATGGCACGAATCAGGAAATCACGGGGAAATCAGCTCGTGGAGAAGTATCTCACCACTATTAACAACCAACCTGTCGTGAATTTATCGCGTCTCTCCCTATTCTCTGCCCTTTTCGCTGCGACTTACACCCAAGTACCCAGCCATGGACACGACCACCCCCACGAGGTACGCGCCCGACACGACGCTCCGCATCCGCGAGCACCTCCCACCAGAACCGTTTCGAGCAAACAGCGACTACAAACCAAGCCCGCGTCCAGACGCCGATTGGAGCTGCTGGGATCCCGATGCTTATGAGATCACCAACCTCACCGAGTTTGCGCTGGCCAACCCGCCCGTCGAGACCGAGTCGCCAGGCAAAACGGAGCGCACACTCACCATCACGGGCACAAAGACGCGCCGACAATCCAGAGGCTGTGCCCCTGAACGGGGTGGCGCCCACGTCGTGACCTGCTTCCTCGACGGCGACTCCTCGGTCGAGTACATCGCCAAGATCTACGACGGCGTCGACTACCCCACCGACATGGAAACCTGGGACTGCATGAGCCGGGCGGACGAGGACTACGCCGTGGAGGCCTGGGCGTACCGAGGCATGCAATCCGTCATCGGCGGAACGGTGGTGCCGGCCTACTTTGGGTCTTGGACTTTCCCGCTCGACACCAACCACAACAACCGACAGCGATGGGTCCGCATGATCCTACTCGAGCTCATCCAGGGCGAGTGCCTCGCGGACATTATGAAGCGGGCCGAAACCGGGGCCGCGCCACCAGCCGCCCCGGTGGACTATTCGCTGCTGCCCCCCGACGACTTCCGCCTGCGCGTCCTGCGCAGCGTCATCGACAGCAAGCTGGCCGTCTGGTGGGAGGGCCTGCTGGACCACAACGACCTCGAGCCGCGGAACATCATGGTCAGGCCCGACGGCAGCGTGGCCATCATCGACTTCAACCACGTCACCCTGTACGAGTTCACCATCTACGGGCGCGAGCACCCGAGGCAACTTCTCGACCCGGCCGCGCTGCCGGAATCACCCATCCAGAAATACTGGCCAGTCCCGTTTGGTTCCGTGGCCCGCGGATACGAAAAGTCCCGCGTTTGGGGCCGTTGGGTCCCTGAGAGTTGGCTCGGGGATCTGGACCTGGCGACCGAGTGGTTGGTCGAGACGTGGCGGGGGTCGGCCAAGTACGCTCCCCTCGAGCAGGGGTGGCTGGATTGGACTTTTCACGATAGGAATAGTGTACGGAGTAAAGGCTGTCGCTTTGCTGGAAAGCCTCGGGCGCAAGCCGGCTGATCAACTTCAGTCTTCGACTTTAGATACCTAATGAGGCTGGTGTGTATGTACCTGATCTACGCGGGTTGAATGCACTGGGTACTACCTATGACGGAGAACATAGGGCACGATCTAAAGCGAGACATTCCATAACCATTCAACAGTTGTGCAGTGTGACAATCAGCTTTTTGATACATGCTAGTTGCACAAGTGGTAAACCCGAGACAACTCGGTATTATGTATTACTTCAGCATAAGGTTCCTCCTAATTCCTAGTCGGGCGTGCAAGACTCCAACTTAAAGGTGGAGCTCAGCGGTGACCTCGCCGACCTGTCCGCAGATCATCGACTCGTTGCCACCGGCGCGGCAGTGGGTCGGGACCTCGGTGTTGCCCCAGAAGCCGAAACTAAACGCGCACAAAGTCAGTCAGTTGTACTCGGGTGCTCAGAGGAATGGTATTAGCTTACGCAGGAGCGGTCTGGTGAATGACCATGATGGTGTAGACGTTCTGCTCCGAGATCTCGGCAACCTCGAAACGGTACTGGTCGACGGTCTCCTTGACACCGTCGCAGTTGTAGCTCTCGGGCTTGAACTTGATCGAGTCCTCGCCCTCGGCAGCCTTGGCCGTGCAGACGACGGCGATGGTGCCCTCCGCGCGGCTGGCGACGATGTTGAAGGTGACGGAGTCCACGGGGCCGTCGAGGGTGCCGTCGACGAGGTGGGACTTGCGGGCGTAGAAGTCCTGGATGCTGACCGTCTCCTTGATCTCGGGCTCCTCGACCTGGGGGGCCGGGGCGGCGAGGACGGAGCCGAACAGAGCGGCGGTGGCGGCGAAGGCGAAACGCATCTTGATGGTTGTTTTTGGGGAGTGCGGGTAAAGAGGTAGCGAGTGGGTGAGTTTGTCTGTGAGAGATGAGGAGTGCTGAGGAACTTGGGAAAGGAAAGCGACCTTCAACGGACTGTGACGAGAAACTTTATACGTTCCTTGAGAGATCGGTTACATGGTGATGGGCAGCGAAAGCAGCATGAACCAGGTAATTGCATCGATTGGTGCGTTTATGCTCTGATGTCAACAATGGGGCCACAAGGGACGAACAGCGGGCCCCGTTCTCGGCTGAGCTTCCACTCTCGGTGGAGTTGGCCGCGATACGAGAATTCCAAGCACCCAACAGGGAAGTCCGTTCGCGACCGACCTTGTTGGGCTGACGTCGGACTGACATACTTGCTAGGACTAGGGTCCACATGGCAGACCGTAAAGCGGTCGGGATAGAGTATCCGCGTTGCATCGACTAGACACAGGAGGCGACACTGGACCTGTCACCGCTTGGTCGTGAGCACTTGCTGGAGCACTGAAGGTATGTATGTACCTCGGAGCGGTAGGAGAGCCAAGACTTTCTGCATTCAAGCGAGTATCCCGCAGGGTGCAGGACGTGAGGACGGCCTCCCGCCACTGCCTGCTCTCCCTCCTTGCGACGCATCAATCTTTGAACCCGCCGGCCGGTCCACGGTGGCAACGCCCGCCGAGAAACAAGGCAGGGCTGTTCACGGGAGCGCGGCTCTGCGATGGCGGATCTTTCCGATGCCGTGGTCGCGGTTCGTGGTCGCGGTTCGGGTTCAAAAGGGGGATCGGCGGGGGGCGATCACCAAATGCCGGACTGTTTTTAAGGGGACCCCTGCACTGCCCTGACATGAACGCAACGGCCAACGGCCTCGGAAAAACAAATCGGTGAGATTCCACATGACTCGTTCAAACCAGGACAGGTGGCAAGCCATGGTGATCTGCGCGGGAAGAACCGTTGTTGTTTCCTCGGACATGCCGACATGTGCAGTTAATCCGCCGGTAGTCCCCTGCTTGAGCCCATGCTGGTTGGGGCGGGTATGAATGTTCGTATCAAGCTCAACATTTGTTGCGCGAAGAGCCGAAGACCCGTGACATCAATGGTGGGATTTGTGCATCGGGGGGTTCAAGCACAGGAGGCTTCATCCGTCACTTTCTTCGTGTTAGGTACAACTGATCAAACCTCAGGCTAGGTAGTCGATTTCTGGCATGGTTCGAATGAAGGCGAAAAATAAATTCTAGGTTCATTAATGCAAAAGAACAACAGTATACGTATATTATTTGAGCATCAACTTGGAACAGTGCAAACCGCCACGATCTAACCTCTGAATCCGCCCTATCCCAATATTCACAAACCCAGGACGAATAGCTCAGGGGTAGAGCAACCGGCTGCAGTCCGGTAGGTCACGCGTTCAAATCGCGTTTCGTCCTCTTCTTTTTTCCCTCTCCCTCCTCCCTCTCGTTTCCCCCCCTATTCGCACCCTATTCGCCCTCAGAAAAGTCATCACACCAACCTCCCCCCAAACCCCCCCACCACCTCCCCAAACCTCTCCAACGCCCTCACATACCCCCCCCACCCCTCCCCAAGCCCCTCCGCCGCCGCCGGCCTCCAAAACGACCCCTGCCCCTCCCCAAACACGACCTCCTCCAGCCGCCGCACCTCCACGTACCCCCACAGCACGCCCTCCCACGCCGCGCAGAACTCGACCTGCGCCGCGCGGCCCGCCAGCCGGAACTCGCCGCCGTTGGCGTCGGCCCGCTGCGCCGTGCGCCAGAACCCGTCCAGCCGCTCCGCCGTGCGCGTGACCGTGCGGCCGATGGCGTCGAAGAAGCCGCAGAGGGAAGTCAGGTCGGGCGTGCGTTGTTGGGCGTGGGCGGTGTGGGTTTCGTGCGTGGTGAGCAGGGTGAAGGTGGTTTGTAGGGCTTGTTGGAGCGCGGTGGTGTAGAGGAGGAGTTGGAGGATCTTTTGGGGGTGGGTTGTTAAGGGGGGGAATTGGGGTTGGAGATGGGGCGGTGGGAGGGGGGGTTGGGTCGGGCGTTGTTGGGGAGGCGGTGGTTGCGTGGTGGGTTGGGGAAAGGGTTCCGCTGGGCGGGTCGGGGGCGATGGTGTGCATTCTTGGTAAGGGGGGAGCGAAGTTTCCCGGTACGGGGGCAGTGAGTTTTCTCGATACGAGGGAGGTGAACTTTCCCGAGATTGGAGAACTGAGTTTCCCTGGTATTGAGGCGGTAAGTTCTCATCGTGCCATGGGCGCCTCTGCTTCGGCTCCTGCTGCCGCGCAAGTCTCCTGGCCTTCTCTGTCTCGCAGTAAAGGTGATAAAGTGACTCGCGCTGTTCCTCGACTCGGTACCTCTGGATCTGCTCCCAGCTGTCGACACCCTCCTTAAGGATATGGCCATGACCTTGAACCCATTCGTTATACATCGGGTGAGATTGTTGGCTCTGCTGCTGCTGCTGCTCCCATGCCTGCACTGTTTGGTCTCTTGGGCCAAACCCGGCTGACTGCCGTCGCCGTGGGCGATCATTCTCTTCTGAAAAGTAGGGTTGCGTTGTTGGCTCTTGTTGCAGTGGGGGCGCGTCCACCAAAACGTCGTCCGAGTCTGACGTATCAAGGTCGGCTTCACCTCCACTTTGGTCTTGCCACATCTGCGGCGGTTCGTAATGGTTCTGTTGTCGTTGGTTTGGGTGATTCCGGCGGGGCTGACCTCGGTCCTGTTGCTGGTGTTCTTGCCGGTGGTTAGAGCGCCGGGGTTTCTGTTCTCTCTCCCACGGCTGGGTCACTTTGCTTTGTTCAGGGTCGCCTTGTCCATCCTGGTCCGCCCAGCGTACTTCCTTGCCTCCTCTTCCCTGTTGTTGGCCATTCCGCTGAGGCCCCTTCCCCCTGTGGCCTTGTCCTCCAGGTTTCTGGTAGCCCCCGTCATAATCTTGACGATTTTGGTAATTTTGCTCGTTTTGGTGATTCTGGTGGCTTTGGTAATTTCCGTCTGGCTGGTGGCGGTTCCTAGATTTGTGTTTACCATTTCCGTGTTTGTTCCGAGATTGGTTCCGTGTGTTGCTCTGGCGATCGTCGCGCCGTCCGCCGTCGTGGTTGTGCCTGTTGTAGTTCTCTTGGTGGCTCTGCTTCTGGTTCGGGCGGTCATCGCGCCCGTTCCCATAGCTATTATTTTTATATTGTCCCCCCTGCGTGTTGTGATAGTTCTTACGCCGAGGGTCCTGTTCTCTTGGTGGCCTAGAAGGGTATGACATTATTGCAACTCTAGTTGTGCTAGAAGTTCTTTTCGGTGAGGTAATTTTGGGGGTTCAAACGATATGACGGCCTCGAGACCAGTAGGGCGCTGAACTAGGCATTGTGGGATTATATTGCCATGTCCCGAAGAAAGGACTGCAACCAACAAAGCCCTTGTTCTCCTGAGCACGAGCTTACCACACTTGACGAGGTAATCTTGAACAGCCCCAATTTAGCTTTTTTGGTTGCACTTCGACACTCAGAATACCGCGACTCAACCAGGGTTCAAGCATAGAGAGCTACTGTCCATTCAAGAACCCATAGTTCTCGTGAGCCGTATTTCTAGTAAACGAAGGCGAAGGTATCTCAGCGAAGCAGCCGAGGGCGTTGATCCGGTTTACAAATCTAGATTCCTACCAGTGGTTCCGGACAAAGGATCGAGTACAATGCTTTTGTGCGGGTTGGTCCTCACCCCTCGCTACCCCTTTATGATACCCTTTGTCGCCAGACGACCTACTCATCTGGGTCTCCTGGTTGTAGCGACCGAAATACCTTGAAAGGGAAAACGGGTATTTGCGCTTCCGAGCATATCCGCCATGCCGGCATGGGCTTTACCGGACTGAGATGAAAGTGCTTACACTCGCCCAAGTCAATACTATTACTGTGGTTAGAAACCCAGGGGTTTGACGCCAGATTGATAATTGCATGCCTCAGCTAAACAATTAGGATGGCCTGATGGCGTTCGAGAAACACCTTGACGGCCTCAACAAAGTCACCCAGGTCCTCGTGTGGCGTTCCCAATATCATGGCAATAAACCCCCGTTTCGTCACCCAGAATCCTGCTTCCAGCATCTCAAACCAAAACAAATCCCTTAAATCCGGCCTCGCTTTCTCCTTCACGTCCTCTCCACATGTAATCTCCTGCATACCATCCTCCGTAAAGTGCAACCCAATCAACGAGCCCTTCCCAGTAACACTCAACCTCGACCCGTTCGCCACCTCCCTCAACCTGTCCCTGAACCGATCCCCCTTCTTATTAAACTCCACACACACCTCCGGCGTATACACCTCCCCCAGCGCCGTCTTCCCAACGGCCATCACCAGCGTGTTGTTATTAAACGTGCCCGAGTGTGGTAAACTGCCCGCCACGCGCGGGTCATAGACACGCATGACCTCCTCCCTCCCACCAAACGCGCCAAACGCCAACCCCCCACCCAGATACTTCCCCAGCGTCACCAAATCCGGCTCCAGCCCCATCTCCACCCCCAACCCCCTCGGCGCCAACCGCGACGTCATGACCTCGTCCAGAATAAACACCGCCCCCTTCTCCCGCGCCGCCTCCCTCACCCCCACCAAAAACTCCCTCCCCCCGACAATACACCCCCCCGCCCCCTGCACCGGCTCCACCAACACCGCCGCCAGATCCTCCACCCCCGCAATCACCCGCCGCGCCATCTCCAGGTCATTATACCGCGGCACCACCACAAACTCCTCCCTATCCACCGTATTCGGTGCCGCCACCCCGTCCCCAAACGAGAGCACCGCGCCGTGGTAAGCCCCCGAGAACACCACGACCCGCCGCCGGCCCGTGTGGTGGCGCGCGGCGGCCAGCGCGTGCAGGTTGGCTTCGGTGCCCGAGTTGGCCATGCGCACGCGGTCGAGACGGAAGCGGGCGCAGAGCAGTTCGGCGTAGGCGTGTTCGTGGGTGGTGGTGGCGCCGAGGGAGAGGCCTGTTTCGGTGAGGGTGTGGTGGATGGTGCGGTAGATGGCGGGGTGGGAGTGGCCGAGTAGGCCGGCGGAGAGCTCGCCGACGAAGTCGACGTATCTGGGTGTGGGAGTGGTTGGATGGGTTGATGGGAAAGGGGGGTGAGGGAAGGTGGGGGGGGCGCTTACTTGTGGTTGTCGAGGTCCCAGACGTACGAGTCTTTGCCTTGCTTCATGGCGAGGGGGAAGGGGGAGGTGTGTAGGATGCTGCGGGTGTTACCGCCTGGGAGTGCGCCGGCGGCGAGCTCATGCTGGGCTTTGGAGAGTGGGTTGTTGGCGATGAAGCGTGCTTTGGCGGCGCCGAGGGCTGCTTGGGCGGCTTGGTGGTTGGGAGAGGAGACTGTGTTCGATGTCATGGTGGGTGGTGGATGATGAAGTACTCGGGGGATGATGAATTCTGTTACGAATAAAGTGTGTAAGATGGGTAACGTAGTTTCTGAGGACCATAAAGAGAAAAGAGAAGGAGTGAAGTTGGACCGGCAGGTTACCCGGTTACCCCTCATACCTTCTTCCCATGGTAATACTCGGTCGGGCCGGCTTCCTCGAAGACCCACTTGCCGAGCCAGATCGCCGTTGGTGACCCCTGGGACACACTGGTTGGCGTCGGAACCGGGGTCGGAACCAACGGGTGGTACATACAAGAATGCAGCTAGATGTCATTATGGCGGATGTGGCGTGAGCCTCGTAACACAGGGTAAAGGCTGGGGGGTTGGGATGTCGAAACAGCTTGCCGCCCGCTCGTTTAAGGAAAGACGGCAACATGTCCGGATATTGGTGTTTGCGGCTTCTGACATCAGTAAAAGGTAGAGTTTATAGACTCTCTCTAACTCAGCATTGATTGTCTCGGCGCTGCAAGACGTATCCATTCGTGCAGGGTCACTTGTTAGCCTGTGCGAGCTCGAATATGGCTTGGACCGTCTGTGACGCTGTCGTTGTAGAACGTGACATCGTCTTCGCTCGAGGCGTATAAGACTCCAGTCCTGTTTGTGCTGCAGAGTATCGTAAACGCTAAGTCTCACGTCGTAAATGGTGCAGCTGATGAGCCACATGGTTAAACCGGAGAAACGAGCCCGGCGGCTGAGAGAACCCAAGTCAAGTGAATTATGTCGGTTATATATACATCTTGGCGTTTGGCAACCCTCACACTGCCCCGGGCACCCTCTTCCCAAGTGACCCTTCCTTTCAATTCCCCCCCTCCTTCGCCTCCCCCTCCAACTCCTCATCGATATCATCCACAATCACCGACCCCCCGTCATACAGATCCGTCCCCCTACTACTACTCCCACCATAGCCCGAGGACATGGTGCTCCGGCTGCTGACACTACTCGACCGTCGCAACAGGTGGTGGCGTGAGTGAGGTAGCGACTCGCGCCGGCCGGTGCTGGTGCGCACGATGACGGGGATGCTGACATAGGTTGGTGTCGAGGCGGCCGTGCTGGCGGTGTCGACCTCGAGTTTGAGATTGCTGCCTCTGCGGTGGCTTAGGGCGCGGCGGACCATTTTGATTTGAGGTTTGGGTTTGTTTGTCTTCCTTTTGTTATTTGCTTTTTGTTATTCTTAGCAGAGACTTGGAGCTAGTGGCAGTGAGTGGTGGTTGAGTTTGTGGTTGAGTTTAAGGAAGCCAGTTCCGTTATCGAGTGCCGAGGCTAGCTGCGTAAGGAGTTGACGGAACTGTGTGATATAATAATGAGCGTTTGCCCGTATGGGCTGGACAAAGGAACGTGGTTGTTTGGGGAAATGGCAGGCATCGAATGCTGCGCCGCGTGAGATTGAAGTACTGGCCGGAACTTGACCATCGCTTCCTGAAGTGGCGTTCCCCGGATTTTTGTCCTTCAATGGCCGGGATTACTGGCCTCGAGGATAGATTGTCCGCTGGACAAAGCGGTTTGATCTCCTGAATGGCCTTGACCTGGCCGTTTTGCCTCGGTTTGACAAATCCGGATGAGCGGAGAACACAATGCCTGCACCAGCCATTGCAGAGAGGCAGTTCCAGTGGTGCGATTTCTCTGTGCTTCCATGGGTGGCCCGGCCATGGTGATGCGACCGGCCCGATGTCAGACGGTCCCGAGTCAAGCGCCGACAATTGCACCAGTCGTTAAGGGTTTGGGGACTGTATGCATTGACCCTTTGCCAGTATTGATAATCAATAATGAGTCTTGCTTTTGTCAGTTAATTTGATACCCAAATTTCCTGCAAGGGTTAACAAAAATAAAGCGATTGCTGGGTTGTGTCACGTATTGATGTGTGGTGTTGGAGAGACCGTCTTGGACGGCCGCGACCACCCCCTTGACCTCATCCCAAACACTACATCCTCAGCCAAGAAGAAGATGAAGCGGTTGATGAGATTGCATGTACACTCGTACCTTCAAAAACAAAATGTCGGGTACTTGGCCGCGCATCGCCGCTACCATTCGGGCCAGCAACTAACAAACACATGCCGTCCATGTCTAATAGCCCACATATTGAGCCCCCTGAGATGATCAACAGGATGAGCACCTAATGTCCACAATCCCCTCAACTCGGACAACGGGAATCCAAATTCCCAACAACTCATGCCTGCAAAGTAGAGCCCATTTCGGCCCGATGATCAAGCCTTCACAGCCACCTCGACCACACGGCGGGCCGGAGGGTCGGACCCCGGGATCCTCCTCGACAAGAAACCCTTGATCTGCCTTGTTGTCAGCGGGAGCAGCCCCGGATCACCCATTAACATGCTCCCCACGCAAACGAACGTCCGCCGATGCCGTGCTTCCGTGTTGCGGCTCTCTAAGTGACCGACGCCTAGCACGAACGGTACCAATCAGCGAGGGTTACCAAGCGTTGACGAGAGCATCACAGGCTCGCTTGTCTATTACCAAAAGCTGCGATATCGATCATGACACTGTTGTACATCGTTTATCACTACACATTGCTTGCCGTACACGGCCCATGCATCTCCCCCCCATCCTATCACCCTACTCCTGCAGCGCATTCCTCCTTTCCACAATATGGATATTAATCGTCTTCATCCAATGGCGAATGCGCGGCAGCACGGCGAACTCGTACTCGGGCAGGCTGGCGAGCTCGCGGAGGAAGGGGCCCCAGCGGCCCTCGCCGACCGAGGCCAGGAACTGCTCGATGCGCAGCACGACCTGGCGGGTGCCCTCGTCGCAGTACAGCCCCACGACGCGCATCTCCTCGAGCAGGTTGAAGACGGCGGTCGGGTCGCCGTACCGGTTCCACAGCAGGCGCGCCAGCTCGTTGTAGAAGGGCGTGCTCACCCCCAGCACGTAGCTGGCCGGGCCGAGCTCCTTGACGCGCGGCAGGATGTGCAGCGCCAGCGGCGAGGAGCGCGCAAACTGCGTGTCGAAGAGCACGAGCGCGTTGAGGAGGTAGGCGGGGTACAGCGGGCCGTAGATGTGCAGGGCCATCTCGCTCTTGTCGCGCTTGCGCTTGCCGCCGCGTTTCGAAGACGACTCCGTCTTGGACGCGTCTTCGTCGAGGCCGAGCTTTTGTACCAGCGGGAACACCTCCTCCTCGAGCACGTCCCAGAGCTCGAAGTCGCTCTTGGCGGCGCGCATCTTGGCGTCGACCCGGTTGCGCTCCTCGCGACGCAGGGCTTCGTTCTGGACCGACTTGGAGAGTGGGTCGAGGACGAGGTCGATCTGAGCAGCCGCGCGCTGCTCTTCAGTCATACTGCTTTCTTCCGCGACGGCACTGGCGTTGCCAATCCTCTCCGCAGCCTTCCCTTCCTCGACGGTGCCCAGTGCCATGCGGGCCGCCTGGCGCAGGCTTGGAGGAAAGCGGAGGAATGCTTTTTCCCACTCTGTCGCTGATGACACTTGCTCGAGAGGGTGGAGCGCGTCGAAGGGTGTTTTCGTTTGTCGCCTGGAATTGGTCTGTACTTCGGCCGCATCCTGCACAATGATGTTGATGGTGTTGCGGATCGACTCGGGGTTGGGCTCTTCGGTTCTGACTTCAAAGTTGTTAATTTTGAAGCCGGGGAGACCGGGCAAAGAAGGCGCAGATTTCGGCTCCTGTGCCGCGGTGGCTACATCGCCCTCCCCAGAGGAGGGAGCGGTTGATTCGGTAGGAGGAGCCCCCGGCTTTTGACGGGCCGCGATCTCCTCGAAGATGCGGCTGAAGGTTTCCCGCTCCGACGGGGTAATGGTCGATTTTGTGCCGGACTCGGCATCGCGTTCGGCGTCCGTCCTCGTATCGTGGGGCTCATAACCCTCCGGCAGCTCGAATGGAATATCATCAGCCCCTCTTTCTGCGGGCTTGATCGGCTTGGGCCGATCCCGATCCCTCGGATGGTTGGCGCGGGCTGTCGAATGTAGCAGAGCTCGGAATCCTGGAGTCGAAAGACCAGCTCTTGACATCCGTTGGAGTGTCCGTGTTTGGTACAAGAACGGTAGAAGTGTGGTTGACATGTTGGGCCAGGTTTTGGTTGTTTCGAATCCGCTCGGACGACGGCCAATATTTTCGGTGGTGGTTTTGGTGTTGCAATTTTCTGATGGCCCGCAACCGCCTTCTAAAAATTTCTCGAGCCTGCTTCCGGGTTGCTGGGCTCTGGTCCGATTCGCGTCCCCACCGCCGTGGAATTCTCCAATTAAAAATTACCAAGAGCCCCGTTTGCCCCGTGATTTCGCGCTCTGGATTGCGCCCTCGTTTAATTGATTTTCTGCATTTCGCGACTTCGCGTTTCCCGTCGCAAAACGGTTCATCCTTTCCAATATTGCCACAAAACGGTCTCAAGGTTATTGCCATAGGATTCCGTGGCTTCTCCTGCTTTCAATTGTAGAATTCTGTTTAATTTCTCCTTCGTCATCATGCCTCCGAAGAAAGAACCCATCATCAGCGCGTTCGAGCGCAAGCGCCTCGAGAACATCGCGAACAATAACGCGATTCTAAGCGGGATCAGCACAACTGCTGAGAAAATCATTCCAAAACCCGCCCCGCCAAAGCCGAAGCGCGCGAGCACACCGCGTGCCAAACGAGAACCCGTCAAGCGCGAGACTGTTCGTCCGACGCGACAGAGCAGCAGACTCGCGGGGCTCGATGCGGACGCGGGCACGCTCAAGCGCAAGGCCGAGGTGGAGGCCGAGGTTGAGGCTGAAAAGGCAAAAGCGAAAAAGATGCGCGTTAGCGGGGACCTTAACCTTGGCGATATCCAGGTGGAGGGGCGCAAATGGGAGAACGGCCTCGACGGGCTGGCGGGGCTGAAAGGCCTTACGGCCAGGGGCGCGCAACCGGGCATAAGAACGTTTACGGATGAGGACGTAAAAGGGACGACAGATAAGGGGCTCAAGGACCTAAGGCTACGCATGAGCGGCCTGAAGCTTTACGAGAAGTGGCCTGTCCAAGGTGCGTGTCCCAGGCCGGGTGTATCCTCGGTCGCTAACTTGATCAGACATCAAAATCGTACCACAACGAGTTTACTCCTTGGGTTTTCATCCAACGGAATCCAAGCCGATAATATTTGCCGGTGACAAGGAGGGCGCCATGGGGGTGTTCGATGCGTCACAGGAACCCGTCAAGGCTGAAGATGACGACGACGACGAAGCCGACATCCCCGACCCTGTAATATCCGCGTTCAAGACGCACTCACGCACGATCACCTCATTTCACTTCTCCCCGGTCGACGCCAACGCCGTCTACTCAGCCTCTTACGACTCGTCCATCCGTAAACTGGATCTCGATAAGGGCGTCTCAACCGAAGTCTTCGCCCCGGCAGACGCAGACGAAGATCTCCCGATCAGTGCAATCGATATGCCAACCTCTGATTCCAACATGATTATCTTCTCCACGCTGCAGGGCTCCCTCGGTCGGCACGACCTCCGCACAAAGTCCTCGACTGCAGAAATATGGGGACTTACAGACCAAAAGATCGGCGGCTTCTCCCTGCACCCTTCACAACCACACCTTGTAGCGACGGCCTCTCTGGACCGCACGCTCAAGATCTGGGACCTGCGCAAGATCCAAGGCAAAGGCGACGCGCGCGCGCCGGCGCTCCTGGGCACGCACGACTCGCGACTGTCGGTCTCACACGCGAGCTGGAGCAGCGCCGGCCACATCGCGACGTCGAGCTACGACGACCGCATCAAGATCTACGCCTTCCCCGACGCGGGCAAGTGGAGCGCCGGCGCGGAGCTGACCGAGGCGCAGATGAAGCCCGCGCGCCAGATCCCGCACAACAACCAGACCGGGCGCTGGGTCACCATCCTCAAGCCGCAGTGGCAGCGCAGCCCGCGGGACGGGCTGCAGAAGTTTGTGATTGGGAATATGAACCGGTTCGTCGACGTGTTTGCGGAGGATGGCGAGCAGCTCGCGCAGCTGGACGGGGACGGCATCACGGCGGTGCCGGCGGTGGCGCACTTTCACCCGACCATGGACTGGGTTGCTGGGGGGAATGGGAGTGGCAAGTTGTGTTTGTGGATGTGAAGGGAGATCAGATGGGTGAGGCCATGGATGTTATCTTGGGTATGGATTGGATGCGGCAAGGTGACTTCAACTTGACTTTGGTGTTAACTACCGCGACGGCGTTCGAACGTTGGCGGCAGCGTCTGGGTCTTCTGTAACCGCATTTTGTTGGCCGTGTTCGTGCCACACTCGGTACTTCGTACCCAAGTTCCACGAGATCAAATTCTTTTCAGAATATTCTGTGATAACCCCTATAAGCAAGTTGTTCCAGCAAAAGCTGCGAATCGATTTTAATTCGGCTCTCCCATTCTTCACGGCGTGGAGGCTTGGGTCTGTCACCAGTCATAGAATCATCCCGGAATTCCCCGCAAGGCACATGTGATGCTGGAGCGGCCTTTTCTGTCAGCGGCGACTGACTGCCGTGCCTGCGTCATGGGACCCTCGGGCTTATCGATAACGCAGATGTTCTGGCTGCAGATGCGAACCAGCCGTGCCAGCCAGCCAGTGTCGCCTCTTTTGGATGGAATTTGAAGCATTGTCGAATTGGAACAACCTATGGAACAACAGCCATGGAGAGCACGGGAAGTGCCAACCACAAAAACTCGCCCGAAGCCACACCGCACCTTCGCTCACCATTCCACGACTGGCAACCGGAGAGCGGCACTTGACAGGATCCCGGCCGCGGATCTGGGGCGTCACAAGGAACCTTGTTGGCTCACAAGCCTCAGCCGGTCATGGAATCCTTGTAAAGGCAACACTTGGCAACCGTCCGGGCTCTGGACCCCGACGCCTGCGTTGCACTGCTGCGGCTCGGACCAACACTGCGCAACACCCCCGACTTCCCGATGACAACAGACGGTCACGGATTTTGATGCAGTGTTCATGTGCATTTTCACGCGGGTTGACAATAATGATTACAACCGGGTGCCCTTTCATCATCATCCTGCACTCCGGCCCTCCCTAATCTCCACCGAACCTTCTTGGCCTACGTGCCGTTCGCTGCCTATTATCGACGTACCTACCGAGTCATCATTGCAACAGGCCGACGAATACGTGAATTACCATCGCTCGCCGGCCCCATTCCCTCTGGGTGTGCAGCCTACCTAGGCATTCCCCCGCAATTCGGAGCCTTTTACCGCGGGCGCAAATCCTAACTGCACGGTTGGTCCATTCTGTCCCCGTTGCGAGAGGGAAGAGTGCCTCGTTTCCCTCGGAAACTCACGCCGGAATTCACGCTTAGGCATTCCAACCCGCCGCCTCCACTCCAGAGATTATAGCCATGGACCCCGAACCTCCTACAACGCCTCCCCCCACCGCGCGTCATCCTGCCCCCACGAACCCCAACCCGAGCGATACGAGTAAACCGCAGCCGCCAATACCTCCGTCCTCCCCTGCGACTGGCACCGCCACTGCAAGCCAAGATGAGCGCGTCGTACGTCGTGTCTCGCGGAAACTACAGAAGAAGCGTCGCGGCGGCGAGCACGCCCCCACCATGGAGCTTCCCGACCGCTTAAAAGATCATGGCGACCCGGCCGACGGGGAAGAGGAGGAGTTACGCCCTCAAGGATACGGCGGCGGCATGTTTATGAACATGAACCAGAGCATATTCGGTCTGATTGCAGCCGCAGGGAGTCAAGCCGATTTTGCAGATCGCTTTGAGGGCCAAAGTTCAGACGATGACGATGACGCTGAAACTCCCATGGCTAAAACCGTCGCTGGGGCAAAGGGGCTACGGGCTGCATCCGCCGCGTCGCCTGCTCTCGCTCAGACGACGGTTCTCCCTCGGCGTGGCAAGGAGCGCCAAACACCCGACCACCAACATCGAAGGAAGATCTCGGAGAGTCGTCTCCTTAAGTCGGTGCCGGGGCTAGCGCGGCTCTCTGATAAAATCAAGTCCTCGAAGTCCCCGAAACCGAAATCGAATGTGCACGAGACCGTCCGTTTGAAGGATGACGCAACAGATGCGGATTCTACACCGTCTTCAGACCTTGCACCAAGCATCGAAATCACCAGAACCGAGAGCAGGACTGCCCCCGTTATGACCAGAATGCTGGAAGCTCGTGCTGAAATGGCGGCGCGGCCAAGCTTCGATCTTGAGCGGATGTCGAGCGAGCGGTCTAGCACAGCCGCCGGTGACACTGGCGAAACGGGGCCTACGGAGTTGGCGAAAAGACTCGCTGAGATTTTCCAGTTCGACAGGCCCGAGGAAGTGATACAGGAGTATCCATGTTGGCTCCTTCAGCATGTCCTCCTCACGGGGTACATGTATATCACAGCGCGGCACATCGCGTTCTACGCATACCTTCCCAGGAAAGCGGTAAGTGGCTCATCCGTCGGTGCCTCCGTGCTTCGTGAGACTGACCTACCACAGCACGAAGTTGCCAAATCGGGCTACCTATCCAAGTGCGGCAAGAGGAATCCCAAGTACAACCGCTACTGGTTCCGCCTCAAGGGTGACGTCTTGTCGTATTACCGCGATTCCCAGGACCTCTACTTTCCACAAGGCCAAATCGACCTAAGGTACGGCATTTCTGCGACTATCACCGACAAAGACAAGGAAGGCGTCAACTTCGCTGTCGCCACGGATAACCGCACTTACTACTTCAGGGCCGACAGCCCCCAGAGCGCCGAGGAGTGGGTGAAGGGCCTACAGAGGGTTATCTTCAGGTCGCACAACGACGGCGATAGCGTCAAGATTTCGTTGCCCATTGAGAATGTTATCGACGTCGAGGAGGCGCAAATGCTGGATTTTGCCGACACATGCAAGATCCGGGTCATCGACAATGATGAGACATACGCTATTGATGAGGTGTGTAGCCCCCCTCTCCTTTTGCAGTCGCACGTACTGACACGTGGCAGTACTTTTTCTCCTTCTTTAGTTTCGGCAAGGAGCCCATAAACGTCCTCAAGATCCTAGTCGAGGACGCCTCGTCGCAGGCGCAAGGGCCCAGCGACCGGGCAGACCCGAGTTCCGGTACGGACTCGTCGAAGAGGACGAGCAATAGCGGGGCCCGAGAAGCAGCGCCTAATCCTACTCTTCGCTCAAACAAGATTAATGAAGGCGTTAAGGCGACTCTCTCTCCGCTATCCCCTCTGCGAGGGTCTTCGCCGAGCCCCCGACCGAGCATAGACCGCCCGCGCAGCAGCTTTGATGCTTTCCATCCGTTCACAAGACGCAGCATAGATGCCAACCCAAGCTTGCATCCAGAGTCGCCTCCGCGCCGCAGCTTTAGCGACAGCCGGCGGTCTCTTAGCAGGAAACGGCCCGGCGGCCACGAGCGACAGGAGAGTAGCGACTCCTACGTTCAAAGCATGGGTGATCCCAGCCAAGCAAGCCTGTCAGCCATGATGGCTTCGGCGAGCAGCGAAGACCCTTCGGCGAGCCAAATCCTCAGAGGCAGCGACTTATTCCACGGCCCATCCCTCCAGCGTACGCAAAAGACTCAAGATGGCAAGCAAATGATGTCCCCTCCTAGGCCGCAGCCAGTATCTGCTGCGAAGCATGTCCGTCACGCCGCTTCCACGGCCCGCACAACAGCGGCGTTGGTGGGCGAAGATCCTGCGACAACCCCGGCCCTCCAGAGCATTGCCACGATGGGGGTTTATCCATTTCGCAAGGCCAATGCGCTCATTGGATATCTCGACCGGCATTCTAGGCGCATGAGTACACTTTTAGCTACAGAATCCATGGGCTACGTCGAGAAGGTTTCTGGCATGTGGAAGGGCGGTGGGAAACACTACGACGAGCCCGCCGGCCTTCGGACCGACGAGGAAGATGCCGACGACGACCCCGAGGATCGGGTCAACTCCGAAGCCCGGTTCCAGGCCCACTTTGCCCTGCCAGAAACCGAAAAGCTCCACGCTGCCTACTTTGGACACTTGATGCGCGTTCTCCCGCTCTACGGTAAGATTTACATCAGCGACCGCCACTTCTGTTTCCGTAGCCTCCTACCCGGCACGCGCACCAAACTCATTCTCCCGCTACGGGACATCGAGAATGTGGACAAGGAGAAGGGTTTCCGGTTTGGCTATGCCGGCCTGGTTGTCGTGATACGCGGCCACGAAGAGCTCTTCTTTGAGTTCCACAGAGCCGAAGTCCGCGACGACTGCACCATTACCATTCTCCAGAGCCTAGAAGCGACTCAATACCTACACGACTCCACCCTCATAGACGGCGGCACAGACGCCGAAAATGCCCAAGCTGCCGTGGCGGAGCACGACGCGCTCCAAAAAGCACGCACAGAAGAATTCGCCGACCATGAAGTTCAACTCCCCCGCGAGGCATCCTCCACGTCGGAAGCCCCTACCATTCTTTTCGACGACCCCAAGGCCTCCTTCCTCAACTTTAAGCCCGCCCATTCTATGCGAATCACTTGCTTGACCATCGGCTCCCGTGGCGACGTGCAGCCGTACATCGCGCTCTGCAAGAAGCTCATAGAGGAAGGCCACCGCCCATGCATCGCCACCCACGGCGAGTTCAAAGGCTGGATCGAGTCGCACGGGATCGAGTTTGCATTCGTGGGCGGTGACCCTGGTGAGCTGATGCAACTCTGCATTCAAAACGGCACCTTCTCGCTTGCCTTCTTCCTCGAGGCCAACGCGAAGATGCGCGACTGGCTCGACGAGCTGCTTCGAACCGCCTGGGAAGCCTGCCAGGGCAGCGACCTGATCATCGAGTCGCCCTCAGCCATGGCGGGCATCCACATCGCCGAGGCCCTCGGCGTCCCCTACTTCCGTGCTTTCACCATGCCTTGGACCCGCACCCGCGCCTACCCACACGCCTTTATCATGCCCGGTCAGAAGATGGGCGGCGCGTACAACTACGTCACGTACGTCATGTTTGAGACGGTGTTTTGGAAAGCGACGGCGCACCAGATCAACCGCTGGCGCCGGCGGTACTTGGGCCTCCCGACGACCGGTCTCGAGAAGTTGCAGATCAACAAGGTGCCGTTCCTGTACAATTTCTCCCCGTATGTCGTGCCCCCGCCGCTGGACTACAGCGATTGGATCCGCGTCACGGGGTACTGGTTCCTGGACGAGGGTACCGAAAACTACACGCCTTCCAAGGAGCTGGCGGACTTCATCGCGGCAGCACGCCGTGACGGGAAGAAGCTGGTTTACGTCGGGTTCGGTTCCATCCTTGTGCCCGACCCGGCCAAGCTGACGCAGGATGTCATTGATGGTGTGCTGAAGGCGGATGTGCGATGTATCCTCAGCAAGGGATGGAGCGATCGGGTCTTGACGAAGAAAGACAACGAAAAGGAGAAGGATCAACTGGACGAGAAAAAGACACCCGAACCGGAGCTACCCCCGGAGATCTTCCAGATCCAGTCGGCCCCGCACGACTGGCTATTTAAACAGATCGACGCGGCGGCGCACCACGGCGGGAGCGGTACCACAGGCGCCAGCCTGCGCGCGGGCATCCCGACGGTCATCCGGCCCTTCTTTGGCGACCAGTACTTCTTTGGCGCCCGCGTGGAGGACCTGGGCGTCGGCATCTGCCTCAAGAAGTGGGGCGCCACCTCCTTTGCGCGCGCCCTCTGGGAGGCGACGCACAGCGAGCGCATGATCGTCAAGGCGAAGGCTTTGGGCGAGCAGATCCGCAAGGTACGTTACCCGCCACCCCAACAACCCCTCCTCCCCCACCGGTCAAAATACTAACCAGCCTAACAGGAAAACGGCGTCGACGCGGCCATCAAATGCATCTACCGCGACCTCGAGTACGCCACACAATTGATCCGCACCAAAACAGGCAAGAACCAGACCCGCCGCAAGGCCGCCGCGGCCGCCACCGCCACCACCGACGGGCCCTCCTCGGGCGCCGACGCGGATGCCGCCGCCGACGTCGACGACATGCTGGACGACGACGAGGAGGAGAGCTGGACCTTTGTCGGCGGCGACCCGGACACCATCGACGACCTCTCCGTCTCGGTCGAGGCCGCCATGATGAAGCGCACCGTGCCCGATCTCGACGCCGTCTTGGGCGGTGGTGGTGGTGGTGGTGGTGGTGGTGGTGGTGCGCTCCCCCCTGTCGCGGGTGGTGCGCCTGGTGCCGGGTTGGGGGTGAGGGGGGCTGGGCTGGATTGAGTGAGTGAGTGGCTCAGGGGTGGCTGCTGGGAAGGGGAGGGTGCTCTGAAGTGAGAGATGGGTTTGGGGTGGGAGCCCGACGTTTGTAGAGGACTGTTTTTTTTTTTTTTTTACTGGGTTTGGGATGGCCCATGCGGCGGTCCCGCCCGCTTTCTGGCATTGAAGATGAGTTCGGAGTCGGGAGACGGTTATGATGATCATGACGGGGAATGTGGTATATGCGGTTGGGCTGGGATTCGGATACACCAAAGACGGACGACATCAGATTGGTTTGGTCGGGTTGCGTTGGGTTTTATGGAACTGGTTTACTTCTAGAGTCTTTCCCTACCTAGTCATGGCTGCCGGAAACTCTTCTTTTCGCTTTTGGTTGAGGTGGCGGGCCGGGAAACGATGCACCGAAGCCCGATATGTACATTTCCCTACCCTACCTCTTCCCTATCTCCCCACTGGGAGGTTACAAACAACACCGTTATAGAGTAGTAATATTACTGTGTACTTGACTTGATTTGCGGGAAGTTTACGAAGCTTTGTAATTCTGACCATGGGACGGGGTTTCTTTGTCAACGATTCAACTCGTCATGCAATATAATCAGATGATTCGCATTTGTGTGCTTGGTTTCGTGGCAACTGTAATGAAAATGCAAAAGGAGGTTTAATGATGCTCAAAATGAATTCAGCTATGGCTTACCTTAATGGAACCTCTTTTCTTTCTTTGCTTCACCTGTAATGGAACTATTACCTGGTTATCGTTTGTCTCCCCGCCCAAGGTGTGCGCTTCCACGTCGATATGGCCACTCCTCCGGCCGGCGCTTAGTCGTCCTTTGATAAATCCTTTATGCAGCCCATTCCTCCCCACTTGGTGGCCTTCAAAGGCGAGACACTGGGGGAATGTGGCGTCAGAGGCAATGCCAGCAGCATATGCGGCTTCGGGTGTTCGTTCCCAGTTGTTGCCTATCGCTAGAAGCGAATGCTAGGCTATGGAAAATTCGTAGTACGAAGCACACAGTAGGAATTGTAACATCCATGCCACTGAGAGTGAAGATTGAGTCATGCGTGACCCCTATGACTAGATGTTAGCTGTTAGTCACGTTGACCTGCATGGTTGATGCCTAAATCTTGATGCATATTAATTCACGACCAGATGCAATAGCTCAGGTTTCTGTTGCTTTCCTCTTACATCTTTCACTGTTGATATCGGCGCCCTCTGACCAAAAAAGGCCGGTTGCCAGAGACAAACGAGAAGTCTCAGCACTACAGGCATGACGAGGACTCGAGAGACTAAGTACCTATACCGAGCAAAAGAAACCGAACAAAACAAATTGAGCAACGCAACCGAGTAGAACAGTCGAGTGAAAAGGAGTGAGCAAAAATAATTGAAATAGACTAGACCAGTTGTTTTAGGCAGCCCAACTACTTCGGTTTCATCACTCCCATGAGGTTCGGTCGACATTCCATACCTCGAGTTCGGCTTGTTCTTCTCATCGAGTCGAGGGGTGAATCTCTGTTGCACGAGTCACGACTGTGAATTCTTGGCCGCCACGTTCCAGCCACACATGACCCCGCAACCGGGAACAAGGTGGATCTCCTGCGTGCTCTGCTCGACAGGGGTTGGTTGGACAGCGAAAAGAAGCCCGGGTCAGCCGCCCAAGGTACAAAAGGACCTGCCCAACCCACCCAAAACTCGGGCCATTGCTCTGCGACCGGATTCCATCTTCGTCAGTGCGCCAATACAACCTGACAATAATTACACCCGAACCCCCCCCTCCAACAACATTACATCACCCCACGACTCACACCTACTCGTCCCATCACTTCCAAGTCCGTCACCTCACGATAGGAATTGTTTGGCATTTTCATGCCATTGAATTCCTTGCCCTTTTTACTTGGCATTTTTCCTCCAACCCTCTTCATCCAAAAGCGGTGGCTTGAGCTTTAGCGAGCCGACCCACAGCTTTTGGAGCTTGGACCTCCAGACCGCAGGGCCCCACATCGTCTAACCCGTCTTGGGTGCACGCCCCACGTTTCTGCAGCTCTCTGCCGCCGTTGAACTGCTTTGACTTGGGAACCTGGAAGCACGCATCGCGATACCTGGGATCAGAGGCACAAACGGGACCAGCCGTCGTCAGACCGCGTTTCCCGCCTTACAAACTCGGGTACGCGCCACTGCGCGATGGGTGTATCAATAAACCCGAATAGCAGTTTATTAATGTCCCGGGTGGCTTCTGCGTAAGAGTCCCCAGCACCCACTCTGTCAACATTTATTTTTCTTGGTCTTGGCTGTGCGCCTCTGTCCGAGACGCGGCTAACCGGACTCGACATCTCATCCAGCCTGATGCCACGACCCGAAGCTTAATACACCCCATCATACCATCACAATAGCGCGACCGGACGTTGTTCGCGCCGCCACAATGACGAAAACCGTCGGGCTAGGGGCCCGGTTACGGTACCCCATCACAATCGTCAAACTCCACAAGCGGCCCGGCGACAAGATCAGGAAACAAGAGACTCTGATGGAATACTCGTTCAAGTGGATGAAGGAAGTCGGCGATACCATCCGTGGCAACACATGGCAGCAGGAGCAGACGACTATCGTGACATGGGATTCACCCAGCGACGGCGAGCTGACGCGCTGGCTCATCCGCGAGGGCGAGCATATCTTGTCCGACAGAAAGGCCATAGAGGTCAAGGAGGAATGCTCGCATGAGATCCAGTTTCAGGGTCTCTGCGGCATGTGCGGGAAGGATATGACCGAGGTCAACTGGGCGGTCGAGACCCGCGACACAGCACGCGCGCCCATCAACATGGTGCACGACCAAACCAATTTGACCGTGAGCGAGGTTCATGCTCAGCGCACGGAACAGGAGCTGCAGCGGCGCCTACTGCAGAGCCGGAAGCTCAGCCTCGTGGTCGATCTCGACCAGACCATCATCCAGGCGTGCATCGATCCGACCGTGGGCGAGTGGCAGGCGGATCCGACCAACCCCAACCACGAGTCTGTCAAAGGGATCAAGAGCTTTCAGCTCGACGATGGCCCTACGAACCTAGCGAAACAATGCTCGTACTACATCAAGATGCGCCCCGGCCTCGAGTCCTTCCTCAGGAGCATCGCCGAGATGTACGAGCTGCATGTCTACACCATGGGCACGCGCGCATATGCACAAAATGTGGCCCGCGTTGTTGACCCGGACAAGAAGCTCTTTGGCAATCGCGTCCTCAGCCGTGACGAAAACGGCAGCATCCTTGCCAAGGACTTGCAACGACTCTTCCCCGTCAGCACCCACATGGTGGCCATCATCGACGATCGGTCCGACGTGTGGCCGCGCAACCGGCCCAATCTGATCAAGGTCTCGCCGTACGAGTTTTTCAAGGGCATCGGAGATATCAACTCAAGTTTCCTCCCGAAACGCCAAGACCTGAGCTCGACGGGCCCGACGGCCAACGGGGTCAAGAAGAGAAAGAGAAACGAACCCGCCCCTAAAAGCAAAGACGATGCCGCAGCGGTCGACGACCCGGCGGTCACAAAATTGCAGGTCGAGGAGCAAAAGCGCACGTTTGAGAAGCAGATTAACGATCGCCCGCTCCAGGCCCTCCAAGAGAAGCTCGACAAGGAGGATGAAGAGGCGGAGAAGGCAACGGTCCAGTCCGAGGACGGCTCCGAGTCGCGCTCATCATCCCCCCCTCCCTCGCAACGCCACCGCGTCCTACACGACGACGACGAGGAGCTCGAGTATCTCCAACAACACCTTACCTCCCTCCACACCGCCTACTACGCCGAGTACGACAACAACCTGGCGTCGCAAAACACCGCCGCCGTCGATTCCACCACGGTACCCGACGCCGGGTGCATTCTCGACGAGCTCAAGGGCGGAGTGCTACAGGGCATTAGGATTGTCCTTTCCGGTGTCTTACCTAGGGGGATCGACATTTACGGCTCCGAGATCGGCCTGCAAATCATGTCGTTCGGCGCCGAGCTGCGGCCCACCGTCACCAAGGACGTCACGCACCTGGTCGTGAACACGGCCCAGCCCGGGCGGGAGAAGCTGCTCGAGGCGCGGCGGCGGCCCCACATCAAGATCGTCAGCCAAGAATGGCTCGTCGCCTGCTTCACCCAGTGGGCCGTCGTGGACGAGGCCCCCTACGTCTTCAGCGCGCGCCTGATGGAGGAAGACGACCCGGACCACCGGCCCGTCGTCAGCGACGACGAAGACACCCAAGAAGACGCGCAGGAGGACACACATGACAACAACAACAACAACGCCCCGGACACCAATAACAACACCCCCAAACTCACCAACGGCACCAAGCCCACCAGACTCCGCCTCGTCCCCATCACCACCGGGACCCACACGCCCGCGGAAGGCGACCGCCGCGACGAAGACGACGAGCCGGGCCTGCTGCCCTCGGACCCGGTCGACGGCCAGCGGTCGCCCATCGACTTCACCAACATGAACTGGGGCACCGCCGACGAGGAAGTGGCTGAGTTCCTTGCGAGCGGGTCGTCGGATGAGGAGGACGATGATGATGATGACGATGGCGATGACGACAACAGCGAGGATGGTGGCGATGAGGACGTGGACGTGGAGCTGCCCGCTGGGGAGGCTGTGCCTGCGTCGGCGTCGGCGTCGGTCGCGGTGGTGAGGAAGCGGAAGGGGCGGGATGAGGAGGAGGATGATGAGGATGGTGGGGATGGGGATGGGGATGAGGATGAGGGCAAGGGTGGGGAGAAAGGGGAGAATGGCGCGCCGGCTAAGCGGTTGAGGCGGACGGACAGCCAGCGCGGGCCGTCGCTGCGGAACCTGTATGCCACTGGCGGCGGCGGCGAGGGCGGTGACGATGGCGCGGGGAGTGGGTTGCCTACCCCCGGGCGGTCGGACGGTCAGGATGTGGACATGGATGCCCCGCCGCCGGATGGTGGCGACGCTGGTGGTGGGGAGGAGGAGGAGGAGGAAGAGATGGATTTTGATGTCGCCGAGCTGGAGGCTGAGTTTGAGGCCGAGTTCGACAAGGCCGAATTGGAGGCTCAGATGGCGGCGGAACAGGCGTATGGGGCCGGGTTGACCGGCGGGGAGGATACGGAGAAGGGTTAGGTTAGGCTTCTCCGTTTTCTGAGGTCGTGGGGAGACAGTTGACTGTGTACCTAGTTTTTAGGAGTTTGTGTGTTACATATGGGATCAGCGTGGCTTACGCGGGTTTTGGCTGGGGGATGGTTGGAGGGTTGGAGTTCTTGGAGGCTTTCTGTGTAGCTTATTGTAGTGTATTTAATGCGCTGGCATCTTGCATTCTGGCGTTGCATCCCTACCGTACCTATTCCATGTTGCTGCTCCTGTCTTTCACCCTGGCACTTCGCCGTGAGTTTGGGCGGCGCCCCTCGATGCGCTTGGCTTCCCAAAGCCCCACCTCCCACACCTTATGTAATCCACATAGAACCTCCCGCCAATCCCAAGCCTCGCAATTGCATCAATTCGAGCTCGAGCTCCGGCAAACCAAAACCCGACGACGACAAATCGCGCCAATTCGTTCGCCCACCAGCACAACGCAGCTCCCGACATACGGCAGGGAGCCCACCAAGTCCTGAAGCCCCACGGCCGAACGAGCGAACGACCCTACTTCCGCGACCCGGAAGGGGCAATTGCCATCCGATTGAGCACACAACAAACACAAGAGGGGGGAAGGATCACAGTTGCCCACCATGCCGCAGGATATGCCGCCCGTTGGCGGCTACGAGGCCGTCCAGTACAAGGTGGGTTCTTTTTAGTTTCTTTCTGGGGTTGGCGGTTGTGACGGGGGGGTTGGTTGGACTTCGGCCGGTCGGGTGTGGATGGGCTGCGTTGGGGGAGCGGCGACGTCGGTATTGGGGGTTCAGTGGGAGCGGCGGCGCGCCGTGCAAGAGGCGGATTGATTTGGTTGTTTTCTGTGGCGAGCAAGGCGGGGGTACCGGAGGCGGGTGGATGGTCGAATGTTGGCGGTGCGGGCGGGTTCCGTCTGGCGGGGGACCTCGAATACCACCCCCCCCCCCCCCCCCCCGCGCAAGGCGATGGAAAGAAACGTTGGAGGAGGACGCAATCATCGAAGCCCAAACGAACGCACCCAACCCCCTTTCGCAGCCTCTCGCCGGCCCACCTCCCTGGCCAACTGTTAGAGACGAAGAGGGCTAACCAATACACCGTGCCACAGCGCAACCTCCCGTCGCGCGGCCTGTTCCGCCCCGGCCCGCTCATCGCCGGCGGCGCCGTGGTCATGCTCTTCGGCTGGTACAAGCTTGTCACCGGCATCCGCGAGCAAAAGTATGTCCATGTCACTCCTCCCCACCGTTCACCCACCCACCGCGACCACAAGCTAACAAGCAACAGCGAGCTCGCTCGCGAGAAGATGTGGTCTCGCATCCATCTGATCCCTCTCCTCCAGGCGGAAGAGGACCGCGACCAGGTGCGGAGGCACTTGGCGGACCAGGCGCGCGAGAAGGAATTGATGGGAGAGAACGTCAAGGTCTACCACTCCGACCGGTGAGTTTCCAACCCCCTTGTTTCATGGCGTATCGAGAATGGTTGCTGATGCTGATACCGCGGACAGGTATGTGCGGCCCACGTTTGGCGTGACGCCCGCGAATGTTTCGAAGGAGTAGGCGGCAGAGATGGGATTGGGGAACAGTGGTTTGGGAGCAAGCAGGGTTGCCATACAAACAAAACAGGGCACTTGCGGTTGCGTAGTTCTAGGGGGCGACGGCGCTGTATATACGGTGTTATAAATGGCAGAGAAGGCTTCCATGTACTCTGTTTCTCGTGGTGACAAGATTCAAGGCGATATGCGACAAGCCTCTGACACCTAGAAATGGGTAGCCGAGTATGAGCGATGGGCCCCTGAAACTGCACGGGGCTCTTCGATTCTATCCGGCTCCGGTTGCACCAAGCATATCTTCATATCCAGGGTAATCGATCATGTACAAAACTCCCCTTCCAAAATAAGGTACGAGATCGTTGTTATCGTATGCCGAGAACCGCAGCGTAACTACCGGCAACAGACTAAACTCAGAAAACAACACAACCCGCCCAACCTTGGGTATCCCAACAGCCCAAGACAGCCCCAGCCAGCCCCAGCCAGCCACGCCAGACACCCGGTAATGCATCCCACAACCAAACCTCACCTCACGGCATCTGACAATAATTCTACGCGGCCGCCTGGACCATCCTGAACCCCTCCGACACAAGCTTGGTGATATCCTCGTTCTTGTGCTGCAACAAGCCCAGCGCAAACGCGACATCGTTCCACTGCCGCTCGTTATCACACCGCGGCAACCTCGCAGCCAGCTTATCCGCCAGCTGCTTAGCATGCTTGTCCTGTTCGCACATACCGTCAGCATACACACGCTCCACATCAAAAAGGTGGAAAAAAAGAAAGGGGAGAAAATAAACGCACCTTCTCCACAAACCCAAGCAGGAACCGCACAATGCGCCTAAAGCTCTCCTCCTCGATCCGCTTATCCGCCGACAGCAGACTAAACATGTCCACAAAGTGGTTGTATACGGCATTGTCCTTGGTGCTCAGCTCGGTGAAGAACATGCGGGCCAGGTCGGCGATCCGCTTGTCCTCGTCCTCGAGGCACTTGGCCATCTCGCCCAGCTGGCCCTTGACCTTGACCTGGCCGGCGAGGATGAGGAACGTCAGCGTCATCAGGCACGTCCGCTTGACCATGGGCTCCGGGTCGGCCAGGCGGCGGTACAGGAAGTCGGTGTTCTCGTCGATCAGGTGGTTGAAGCAGACGGCCATGTCGCCGAGCGCGATGACGGCGTTGCTGCGCACCGTGGCGTCGGTCGAGCGCTCCATGATGGTGATGAGCAGCGGGAGGTTGACCTCGCAGTACTCGGACGAGACGCACATCAGCTTGGCGAGGCACAGCGTGGCGGCCTGCTGCAGGTTGCGGTCACGGTAGGTCGTGTTGTTGGCGCAGATCTCGCTGACCAGGGGGCCGAAGTGGGCGAGTAACGAGGTGGGCCCGTATAGGAGCTCGCGCTCGCGGATGTGCGCCATGGCCTCGGTGAAATCGTCTTCGGTCGTGCCGCCAATCAGGTCGAGTTCGTCACCCTCGTCCTCCAGTTTGGATTTGTCTTTCGGCTGGGAGGCAGAGCGGCGGCTGGAGGTGCTGGCTCCAAGGGAGGAGCGGTTCGCAGCGGCAGCCGTCTTTTCTTTTTCCTGCTTGCGACGTTTGAAGTCGAGCTCGCAGAGTTCGAGGTGCACGATCTGCTTGACGGCGACATGGCCCACAATGAAGAGGAGTTGGGAGAGGCCAACAGTGTTGTCCTTGTTCTGCTTTTTGGTCGGGCTGACAGGTGCTTGCTGGGAGGCAAGGACGGTGGGGTCACTTTCTGCACTCTCGGCCGAGGAAGTAGGACTAGGTGCCGGCTGTGTCTCGTCGCGGGAAGTGGGACGAGAGTTGGGTTGTGAGCTTGGACGCGAATATGGGCGGGAGAAGACAGTCCTCGTCTTGCGACGGATGATCTCGGAGCACAGAACATCCGGGTGCCTCGACAGCGTGTAGATGGCATTGATGGCCTGCTCAGCAACGCCGTACCAGTCCTTGCTCTCCGTGGGCACCTCGGTGATCGCTGCCAGCCTAACCAACATAGCATGGTCGTTCTGTAGCCTGGAGAATTTGGCTGCTGATTCTTTCGCCTGACGACCGGTGGGGTTGATACGCCGGAGAGCAACGCAGGTAAACTTGGCGAGCTGCAGGTCATCGCGGCCGTGGGCTCCGAGACCGGTGCGCAGCATCGTCTCCATCTCACCGACAACAATCTCCGGGCTGGCGGTGGCGAGCATACCGAGCACAATGATGGCGCCTCTCCTCTGCTTCCTAGAAATCTCCCGCTTCTGCACACCATAAACCTGCCACAATTTCGCGATGACAAGATCCGGAATCATGCCTTGTTTCATCATGGTGCTGACAAGTTGTTCGAGCGAAGTGAGTTCGGCAGGTGTGGCGCCAAAAGTCAAACTGATCATGTTCCTCGCGATATAGTTGGCTGCATCGTTCGGGCTGAAACTGTCTGGAGCCTCGAAGAAGAGCCGTTTGTAGCAATCGATGAGGTGAGCCTGGACACCCTTGCCTTCATCACTGTTGCCCTTGGTCCAGATGAGCCTGAGCATGCGACGAATGCCGACCTTGTTCTGCTCGATGTTGTATGCGTCGCCAATCTCAAAGTAATCCATCGCCTCGATTACTTCGCTCTTGTTCCTGGATCCAAGAAGTTGGCACACCGTGCCGGTCGCATCGTGCAACACGTCGATAAACTTGAGCGCTTCGTTGTAGTACCGCTTAGTGAGGGTCAGCTTCTCGATCGCCTCGGAAGTGGCGGCCTCCTCCTGGGCTTTCTGAACTGCCGCAATCTTCTCCTCGTCGGTCATCTCAGCGGGCTGCTTCCTCGGAGACTCGATCTGAGTGGCGTCGTCAAGCAAAGCTTGGTCCACGGTAGTATTCCCTTGCTCAAGACCCGGCGCGTCGACTGGGGGTTTCAGCGCATTGAGTTCCGAATCGACCTTGTCCAAGCGTTCCTGCCAGTCCTTCCTCGCGAGCTGCGCGCCGTGGAGGGCGGTGAACGGGTGCGTCCGAATTAGGGCACCGAGCAACTTGATGGCGTTCCTCCTCACATGGCTACTCTTGTCTTCAAGGCTCCGGCACGCCAATTCGGCTGCCTTTTGTCTCCGCTTCGGGAATTTCTGATCTAGCCCACATAGTTTCACGTAGACTTGGATCGTCCTACACCGGCAGTACGGGTTGATATCGAGGAAGCGCTCTTCCAGAACGTCAAAGAACGCGTTCATCTGCATCTTGTGGTTCTCGCCGCGCTCGTCTGACTTGCTGAGGTGGGCAAGCATGTTGCCAAAGACCTCGACGAGGGCGCACCGGAGCGTGTACGACTGCGCCTGTCAGTTCTCGATCCTCATATTTCCGCGTCTGGTCTGCATACCTCGCTATCCAGCTGCTTCGCCATGAGAGTAACCTGCTTGATGACCAGCCTAGGAGCCAGCTCAGACAGCCTAATCATGAATGTTGAAACGGACTTTGGCCCCTTGGTGTCGTTGGTGTTGAACTCCTTGTTGCTGAGCTCTCGCAGGATCTCGTCTGCTAGTTGGGGGTAGTCGTATTGTTCGGCCAGGATGTGGAGGAACTCGGCCATCGGCTCCGACAGGTGCTCAAAGTACGTGAGGTTCTGGACGATGGAAATTTGGGCAGCTAGGCCTTGTCAGCGTCTCCGTCTGCGTAGCCGCACAACTAACCTACCGTATCCGTGGCCGTGGTGCTTGACCGCAATGCAGAGCACCTTGAAGGCGTGCATTCGGATGCTGGTGCTCTTGACGCGCTGTTCGCTCTCGAGAATCATGTAGACGGGCCGCGTCAGCAGCGACATGAAAGTGTCGCGTTCGGATGTCGTCAAGAAGATCTTGCCCAACTTCAACCGCAGCACCTTGCACATTGTATTCAGCGCCGTCTCCAATTGGGTCGACGAATCCCAAGTGCCGTCCTTGGCCGCATCCCTCTTGCTCTTGGGCTTACCGCGGCCTCGTGCGGGGACGGTGGTCGACGACTTCTCGGCTGCCTTGATCTCGACCGCTGCGATGGTCCATTGTAGCAGGAAACCGTACATCTCGAGCAGCTGCTTGTGGTGGGCGATGAGCTCCTGCTCGTCCGACTCAAGGTCATGGTTTATGACGTCGGCCTCGGTGGCCAGACCGGAGGTGATCAGGTCAAATATCTTGCTCAGAGCGTGCGCCGAGAGGAAGGAGGTGTACCTGGATTTTTTGAACAGCTCAGAATCAGGATCGTTTAAACGACGGTCTTTGGCGCCAGAGCCCAGAGGACTCGCGCGCCGGGCAGGGGTGGGTGTGCCCGCTGCCAGCAGCGACGTGTCTCTTTCGCAGGGCATGAGGGGATCAGAGGAGATGGGTGCACACTTTAGAAGGAACTGCAACGAGTCAAAGATGTTGCTGCGCGTGATGGCATCCGGGTTCTCGGCCACGGCGTCGACGATCGGGTTGAGGACGGCGTTGATCACGGCATTATCGGTGAGCGACTCCGGGTCGTTCTCGCAGTCGACCAGCGCTCCATCAGCCTCGGGTGTCGGGATGCCGGCCGGGTCGCCCATGTAATGCTTGAGCGCATCGTTAATGTCGAAGCTGACGCTGTCCATGGCGGACAACGGCCGATGAGGGGTATCGCGGGGGCGGCCAGTGGGTGTATCTCAGGAAAGCAGGCCGGAAAAGAAGTCGTTCCGAAGAGCCAACACCACAATCGGAAAAAGGTTGTCGTGGTGGTTTGGGTTGTCGAGGGTGAGCCGGCGTTGGTGTTGTTTTGTCGCAAATGGAGTGGAGGGCGACTTCGAATCGAGGCCCCTCCTTGGATTTGTTGGCGTGCTTTGGCTCTTTGCGGTGGGGGGACCCTAGCAACGCTGCAATTTGTTTGTTGACTTTTGCAGGTGGCAGCCAGCCGCGTCCCGCTGCACTGAATCGCGTCTCCAAATGATCCGTGCGCTGCCCCTCCAAGGTACATACCTTGAGCTTACTCGACCAGTTCCGTCCGAACTTTGGAAAGGTCTTCAATCAATCAAATCCAACACCTCCCATTTGGTGTCCATTGTCGTCGAATTCGATCCTCAAACCCTAGACTTCACAGGCGTGCACCGTTCCATAAACACAGACCTCATGCCCCTGCAATAACCTCTGATCGGGCCGAGTGGATTCTTTTCCTGCCGGTCTCAGTCTGTCCCCCCCGACAATCGACAACCACCCACAATGGCGACAGGAATGCCTGTAGGTCGCCGTCGGGCAGGGTCTCTCCAAATAGAAGCACAGCCCTTCCGAATCCACGAAGATGCGCCCTCCACCGAGGACACCGAGATGAACGAGAGCGCGTCCCAGGACCACGAGGAAGCAGAACAAGAAGGCGAGCTCTTGGAAGAAGACGGCCAGGAGTCCGAGTACTCGGAGAGCTCAGAAGAGGAGGCGCCAGCTGATGGCCACTTCCAGCACGACATGGAAAAACTACAGGACTCCTTTGCGGGCTTTCGAGAAAAGTACCGGCTGATCAAGCGAATTGGTGAAGGTTCGCGTCCTTCCGCCCCATCAGCACTTTCGCCGGGGTCGCCGTGTTGACCTTTGACTTCCAGGTACCTTTTCCACCGTGTACAAAGCCGAGGATTTGGTGTACGACGACCACGACAACTCGTGGGATCTGGACAAGGAACTAGACAAGTGGACGCCGCCGCCACTGAAGAGCTTCACGAGCCAGGCCAGCGAAACCCCTGATTACCCGTCGCAATCACAACGCCGTCGCAAGCCGAAATACGTTGCCATCAAGAAGATCTACGTCACGTCCTCCCCGATCCGCATCCTCAATGAGCTCGAACTACTGCACGACCTTCGGGGCTGCCAATCGGTGTGTCCCCTGATCACCGCCTTCCGTTCGACAGACCAGGTTGTCGCCATCCTCCCCTATTTCCGGCACGCAGACTTCCGCGACTACTTCCGCGAAATGACAGTGCCAGACATGGCCATCTACCTGCGGTCCCTCTTTACCGCGTTGCATAGCGTGCACACGCACAATATCCTCCACCGTGACATCAAACCGACAAACTTCCTCTACGACCCTGATTCGCGCCGAGGTGTTCTCGTCGACTTTGGTCTGGCCGAGCGCGAAAGCGTTGATAGCAAGCCCTGCCTCTGCCACGACGGTTCCGCTGCGCGAAAGGCGAGGCTGCAGCCGTTATACAATGGGGAACCAAAATCAGGATATGCTCGGGAGGACACACGCCCTTCAAGACGGGCTAACCGTGCCGGGACACGCGGATTCCGGGCGCCCGAGGTCCTCTTCAAATGCACCGAACAGACCACCAAGATAGACATTTGGAGTGCCGGCGTGATCCTTCTAACCATCCTATCTCGGCGGTTTCCCTTCTTCAACTCGGCCGACGACGTCGAAGCGATGATCGAAATTGCCACCATTTTTGGGTGGCGGCGCATGCAAGTCGCTGCGTTATTACACGGGTGTATGATGGAAACGACGATCCCCACGATAGGTAAGTCCGGGTACAGCTTGGAAAGCATTATCCTCTGGAGCACCAACCGGAGCGACAAGGAGAAGATCAGCGAAGAAGAGAGGCTGGCGATCAAATTCCTCTCACGATGCATGGAGTTAGACCCAACTAGGCGGATCAGTGCCGCGGATGCGTTGCAACATGAGTTCCTCCGCATGGGGCTTGACGAGTCCGCCGAGGAAGGGAGCGAGCTTGAGGATGACGAGGAGATGAACATGTTGAAGGTTTAAACGGAGCATTGGTTGGAGTTTGGTGTCAATGACCGCATCATGGTATTGGGCTCTACAGGCGTCTAGGCTCTATACGGTGGTTAATACCCTCATTAATGGCTATCACATCTGGAGTGCTTGCTCGTCGGGGCTCACGTGACTATTTCCTGTGTTTATCCAATCTTGCGGTGAGCAGCGTTTCATAGTTACCCAAGAACTTTCGCTGCGGTTGCTGCACCCGACTTGCAACTCGATTTTACAACCGCACCACCCTTTAAACCCACCACCTGTTTGACCGAGCGAACAAGCCAGCTTCGTCCCATGCACTGCACCTCATCATTTTATCCAACCCCATGATTCATTTCCTCCATGATGACGGAACCACAGTCCGAAACCGAGACCAAACCACCGAAAATGGCCTCTAAGACCCCCATCGACTTTCACCACCCCTACACACCATATGACGTCCAGCTCGATTTTATGCGCACAGTTTACGACGTCCTGGAGAAGGGGAACGGACAAGTGGGCATTCTGGAAAGCCCAACCGGCACCGTACGTCACACCTCACCTCACTGACTCAACTCACCCCTTCCCATTCCCACCCCTAGCACCCAAAACAGAAACAAAACAAACAAACAAACAAACAAACAAACAAAGACTAACCCCCGCCGACAGGGAAAATCCCTCTCCCTAATCTGCGCCACCCTCACCTGGCTGCGCGCCCACAAGCGCGCCCGCTACGAGGCCTCCTTCGACGCCACCGCCGCCGGCATGCGCGGCGAGCCCGAGTGGATGGTCGAGGCGGCGCTGCGCCGTAAGCGGGAGGAGCTGGGCAGCAAGTGGGAGGAGCGCGAGCGCGTGCTGGCGAGGGTGCGGGCAAGGGAGAGGGAGATGGAGGAGCGTGGTGGTGGTGGTGGTAGTGGTGGGGGTGGGAGGGAGAGGGGGAGGAAGAGGGTGAGGGTTGATGATGGGGTGGGGAGGGGCGGGGGGGTGGATGAGGAGAGGGAGTTTTTGGTTGCCGAGTGGGAGGGTGGTGGCGAGGGTGCAGGGGCGGGGGATGGGCTCGAGGAGGGTGGGTTGAGTAGGGAGACGAGGGAGTTGATGGAGAGGGTCGGTTTGGGGGGTGGGAAGAGGAGGGATGATGGGGAAGGTGAGGGGGAAATTGAGGATGAAGTGAAGGTTGGTTCTTGTTGCTACCAAACTCTACGGATGAAACTGATATTGCTAGATTTATTACACTTCTCGCACACACTCACAACTGACGCAGTTCATCTCGGAACTACGGCGACCGGCGTTTCCTCCCTCAATACCCACCGAGATGGTGTCCGGCACTGGGAAGGATGATGAGCAGCCAACCACAGAAACGGTCAAACAGCTTCCGTTGTCTTCCAGACAGAAACTGTGCATTAACCCCTCAGTCACAAAACTGGGGTCACTATCCGCCATCAATGACCGATGTACGGAGTTGCAGCAGTCGAAGACCAAAGAAAAATGCGCTTTCATGCCCAACACAGAAAATCTAAAGCAGGCCCATGACTTTCGGGATGCAGCCTTGGCAACAATCCCAGACATTGAGGACTTACACAGGACAGGCAAGGAGTTGCAAGTCTGTCCCTATTATGCCTCGCGGACTGTCATTCCAGGGGCCGAAGTCGTCACACTACCGTATCCCCTCCTGCTTCAAAAGAACGCAAGAGATGCCCTCGGAATCAAGCTCGAGGGAAATGTTGTCATCATCGACGAAGCTCACAATGTTATGGATGCGGTTGCAAACGTCTATGCCGCTGAGATCCGTTTGAGCGAGCTGAGAAGGGCGAGGCAGATGCTAAGTATCTATGTCAAACGGTTTGGCAAGAAGCTAAAAGGGGAGAACCGTGTCATGATTGCGCAAGTAGGCAAGGTCGTCGAGTCGCTCAGTGCGTGCTTGAACGACCAACTCGGCATCAAGGTAAGATGGATTCTTTCCTATTAAACGAGACAACGCTGACTTGATTCCAGGGTGACCAAGGCATTGTTGACTCGAACGCGGTTTTGAAGGCCCGCGGTGCAGACCAAATTAACCTGTACCAGCTCATAAGGTACATCCAAGAATCCAAGTTGGCATACAAAATCGAGAGCTATGTCAATCATGCAGAAAACGAACAGGAATCGTCATCTACGACATCCGGCAAACCCTCATCATCAACACCCGTTCTCCATATCCTCGTTTCTTTTCTCACCGCACTCACGAATCTAAGCTCCGAGGGGCGAATATTTTTCGAAAAGCTTGCCACCACACCACCGGATATCAAACTTTCGTACCTTCTCCTATCGCCCACGCACGCCTTCTCATCCATCGCGTCGTCCGCTAGGGCTGTCATCCTGGCTGGCGGAACGATGTCCCCGTTCGAAGACTACAAAGCTCACCTCTTCCCGACTTACCCATTCGAGAAAATCACGACGTTAAGCTGTGGACACGTTATTCCACCTTCCAATCTATTCGGTTGGACACTCGCCTCGACAACCCCCACCGCACCGGGCAACACCAACGCCGATTCATTCGAGTTCAGCTTCCAGAAACGGAGAGAACCGAGCATGATCCGCCAACTGGGCCTCGCTCTCCTCAACATATGCACCGTTGTCCCAGACGGCGTAGTCGTCTTCTTCCCCAGCCACGGCTACCTCGACGAAGTCGTCGCCGCCTGGCAGGTACCCGATACAACAACCCCGACCGCCACCACCCAGCCGACACTCTGGGACCGCCTCGCGGGCAAGAAAGCCGTCTTCCGGGAAACCAAGGGCGGAGTCAGCGAGGACGTGCTGCAGCAGTACAGCGACGCAATCCTGTCACCCACCCCACCACCACTGTCGGGATCCCAGTCCGCCGCGAAACCGCGCCGGCCGGGCGGCGCGCTACTCCTCAGTGTCGTCGGCGGCAAGCTCTCCGAGGGTATCAACTTCTCGGACCGCCTCGGCCGCTGCGTTGTTGTCGTCGGTCTTCCGTACCCCAATATCCATTCTCCTGATTGGAAGGCGAGGCTGGAGTATATCGAGGCGACGACGCTGGCGCGGTTGACGGAGGGGGAGGGGGAGGACGGAGTTGGCCCTGATGCCCCTGTACGCGGGGAGGCGGAGGCCCGGGCGCTGGCGAAGCAAGCCGCGAGGGACTTCTACGAGAATGCTTGTATGCGGGCGGTGAATCAGAGTATTGGGCGGGCGATACGGCACCGGGCGGATTATGCTGCGGTCGTGCTTGTTGATCGGCGGTTTGGGACGGAGAGGATCAGGGGGAAGCTGCCTGGTTGGATCAGGGCGGGAATGGAGGAGGGTGCTGGGGGTCTGCAGGGGCTGCTGGGAGGATTGAGTAAGTTTTTCAGGGGGAAACAAGAGGCTGCGTCGTGACCGAGAGCAGGTACTGGGGGGGGGGGGCGGGGGGGCGATGACCAGACGGAGCCACGCCTTCTTGAGATCTTGTCTCTTTCTTTGTCCCCCTAGCGAGTCTTTAGCACACGATGATCAGAACTTTCAGCTACTGGGTACCTCCTGAGTCCCTCGGAAGTGGCTCGGGTGCGGCTAAAGGGATCACACACAGAACTAGATGGAAGGACCGTCAGGTGTATGCTTTCCTCTAATAGTAGATTCGTACGCCCAAGTTGTAATATGTAAAACCCAAGTATAGTGTTGCTTTCTTGTTTTCAACTGGTCGATCTTTTCTCTCTTTTTTACCTAACGAGGGAAGTAATGCCGGCTTCACATCGGCAAACTCTGGTTTTATCTCTCGTTTTATTACTGGAACCGACTTGTTTGTCTTGGGGTGGTGGCCGTCTTGGCCGTCACGGCGAAGCGGTTGCTCCTGGGGAAATGCCATCTTGTCTGCATGAACCAAGCTGGGTCAAGTACGGTTCCCCGTGTCTCATCACGTCCTCGCACAATATCGTGGCCTGCGTATGGAAAACCAAAATGGGCAAATGGCGGCGACGCCAACCCTGAACACTCTCTCACATAGGATTGGCTTGCAACTTTGACACCATGGCTTCGGACACTCATTTCTCGCTCCGCTCCTGCGGTGCAGGGATGCGGGCTGCATGCAGTGCTCACCATCTCATCACAAGGAGCCGAAGACAGCCTCGTGCATCCCAACGTTGCCTCGGAAAGGGCGCTGGCGCCGTGCGTGCCCAGAAACGATGGAAGGCAAGCATCAACACACCGAGTAACTCGCCGTCGTCGTCAAGGAGACATGGGTCGGCCCGGGGCATGGTGCATAATGCCGGGGGACGGGTGATGCAAGGGCGGCACAGCTTGCCTTGTTCGGTCCCAGCCGTTTGCTCCTCAATCTCATTCTCCACCATGCGGATGCCAGAGCCTTTGAGGTCCGTCGTCGTGTTCTCCTTAAGCTGGAGGAGACTAGGGATTGATCTTCAATAGCGTTTTCGATTAATATTGCACCTCAAGGGGCCGTATCACGAGGGGACAGATCTGCGAGGTGCTGCATCGTGCTCCTGTCGGTCTCCCCGTTGCGACCAGTCTGAGCTTGCTGTCCCCTTGGGCTTGCATGATTCTAGCGCGTTCACGGAAGGCGGCCATGTCTGTGCGGCTTCCGGCTTTCGTTTCCAGTTACGGTGGGTGGAGACTCGGAAGACGGGTCGCGGGTGTGGAGGGGGGGACGGGTCGGGATCAGCATGGAAGGTTTCTAGAACTTCAAGTTCCGGAGAAGATCGGAGATACTCCGTACAAGGCCGTGGTTGGGAGAGGGTAGTTGTCTACTGTCTCGTTAGAAGTGACCCCTTCCCCGTTCTCCCACAAGCAGTTCTCTCCCTCCGGCCATCCCGGAGACTCACGGCTTCTCCCCACCCCTCCCGATGCCAAGCGATCTCGGTTTGTTGCGGACGGTGGAGAGTGGTATGCCAGGAGGCCAGTCGACCAGGGACATGACTCGCCAAGAAGTGGTACCGAAGGAATCCTGGGGAAGCCCCCTTGGCAACCCGAACCTGACGAGTCTAGCTCTGCGGAGACACCCTCCCGAGATCACATGAGCAAATTTGCGTCCTCACCGAAGAATGAAGGAGCCCCTCCTGTCCGGATGGCGAGAGCGGGCAGTTCCCTCTCGCCTCCACCATCCAGACCAGAGCCCGTCTCTTGAACAGCAGTCCAGGGCCATTCCCGCAGCGTCAACTATCCCCGGTTCCGACTGCCACCGGCTTCCTGGGATGCCCTTGTTCCGGCACTGAAACGGCTTGTCTCTGTCTGGTCTGGTTTTGGTCCGTCAAAGAGGTCCAAGCTGTGTGTGACTGCAGCACCCCCTTTCCATCTTGGCCGGGGGGCGGAATCCACCCTCATCAGTCCACCACGGCGCGTACACATTCTGGCCTCCTCTGCAACATTTCCATCCGCCCAAGACGTCACGACGTCAACTTACACATCTCTCCCACGGCATTTATTAACCGACATCGAAATAGTGGAGCTGACGGCATTCCTTGGTCCATCGAACCCCAGTGAGGACGCCCCAGCTGCTCGGTTTGGGTTTGCGATCACATTTGCCTAAATTCACCCGGTCCACAACCACCACCACCGTGTCAGAGGCAGAGCGGCCGACGCTGTGCCGCGCCCAATGGTCGGCCTCTACGACGACCCGTTCGCCTACGACGGCCCCGACTACACAGGCTATCTGGGCCAGGACCAGTTCGCCTCGGGGTCGTCCCCGGAGGACTTCCACGTCCACTCCGCCACGGAACCGCACTTTCCCTCAGCCGTCCATGGGCTCAAGGGACAACCACATCACCATCAACCATATCAACTCTCACCAACAGATCCCCTCGGCCCAAACTTCGACAATGGCCTCCCACCCGCCCATCTCCCCCGATCGGCACCTACCAGCTATCCTATCCCACCCGGCGGCGACGGCACAACTGGCGGCGGCTTAACCCTCGACACCATGGGCCTATCCTGGAACACCGCCAACAACAGCAGCAACAACAACAACAACAACAACAACAACAACAACCACAACAACCCATCCCAATCTCAACCCCAATCCCAACCCCAACCTCCCGACACCAACCCTAACAACCCCTCCGACACCCAACTGCACACCCTCCTCGCCACGCTGCAAGCCGAGCTGCACCAGACGGCGCGCGAGCGCGACGAGGCGCGCATGGGCCTGAGCACGGCGCGCAACGAGCTGTACGCGGCGCGGCAGGTGGAGCGGCGGCTGCGCGTGGAGCGGGACGAGGCGCGCTCGCAGGCCGACTTCTTCGGCGCCGAGCGGCCCAAGCTCAAGCAGGCCGAGGCGCGGCTGCGGCGGGAGCGGAACGAGGCGCGGATGGCGCTGCTTGCGCTGAAGGGGAAGGGTGGTGGTGGGACTGGGGCTGGGAAGGGGGTGAAGAAGGGGGGGGTGGGTTGTGGGGGTGGTGGAGGTGGTGGTGGTGGTGGTGGTGGTGCTGGTGGTGTGGGTGTGGGTGTGGGTGTGGGTGGGTTGGTGGCGGGGATGGAGAGTCAGGGGGAGGAGTCGGGGGAGTCGCCGCCGATGGGCATGGAGCAGGGTTAAAAAGGGAGGGGGGGTTGATACCAATTTGGGTGGTGTGATACCAGGCAGATAGGAGTAGGGAGGGAGTTCAAGTTATCAGGTTGGCTTTTGGGGGTTTGGCTTGGTGTACTCCGTGGCTTAAGCTGGGTTTATGTATGTATGACTTGATATGAGGATTTTGTACCACTTCGGCTTGTTTGGTCTGTTTGGAGTTAGTGATTACGGCTTAGGGGGTGAAAGCAATGGTCAGGCCGGCGAGGGGATGGCAGATTGTTCAACAGGACCACGGATTGGAAAAGGATAGGCACGGTACCTCCCTACGTTGTCAGTTGATTAAGCTACCTTGCCACATTGCGCTATGTGATGTGATCTTATGGCATGACGATGTGTTGAACCATCCGGTAGCTTGAAAACATGTTTGCTACTAATATGTGCCTCCGCGTGGAAATGCCGCCGTTTTAGATAGGCCAACGCCGCCCAATGTACACAATAGCGACCAATCCACAACCCTAATGTGCAGCCTGATGGAAACAAATGAAGTGATGTTCATACAACATCGAAATACAGAACACTGAAAACTCGGCGGGTATCTCATTTATCATCACTCCTCGCCCTCTGGAATATGCCCAACCAAGGACGGACTCGCCGGCTGGCCGCACCTCCCTGCCGGTGCCGTTCAGGGCCCTGGGCAGTAAGCCTCTCCTGCAGAGACTGGATTCCAAACCCCTGCTTTTTGAACTCGGCCAGTGCGTTCTGCCAGACCTTGCGCGGTGTCTTGGACGACACCGCTCCCCCAGCTTTGAGCAATATGCTGCACATCTCGTACCTCCTAGCCAAATTCCAACCCTGAGAAACATGGTACGGAACTACCAGAGCCCAGTCAAGCGGCGTAAAACCCTCCGAGTCGCAGAGGTTAGGATCTGCTCCGTTGTGTATCAATTCCTCCGCTAACGCGGGTGGCGCCACATGTAACGCTCGGGCTCGACATTGAAGAAGGGTGTCTCTACCATAGAGATTAGCAGGAGCATCTGGACTCCAGCCGTGTTGAAGCGCCAAGACTATTATGGTGAGCAGGGCCGAGTCTGGGATGCGGTACTCCTGCTCGGTTGCCGATTGTGAGCTTAGAAGACTGTTCCGCCAAAGTTGCTCGCATAACAGAGAGACAAGTCGGGGCTCCATGCTCGCGTCGTAGCCGTTCTCTAGAAGGAGACGTAGGGTGACGAGGAGCCCGTCGTTGAAGTTCGTTTGCAGGGGTGCGAGGACGAGAGCGCCGATGGTGGGAAAATCCCATGGCGTGCCAGAGGACGCAGAAACCAGCCTCCCCAATGCTTTTGGCGGGTTTTTGGCTATCCAGTCCTTGAGACATAGCGCCAACCCACACGATGCCACGAGGGATATGAAAACATTATCTCGATTCCAACTTCGTCCCTCAAAGAAGATGGGCGCTTGATCGATGAAAGGGATGCTATACAGAAAGTCGAAGTGGCTGCTTCCGGTTGTGGCCTCCGACTGCTGAGCGTGGTAAGCAAGTCGTTCCAACGTTTCCTGCGACCTGTACGTGAAGGCGAAGAATTGATACCGCCCCCGGGGCGGGGCGAACGAGACCAGCTCTTCAAACAGGCCGTTCACGGCCTCGACATTTTTCTTGGCCCAACATTCTTGCAGACTCCAGTACTTCAGATGGAATGAGTGCCCGTTTTCGTCAATGATAACGGCCGAGTCCCCAAGTACAATTCTCTTGAACGGAATGCTTGCAACAAACTCAAACACGGTCTGGTGCATTAACTGGGCGCGTCCGGCCAGGCCGTGCTGCTTGATTTCAACCAACCCTCCACCCCACGTCGAGATCTCATCCCAGATCTTTTCGTACCGGCTTTCTTCGTCGCCGTCCATCGCATGCGCAATTGCGAGTGCATCTTGCGCCTCTTCAAACGTTCTGCAGTCCGATATGAGAACGGCGTCCCGCAGCTCGACAGTGGACATATGAGAACCTTGCAGGCGGACAAGTAGCTCGAGCAGACAGAAAGCTTTTCGTCGATTAGAAGCACTGATGCGTTCAACAATTCGTTTGTAAAACTCGGAAAGATCGTCTGGTAGCCCCCAAAGCCTTTCCTCCAGCGCTTGGGGCGAAGCATTTGGATCCGACTTGACCATCTCAAAGAGCTCACCGAGAGCCAGCCTGACCCAGAGGAATACCCCATTGGCCCTTGCGATAACAGCCGGGATGATGCGGACAATAGCAGGGTGGCTAATGCGTGATGATACTAACGACCCTGCTGCATATGTTTCCATGTCGTGTCTTGTATGGTCCTGGAGTGTGATGCCCGGATATGTTGAGAAATGCTCTTTGAGTGTTTTCCAATCCCGACCGGAGAAGCATACTTTCACCCGTGTCTTGGAGGTGCGAGAAGGCTGCACGAGGCCTTTAAGGAATCGGCTTATCATGTGGAGACTTCCATCAAACTCATCCAGAGCGTCGAAGAAAAGTAATAGGTCCACTTTCGTCGTGTCTTGGTCTAGGATTCGCCGGAGAACCCTCTCCAGCTTTGCGATCAAGCCATCATTTCCCTTTTGGTACTCCTTGGCCACACTTCTAAGGAAGTTAGCCGTAGGGATGTTGTAGTAAGGAGCAAAGCCTGCAGCGAGAGACCTCACTGTTGAGTTCACGGTTTTGATGTCGCCATCGACTGCCCTGAGTTCGCGGCGGAGAACATGCTGTTCGGCCTCGATGTGCTTGACGGCAACAGCTGCAGACGGTTCCCCATCATATTCCCCTAGCTTGACTTCAATTTTACGCAAATCATCTTCGATAGTTTTCTTTCGTGACTCGCTCGTCTTTCGTTGTTCACGTAAGGCCCGGTACTTGTCCCACGTAGGCCGGTGCTGGGCTTGGTAGTCGACGTAGTGAGGCACAAGGGTTCTGGTAATGAGACCTCTTAGAATTCCCTCAAAGGATTTCTGGATTGCAGTGCCGCGGTAGTGGAAGAAGAAAGCAGCCGTAATTTCGAGTGATGCGGTTGTGGGGTTGTGAAAGAGCTCCCAAGTCTGCTTGTTCTGGAGGATGAACTTCATGAGCGTCGACTTCCCCGAGCCCGGTTTGCCGCGGATCCAGAATAGCTTCGGACCGGACCATTCTTGTACCCAGGTAGAGAAGACCGGTAGGTCGAAGATCCACTCGAAGGTTTCCACGAAGGGCTCGCTGACTTGGTTGATGCGGAGCTCGAGTTCGGACGAGTCAAGGGCAGTCTGCAGAGCTGTCGCATTCGAGTTAGTTTGGACAGCACCCCACAAGAAGATAGGTAGTTGACGTACAATCGATAGATGACAGTAGATTACCTAGACCTTCCAACTTCCGTTCTCCCTCGGTATCTCGCACAATTGCCGACGGCACACCGGGATCCGGCGGGGGCTTCGTTTGCGCTTCTTCGGGCGCGTCTACATGATGGCCGTCCGCGTTGCGGTGTTGACGGTGCGCGGGGTCGCATAGCTCATCTATCAAGTGTATGATGGTTCCCAAGTCGGCATGGCCCTTGGAGAATTTGACCATATTCGCATGGTCCTCGTTGATGGGTATGGTCATTGATTTGTTCTTCCGCCAGTGGTAGCATGTCGCTGAGTCGAGGTTCACCAGAACGGCGGGGGTACCCGTCCTTTCCCAAGTACCACTGGGCCGTCGCTATAGAGAAAGGTAAGTCTTGCGGTCAAAATCAGCGGGATACATGCTTACATACCTTCACTGTGGGCGACAATTTGGTTTCGTAGGCCCAGTAGACAGGCGTAGTCCTGAGGAACGAAAGGCTCTCAAAACGTTTGTTCAGTTGCCGGACATAGTTGCCCCCGTTTTCGCGCGACAAGTCTTGCAGGAGGAACTCGTTTGCTTCTCCCTCGGCCATGGTCATAAGATGGCGTTGTTCCATGCCTAGGCTAGGGACTCCAAACATGATGGTCCCCATCACATTGTCAAGAACGCTGGACACAGCCGCATTGCTATCAGCCATTTCAACAAACGCCTCTTTAAGTACCAGCCCCCCGAGGCTGTGGGCTAGAAAAATGATTGGCTTCGCCGATGGAGAATTCCAACCGCCCGATTTCAGTCGGAAAACCAGACTTTGGGCAATGTCACTTATAGATTGGAACGAATCACTGCGCGTAAGGCTGGAATCGTAACCGTAAATAATGCTCCGGATGCCAGGCACAAGTCGAGGCAGAGCGTCCCTGATCCACATGAATGTTTTGTCGCGTCCCCGGGGCTGCCAAGATCCGAAGGGGTGGCTCGCCAGGCCCGAGATAGCGATGCAACTGATTTCACAGCCTTGGGTTAGCAAAAAAAAAAAAAAAAAAAAAAAAGAGAAGAAAAAAAGAAGAGAAAAGAAAAGAAAACTGAAAGTAGGTATCGGAGAACGGAAATTGACTGCCTACTCGGCCCGATGGGTGGTTGGTGGGTCGACGTCGTTGAGGACGGTCATGCCCTTGAAATGCGTGTCGAGAAGCAGGACTTGCCCTGGAGCGCCTTCGGGGAGGGGAATCGACCACTCATCTTCACCCGTGGTCTTCCGCAGTGAAGGAGGAAGTGTTTCGAACTGGGCAGTGGCCACCTTGCAGAGGGAGTCGTCCCAAATGTCGGATGTTCTTGCCAACGAGTACACAAGAACGTGCTCGACGGGAATGTTCAGAGCTCTGCCGACAAGCCGGCTGGCCTCGGCCAGACTGGAAACATGGCTTGGCAGGTTGCGAATCCGGAAAACTATCCGGTGCCAGTCCTGCGCATCCATGTTCGCCCCAGGGCGGCTTGGTTCTGCTCACGTTGCTCGTGCTCACGATTGTGGTGAACTAGAAGTGGGTTGGTTTCCCCGCAATTTGGGCAGCCAGTATGGAGGCGGCTTCGGGCTCCGGCTGTAAGAAAAAGAAACCCCCCCCACAGATAAGTTGCGCACACCCCAAAGCACCTCAATCTGGAAATTTTAGCCAACCACATTCCTTCGTAGTTGCAGTCCTCAATTCGACCAAGTTGCAACTGGTCTGATCACATCATTCCTTAAAACCCTTGGTAACAATAGGGCAATTGCGCCCAGTTCGATGTAGTCAATTTCACGGTTGCACCCAGTTTAAATAATACCAATTCCATCCTGTGAGCGCCGTGCCGCGTCGGCGGCCGGCACACCCCCGGCACACCCCCGGCACACCCCCGGCACACCCCCGGCGGCAGCGCCCCGCACGCGCAGCCTGACGTTGGGGTCGAGTTCCGATAGCTTGGTGGTCTCGCGGTGGTTGTGGCTTGGAGCTGATGTTGGGTTGGTGGATGAGATAATAGGGTGTGGTGGGCTAACATGTTGGGTTAGGCCTGGAGACCAAGCTCCTCGCTCATGTGCGGCCATTACCGTGAAGAACAGTAACATGTCACGGCTCACTGATTAATTTACAAGACCACAGAATCATTAGAGAACTTGAGCTTTGGTATTACTTAATACACGACAACTACCTTACCTATCTACCCCATGGGCTAGCGACGTCTACGAATCGTTAGAACGGAACGTTCGGTGCGAAGTGAATTGCCGCATCAAGTACTTGACAAACTCCGCTATTATTTGAAGACCGTATCCTATTACTGGTACAAGCCGTTATCGTTTTGATATTGAGTTTGACGCCTGTTCGTCGTCACTGAGCGAGGAGTTGACCCGCCCCTCGAATCATGATACTACCCCCTTAGCTGCCGTTTTGTTGCTAAACCTATGGAAACCCCTGTCCCATCAAGGTAATGACTGTTGTCTATCACGAGATAACATAACTGTGCCCAAGCATGTTGTGCTTTTGACCGTCTCGCAAAGTCCGGGTGCGAGGTCTTGAATGTTCAGGTGACGGAAAAAGGTTAGTGTGACTTATTATCACCAGCATAGCTGCCCCAAGCTCCCTTAGAGTGATGGCGCCGGAGATGGTAAGCTGCTGTTTTCCCGCTCGACCCGAATCACTCGTGTCCCGGCGGCTGACCGGCCTCCTTGCTCGGACGCCGAGCTTCGATTGTGTCCTCCTGGCAAGTGCGCTCCGGACCGAGTGCCCGGCATAAGAGTGGGCAGTAGGAACTCAGCTCGGTAGGGGAGGGCCCATATTATCAACAAGGTGGCCAGACCATTGTCGCTACTTCGAACTTGTGTTTTCGGTTTCTCGTGACGTTCGTCGTGGCTTCGTTAATGGGGTTGGCCAAGCCAAACCCATAGGCGTACTTCGTCTCGTTTGGTGAACCCGCAATCGCTAATGCTGATATTCGTGCGAGGTAAATGGAAATGGAAATTCCAATCTGGTGTGCTCATCCCTTCACTTCTCGATTGTGACCTCCGTTGTCTTGATGATTCCTTTAAACTCGGGATCATTCAGCGGCAATATGGCGTCCTCGATACTCTCTCCGCTGGCTTCCCCTTTGACCTCTGCGTGTTCGGCATGGATGGCGGTAGTTGAGAAACCCGAGTCTTTATGAGCTGCCGCAGACCAGTGTTTCTGTCCCTTGACCAGTTCGAACTGCCCCGAGACAGTCGTCTGCCGTAGGTATCTCCGTGCTGAGTTCCCAGTGACGGGAAGTCGGTCGAGAGCTTTACCCGCTCGATAGTAGTTTGCTCCTCGGTAGGGGTCGAGGGTTGTGGATAGCCTGAGGGCGCGGCCGAGAAGAGGGCGGAGGGTCGGAGCGCACGCGGCGATAATGCCGATGTCGAGTTGAACCCTTGAAATATGGTTAGCGCGGGGGAAGGGGGACAGGCAAGCTCAACCGCTGGAAACTGAACTTACGATCCAAAGAATGGAGCCCATGGAAGACTGCAAGACAATTAGCCAGGGCGTGCTGCAAGGGGGCTACTTTGAGAGCTTACAAGGTTCCATCGGTTTCGTAGACGTATGCAATGATGAAGATTGCTCTTGCTATTCCCAACCCTACCGCACTGCCCACTGGTTAGGAGGCCACGCAAGCACCGGGATAGGGGAAGCTTCTCACCAATATCCCCCACTAAGAATAGCGATCAGGTATATCCTCACACGCCTCTGGAGTTGCAAACTCCAGATCAGGGGTATAGGCAGCGTGGCGAAACAGATATCGGTCACGATGTTGCATGCTAAAGATCAAGGGTGTGAGGACAAGAAGATGTGTTCGGTAGAATGTAGAGGTAACTAACCGGCATTGAACAGGCCGAAATTCCGGTAGATCACCCTGCTGTAACACTTTGGTCGAAGTGACGGGTTCCACTGCCCTGCGATGGGCTTGCAGTAGGTCAGGAATGTGATAAAGGAGAAGAGGGTGTAGAAGCAAGTAAAGGCTGTCACCAATATTTGTCAACAACTTAACAACAACAGCTCGCAACCCAGGGACTCAGTAACTCAGGGGTAGCCTCGTACCGATCAGAGCCCACAAGATCCTGTTGTACCAGCTTCCCCTGCTCAAACGGAGCAGCGACAAGGCAATTGATATCTTGAGGAACCCGTAGGCAAAGCAAGCCTCAACGACGGATTGGAAGAACTGGGCTTCGAGTAGGGTGAGGAACTCTTTTGGTCGTATGGTGTCGATGTGTCTTCCGTAGCCGTTTCGACACGCAATAATCCACGAGGCGAGGCCCCCTATCCCGCATAGCTAGGTACATGACGATCACAATGGTTAGCGCGCTGTGCTGGTAGCTCTGATCGTACGAGAAGCTTGTTGGCTCACCACGGCCAAGACCATAAAGACATCATCCTTGCCGAAGGAACGCGACAAGAAGGCGCGGGTATAGAACCGAACCACCGCCGTAACAAACGCCAGACTCCAAAAGACGCAAACAGCTGCGGTAAAAGCGGTGGCGTTGTTTTCGGCGGCCCGTACTGGGTCGATGATGAATGTGAAGTTTCCTGACGACATGGTCACAGCTGCTGGCAACAACAGCACAGCAACCGCCCTCGGCGACGACGACGATGACAAGAGGAGAGCGGGGCGGAAAGGGTAAGGGGAGCCTCCTCACCTAGGCAAAAAGCGGGCGCTGGACGGGCTCACGCGCGCACAAAAAACCCAACCAAGCTTTGGACTTTTCCCTCATGCAGCGCAATTCATCCTCCCGCCAACAGGACGCAACCGTCCGGCCCCATTCTCGGCAGTGCTCCGAATTAACTCTAAATTGAAATCTGGGGTACAGGGCAATGAGCGGAACGGCGAGCCAAAAGCAAGGGGGCTTGAGGGGTACATGGGTCTTCGGTATGGACCTTGGTTCGTCTGAGATTGGTACTGCTACGTCAGGCTCAATAACTTGGGCAATACTGCTCGACTTGGCGGCATTTCCAGGATCGGCAGGCAGTTCAGAGCTGCCCTATGAGAAGGGGGGACCCAGAAATGGGAACAGGAAGTGGTTATTAACAGAAGTGCTTGCTTTTCGGAACTTTTGGCTAAACTCGTGCCGACCCCCCTTGACCAGGCGGGCCAACCAACGTCCCCCTCTGAGATCGGGATGCCAGATTTAGTTCAGGACCAGCCGCCCGTGTCGATTCTCTTCGGTTACCGCTGCCGCTGCTTGCCGTCTTCCGCGGGAGAGTTCTGATCCGCTGCGGGCTCATGCGGTGCGGGTGAGACCCATGGATCAAAGCTTCCTGCATTCGATTGTTGCTTATCTGGGTAGCTTGACAAGGTCTACACAGGTGTACCGGTAATCAGGAGGATGCTTGACGGAAGGCTTGTTGGCCTATTAGCCTGTTAAACGCTTAATATGCCGGTTGGGAATGAATACGTCTAGTAGACATTTCTACTAAGTTATCTTTTTCACGAGTGTTGCCCTTACCCTTTCGGCTATCAGCCCGGCTCTCACGTAATATCCCATACTCGCGAGCGGTACGAGTTGTCTCGGTCGGTACCTTGGTAGCTACCGCTACAAATTCACCAACACCCAACACGTGCGTACCTATTCCCCAGCACCCACCACATCACCTCCTAACATGGATTCTGATATGGATCACAAAATGAATTCGATGTCAAGTCTTGCACAAGGCTCTAGGATAAAATTCCGCACACCAGATAGAGAGATCGTTGTTTGACGTGGCTGGCTTCGTTGGGCCTCTAAGCTGACACGCAGCACAGAGCGGCCGCAAATGTTGGGTGGCTCAGAAGGGGTGTTTTGACTGGGCACGCCGCTGATAACAATATGCATTAGGCATTTCTGCGATTGGTATTTGAATGCTTTTCAGCCCAACTTTGCCCAATATAAAGAAGACAAAAAAGAAACTCAGCAATCCCATCTGATGCAGTCTACTCCCTGACCTGAAAGCAGCTAAGAACACAGCAGCAGTTTCCACCAGATGTAACAGCAAGTTAGTCCTTCTGTCCCTTGATTGCCAGCCCAAACCGTTAGACGGCAACAAGGACATCAAAATTGCGATATTCTGCGCACTACGCCACGAGCACGATGCCGTATCGCTCGTGTTCGATGACGTGTGGGGGGAATTCAGCAGGCACAGCCCCTATACAACGGGCCGTATTCGCGAGCACAGAGTCGTCCTCCTCTTGCTTGGTGGCTCGGGCAAGGTGAATGCCGCGAGGGTACTAGGAAATCTTGGGTTCCGCCGCAGCTACCCTGGCATACAACTGGGCCTTGTTGTCGGAATCTGTGGCGGCGTACCTCAAGCCAAGGGCGAAAAGATCTTTCTGCGCGATGTGGTGATTAGCGAGGGCATTGTGCAATACGATTATGGCAAGCAATATCCCGACAGGTACGAAGGCAAGGACGACGTCGTATGCAACTGGTGTGCATTGACTAGACACTAGGTAATTTGCATTGATAGGGGATCTTTGGCATGAACTTTTTCGTCTTCGACACCGAAGCCCGCAAGATTGTCATTGCCCATGACTTTTGGATCTTCGTCCTCGCCTGGCTGGGCCTGTCATTCCTGACGGGGCTCATATTTCTGTATACTTGGTGGAAAAAGGGGCGGGACGGGAAGAAGAAGGCCGAGGCTTTGGCGACTGCTATCGAAGATGGGGCAGGAAAGAGAGCCGGGACGGAGGTGACGCTAGGTACGGGGACCGGGGTCGTAGCAGTTGATTCTAAGACATGGCGCCAGTGAGGTACTTAAAACGTGGAAGAGCTCGTACAGATACACTCCTCACCATCTTCATCTCCTCCAACGCAATCCCCTCAGTCTTCTCTTGAGAAAGCTTGATAACCGTACCACCGTACCCATCGAAAACCCCTGCTCCACTGCTTCTATCTCAGCCCGCACACAATCCGCATGCTCTTCGAGATTGAGCCCGCCCGCAATGCCGGATTGTTATTCCGTGCTCGGTTATAGAGATAGCCGCGGAGCAGCAGCAGCCCGGGTCGCACGGCAGAGACTTTGTACATGTTCCACACGTGCTGTATTAACCCGCGGCATTGTTTTAACCTGGAACCGCTTTGGAGTCAAGAGAGACTGAAACAGTTCATGATAAGTTGTCTTGACGTTCATGAAAGGTGATAGAAAGGCCGAGCCTTAAGCTTATGTTGTGAGCAAAGCAGTAAATCCTTCTGCAGTAAATCCTTCTCTAGTGCTCATCTATCATTTTGGCTAAAAGGAGAGCGGTAAAAGGGGGTCCGAGTATGACGAGGGTCTCCAATTCAAGATGTAAGTAAACCGGCCGATCGCTCAACTCACCGCTCCTCTATTGACTCTACCTTAGCTCGTGGTCTTAAACATGTCTCCAGTTGGGAGAAGACATGCGCCAGCTACCCAGGGTGGTGGTGACCAGTTCCGTTAGTATCACGCGGGGTCGTAAAAACACAGGCAGCTGCTTCTCAGATAAGTCTCATGTTCAATTGTTGGTCATAGTACAGGCATGAAATTGGGTAGGTAGATCTCGTCTCTATTTCTCAAGGTAGGTATGATACATATAGGTCGCCACTTGGTTCCAGTTGACCGGGAACCTTGTTTATTGATCCCCCAAGTGCCACGCTTTCGCCTACAGTTTCCCCTGCGACCACCACAGAATCCCTGGCACTCAAGCAGAGGAACCCTCCCGCGCCAGGATCTCGCCACGCTTCTTGAGCCACTCGACCTGTTCCGACTCCAGAACGGATTCCGACCCCTCCCAGCGGCCAAGCAACTCTACTACAAAGCCGTTGAATTTCTTGTAGAGGTCCTGGACGCACGTATGTCCATCGGGTTGCTTCGGCCCCGGGGTGCAAGACTTGCCCAAGACACGGCCCATCGTCTGTAGCAAGAGGAGGATGCTCGAACGGCAATCCTTGGCCTCTACCGGGATCTTCCCGACGACGCCCTCCTCCAGACGCTTGTTGATGTAGCTGTCTAGTAAGGCATTGCATAGGGCGCGGTTCACCGCGTTATGGGGAAAAGGGGATCCCATTGCCCGTTCGAGGAACTCGAGCCCCGGAATGTCAGACATCTTCTGGCAGCTGATGTCCGCTACGAGCCGATGGAAAAAGTCGAGGGCGGTCTGGATCAGCTCTAGCTGGCGCTTGCCCACTGTGTCGAGAAGTTTCGGAAGCGATGTCAAGATTCCAACGGCATCGTAGGCCAAGTTCACTTCGCTGACCATATCGGCCAGACTCGCCGGCGTCAAGTCCGAGGCGAAGATGAGCCTCCGAACATAGTCCTCCACCACCCCTACGGCGCCCAACTGCCAGGCCAGTTCCAGCTGGTATAGGAAGCCCGAGCTCAAGGCCTCGGGGCCACCGCGGATGCGCGAGCGCAGGCGGGCGTGTGCGAGCCAGTCGGAAACGAAGGGCTGCAGCAGGGGCAGAGTGCCGTACCTATCGGCCGTGGCGACGAATTTGGAGATCTGGGTACAGATGCCGTTGATGTCTGGATCATCAGTTGACCATGTCGGCACCATGTCCGGCCGGTCGTAGATGAGGGCCAGCTGTACGAGGATAGGTAGCGGCTCGTCGTCGTCGGGCAGTAGGACGATCCAGTCCTCCTCCTTATTGGTGGGCCTCTGACGCTCCTTGCCCTCAGGCCCGAATATTGTTTCTTTCCAGACCGGCGAGGCCCGTTCCATAACATCGATAGAGACCCTGTAGCGGTACGTCCGTTTGCGGTGGGGTGCGTTGTGGTCGGGGCCGACCACGTCAAGCAGAAGTTGGCCCTTTTTATCGAGGACGAGGAACTCCTTGATAGGTGACTCTTCGGCAGTGGGGGGTGCCTGGGGGGTCGTGGAAGCAGCATCGTCGGTCGTGGAAGTGACATCGTCGGTCGTGGAAGCGGCATCGTCGATCCGGAACACCGTGAAGTCCATGTCCTCTATGTCTTCGGGCGTGACATCGTTGGTCATGAGGACCACGGACGGCATGCCCGCTATAGTTGTAAACCTTGGTGTGTAAGACATTCTGAGGACGGTTAATGACTGGTCGGAAATGGAGGTGGATCAGTACGATGAGGAAGAGCAAAGATCGGAGGTCTTATACAGTGTGGTCTGGTTACCACTTACTTTTCTGCTTTGTTGTGGGAAAATGACGGCAATTTATGTGCAAGAATTTAGCAGCGTTCCGAGACCGTTCTTTGTCTTTTTGGGGAGAACAGTCAAGTTTTGGTGCTTAGAACAAGTGTGCTGTGCGGGTCAAACGTGGTTGTTGTGGTTGTGGCCAGAGCTTGTGAATAATTAAAGTGAATAAAGTTGCCGGATAATGGAAGTTCCAGCTGTGAATCGGATACTTGCTTCCACGTTGATTACCTGACTTTCTTCCGCGTTCTTCCGATAAGGCCATCTGCCTCATTCATCGGCGGCAAATCATGATAATAATCTAATAATCATGATAATTACCAGGTATCAAATCCCTATACGCATAGTGAAGATATCAAGCAAACTCATCCCGTATGTTCCATTTCCGACAGACCAAACACCCTCTTCCTCTTAGCCCTTCTCATTATTTTCCTGACTTCTGCTTTCCTCAAACCAGACCGGCAAACCGCCGCCCACGCAAACGGACCACGGCGAATGACTCACCAGGCCACATCCATGATTCCAGTCGGGTTACACAGTAGGTAAGGTACCTACCCAAAAAGTAACAGCAAGGCATTACCATTTAGCCAGTCGGTGTGACAGCGACTGCACAATCTCCCCAGCTCCCGCGAACGCGAGCTCATCCATGATGATCCATCGTCTCAAGCCACAGAGCCTGTGACAACCCAAAGGTATGAGCCCGACGACAGGGGGGAAAGTGTGATTGTTCCCTCTGATTGTTCCCTCTCTTCATTGCGATACTAAAGCTGACTACCTACGTACTTATGGACTCACTTCATTCAGTAATTAGCAGAAATCCCGTTCAAGATCAACCCTCCATGTCCCTAGTAGATTGGCCCGATTACTGAGCCAATCAATCTGTTTCGGTTCCACGAGTTCAACGAGATACCAGGGGTTAAACCGGGCTTTCAAATGGCTGCGCAAGCCATAGAAGCCATAGCTGGCGTGCTGGTGGCACCACTGGTGCCCCGGGAGTGGAACGGGTTCGAGATCGTGGGACGCGCCGATAGCAAGGTCCATCTTGTCCAGCAAGTCGTCGACGCTTATATGAACATCCTCGGCCCCCCTCGGAAATCCCTCCTCTGGCAGACGGCCCACGATCTCGCTAAGCACAAAAGCGTTGCAGCGGCTTCGCTCCAGGGCGTGGCGTCTCCGTAGCTCTAGGATGATGAGCGAGTTCTTGAAGTACGGTACCATTCCTCGTTCTACGGCCAGGCGTCCATAGAAACGGCCCCAAATATGTCGCCCACGCAAAACATGTTTGTGCTTTTGCTGAGGTCGTCCATCATTCCGTTGTCGTTGCTGAGGCCGTCCATAAATTCATGGAAGAAGTCTAGGGCGGACTGGGTCACATCCTGCCGAAAACCTGTGATGGTGCGGAACACGTCCCGGAGAGATAGGGACATCCCGATACGAGGCCCGTCCTCTGCGGCGGCGAGCAGCGCTTCCAGCCTATCCCCCGGCAGCTCAAAGATAAAACGCCAGATAGTCTCCGTCACCACTTCTTTTTGTCCCAGCTGCCACGCGATGTTTAGCCGGTAAAGCGGCCCGAGGGGGTCGTCTTCACTACAAGTATAGTGGGACGGTTTGGTGTGCGGTACCCACTCGTGGACAAAGGGCCAGAACAGAGGTATAAGGCCGTACTTGTCGGCCGCCGAGAGGATGCTCGAGATGGCCTCGAAGGACGCGTGATGTACATGTTTGCCTGACCACGTCGGTACAAGGTCTAGCCGTTCGTGAACAATGGCGAGCAGCACGGCTATAGCCATCGGCTGCTCGTCTGGGAGCGCCACCACCGATTCTTCACCGTTGGCTGGCTTCCGTTCCACCCAAGGCCCAGAGAGCATCGCTTTCCACACGGGTGAGGCTCACCTCATGGCCCGGGAACAAACCCTGAAGCGGTACACTCCCCGAGGCCGCCATGCGTGGTGGTCAAGGGAGTGAGTGACTTTGCAGACAGCAACAAGGATGACAAATGGCAGAAGTTTGCAGCAGCGACGGCAGCTTCCGCGGTAAAGGCCCTGTTACATCACATACCAACAACATTCAAGTAGTTGAATACTTTAGGATCTTGGTGGCAAAGCTCAGGTGTCTTTCATGATTCACTACTAGCTAGGTACCTACCTACCCGCCAACACTCCCCTAGCACCCACCACACCACACACACACTCACACGCACCCCAACACCTCCCCCCCGCCCTCAACCTCCTCCACCACAACCCTCATCCCAACCCTGACCAACCCACCCGCCTCCACCGTGCCCATCACCCCCGCCGTGCGCCCCACGATCCGCCGCTCCCCGTCCCGCACGATAAACTGCTCCTTCAAGCCTGCCCGGAACCGGTCGATCTGCGGGCATGGGTTGCGCAGACCCTGGATTACGACGACCGCGTGTGGTGTCTGGAGGGTTGTGGCGGTGGCGTTGTCGTCTTCGTCGGTTGTGCTGGCGGGAGTGGTGGTTGTGGTGTTGGTTGTGATGGTGGTTGTGGTGGTGCTAGGGGTGGTAGGGGTGGGTGGTGGGGGGAGGAAGTGTAGTTTGGTTCCTTTTCCTAGTGCGAGGAGGTCGATGCCGATGGTGGTGACGTTCTCGCCCATCTGGCCGGGCGCGACGTCGCAGGCGTCGAGGATCTCTTTGGGGATGAGGTGCACTTGGCGGAGGTTGGGGGGAGGGGGTGAGATGTGTAGGCGGCTGCGATGTTGGACGGCTAGGATTGGGTGGGGGTGTTTAGTAGTTTATAATAGAGGGGAGATTAACAGGTTGGGATGCGTGGGTTAGACGTACTGACGCCGAGGTGGCAGTCGCCTTCGACGCCTAGGCCGGCGAGGAGGTTGACCTCCGGGACGAGGGTCTTGGTGAACTGGTGGGAGGCGGAGAGCGCAAGAGCGTGGACGGACATGGTAGTAAGCAGAGAACGGGTTGAGTCTTGGTCTGGGTGTTTTTATTGCCAAGGTCATATGGCTAGACGTGTTTCCATGTGAGGGGATGAGTTGGGCATTTCGGGTGACGGTGACTCACGTCAAGTGACATGCCAATGAGATGGTTTACCAATGGGTATCCGGATAATATGTGCCGCTTTGTCTCAAGTAGCCGTCTTAACTCCGGATGGTGCCATTGTGTTATGATAGGAACCATAACGCCTGGTGCATCACGGGCTCATAGCCCATTTTTGATCTCTATTGCGGGTGCTGCCTAAGGTAGGTAAGGTACCTACCGTAGGTAAGGTACCTAGGTAAGGTACCTAGGTAAGCGGACGACACTGAGTTTCGCTTAATAACTGATGCCTCTTGTTGTTGGTGTTACTTCATGGACTTTTTCGGGAGCCCTCCATGTAGATATTTCTAGCATAATTAGGAGCTAAAAGGATGGGTTGGGGATCAAAGCTAAATCGTGGCTGTTCTTGAACAACAGCCGTTATTACCTTAAAGAGGACTGAGTACCTACCTACATAGTTGGCACAGCTTCAAAGGACCAAACCCAACGACTATTTGGTCATATTTAAATCAAAGTATCCGAACCATTGGACGAAAGGCCGCGATGCAACGACCCCCCACGGCACGGTTAACGGCAAATAAAGACCCAAAGTCAAGTGAGCCGGCAACACCAACGAAGCCACCATGGATAATCGTCCAACCATCGCCATCAATCGGCGCCGCAACCGCGTCGCCTCCAAGATCCGCAACCCCGCCAACACTTCCCGCTTCACCATCAACCACAACATCCGGCCCTTCCTTAACAAGCTCCGGGAGGAGGCGGAATTCAAATCCAAAGCGGATGCGGTCAGATGGCTCAAGTCGGACGAGGTGTTCCCCTACTGGCGCGAGTTCAAGCGGGACTGTCTGCAGTACCTGCCGCAGATTAGAGCCAAGTTCTCGTACCACAGCCCGGTGACGCGCCGGTACAGACTGTGCGTGTTACGTGCCCGGGGGCTCCTGTCGAGCCGAGCCGTCAGCCGAGTGCTAGGCGACGAGCGCCTGGCCAAGAAGCTGCGGCGGTCCGTCAGCAACAAGACCAAGTGGTCCTTCAACTGCCACGTCGCCTGGTTTGTGTCCCGGGTCTACTATAGGTGCTGGGAGGCGAAGAGGGACGCGGGGACTCTGTACCCGCCGGCGTACTGGGCGGGGTCGGCTGACGATGGGCAGCAGCCGTGGCGGTGGGTCGAGGTGCTGGCGGATGTGCTGATGACCCTGTCGATGATCGAAGAGCGGCAGCCGGGGTGGGGCGAGGTGTTCGGTGAGGAGGAGGATTAAGAGAGCGAGGGGGGCGAAACGGGGCTTTGGACCAGGGGCTTTGGACCAGGGGCTTTGTTGTTGGTGCTCGCCGTTTTGTACTCACGCTGGGCGGCCGACCTCCCTGAATATATCTAAATATGATTAATGAACCGATCCAAGACTGAATTTAGTAATTACTGAGTGGGATGGTGTTAATGATGAGAATAATTACCCTGCGTTGTGAACTATGATTACGATGATTACACGAAGTGCTTGTTGCTGCTGTTAGCTATTTCTAACACCAGCTTCTCGGACAACGTCAGGACAACGAAGGGAAAATGGAAACGGAATTGGGATTGGATTGGGTACCGAGGTACCTATGATCTGCTCGCAGCTGAGTAGAAAGTAACTCGGTACCCCCTGAATCGTTCCGGACGGATGTTGGGTGTTGGGCGAGGCCGCTCGGTTGTGTCATGCATGGTAGTTGACTGTGTCATGATTCTACCTTTACCGTTGTGACAGAGCACAGGACTAAAACTGTTACATTCAGGCCTACCGATGAGATCGCCAGTTATTCTGCCACTTCATTGCCGTCAACGAAATGTTCTTGGGAGAGGGTTAGGGTCAACCCCTTTTCATTGCACTTCCCGTCGACTCCCTCCGTAGTACACGGGGGAGGTACCCGGTGGCGCCAGGGGCCACAACGCAAGTTAACTTGGGCATTAACTGCGCCGTTTCTGCACCTAAAAGTGCATTCTCTCCTTGAACCCGGATTTCCGCATCTTTGCCAGCTCGGGCGAGTCAACGTGCGAGCCAAACTCCAAGTCACCCACCCTCCTCGGAAAACGGCCGAGGGTGGCTGAGCCCAGGGTGTCTCAACAAGGAAGGTCAAGCGATGATCCCCCGCGAGGTTCCAAGAGAGTGCTGACACCCGCACAGGAGCACGTGGACCTCCAGTGAGTGTCACGGAGACAGTGGAGCATGAGGCTCTGGTTAACTTGGCCAAACTAGGACTCTCCAGGAGTTGTCTTTTGTCACTGCTAGGTGGGACTCCTCAGTCCTCTCCAGCATGAACGGTTGATGTCGTCGCCCCCGGACCCGCCTCGAAAAGACTGGAATTCTCCAACAGAAAACGGAAGGTGAGGTCGCCGACGAAAGTGCCAAACAAAACAGTCAAGCTGCATCTTCAAATCTTGGATCCTGTCACACGGCGGAGAGTTGGACCGGCCTTACGGTCTCGTTTTCTCCAATCTGTGGCAGTGCGGGCGCTGATTGGGGACCGAGCACTTGGCACCAACCCAAGACAGGGACAGGGTACATTGTGATGAGCAAGGGGCTGAGAGCCCCTCACTAGCAAACTTTCTCATGGCCGCTGCGTCGCTGTGTTAGTGGAGAGGATGTTGAGCCAAGCTCCCCATGGTGGGAGAATGCACGCGATCACACCCGAGAGCGAAGCTAGCTCAGAATAGTAACAGACAGCTGAACGCGGTCGCGCTGGGATCCGAAGTTTAATACAAGATGGGGTTGAGAACCGCCCGCTCTCAATTTCCCACTGCTCTGTGGCCGACGTCACGACATTTCACTCGTTCAGCATCGCAATGATGGCGGCAACGACGTCGATCATGGCCCGCCTGGCCCTCTTTGTCTTGTTTCTTTCCCATCTCCAACCCGCGCTCGCGTCCTTTTACACAGTCACCTCATACTTTGCGCTCACTGAGACCGAGTCAAAGCTGTACTCGACATGCACCGAAGACTGTCGCTACTATACCGTGACGAGAACCAGCACGATTCACCCGACGGTCACGCCCACCGCGGACCCCATTTCTACGACCACCAGAACTTACACCTATGATGACCTCGAGGTCGTTAGCGTCTTCGTTGCAGCGAGCGACGTCGACGATGACGATCTTGTCACGGGAAGGATCAGACCCGTTAGCAACATCTACACCGAGTACGTGGTTCCCGTGGTTTGGACAGCGCCCTCATCCTGCCCCACGGCTTTCAGGGTCACAACCTACTCCCGCGTCTACCTGCCGTATGATGTGAGGCCGCACATGACGGCTGCCTCAACTGCCACCTCGATATACACAAACACCCGGCAAAGGGAAACGGTAACCTGGGTGACCAAAATCATCGACGTGACCGCTATTCCTCCGTCGTCACGCCCCACGGGCGAACCAACGAGCGAATACTACTACACGCGCTATGTAGAGAACTGCCGCAACCCCACGGCGACGGGTGGCGCAGAGTACTACGGCCCGACCTACACCGCGGGGAGCGGCGGCAGTGACAGCGGCAGCGGCGACGGCTCGTGGACCGAAGACGACGACTGGGACTCGGACTGGAACGTCTGTTCGGCGTACACGGGGTGCGTGGCGCTGGCGACGTGGGTTATTGTGATCGCGGTGCTCCTCCCGACCATCTTCTTGATCGGCTTCATCGAGTCGTACTGCTGGTTCCGGCGCATGATGCTGGGCCGGAGCGCCCTGCGCCTGGGCACCATCTGCTGGTGCGTCATGTCGCTGTGGTTCATCCTGCTCACGCGCAAGTCCAAGGCCCGGAGCCCGGAGGACCAGGAACTGCTGAAGAAGTACTGGGCTACCCTGAGCGCCGGCACTAGGATCAAGTACTGGTTCAAGTACGGCTTCCGCTGGAGATACCCCGTCGAGCTGCTGGGTAACCCGGATGGCAATAATCCTATCATCGTTGCTGCGCCGCCGGGCCAGTTCCCGCCTGGCCAGCCGGGAGACGGGTCTGAGAAGCCGCAGGCCACAGCACAACAACAGCCGGTATATAACATGCAGCCTGGGCAGCAGCCCTACCCGGGGCAGCCGTACATGCAACCCGTTCCCGGGCAGCCGTACATGCAACCTGTTCCGGCGCAGCCATACATGCAGCCGTATCCCGGGCAGCCGGGTGTGCCCCCTCCCCAGGGATACATGATGCCTCCGCCAGGCCAGCAGCCAAATTTCCAGTATGGATTCGCGCCGCAGATGGGTAATGGGCAGCCGCAGCAACCGCAACAGCAGGGGCAGCAGCAACAGCAAGGACAGCAGGGCATGCAGCCACCCTACATGCCCACACCCTCCCCGGCACAGACAGGGACCACCGAGCTTCCCTCAGCGCAGCCAACGCCGCCACCCGGCCACGAGTCTCAGCCCTCCCCACCGGTGCACCAGCAACAACAACAGCAACAACCACCTCCTTAGACGGGACATTCCTCGCCCCCCTTTTCTCATGACATATTTTCTTTTTCTTCATGGCAACTTCGTTAGACTTCTCCCAACACAACGCAAGTCAGTCTGCAGCCGTCTCAGCAATGTCTAATGTGGAGGAGTGGAGGGCTTTATTAGGGGCTTTATGTATGGATGAGCAGTTTGCAAATGATACCAACCTTGTTTTCTTCCATGCGCACCGCACCTTTCACCTGCTTGATGTTGAGCTTCGTCATAATTCTTGTGGAAATCAATATCATCCACCCTTTTCCCCGACCTTCACGCTCCAAGTTTTGGCTGTTTACTGTGATTTGATCTAGTTAGCGTGTTTTCCGACAGCTGCCATTGTCAGACAACCGGAAGGATTTGGTGTTTGAGTTGCTGATCCGACTGGGCAACTGCGGACAAAAACATTTCAAAACGTTTTCTCGCCCCCACCCTGCTGCCCGACCAGTTAGACAGTATTTACACCCCTGAAGTTAAAACGTTTTGTTCAATTTCCGCCCCCAACCCTTGGTCAATCTACCACAGCCCCAAAAAAACTCTCAAAACTTTTGAGGTCGTTTCTGGATCAAGCAAGTGGACGTGTTGGCAAGCGTTATGGAGGGACGAATTCGTTGTCTTTGCCGCATGCCACCGCACGTATCATCCGCAGGTTCCGGTCTCACCTAGGGGGACGAGAAGGTTGAACCAGGAAAGAGTTTCGAAACTTTTAACGGTCACCCGCAAATGATAATATCAGACCTTGCCCGCCACACCGAGTGGCCACCACGCAGGGGAGCATTGTTAGATATATATACAATGGTCGCCGCTGGTTACTGTCGTCTTTCCCTCTCTCATCCCATGGTCCTTTTCTCCATTCACTGCATCGTTCAGACCGTTCCCAGTCTCTACGATTACGTCCCCTATTCCGCACAACAGCCCGCGACATTCACCCGTCAGACCTCTTTCAACAGCAATTCTCTCAAGATTACAACCATCACCCGCCACGTTGCTCCCCGTCCAAGTGCCCGTCGACCATACCAAGATGTCGCACTCATCAAACCCCTCGGCCACTCTTACTGAGGATGCTCCGTCAGTCTCCCAGTCCGTTTGCGTTGAGCTCCCAACCGTTTGCTTACCCCTGACTTAGCGGTAAATCCGGTGACGATGGCCCGAGCCCTGCGTTGACCACGTATGAGAAGGCCCGCCCGTTGGAGGGGCCTGCAAGCGAGTGGTTGCACGCCGGTACCTCCCGGGGTTCCGGTGGCAAAGAGGCAAAAAGTAAAATGACCGCTTGGGATAAGGAGTGGGCTGCCCTGTCGCGAAAGCGGTGAGGGTGGCGGTTGTTGACTTGAAGGATAACGAGCGGGGGATCCCGCTGGCGGTTTTCTGCCCAGAGTTTGAATAAGTTAGAATAATCCAGTACTGTATTTGATGTCCCATGTTCAATTAGGTACTCTTACCGAGCGTAAGTTCACACGACGTGAGGTCGGACTCCAATGCTCCCTTGGGCCTTTCACGTACTGCATAGGTACCTACCTAGGCAACTTGTGATGTGGACAATTTGTCTCTCGTGACATTCCATCCTCTCAACTAGAAGTACATGGCTAGAGGTTTCTGTCCGTGCATCTATCTCTGATCATCGTTGGTGTCGTTCCCCGAGGAGGCTAGCCAATCACTGGTGTTTTGTGTGAACAGTTGGACCCTTCTTCAGTTGTGGGTGAAATGCTTGGGCCCAGTGTCATCTGTGTTCTTCTGATTCAGGTGGTAGTTCATAATCATTCCATTCGTGGCGTTTCCATCATTATGGCCTGTGTTGAGATCCCCAAAACAGCCTCAAAACGAGGGAACTGAGCATCCTTTAAGTGAATGCAAACGTCTATGGACGAAGGACAATAAGAGAGGAAACGGAACACAAGCTCCGGAAAGACCATACCACAACACCAATTCCTACTACCATCGTTCTCATCCTCAGAAGTCTAAGTTCCCTTGCCTGCGCTGCCGTGCCTGGCGTGAAACTCTCCAATCTTAGCCACCAAATCGGCCTTAGCCGCTGGGGCAACGGACTTTTTGGCCCTCAGGAAGTTCTTTCTGCACAGGATGCGATCCGCTCCACTTCTCTGCTCCCCTTCGCCGCCGTCATGCGCTTTCTCGCCCTGCTCGCGGTGGATCTCCTCCACGGCGTCAAGAGCGGCCTCAAAGGCAAGATCGCGGAGATCCGACCCCGTGTAGTCGTTGGTGTGCCGCGCAACCTCGGCGAGGTCGACATCGGGGTCTAGTTTCTCCCCGTCGAGATGCAGGCGGAGAATGGCCTCGCGACCGCGGACGTCGGGAACGTCGACCAGGATGCGCCGCCCCAGCCGGCGCAGTATGCCCTCGTCGATGTCGAATGGCCTGTTGGTGGCTGCCACGACGATGGGCTTGTTGGAGGCCTTGGCGCGGATGCCGTCCATTTCGCTCAGGAACTGGTTCAGGAAGTCGACGTGATAACTGGGGGTCTGCGATGCAGACCTCGACCGGAAACACGAGTCGGCCTCGTCGATGAAGATGATGCAGGGGTAGTGGCGGCGGGCATATCTGAAGAGCCTCTGGACATTCTGCTCCGCCACGCCCACCAAGCAGTCTTGGATGTCTGCGTAAGAGATGGCCAACATCTTCGCGCCAGATTCCTTGGCGAGCGCGCGAATGAGCATGGTTTTGCCTGTCCCGGGCGGTCCGTAGAGCAGGACACCGGAACTCGCTTGGCGAGAAAGGATGCCAAATTCAAAGGCCTTGGCATCGCGGAGCGGAAGAGTGAGCTGTCGGAGAGAGCGAATCGTGTCGGGATTTGCGTGGACTTGTGAAAAGGTCGTGTTTATTTCATCTTATGACAGTAAGGTTAGCTACCTAATGTACCTAAGCAGAATGAGACTCGACGGATCAAGATTCCTTACCGGGATGAACAACACAGCTGGCAAATTGCTTGTCCTCCTTATCGTCCTCCGCCCGGTTTCGATCCGGCGGGCATATGAATGGATGAACCGGATCGACGACGGCTGGAATACTCTCCGGTGGGGAAGCTAACCCACGTGCATGGTTTGGTTCCGGCGTACTTGGGGATGGAGCAACCGGATCGAGAATTGGGGCAGTCTCCCTTGGGGAAGCTAACTCAAGTCCATTGGTACCGTTGACAGGCTCGGTTGGCTCATCCATTCCTTCTTTTCTGCTATCTTCGTCCCGCGTTGCCGGGGGTTTGTTGTCCTCCTCACTCTCTCTTTTTTCCTTTTCGGGAGCGTCGATACACAACTTCTTTGCATTGGTCTCCGGTTCGATGCTGTCCGGGTCTTCTGTATGCTTCCGCTTTTGAGAGGTGTGATCACATACTCCAGGTAGGACGAGGGCGTCGTTGGAGGTGGGAACAGCGTCGCCAGTGTCATGGGAATCAACACCTGGTGATTCCATCCTAGCGGGTGTGCTTGGGGGGTTACTGCACATGTTGAGCAGATCGGAGGCTCCCTGAGCGGGTAATGGGACGTTTTGAACGGGATAGAAGGCGGCCAGGAATGGAAAGTGGTATATGGACTGAGCCGTTATTTTCAGGAATTACAATGTAGGTGTGGAAAGGGGGGCGTAACACTGCTTGTATTTATGATGATGGCAATGCGGTGAACCTGGATGCAGCTGAGAGTGATTAGTATGAGACGCTTGAGCAGGCTGTGTCGGCGAAAGGTGTATAGGCCGCGGGTCATCATTCACGTATGCGCGCACCCGGAACGCCCGGCGTTTCCGACCTGGGAGGCAACCAAAGGCAACCGGCGCTGTTCAAGGCTATAAAACGTTTCGAAACTTTCTTGGTGATCTGGTCCTATCATCCATTCACGGCCATCGCCACCGAAAAGTTTCAGGGGCGGCCGACCTGCAGCCAAGTCAGTCAGACCCGGAGGTCCTCGTGTCCGTTTTGAATATGCCTAATCCTTTACCGCCTTGCAAAAGTTTTGTACTTTTCTTAGTGGTCGGGTGGACGCCACACTAGGTCGCCTTGCATGCCTCGGGTAGCAAGGTCTCAACGTTGCCACACCACCCAGTGAAAGGAGCGTGGAGCTCGTTCGCCTCGTCCGCCTCCTAGGTAACTATTGAACTTTCTCACTGCCTAGTGAAAGCCTGGGGGGGCTGGGTCATCTTTCCCGTCTCTTGGGCAACAATTTGCCACTCCGCCTCGTGAGAGCCTCGTGTGGCTTGGCCGCCTTGGTTGGTCGATTGGACCGTCGCGGCGCTTACAGATGCAATAGGATGCAAGAGCTCAGCTCCCCAGTTGATTTAGGGGTGAAGGCAAACTGGCGAACCACTGCGGAGGATGCGAACCGGGATCACAAAGGGGCCGAAGCCACAATGCGAAACGAGGAACATCGACCGCAATATTCCTTAAACATGTGCTGTTCATCCCGACATCTGATTATTAGGTATTGAGCAGATCTCTCAGGGAAAGGCACTTCCGAACCCCCCCCCCCCCCCCCCCCCCCCCCCCCCGCCCCCAGATCAGTATCAAAGACCCACAATCCTGAGAGCAAAGTGATATCCTCGACATCGCTTCCATGCCTTCTTTACAAACTGTCCCTGGCGCGCAGAGGGCAGAGAGAGCAGACCGAATCCCAGAAGCGGAATGGGAGGAACATCGAGAGATCATCAAAAGTTTGTATCTCGACCATGGCATGCGACTGGAAAGTCTTACTGCCCACATGGAGAAGACGTTCGGCTTCAAGGCGAGGCAGGTAACATGACTTGCGGTCCGGCGTGGAGCGAGGTCCAACAACGGACTGCTAATTACTTGTTTTGTGAATCGCAGTGAACAGCAATACAAGATCCAGTTTAACAGGTGGAATCTGCGAAAGAACAAGAGGCGGCTCGACCAACGGGCCCCGAGCCCAGATCTAGGTGTGTCTCGGTCTTCCACACACCCGTGAGCCCGTTCCATTCTTGCGCAGAATTAATGAGTACTTTGTTTGGACTACAGAGCAACCGCGACTGGCACACCCAACGCTGCGTACCAACGGCTACCCAGCACATGGCAATGCTCAGCTCGGTGGCGTAAATCCCATCAACGAAGGTCCTATGGATATCCAAAATCTCCCTGTTTCATGGAATAACGGTTTCAATGCCATCGGAGGGGTTCAACCATCGGGACTGGAGGCCGGGTTCGCGCCGGTCGTCCCGTACTCCAACCCATACTATTACGCACCGACGTATGGCGCCCCGCAACCCCCTTACTACGCACAGGTACGTTGATTGTGGACATTTTATCCTTGCCGCCTCCCGTTTATTATGTGATTCGAGCCATCGCGAATACTGACAAAACACATCACATGATAGGCACAGCCCCCGATGAACACCACAGGTTTCCCAGCTCCGCAGTTCAACGTTCAGTCGGGTAGCCAGGCCGCACAAGAACACTTCCGGCTCAACCATTATGTTGACGGCAGTGGTGGCGCCTCGCAGATGCCCACACGACAAGCGTCTTGCGGTAGCACCACTGCTACCAAGCCCTCACGGCAGGCGATCCACCAAACCGTCCAATGTGGCTCCTTGAGGGGCGCAAAACTCCTACTCGACGCCGATCCAGAGTGCGCACACGCCCTTGACGAAGAGAACATTGGGCCTGCGTGGATCGCGGCCCAGGGAGGCTATGCGGACATCCTCAGGTTGTTGATCACGCAGAAAGTCAAGCTCAACGTTCCAAGCCATAAAAACAACCGCTACGCAATTCACCAGGCCGCCCAGGGTGGCCATACACAAGTAGTCAAGATGCTCTTACAAAACGGAGCCGACCATGATCCTGTCGACGACGGCGGCGTTACACCGCTATGGCTGGCTGCGCAAGGCGGACACCACGAAATTGTCGAGATGCTCCTGAAACACAACAGCCCGGGGAAAAAGGCCGACGTTGAAACAGAGTCCCACACCGGAGAACGCCGCGCCATCCATCAAGCAGCCCAAGAAGGCCACTTGAAAGTCGTCCAGCTACTTCTCGCGGAAAAGGCAGAGTGCGACCCCGTGGACCAGGAAGGAGTGACGCCCCTCTGGAGCGCGGCACAGAACGGAAGTGCCGAGGTGGTGCGCGAGCTCCTCAAGGCCGGGGCCAAGGTCAACGTGACCCCTTATGAGCATAGCCGCCAGCCGATTCACCAAGCAGCGCAGGGGGGCCATCTCGAAGTCGTCAAGGCTTTGGTGGAGCATGGAAGAGCATCTCTGACACCGGAGGAGGATACATTTGATGAGTCGGAAGCCTCGCCCTTTTTGCTAGCCTGCTCATCCAATAACCCAGAGTTGGTTAACCACTTCCTCGACCGCGGCGTCGATGTCAACAGCAAGACAAGGAAGGGAAAGGGCCCTCTTCATTGCGCAGCGCACAGTGGCCATGTCAAGGTCGGCCAGCTCCTCATCGACAGAAGATGTGATGTCGACTCTCGTGAGAGCAAGGGCTGGACCCCGTTGATAATTGCCGCACAGGACGGCCACTTGCCCTTTGTCAACCTCCTGATCGACAACGACGCGAATATCAACTCCCAGGAAAACGATGGCGCTACCGCGCTGTGGATAGCCGCCCAACAGGGCCATGCCAACATTGTCGGCCGCCTCCTGAAGGGCGGAGCGAAGCAGTTGTCGACGAAGGAGTCTGGTCGGCGTCCGATCCACCAGGCAGCCCAGAACGGGCATCTCGCCTGTGTCAAGTTGCTCCTCAAGCACTCCCCCAAAGAGATTGACGTGGCCGCTCGGGACGGATTCACCGCTCTTACGCTTGCTTCGCAGAAGGACAAGCCCGAGAACCTTGCCGTGATGAGGTACCTGGTCAATGCCGGCGCCAAGGTTATATGACGCGGCCGTCGCACTCGGTGTTACTGTGTTAGAGTTCCTGCTTTGTCAAGTTAGAAAGTTGAATCAAATCTGCTCGCTTATTAACTGCCTAAAGTTTGGTGGAAAGATCACATGCACTGTGAAACTGTGAAACAACGGGGTTATGCACATGTACGCACGCAACAGGGCGCGTTCCTCTCCAAGGAGACAGTCAGTTTTGGGCAGCAGGGCGAGAACGCATCCACCAAGCTCACCTATGAGCTCACCCCTATCGGCAGGTGAGCTGGAGCCATACGCGCGGGAGTGTTGTGTCCCCGCTGGGGGGCTACGCTGACTGGATGATCTGCGCGGCGAGGCAATCTGATGCCTTGGGTAATTGTGGACTCGGTGACCTATCGTGTTGTTTCTTCAGCGAGATGCTCAGAAAAGTCACGTATTCTGGTCGTTGGCGGGTCTCGGGTGCGTGAGGAGCTGGTCGACTCGCTGGGGCGGCTAATATGTCGTCGTCAGAGGGATGGCCGAATTGTGCGTGGGCTTCGCGGCTGAGTTGAGCCTCTGTTCATGTTGTAAGTACCCCGGGCGTGGATGTGTTGTTTTGGGACTTATCTCCGGGGGCTAGCGGCTCGAAGGAATGCCGGTATTTGGCCGTGACGCCCTTGCTTTGACCAACACAAAATGCCCGGCATCGCAAATCGGTGCCTGCCATGGCTCCTGTTTAGGAAGCTGGTCACGCGCGGAACAGTTCGTGAAGCCGTCGTTGCGGAGGGCGATGCACCTGTGGGGGGGGGGGGGGGGCTGTCTCCAACCAACAACGCTAGCCATGAGATCTCAAAACTTCATTCCTCAGGGCTACCCTTAGGCTCAGGGATTTCTGTGAACGAAAATCGAGGCATGGAAAAGAGTCAGACTGCGGAAAGAGGCAGTTGAAGGCTCGAAGCATCCAAAGTTCCGGGCATTCCCCACAGCCCTCGGACTTGACCCCCTATTTGAGAAGGCGGTCCAGACATGATCAGCGCCCCGGTCGGCTCTTGTGAGTCGCTGCAACAAGTCGATTGCGGCGGAGCTCATGTCCCAAAGCCGACCAAGTGGCCAATGACCACCGAGTGTTCGACCTCGCTCATCCGTGTCTCGCGTCGCTCGCATAATTAGGGCTGACGGCTGCAACAGAACGAGGCTTGGCTCTCCGTCAACACCATCGTCCAGTGATCGTCACCCCAGAGACTCCATCCAGGTGTAACATTCCCAACCTCCGCCGGGTCAGCATTTGACCGTCGTTCTAGAATCCACGTAGAGTTCACGACTCCAAGGACGACGACTGGCTTACACGCAACGGAACAGAATGACAGTCAAGGCAGACAGCCAGGGGCTGGCGGATGAATAGCAGCAAGAGCTTACATCTTGAGAGAGCAAAGATGGGGACCAGAAGAGCATAAAAGGCACAACTTGTCCCAGTCAATGATCAATACTCATCCACCATCATCACCACAACATTCATCACAAAGCAAACCTCACACTTCACCAACTCACACTTTCAACACCAAAAAAACCAAACACGGCCTTCAAACCTTCAAAATGAAGCTCACTCTCCTCCTCTCCATCATCACCGCCGTCGCGGCCCTCCCGGCCCCCGAGGCGGCCCCCGCCGAGTCCGGTGACGTCTCCATCCTCGCCACCAAGAAGTGGACGGCCAGCGGCGGCTGCAAGACCGACTGGGGCGGCCGCTGCAACGCCCAGTGCATCGGCGAGGCCAAGCAGAAGAAGTACAAGTGCAAGGAGGTCGACTCCGACATCACGGGCTCCAACTGCATCATCGGCTGGAGCACCTGCAAGTGCACCTGCTTTTCTTAAAGGGGGTGCGTGGGATGGAATCTGTACCTGGGGGGTGGAATGGACGCTCATGATTAGGGAGGGGAAGGGGGTGGTTATGAGCGTGGCGGTTTTACTACATGTAGGAGGGAGTTAGTGCTTGGGGGTTGGGAACGATGGACTTGTTCTTTGTGGTCAAGTGGTTGGTTTGGGTTGGAGGTTTGATCGGACTTGACGATTTTTGGAATTGGACCACCGTTACGTGGCGTGGCTACTTCTAAGAACTTGACATTTGGTCAGCTAGCACAATACTACCTAAGCTTGTCACTTTGCCATCTTTTTCCCTCTTCGTCCCGGTGGACAGTGGTGAAGCCAAGCACCCGTTGTCCTCATTCTTCTCCTGCTTTACCTGGATGCATCTGGCCGTAATAAACAACAAAGAAAGGTGCTGTTCCTTTTCACTTTCAGCCTTGTCCAAGAAATCCTTGTTCTCTCCATGACCGGATTCGGAAGTGAACATATAAATGCCGACTGAACTTTGATGTCCGCTCTTTGTGTGTAGAGCCCATGTAGGTCCAGCTTGGTTAGGTCCTGACTTTCGGCTTCTTCGTCTCCGCATCCATACGACAACAAGTCAAATTCCTATATGGTAATCGACAGATTTGATAACGATATGGAATCGGAAACGGCCACGCCCCCGGTCCACACGGCTGCTATGGAGGCGAAGGGGATGCTTCACAACGCTACCAACGAGTTGTTGAACGCAGTAGCCGATCAACTTTACTACGGAGAGCTCGATACGATCCGCCGGGAGCAGCCTCTCTTTGACCCTGGCAAATTCCGCATACTGAAACTGGGTCTGTATGACCGGGACGACACGGCTGAGCAGCCCCGAGACCATCCCGGGGGATCGAATCCGCCGACGGCTTCCATAAACATCAACATGCGCGGTGGCGCCGCCCCAAGCGAATCGCCGCTGTTTACGAATCGCGAAGGCAGCCCAGCCCGGCTTTCCCCGTTCCTAATACGTGTTCTGGCAAAAGCGGTTTCGATTGATATCCTTGACGACAGCGACGGCGATGAGGCACAGGCAGCGGTAATTCCGGTCCCGGGGCCGCTCTCCAAGATGCGGTTGGACATCCCCGGAGTCCGGCAGCTCATCGGATACAAGCGCCCCTTGGAGGAAGAGTTCCCCGAAGAGCTCGAAGTAGCAAAAGCCGATTTCCTAACGACTGGGTATGGGCACATGGACCAGGAGAGCATGCTTCAGGGGCCAGATTGGTTAGGTTACTTGCGCAATTACGGAACCAAGTCCGTGCCAATCCTGTTCAAGGGCTTTCCTCTAGTCGAAGATGTGGTGTTTGTAAAACATCCAAACTATTGGCAGAGGCTCGAAGTTCATCGGAAGCTCGTGGCGAGTGGGCAGTGTTACTGGTTGGCCATTGCCCTTCTGGTCTACGGCAACGCGAGCTTCTGGCTTCGTGTGAAGGCGGAGCATCTCAATTACGCGGAGAAGGTCTTGGGGAACCCCAAGCACCCTCGACACGCGTTTTATTCGAGGGAGAATCAAGGTTTCATGGCGACAAAGGCGACAGGGCCCACGGAAAAAGGAGGCACATGCCGCTCATGGCCCGGCGTTGCCAATCTATGGGAGAGGCTGCACATACCGGGGTGCTGGACGAGCGAGGACATGTGTCAGCTCACGGCGGATGTGTACGGCGTCTTCTTGGTGCTGTACAAGTTCGATTCATCTACGAATCCTCGGTGGAAGAACAAGGTTTACGACATGAAAACGTACGGCGCGTACAACAGCCGGCACATCTTCTTGTGTTACACGGTAAGTTATCCCTTGAAAACCAACACAGCACGTTATGCTAACTTTTACAGGGCGAGAACCATTACCAGCCCATGGTACCCAACGAATTCTACGCTTCCGAGTTCAGGCTACCCCGTTTGACGCTACAGAATACCTTCGACGAGTACCGGTTGTTAACTCGCCCGCACCGCCGTCCCCGCGATGGCCCGTGGCATCACTGGCGAGGGCAGGCCCAAGTTGCACCATCGCCATTGGCGCTACCGGGATACAAGCCAGAGCATTTGGCGCGGGCTGTCGGGTACGATCCTGATGCAAACGAGCCCCTGCCCGAATCCCAGGCCCAGCCCCCACCGCAGCCGCGAACTCGATCACCACCCCAGCTGGGTATTGAATCCGCAAATGCGGAAAGGGTGGAAGCAGCTCTCCTCACAAACCCAGAGTTATTGATGTCACCCAAGGTTGCTCGGGAGGTCGTCTCTCTCATGACCGCCGAGACATCCGGAGGCTTGCCGGCCAGGCCTCCTACACAAGCCGACGCGCAAGCCGCGAGACAAGCCATCCGTCTCTTATCCCAGTACATCGACAGGACCAGCGGCTCGCACGTCACCCAATCTGGTCGCCACCCCCTCCCTTCCAGTAACCCCTCCACCGCGCCCACTCCACGCGACAAAGGCAAACGGCCGGCCACCGACCCGGCAGGGCCCTCCCCGTCGCCCAAGCGGCTCCGAACATCTCCAGGGCCACCAGCACCAGCACCGCCTTCATCATCCCGCTTCCGCACGCCACCATCACCCGGGACTCGGACCCGTTCCTTCAAACCCATCAACTCCCGCCGCCAACCCACCGCAGCCCCCTACGCCCACCCCAAAGCAGAAAGCAGCCGTAATACCCTTGCACGATCTCCTCACACCGCCATCCAACCCCCCAACGCCAAAGCAGCAACAGCTAGCACCCACACCCAGCCCCAACCGGCACCCAAACCCGTATCCCAACCCGTATCCCAACCCGCACACCAACCCGCACCCCAATCCCAACCCGCCAACAACCCCAACGACCCCAACGACAACACCCCCTTCTACCGCCCCGGCACCAAATCCCTCCTCACCAAAACCCGCATCCACCGCCTCCGCGGGTGGATCAGAACCCTCGGCCTAGCCGACCCACACGAAAACCTGATCGAGTTGAAGAAAGAGCTGCTTGTCAACAGACTGCTGGCGGCGGGTGTGGAGGTGCTGATGGAGCGGGCGGTGGCTGGGGGTGCGAGCGTTATTGTTGAGGAGGATAGGGAAGGGGGGGAGGGGGTTGTGAGGATTCTGGGGGGGAAGGGGGAGGGGAAGGTGGAGGTGGGGGGTGGGGAGGGGAGTGGTGTGGAGGGGAAGGGGGATGAAGATGGGGATGGGGTGGAGGGGGAGATGGAGTGGGACACGGAGTCGGAAAGGGGGCTTGAGGCGGAATTCGTGCCGGCGGTTAAGGGGGGGCCGTACACGGGGCGGGAGGTGAAGGTGGATGGTGAGGAGGTTGAAGGGACGGGGGAGGAGGAGGAGGGAGATGGGGATGGGGAGGAGGACGAAGACATGGAGGAGTTTGGGGAGGACTCGGCGGAGCTGGAGGGGGAGTTCTACCCGGAGGTTGAGGGGAAGCCGTACACGGAGCTGGGGATGAAAGGGGACGGTGAGGAGGGCGAGGTTGAGGATATCATGGAAGGCTGAGAAGGGGCGGAGGCTGTCGGAGAGTGGCTGACAGGGGCGACGACCGGCGTTGATCGCTGAGAAAGCTATGGGACAGGGAGGCGGTGACGTGACTGGTACATACGTGGGAAGATTTAGTTTCTGTTACTGGTGTCAGTTGTCAATGAACCTAGGTAGTAGTCTAAAGACAATGGATACATGTAGGTATGATGTACGTACACATGCGTGCCAGTTATCAAGTTATTATTTGACAAGGTTTCTACGGTATAAGAACAAGCGGATGCTATAAGACGTGAGGCTGCCTTTTCGAAAGAAACGTGGAGGAAAAGCGACCTTGCGGTCGCACGAAGATGGTGATCAAGTTAGTCGCCGAGGCTCTGCACAGGCCGTTCCAGGAGGTGTCCGTGATGTTAACGTGATCATACGCACATCCAACTTTTGCGAGACAATGTCGAGGTCGCCCCTGGCAGGCTCTCGAAGCACACTGGCTGGCCTTAGCTGCCGCAAAGGACACCCAGAGACCCCGACGGGGCCGAGTACGGCTATGTAGGTAATCCCAAAAACACACCTCCAGTACACCAGGCGTGTCGTTCCTACATCGATGGGGGTATTAGCTGTCTCGCCCTGTACCCGACAAGCTTCGGCGAGAATATGAGCACACGTCCCTGTGAATGTCCCGTGAGCTTTTCGGTTGCTTCACACCAACCGAGGCTGCTTCTTTGGGCCCCCACTTCGTTTCGGTAAGAGCTTACCGGAACTTCGCCATCTCGCCATACATCAGTGTTCGACTAAACGTCCCATGTTAGTGGCCCACGTCTTAGTGTGGCACGTCCGTGAGGGCGATCAGGTCAAGTCGAATCACCCTCTGCTTAGGTACGGTAACTGTTCTTTCTTAGCGTCTTGGTTACCTGCAGTGTTGTATCCTACCGTCAATTTTCGATGGGATATTGGACAACATCCTTTCCATTAAGGTACCAATTTACTGCGACGAGGATTGTTGATGCCGCCTAATATATCCGGGAATCCTGGGGTGAGTGAAACAAAGCGGTGAGTGAAGTTGAGGAAATCCGGAATCTACTTTGTGACTAAGGGGCTAAGGGGTGCTACGGGGTCGTCTCCGTTCGTCGCTTTACCTAACGCGGCCTTGTAGGTCCTACCTTCGTCAAGCTTCGTCAAGCTTCGTCGTGACCAAGGCTGGATGGGTCGATCTTCCATAAAGGCCTTGACTCGCGTATCCAGCCCCTCCCTATGCCCGCGGTGCCACTTCGGGTTGACGTATCGATGGGCGAACCAGCCCATGTCGGCCCAATCATTCAGGGCATTGACGACAAGGAGGCCGCTGTCGTTCTTGGCGAAACAGAAGAAAAGAAAACTCCCTACCTTACGGAGTGCTTACACGCACACCAAGGCAAAGATTACCTACCTACCTCTAACCACGTTGATCCCCCGGAGCTTGCGGATACACGGACAGTATTCGAAACCGCAACAACCATTGCAGCCAATTCAACGCGGTCATCGGTTCGATGTAATCAATCTATTTGTAGTTAGTTCCGCGTAGTTAAATAATTTACAGTTGGTTCAACGCAGTTAGTTTAGGTAAGCACAATCACTTGGTGGTTGGGTACCGAGGTACCTACCTAGGTAGCACCTTACCTAGGATGTACATATACCTACATACCTACCTAAGGTACCTAGGTATGTACCTCAGTTCGAAACAGTGCACACCGTCGGGCGAGAAAAGGCTGCGGGGTTTCCTCCGGACCCTGCACACCGCCGTCTATTCGTTTACCTAACAAAAAGCGATGTCGAGAGGGGCTTGCTGAGGTCGGGCATCAACTCGCTGCACGCCTGCCTGAGGACGCACCTCTGCAACAAGTTTACTGGTTATGTCACTTGCACAGCTGAAGTCCCTCCCCTATCTGTTTTCCTCCCCAAGGTACCTAACCAAACGAGCACTCCGCCACCGATAGAACCTCTAGAAACATCACCAACCGCGTCACGATGTGGTCCTCTAGGTCCACCAACCCGGGCGGGACAGTGCCGTCTTCGTCCTGGGTCCCTTCTGTTCGGCGTCGCTTCGACCAGTTTCGCAGAGAACCCCTTAGACTGTTGGACCATGGACGCCGCAAGACGGGGTTATTAAAAGCGGCCTGGTCTACTCGTCACGGAAATCCCACTCCCGCAAAGCTCCCCGAAGATTCTGTTCCGGACGGCTATGTCAGGGCCAATACACCAGAGTCGGAATGCCCGCAAGTGAGCCTGTCTTTGTGGGATCGCGCGTACGACGCTTTGAAGGAGAAAGATGGTTTGTTGGTTGAAAAGTACGAGGAGCTCTTATCCAAGGAGCTCTCGGCATTAAGTGCGTTCAACCCGCGCTATTATCGTTCCAAATATGGATAGCGCTAACTGCGTAACCGCAGAGGCCGACGACCTGAGCGAATCATCCTCCTACGCCGGCACGGCATGCGGCAACGAGGAACGCTCGATAGACGGTTCGAATCCTGCCGCCCGTCAAGCTCAGATGATCGCGATAGCCGAGGGTGCTCTGGCCCGACTAGATGAGAAGGCAATCCGATACCGTATCTTCGGACACACCTACGTACTCAAAGACCAAATCACACAAGCCACAAAGGTGGTGGAGCAATTGAAAGGCATCATTGGGGAGGCCGTCAAGGTGTCTCCCCAGGCTTCCGTCGCCTGGGCTGGCATCTGCGTCGTCATCCCGCTCCTAGCAAACCCCAGTGCCGAGGAGACAGCCAACCGCGATGGATTCGCCTACGTCGCGAATCGCATGGGTTACTACACGGCGCTTGAGCCCCTGCTATCTCGTCTTCTTCACGACTCGTCCGGTGCCAAGACGGCCAACGAGAGTCTGGCAGCCAGATGCAACCACAATATCGAGGATCTGTATCAACACATTCTTGAGTTTCAACTTCGAAGCATCCGACACTACCATCGGCATTGGCTTTGCGGTCTCGCCCGTGACGCGGTCGCGTACGATGGTTGGAAGCAGATGCAGCTCAAGATCAAGGACCTCGAAAAGGCCGTCTCTTCGGATCTTTCCCAGGTCAATGACCTTTCGTCGAGGGAAGAACTAGAGTCCCTGAACAAGACGGCCGATGATTCTTTCCAGGTGCTCCGCCAGGTCCTCCTCATCAACAAGGACCATCTTCGAACGACGGTGGAAATCCGAGATCTGCTGTCCGGGAGGCAACAAACCGAGATGGACCATGAGACTCAACAATGCCACCAAAGCTTCCGCCTCACGCGAGGCGGGACCGAAGACGATTCTTACGAGTGGTACAAAGGAAGAGTCGAAGACCGTGTTGAGGGAACCTGCGAGTGGTTTCTTAAACATGAGAACTTCCAATCATGGCTCAAATGGGACACGGGACCTCTTATGGTGTCTGCGGATCCCGGATGTGGAAAGTCGGTCCTGGCCAAATATCTTATCGACCACGTGTTACCTTCCAGAGGAGAGGCCAGCATTTGCTACTTCTTCTTCAAGGACCAGGATCAAAATACCCTCTCACAGGCTCTCTGTGCCCTTCTTCACCAGCTCTTTTCCCAACAGCCAGCCTTGATTCGCCACGCCATGCCAAAGTTTACCGAGAACGGTGCCAAGATTGTGACTAATACCAAGTCGCTGTGGGATATCCTGAAAGCCGCTACCGAAGATGCTGCCGCTGGGCCGACGACGTTTATCCTTGACGCGCTGGATGAATGCGCTGAAAAGGACTTTCGGGAGCTGATGCAACAGTTGACGGCCTTTTTCGTCGAGAAGTCGGTTCCAACCAGGAGAGTCAAGTTCCTGTTGACAGGGCGGCCATATTCTACAGTCCTATCAGGACTGCAGGACTTGGTGGATGCGTTTCCCAATATTCGAATCCCAGGAGAAGACGAGTCTGATGCTATCAGCAAGGAAGTGGACCACGTCATTCGGCATCGAGTCCGAAAGCTACGTCTCTCAAAACACATCGAGGCCTACTTGGAGCAGCGGTTGGCGGCTGTTGAGCACCGCACCTACCTCTGGGTATACCTCGTGTTTGATTACTTGAGGGCCGAAGGCTTCCAGAAAACCAAAACGGGGGTTGACTTGATGCTCCAGAACCTTCCAACGACTGTCAACCAGGCGTACGAGAACATCCTCGCGAGGCACAGACATTCTCCAATGGCTCAAAAGACTTTGAGCATTGTCTTGGCAGCATGTCGGCCATTGACCGTCGCTGAGATGAACGTCGCTGTTAGCATCGATCTCTCATCAGGTTCCCGGGACAACGCCGACGCGTGGCGTTTGGGGCTCGAGAGCGAAGACGAATTCCGCGAAACCCTCCGACGTGTCTGCGGCCTGTTCGTCTCCATATACCATGATAGGGTCTACTTCCTTCACCAGACCGCCAGAGAGTTCCTCCTCGCAACGCCACCATCGTCCGGACATGCCGTGCCGCCTTGGAGGCATTCCATCACCATTCGCCAAGCCCACACGGTTCTCGCCGAAGTCTGCGTGGTTTATCTAGACCGCCTCGTGCCCGACAGTTCACTTGAAGAGCTACACGAGAGGTCCCAGTCCAACTCCGGCATACATGTATATTGTGGGGAAGACGAAGGCCTCGGTGATAAGTACTACCCCCCCTTCCTAGGCTATTCCGCCAGATATTGGGGTACGCACTTTCGAGAGGCCAGCGTTGAAAACGACTCCGAGATATTCCCATCCGCATTGCGGATCTATGACGAGAAATCGAAGAGTCACGCAGCGTGGTTCTACCTTTACCGCCGAAGCGAGAGAGCGTACATACCTAACGACGTATCACGTTTGGCAATGGCCTCGCGTCTCGGGCACGAGGCTGTCGCCAGGCTTCTACTCGCGCAGGGCGCCGACGTCAACCATCCTAACGGCCCGGCACCACTCTGCATGGCCGCTTGCGGAGGGCACAAGGCCGTTGCTGAACTGTTGATTATGGAGGGCGCCGATGTCAACACCGTCATGCAGAAGGATGTCTTCGGTCCACTTCAAGCGGCCGCTGCATTCGGGCACAAAGCTATCGTTGACCTGTTAATTAGAAATGGGGCTTACATCAATTCCGGTGAGTACCACGGCTATCCCGTGGCGCCACTCGCGTTAGCGGCGGGAGGACATGAGGACATCGTTCACCTGTTACTTGCGAACGGTGCCGACGCCAACGGGGAGTATCACACTCGGACGGCACTCCAGGTAGCGGCGGGGGGAGGGTACAGGGCCATCGTTGACCTGTTAGTTGAGAATGGAGCCAGTGTCAATGCTACGGCGGCCTGGGGTGGGGGTGGAGGCTCAGCACTCCAGGAAGCGGCCAAGGAAGGGCACAAGGCTATTGTTGATGTGTTACTCGCGAATGGGGCCGATATCGAAGGGCGCGGTCGCGACACACCACTCCAGCAAGCGGCGGCGAGAGGGCACAAGGCTATTGTTGACGTGTTACTCGCGAATGGGGCCGATATCGAAGGGCCCGGTCTCGACACACCACTCCAGCAAGCGGCGGCGAGAGGGCACAAGGCTATTGTTGACGTGTTACTCGCGAATGGGGCCGATGTCGAAGGGGACGGTTTCCGCGAGTCACCACTGGTGCAAGCGGCGCGGTGGGGACACAAGGCTATCGTTGATGTGTTAATTGAAAATGGGGCGAACATCGATGCTAAAAACAGGCATGGGGACACAGCACTCGATAACGCGGTGAAGTGGGGACCGAACGAGGGTATCGTTGAATTGTTGATTGCGAATGGGGCTCACTTAACACAAGAGCAGGTAGATACCTAGGTACCTACCTTGGGTGGGAGGTAATTGTCGGTTATTGTCTGCCCTGGCGGTGTTATTTAGAGGAACTTTTTAGCGACTCGTAGAGGGCTTCTTGGAAGTCCACGATGTTAAGAATTGCCCTCCCTCTCAAAAAGCCTTTCGTGCCACCCACTGTTAAGGGTTCTAACAATGGGAACGCCCTCGTATAAGACAAGACGAGCTACGCGGCCAAAGCCTTGTCAAAGATGCAAACGTACCCCTGAACGAAAACTTTGGTGGAAAGGTGGTAACACCATCGCTAACCACCTGACCATTACGAGACCGCGCGTTTACGATACCTCGGTAGAGCTTCAGCTCTTAGGAAAGACCGAGCCCATGGGAAATACGCTACTGCCCAACCTCCTAAAGAGCCTAGGGCTAACTCCCAACTGGAAGCTATCAAAACAACTAGCGACTACCTCGAGCGGTCTTTAGCTTGGCTACGAGGGGTAAGTAGCAGTTTTCCGGTCGATATTACCTACCTACATATACCTACCCCTCTCGAATCAGCTCCGAGAACTCTTGGGATAGAAAATGCGGGAGGATATAGGAATTTGGGTTAGAGGGTTCAAAATCTGTTCGGTTGGGGTGGGGTTCTATTACCTACCTATAAACGGAGTTGGGGAAGGGATAGAACGCCGCCCCCAGACACTATACCAAGTTGCTATATCCGCCGTCCTTCGTACATGGGTCCTCGCTCAGCACGTCTCCACACGCCAATCACCTACCTACCGAGGTACCAGGTAGGCGTATCGTAATGGCTACATTGTGGCCATCGCTCCGGACGTTGAAACGAACCTTGGAATACAACAACAACAACGAGAATAACGATGTTATACGTATATCGGCTACCGAACCTTAGGAAGGAGAAAGAATAGGGCGCTTCATCAGCAGTTCAACAACACGAGGTGCCTCACTCTCTGCCCTGGGAATACCCGAAAAAAAGGAGGCGGTCACATCGGCGTGACTCCATACCTCAGGTACGTCAGGTAGCCACGTGAGGTACTCTCCTCTGAGCCTGGCGGGCAGTGCCCTGAGTGGCCGCCTCGTTTAGGACTGATTGGCCACTCAGCGTCGATTCAAACACAGGGGGCAGAATGCGTGTCAAGGCATTTTTAGCTACGCCGCACACAGCCACGACCCGGGGCAAAACGCAGCCCCGTTGTATCTGAGGTATTTGTCCCAACCCATCCCAGTCATATTCGCCGGTTCATGCCGCTGGGCCAGGAGCGTGCCCCGGTCAATTCACCAACCCACGGACCCCTTTATAGTGCCGCCGCTGGTGGTACTCTTCTGGGTGTTGGGCCACAATTCCGCCGAACGTCACAGATCCGTGATGGAGTCGACAACTACGTTTACCAGCGGCCGGCCGCTTCTCGGTTCGTTCAAGAATTTCGCCGCTAGTCAACGCTCTGAGGCTGAGAAGGTAAGAGCGGGGAGGGCCCGGGTTGACAAGGAGGTAAAGCTCGCAGAACTCAAACGATTTGCGGCCGAATTCAAATTGCAAACGCCCACACCAAACGATCTCTTAAGCTTCACATACGTGCCGAAGGAGGGGGAGGCCGCGTAAGCCTCCCAACATCAATTCACGAAACTGCTATTAATTCTAATGCATCGTTAATGTAGCTCCAGCACAGTTTCGCATCACAAGCTCACGGGAGAGTCAGGGGACTCACCCGGAGAGCTGGATGATAACCTGGATCCGCCACAGTCAATTAATAGTGCCGCGGCTCCATCAACGATCGGCTCCTCGTCATTTATTAGCGCGCTGACACGAGGAACACGCGAGACGCGTAGCACGGCTCCAACGTCTACTTCGGACCTCTTCTCTCACGATGATCCAAGGAAACAGCCGGGTATCGGTTGGGGGGCTCTAGAAGACATCCAAGAGGGAGAGGAAGAGGATGTGGTTCAAGAGGTCCATGGCGTCGCGGTGCCGGAGCCGGGGGAAGCGGATGGATTCGACGGCCACTCACTAGCATCTCAGGGGTCTACTGTATACACCCCCGAACAGCGAAACGATATGGTCTCGAGGATGACGGGAGCGATTCTAAGAGAGCTACAAAGGAATTCGAGTTATCATGCGGTCAACGACTCATCACGAGAGCACATCCTCCCCCATCTTCAATCGGCGTTGAAGGACTTCGCCGAAACTGCCGAGGTCGACCCATCCATTCAAATCCAAGGGAAAGCCCTCAGGATGGTTCGCCGCCTCCGACCACAAATTACAAGCCAACTTCATACATCTGTCCTTGGCCTCGCCGAAAGCGCAGACACGCAACGCACCCCTATAAGGATAGGGGAGGACGTGGATAAAATGGAACTTCGGGACATAATAACTCGTTGGGGCGCGACAAACCCGGGGTTACTTGGTGGGAGTGAGACTCAACTGGAACCCACCGTCAACCAAGACCACACGTTGTGGTACCCGGAGATACGTGCGGCATCCGCACCGGCCTCGAGTGTGTCCGTCAGGACGTGGAGCATCCCTGACTCAAGTCTACCCGATGAAGACACGACAAACGTCTATGGGGCGTCTGTTGATCCTTCAAGTGTCTTGCAGCACTTTACCAGCCAGCCCTCTTTCCGGAACCTGGTCAGGAAAACGGAAGCGCTCTTTGAGCAGTATCACAGTAACAAGATGGACCTCATTCGCTTGCGGACTTCGCTGGCAATTCGTCGACAGGCGGCGAAACCGTCTGGCGATGTGCCCCCCTCATCTCTCGTCCGTGCCGTCTTCCATGTCGGGTGGGATTTGAAGAGTTTTCTCATCAGTAATTACGACAATGGCGTTTATCAAGAACTCGATAGGATTCTCGCCATTACCGGAGATACCGATAAGGCACAGCTGTGCTCCGTTGGGAGATATCTCAAGCAATGGTGGCCAAGTTGCAGCTCTGAGTTGCTCCAGGCTATTGGAGCTGTGTTGCCTACTCCGAACCCGAACAATAGCGTGCTTTCACGGGACCGGGCAGAAGGTTCCGTGGTGACCGACCAGGAAATCAAAGTATTCAGCGTCGAAGGCACTGAGGGCTTTGTCATTTCCATCGCCCAACAGATATCGTGGCTGGCAGCAGCTTGTCAGGAGAAGCAGGCTGAGCGCACATACGGTTATGTCGGATTCTCGGAATTGGACGAGGCTACTAGTACGCAACTCAGCGTACCCAGCTTCAGAATCGACGTGAACCTGGAGAGAGCTCCCTCCGGTTCAAGCGGCCACTGCTGGAACAGTTTGGTTGGGCCTGCCGTCATCATCACGGGCTTCCCAATACCGGAACGGGATCTCGGCGAGCAAGGCCTTGAAATTTCCGTCCCCGATATGGCGGCGCTAGCAAGGATTCCGCAAGCCGTATCGTTCAACGGCGGCATGGTTTTCAAGGGAAGATGCCGCGCTCTTGTCCCCACGGTCTCGCTAGGCCCTTCGACCCAATGGCATCTCATCGATACGAGCCCTAAAAAGCTAGACTGGAGTCAGATTGACGAGACTTGTCGCACCAGGCTGCGCGGTCTCCCAAGGCAAGACGTCTTTTGGGATAGACGATCGTTTCTCGGGTGGTGCGCTATAGCTTCCAACCTGCTAGGTAAGTGATTCTCGGGGTCGTTGCACGGATTTGGTCCTGTTACTAACACCAGAAAGCAACTCCCACGTACAACTACAAGGCCATCCAATATTCCAATGCTGGCAGACCATCAAGGTGGGCGCAAGCAGACAAGCTCGCCGTTGGCTTCAGCCAGTGGGCTACCCTCCAGGCGGAGGTGACAGTCGGGAAGAGAGACGGGTTTCAACGCCAGAGAGCAGAGGATTACGAGACCTTGCTTCAGGACGCCAGCGACACCCATGTCATCTTACACGACACAGCCTGCCGAAGGGCTTACCAGACAAACGCCGAAGATCTCATCCTCCATATGCTGCATCACCGAAGAGGTTTGAATCCGCCATCACCACAACAACTGGGAGGGCCCGGGAAGCCCACTCCAACCATCTCGTTCACCCACCCGGATCGTAGGGTTCGGACAACCCGCGAGGTGATGCTCGAAAACGCCGACAGGGCTTTTTCCACACCGCGTTCTCTGTCGGACGGCAAGCCGGGCTTGAAGTGCTTCGTGGAGGAAGTCGAGATGCTATGGTCCACCATCGACGGGGTCTGGGCACACACCTATGCGTCCAGCGAAGGGAAGCACCCGCTGTGGAAGTTTGACCTCAACTTTGGGCAGGCCATCTGTGGCTGGGAGTACATGGACCTGATGAACAAGTCAAGGCATATGGACGCCAAGGCGGTCCAGCTCAGCAAGACGTGTGGGCGGTGGAATGACTACGCCAAGGATATCAAGGCCGTGGTGCTTTTCGGGGCCCAATTCGGCGACGTCCTCACACCGATACAGCCGAATACCGCGTGCCCGATGGTTTCTTCGGTTCCACGGGACAGCTGCTACCTGGCCGTCCCGGTCAGAACCGTGGAGCAGCTGTTTGATCGACAGGGTGCATCACAGAGCCAAACGAGACTGACAAGCTCAGGGCTTGCACTGAAGGCGTCCGAAAGAGTCTTCCATGCTTGCAATCCGGGGCCGCAGGCACATAATCTAGATTGCAGTTCAGAACACCTGGTTCATCTAGTCAGCCAGGGGAAGTTCAGGAAGCCACGCGAGCGCATAGCCCTCGATAAGTACCAGGACGGCGCTATCATAATTGGCGGAACGGGTGGCGGGGTGTTGCTGCGGCGGTACTAAGTATCTCAGCGTCACAAACCGGGTTAGGGATGAAGGGTAGACACTGCCGGCATTGTGTATAATGAGAGCAGCTTGATGAATGGGGCAAGATTTGCCCTTTTTGAGTCGAGGACGGCTAGAGTTGGGATGGCGGTCAAATAAAGCCAAACTACCTAGGTACCTAAACACCCTCACGAACTCCGAGTAATTACACAGTAGGCGAAAGAACAAGTGTCAACGCCCCAATAATGAAAACTGTAAAGATGACCCCCATCATCTTCTTGGCCTTCTCCGCGCGCGTGATCATAATAACCACAAGCTGCCCCTTCACCCAAGGGTCCTGTTGCTTCACGCACATATTCTTGTCCGTGATATTTTGTGTATTCTCGGTCCTGGTTGGGCGGCTTCCCACAGCCATGATGAATTGGTATATCAACGCAAAGAGGTAGATAATCCGAAGAACTGCGTCGATAATGGGGGTGGCTGACTTGAATCGGAGCCTTCCGTAGAAAGAGCTTTCTGGGGGGTTGCCAATGATGTCGCCGATAATGAAGAGCCTGATACAATACCCAGCGATGGAGAACCAAGCGATAGTGAAGGTGACGACGTTGTGGGCCATCTGGATTAGTAGAAGCAGGATCCTTCCGATCCTTCCTGGGTTGTGACCGCTCTAGTCTTGAAAGCTCGAAACAACAGCTCTAAGTCGTTCAGCCATGGTGATTCCTGCCGAGCGGCGGGACCGCGTGCATGTGAGTGATTTCACTATCTGACGCCATCAGTGACTCGTGGCGATGTCCCCAATCCCGCGGCCGGTCCGGTGCATAGACCATCCTTAATGCCGGCGTTAGTGGCGGATAGTGCTCCTTCTGCAAAGCTGAAGGATGCTAAATGTCATTGGGCCGGCTTTGCCGAAGTAAGCACCATGCAGTCACCCAAAGTACAGCCCTCATAGGTCAGATCCCGCTTTTGGAGGCGAGGTTGCGCCCAGATCAGGGGCAGTGGGGCTGTGAGGCATCTGGAGACCTCGTTCAGCATCACTTCGCCTCAATTTTCCCCGGGATATTGAAGGTTGTGGAGAGTGGCACTGAAACAGTGGCGTCTTATCTCGAACCCAATAGAAGAAATAGCCCTGCAGATAGGGCGCTTCCCCGAATCGTCAATCAGCCTGGCGAGTCTCGCTTACATGTACTTTTCTTACCCGAAACCTTCTCTTCTAAGACACACACTCATCGGCACAGTTTCTTGGCATTGACCACTCAATAACGCCGAGTCAGCTTCATGCTCTGAACGTGCGTGCGTACTCAACTAGGCAGGTAGCTACCTACTCTGTCTATCTTAACTGCCGAGACCCCGTTGCTGCTCATATCCAACCGCAAACAGAGCACCATCCATTTCCGACGTTCCGTGGGCCTCGTACCCTCCAACAAGCTCATGGTGCAGATGCTCCCCTATTTCGATGGGCATGTTATGTTCCGACAGTTCAACGACCTGACGGACGTCTCCATCCAACTCTGGTAAGTGGTGTCCCGAGGTTGTGCTCTTTATCTCACCAAGCTGCGACTCTTGACTGTCCAACTCTCCCTTTTGGAACGGAGTTCCCGGGTAGGTCGCGACTTGTCGTCGTCCACGGCGATGGCGTATTAAGAGCAAGATAAAGGTTAGTATCAAGAGTATGGCGCCTAGAACACCACCGATGATACCCCCAATCTGTTGCGGAGTTAAGCCATTGTCGTTGATAGGTTCGGTTTCCTGAGGACCAGAAGTTGAGCTGGCTTCCTGCATACGGCCTACGGCCACCACGGAGGGGGCAATTGTCCTCGTCGTTGTCCGTAGGCTCTCCATTACGCCGAAGGTTCCGGTCGATGTGATTAGTTCAACGGACGTTTGAGTTACCGTGTCAGCCATTAGAGTCAGGCGACAGGGCGTGTCCGTTGCCGTGTCACATATATAGCCGTTAGGACAGCAATCGCCTGTAGATGATTCGTTAGGTCGTTTTCTGCCCGCAGCTTCAAGTATACGATGGGAACAAACCTCCAAGTGATTGTGGGCAAGAATGATATCCATGACGGCCGGTGCATGATAGAAAAGAACTTGAAGTTGGAAAAGAGCTTGAAGTATTTGACAGGGACGGAGAGGGTGAAACGCAGACCATGTAGTCCAGGCCACAACGCCAGCCATCGCGGCAACACCAGTCTTTTCCGGGACATGGAAATGTCCCTAGAGCGCAGGTGAGGGCGTTTGATGCTGTGCTTGAATCTCCCTGTGGATAAGCATTTCCGTGAAAAGCAATCAAGGCCAAAAGAACGAAGAGCTGTCGAAGCATTTTGCGTCCAGTTAGATGTTAAAGAAAGCAGAACCAAGGTGATTGTGAACTTCCGCAGCTTACCACATGGGTGGATCAGCTAGGGAAGCAGGCTCCAAAGCCCTTTTATTCTCCTTCCCCAACCTGTCCTGCGTCTCGGGGCAGGGAAACCATTAGTGTTGCACAGCAGGATACAAATCTCCTATTGGCAACAGATCTGCGGCGGCCAGGGGCTGTGTCACGCACAGCGTCACATCCGTCCCAGCCCTATCACCGGCATGCAGTTTGCCGGCGCCCCATTTCGCCTTGCGTTCTGCCTAGGCCAGAAGCTGTCAGCAAAGGCACGGCACTCAACGTAATAGGGTATAGCGCTGCTAAAACATAGGACACACGACTGTGAACAAGTATGGTGATGGCCAGCCGGGCCGTGACAGAGGAGCGGAAATGGTGGGGCGGGTGGTTGGTGAAGCAGGGGCTGGGTTGCACGACCTTGAGACGGTGAAGCCGGACGGAAGGTATGGGGCCAAGGCAATGTACGGTACTAGGTCTGATTGGATGGGAGCCCACGGCCTTTATGAAAAGCTGAATGTGATAACCCTCCGCACCTATGCTCAATAACGAGATGATAAACGTGAACTAGTATTAATAGGTAACGGGTATTCCTTAAGCCACACAAACACCCCTTGCCCTCTTCTCTGCATGCTATGAAGGTGGGGCGTACCAGGAGCCTCACCACACCGTCACCTTCTCCCCCAAATCTGCTGCCGAGTAAGGTAGTGTTGTTGTATCGGGAGATCATAGGTGATTATTGGGTGTGTCTACATCGAGGCGATGCTGAACGGGACCTCCTGGATGTATTTTCATAGTTACCTAGGTAGGTAGGCGATTACGGTCATGCAACTCTAAGCTATACAAACGGAAAAGGGGGTTCATCGATATCACATCGTTAGCACTTCTCTCATATGGTAGTGGGTAGATATTTTGGGGCGACATGTTGATAAAACCCACAACTGTCTCTCCCCGATTTCAACAGGTAGCTCACTCCTTCTCAACGAACATAAACACACCAACCACATCAACTACAAATCACCCCCCCTATAACGCCCCCCATCACCACCCTGCCTGAACAACCTCCCCTTCCCACCCTTCACACCCTCATCACAAAGCGCCCAATCCACCTCCATCGCCAACCGCGGCCGATACTTCTCAAACACCCCCCTCAGCGTCCCCATGGCCTTCCGACACGCCGCCAACCCCTCCTCGCCCCCCTTCCCCTCCCCTCCCACGCCACTCAACACCTCCCGCGTCCCCACCCCATACACCTGCACCTCCCCATCATCCACCCAACTCACCGCCATCTGGCCATGCGCCCCATTCCCAACATCCACCGGCCGGATCACATAGCGCAATTTCCGATCATGCGGAAACGGCACCGGCAGCGGGCCCGCATCCGGATCACGCCTCTCACTATCCTCATCACCATCTTTGTGATCATCGTCGTCATAACCGTCGTTATTCCCGTCCTCGCCGCGCGGCGCGCGAACCGCAATGTTCTGCGTCGAGAACTCGCAGGTGCCGGCGCCGCTGTCGCAGCCTTGCAGGGTCGCGAACTCGTACCAGTGGTAGTTGGGGGAGTCGGGCGTGCAGTGGGAGGTGTTGGCGGCGGGGGAGGGGTTTACCCACCTGTGAGAGGGGGGGTGGTTAGGTTAGGTTAGGTTTGGTATGGTTGAGGTGTGGTGAAGTGAGTCATGGAGGTTGGGGTGTGTGTTTGCATTGGGGAATGGGGACTGGGGAGGGGTGCTGGGGCGAGGTGTGAGGTGTGAGGTGCAAGGGGTGAATTGTGAGATGGAGAGGTGACGTGAGCGTGAGAGGGGCAGGGGTGGTATTACCATCCGAAGCTAAAGTAGCCCTGGTCGGTCATGTAGCAGTAAAAGTTGGCTGCCTTGAGGGTGCTCTTGGAGGGGGACGATGTTCCGTTGCTGGGGAGGATGACGACCGAGGTGCCGTGGAAGAGGACGGGCTGCTCGGCCGATGCCACTGTCGCCGCCGCCGCCGCGAAGGCGACAAGCGCACCTAGACGATTGAGGAGTCTCATCTCTCAGTTGCGCGCATTCGGCGTAAGATAGATCAGGTGGGCGGGAGAGAGAATGTCGGATTCCCAAGTAATACTAGTCTTATCTGGCTGGCATCACGAAGGAGAGGCTGTTCACATGCGACTCGGACACTACAAGTACGAACTAATCGAACGCTGACCCGAAAGACTCGTCTGACTCGACGCAGCGTGTAAGCTGTGGATCGTTGATAGAAGGTGACATAGTGTCCAACACTCGGCTCCGTGTATGGTTACAGATACTCGGACTCGGGTTTGGATTATACAACCACCGACAGCGGCGCTCGGGTTTTGCTTTCAGACCTTCCTACCTCGTCTCGCGTTGTCGTCGCAAAAAAGGGCGTGGACAGGGGTCTTTCGGTGGCGCGCGGGCGGGGCCGGCGGGGTGTTCCCGGCACCGGACACTTTCCGGATTGGGAACCGCGCCGATCTGCATCGCGTGTTTCAACCGACTACTAGCCTCGAAAATCTGTGAATAAGCTGCCAAGCGATACGGTGTCCATATATCCGAGGTTCGGTCGAGATCATGTAGGATATCGGAGTTGCAGATCTAAGCTGCTTTGGGATAGATTGCTCACTAAACGGCTGTTGTCAAGATGTTTCCTCCGCTTTTCTCCGCCTCCTCCGGGCCCTTCTCCGGACATAGATAGATACATGAAAGAAAAGCCCCTCCCATGTCGGCCCCTGTTTGTGCCGTCTTACTGCATCATGTTTGTTGCTCCTTCTTGCAGACGAAAGGAAATGTTGGCCCTCGAGGCGCCCGGGGATATGCCACGGCCCTCAATGTAACGTGGTCAAGATACGCTCCTTCAGTTTGCCCTCGTTTCTTCGGACCTCGGCAACTGCTCGTGCATATGGCTGTCGCGACGCCACAGCCCTGTCCACACCCTCGGATATGCCCTCCAGCAGGTGCAGCACATACTGCCCTAGCGCCCGGGCCTGGAACCTCTTGTTGACGGTAGGAGTGAAGTCGCCGAACCGGACCTGCACGTAGCTGCCCGGGCAATCCATGTCCTGAAAAGTCTCAACGACGAAGACCACGACGTCGAAGATCTGCACAAGTCGCGTGTAGCAGCTCACGATCATGAGGCCAGTCGCGGTGTCGACCTGCGGCCCGGGATTGCTTGGGTCCGTGTCCTCCCACCCGCTCTGGGTAGTGTCGTCCACGGTGGTGGGGGCCGGGCCCGAGGACGAGTGTGCGCAAGGGTCCGATCCGGAGGGGCCAACGTAGTCTTTAAGAGCGTCGATAAAACGTTCCGTAGTGCGAAACAAATTCTCAGACCAGCTCGTGTCGATGTCCCCGCCGGGCTTTGTGGGTGGTTCATACCGTAGCCGGTCTCTCTTCATCTTCTCGACAGCCTTGACGGCGACGAGACAATGGTAGAGCTCGAGATGCAGCCTTGATAAATGCTCAACCGGGTCGCTGGGCGAGAGCTGGCCGTCACTGGCCCCATCGCTCGTGTCCGGAGTCCGCTGCGGCTCGAAGCAAGGGGCGTCAATGCTGGCAGGGAACAGATTTGATAGGTCGTCAAGGCTCGGGAGGAGCGCATTCGGACTCCCAAAGCTTCCAAGCGAGCCTGCATATGAGGTAAAACCGGTACTCGGCTGCGCTAAGCCGGAGGAAGAGGAACCGCTGCTGGAATGTGCCGTGCTGCCGGCTGTGAGAGCGGGAGGCGCCGCGTCGGAAAGAGAAGGGCCGGTGGGCCACATCCATCCGTCGAGCTCGAACTGGGTTGTGGCACTGTCGTAGGTGATGGCCATGTCTGTTGGCGATGAACTGGCGGATGGATCGCCTGGGCTTTTCCTGCGCCGTTTCGTACCACCATTCGAAGTTGGCGAAGGCGTGGCGGTGGCCCCAGAATGGGACTCGGCGTGAGACCTCAATCTCCAACCGGTGCGACCTGCGCCGTGCGCGCCATGGCGACCATTGGTGGTGGTGTCGGCAGGTCTACCCATGCGCTGCGGTTGGCGACTAACGCACTCAACGTTGGCAGAGGAGCACCGATCGCAGACGGGTGCATCGCTGGTGCGTCGCACACATCGCAGCTTCTGGCCATGGCATCGCAAGCATGCCAGCGGCTTGGGGGGTTTGTTGGTCATGGGTTCGGTGCCCTTGACGCCAAAATCAAGCAATCGCTCAAAGTCGAAGGCGCCCGGGTCCTGCCAGTTGGCGCAGTTTGGCTCGTCCGTCATGGTCATCGTGGACCAAAATGTGGATGACCTCTGATAAAATTAAAGTTATGGATCGCGGGATCGCGGGATCGCGGATAAGCAAGGTGGTAGGTAACTGCAGTGTACGGCAAGATGGTTACTTGAGATGTCTGGATAAGGTTTCGGCGTTACGTGGGGAGGTCTCGGGTGGTGGCGCCGCCAAGTGACACAGCAGGGCGGCAAAGGGAATGACGAGGACGGGCCGCCGGGGACTCGCGCAAATCCTCGGGGACCACCCACTTGTGCCCAGAGGCTTCATGGCATGGGTCGGGCCGCGCTTACGTTACGTGCTTTGGTACTTGGGTACCTCTGTACTCATTTGTAATTACCACCACATTTTCGGCTGGCCACCTGCCACGCACCTCGGTCACGTCACGTTCGACAGTTCGTCAGACGTTGGTAATCTTTATAATCCCTGCAATACGGATACGCTGCCGCGTCTGTTCGTTCTTTTTCTGCAAATGAGGTCCTCGGTGCACTGTATGGGCTTTTGCAGCCTAGGGCTCACATTGGCTCAGTAATAAAACGCTCAATGGCCGCTCCCTCAGCAACCTCCTCAACGAATCATTGTATCCGCCAAACCCCCTGAGGCCCCGCCGCGATGGATACAGATTACAAAACCTCATGGCCTGTCCTGGCGTGCATGCATGAACTCCGAGTGCTAGTGATGCACATAGATACATACATTTTTGCGCGTGGTTCGATTGGCAAGGATACGTGCAGTCTCTGGAGGTACGGAAGTAATATCGCCAGATCTCACCATTGCCAAGCTGCAAGCCGGGTGGCGATCGATCCCGAGGCTACCTTGGTGGGGTGTTCATGCTGCAGTGTGTGAATGTCGTCTTCCCATGTGGGATAAATCGGGGAGCGGAGAGGCTGGTGGAGTCAGTCTAGGTTGTTCGAGGACAACCGGAAGCACTTCGAGAGCGAGCTCATTTTTAAGGTAACTTGGCATTATGTGCTGATAGCGAGTCAGCATCGTAATTTCTCCGGGGAACCCTGACAAGGCCCTAACAGGCTCAGGCTGAATCGCTCAATGAGATGCCAAGGTGCACGCCAAGTTGACTCGGAGTCGGCGAGCTCAGCCGCTCTTTCCAGGCGAGCTGGGCACAATGAGTTTGACCTTCCCTCCTTCCATATCGACGGGCGTGCATACGAAAACCCTGACCTTTACAATAGCCGTCGGGTCCACTCGACCCGAGCTTAGCAGTGGAAGGTCCATCCCACCCACAGTCACACCGGGAGAAGACGAGATTAGAGAAGCCTGCTCCGATCAAAATCGTCCTATCCTACCACAGCGCCGAGTTCGTACCTAGACAGGCTAGGTCCCCAGGCCAAACTCGGTCCGCGAGCCTTCGTTTCATGACGCCTTGGCAACGCAATTGGTCGGCGCCTCGCCCCCCTTCACCACAGGCCCCCATTTCGCGTCAGCACCGAAGGCCGAGTTCGGCAGGAACCCACTCCTGCGCAGGAACGGAACCATTGACCAGTGACCGAACAGTGACCGGGCACCCGCCCACCCGCCTCACCTCATCCATGCAAGGTAGGTACCGAAAGAACTGGGAATAAACCATGTTCCAACCTCTCAATCCAGCATTCATACCCGGACCGGACAGAGTACCTGCCGTAGTGGCTCGGCCATATCCGACTCATAGCCTGCGTCGCCACCGTCGGACACTATCACCGACACGGAATGACGCCGGTCGTGCGCGGCACCTATGCCCATCGCCATGCACGTGGAAGCTGACGCCGAAGTGAGGTCGGAACACTGCTCGGCCGACCGAGACGAAGGGCCCGGGACGAGGGAGGAGGGACGAAGAGGTTGCATCACGGACGGGGACGGGGACGGGAACTCGTGGGACTCGCGTGGCGGGTTCTACCCGAGACCGAGAAGATAGACTCACGTAAACACGCGGAGTGATCAGCGAACTCTTGATCATTAAAGATATATCTACCCTTCATCTACCTACCTCGAGCCATCGACATGTTCTCGTCACACTGGAGGTGATCACCAGTAACACCCACACCGAGCATCCTCAACAGACACCATGCCCGATAACAACTTTGTCCACGAGCCCATCGCCATCATTGGCAGCGGCTGTCGCCTTCCTGGAGGTGCCAGCTCACCATCCAAGCTCTGGGAGCTTCTGCGGGATCCTCGCGATGTCCTAAGGAAGATCGACCGTTTCGATCCGGATGGTTTCTATCACCCCGAAGGCCGTCACCACGGCACAGCCAACGTGCAACATGCGCATCTACTTGATGAGGATTTTCGTCTCTTTGACCCTGGCTTTTTTGGCATCAAGCCCGTCGAAGCAGAGTCCATCGACCCCCTCCAGCGCCTCCTACTCGAGACCGTGTACGAGTCACTCGAGAACGCCGGCCTCCCCATAGAACGCCTTCACGGCTCCGACACGGCCTTCTACGCTGGCGTTATGGCCACCGACTACACTGACCTCCTCATGCGCGACGTCGATACCATCCCCCAGTACTTCGCCACAGCCACCGCGAGGTCCATCATCTCCAACCGCGTGTCATACATTTTTGACTGGCACGGACCATCCATGACTATCGACACGGCTTGCTCGTCCAGCATGCTCGCTCTTCATGGTGCAGTAACCAGTCTCAGGACGGGTGAATCCCGTGTGGCTGTGGCCGCAGGCGGCAACTTGATCCTTGGACCTGGTACGTTACCCCATATCTCTGTTCTATCATCCAAATGCAACCCCAAACAGATTGCTTATTCGTTGTACTAGAACTCTTCATCGCCTTGAGCAAGGTGAACATGCTGTCTCCCCAGGGCCGGTCGGCTATGTGGGATGCTGGTGCCGACGGCTACGGTCGGGGCGAAGGCTTCGTTTCCGTAGTCATGAAGAGGCTCAGTGATGCGATCAAGGACGGCGACCATATCGACTGCGTTATTCGCGAGTCTGCCACCAATCAGGACGGCAGAACTATGGGTATCACTATGCCGAGCGCCCAGGCGCAGGCTGAGCTGATCAAAACGGCTTATGCCAACGTGGGCTTGGATCTGCGGTCTCCTAAAGACAGGCCCCAATTCTTCGAGGCTCACGGCACTGGCACCAAGGCCGGTGATCCTCAGGAAGCCGAGGCAATCCACACTGCCTTCTTTGGGGGGAATACCTTTGATACATCGCCCCAGAGCCACCCGCTCTACGTCGGCGGTATCAAGACGGTCGTGGGCCACACCGAAGGCACCGCCGGTCTCTCGGGTTTACTGAAAGCCTCGCTATCGCTGCAGGCCGGCGTCATCCCACCTAATCTGTTGTTCCGCACCCTGAACCCAGACCTTATTCCGTTTTACGGTCCCCTCGAAATACCCACGAGCGCCATTTCCTGGCCGCCACTGGCTGAAGGAAGTCCCAGGAGAGCCAGCGTTAACAGTTTTGGTAAGTTCATCTTCGCTTTTGCTACCTAAGTAGGTAGTTCACATCTAACCCATCCTGCCAGGTTTTGGAGGTGCAAATACCCACGTCATCCTCGAAAGCCACACACCCTCAGAGAACCCTCCCAACACGGCGTCTTGGACGGATGCATCATCTATCCTACCATTTGTCTTCTCTGCCAGCTCCGAAGCAGCGCTGCAGAGGTCACTCATCTCCTACCAAGACTATCTTGCAAACCACCCCAGCGTCAACCTGTCCGATCTCTCTTGGACTCTCAGAGCACGCAGGTCGGCCCTGCCCGTCAAAGTTGCCATTGCCGCCGCAAGCGTCAACGAACTGCAAAGCAAGATCAAGGAGAAGCTGGACAGCTTGGAGAGCACCCCTGGCTCGACGATCGGAATCCGTTCCAAGACGGGCGAGCGCAAGATTCTCGGTGTCTTTACCGGACAAGGAGCCCAGTGGGCCACCATGGGAAGGCAGTTGATTGATACCATTCCTCGCGCCAGAGATCTAGCCAACAAACTCGACGCTGCGCTGCAGGCCCTGCCGAACCCCTACAAGCCGTCTTGGAGCATCTTGGCGGAGCTCTCCAAGGACTCTGCCTCGTCTCGCTTGCAGGAGGCCGCTTTCTCGCAGCCGCTCTGCACGGTTGTGCAGCTCATCCTCATCGACCTCCTCCGCGCCGCGGGGATCGAGTTTTCTGCCGTCGTTGGACACTCCTCCGGCGAGATTTGCGCCGCACACGCCGCGGGGTTCTTGTCTGCTGAGGACGCCACCAAGATTGCCTACCTTCGTGGTTACTTCGCCGGCCTGGCCAAGGGACGCTCGGGCGAGAAGGGCGCCATGATGGCCGTTGGTGCCTCGATGGAGGGCGCCCAGGAGCTTTGCGATCTCCCCGAGTTCCGTGGCAAGATCAAGGTGGCCGCGAGCAATTCGTCATCCAGTGTGACCTTGTCCGGCGACGCCGAGGCAATTGCTCAGGCCAAGGAAGTTTTGGATGAGAGAAAGACTTTCGCCAGGGCATTGAAGGTCGATACCGCGTACCACTCCCATCATATGCAGCCGTGTGCCGAGCCGTATGTGGAAGCATTGCGCGCCTCTGGCATTACCCTGACGTCGCCAACGGGCGATTGTATCTGGTACTCGAGCGTGCTTGATGGGAACAAGGTCGAGCTGAACGACACCCTCGGTGGGACCTACTGGCGGGATAACATGGTCAACACCGTGCTCTTCTCTCAGGCCGTCACAGCCGCGGTGAATAACGGAGGGCCGTTCCACCTCGCTCTAGAAGTTGGCCCCCATCCTGCTCTGAAAGGCCCGGCTTCGCAAACACTCGCCGAGCTCAGCGTCGATATCCCTTACTATGGCGCGCTGAAGCGTGGCGCGAGCGATTTCTTGGCCTTCTCGGATTGCCTGGGCTCCGTGTGGGCAAACTTTGGTGGGTCGGCTGTCGATTTCGAGGCGATTCATGCCACCCTTCCCGAGGCCGGCCGCCCGACTCTTCTCAAGAACTTGCCCACGTATGCTTGGGACCATGACAAGCCATACTGGTACGAGTCTCGCAAGAGCAAGCAGTACCGTACCCGGTCACAAATTCCCCACGACCTTCTCGGCACCAGGGCCGACGATGGAACTGGTGTCGAATTGCGCTGGCGCAACTTCCTCAGCGTCCAGGACCTTCCATGGCTGGAAGGCCATCAGATCCAAAGCCAGGTTGTGTTCCCTGCGGCAGGGTACATTTCAATGGTTCTGGAGGCCGCTCAAATGATGGCCAGAGAGGAGCAACAGGATATCCAGCTTCTCGAGGTCTGTGACCTCGACATTACCCGTGCGCTTGTCTTCCCCGATGAAAAGGCCGGTATCGAAACCACGACGGCCCTTACCAACATCACGGTTCACGCTGACGCCATCACGGCGAACTTTGCCATCTCTGCGCACCTCTCCCGCGACGCCACACACCTGACCAAGGTCGCCGACGGCACAGTCCGCGTCGTCACGGGTCCATCGTTTTCTCAGCTAGCCCCGCGGACTGCTACCCCTGCTCACCTGATCCCTATCGACTCCGACCGCTTCTACTCCTCTCTCCAGGATGTTGGCTACGGTTACACCCGGGAGTTCCGCACTTGTTCCGAGATGCGCCGCCGCCTTGACTTCTGCACCGGTTCGATTCAGAAGCCCGAGGATAGATCCCTTCTTGTACACCCGGGTGTGCTGGATCAAGCCTTCCAAGCCCTCTTTGGGGCTTACTGCTGGCCTGGTGATGGCAGGTTCTGGACTCTGTTCCTCCCCAAGAGCGTCCGCAAAATCACGGTTGATCCGTCGCAATACACCACGCAGAATGACCGGTTGGACTTCGATGCCTGGCTCGGAGATAGCCCGTCCAAGGAGATGCGTGGTGACGTCTTCTTCTCAGCTGGAAATGACACCGTCATCCAGGTCGAAGGCGCCAGCATGGTCTCGGTCAACCAGACTACCGGCCGCGATGACCGCCCCATGTTCTTCGAGACCGTATGGGGTGTTGCTTCCCCCGATGGAGACCTCGCCGCTGCTGGCGAACGTGCCACGGACGAGGAGTGGGAAATGGCCGAGGCCTGCGAGCGGGTTGCCCACTACTACTGGCGCAAGCTTGACGAGACGCTAACGCCGTACGAGAGAGAGAACTGCGCCGAGAACCACAAGCACTTGCTTGCCGCCATCAAGCACTTGCTCGGTCGCCCGATGGACGGTAGACAGTCGTACCTCAAGCCCGAGTGGCAAAACGACGACGAGAGGGCCATTGAGGAATTGAGGCAGCGATACCCCTCGTCCATCGATATCAAGCTCAGCGTGAGCGTGGGACGCGCCCTGCCCGCCGTGCACCGGGGCCAGACCACTATCCTCGAGCATATGAGGCCTGATAACATGCTGGATGACTTCTATTCCCAGAGTCTTGGTCTGCCTGCCACCAACCGGTCCCTGGGTAGGATGGTTAAGCAGCTGACTCACCGCTATCCCCGCATGAACTTCATCGAGATCGGCGCGGGAACCGGCTCTTCAACCCAGGCCATCTTGGATGCCGTGGACAATGCCTACTCGTCCTACACGTTTACCGATATCTCGAGCGGCTTCTTCGAGAAGGCCGCCGAGCGGTTCGAAAGCGCCGGCGATAAGATGATCTACAAGACATTTGATGCCGAAAAGACGCCGGCTGATCAGGGCTACAAGCCCGGCTCGTACGACGTTGTCGTTGCTTCCAACGTCCTGCACGCCACCACCAACCTCCACAATACCCTCCGGAATGTGCGGGCGCTCCTGAAGCCCGGCGGATACCTCTTCCTTCTGGAGATCACGGATAACACCTCGATCCGCTACTCATTCTCCATGGGTGGTCTCTCCGGTTGGTGGCTGGGTGTCAACGACGGCCGCCCCTATTCTCCATGCATCACCCGGTCCAAGTGGAACCAGGCCCTGCGCAAGGCTGGCTTTGCCGGAGTCAGCGCCGTGACTCCCGCCCACGATATCCACCCCAACCCGTTCTCGGTGATTGCTTCTCAGGCGGTCGAGGAGAAGATGGACCAACTTCGCCGGCCTCTACTCAAGACTCAGCTCCGTGGGGACAGCAGCAACGCCCCGCTGTACATCCTCGGCGGCCTTGACCTCGAGACCTCCAATATTGTGGAAGACATCGTCGCCATCACAGAAAACCACTTCCAGGAAGTCATCACCATCGACACCTTGGAGGAAATCGTCGATGCCAACATGCAGCCAAACTCCACCGTCCTGAACCTTCTCGACCTAGACGGCCCCGTCTTCAAGGACATGACCCCGACCCGCCTCAAGGCCCTCCAGCTCCTCGTCGAGAACACCCACCACCTCCTCTGGATCACGCACGCCCAAGAGCGCGAAAACCCCTGGTCCAACGCCTCGGTCGGCTTCCTGCGCTCCGTCTCGGCCGAGCTGCCCATCCTCCGCGCGCAGATCCTCGACTTCGGCCTCGCCGAGTCCCCCGCCGCCCACACCTCCCTCATCGCCGAGTCCCTGCTCCGCCTGCTCGCCACGGGGCCCTGGGAACGCGACCCCTCGTTCAAGGACCAGATGCTCTGGACCACCGAGCCCGAGCTCCGCTTCCGCGACGGCAAGCTCTGGCTGCCCCGCGTCCGAGGCCACGCGGCCAACGACGACCGTATTAATGCTTACCGCCGCAGCATCAAGCGCGCTGCCGCTGCTGATGATGACGTGCAGGCCGCTGCTAAGCTGCACGAGGACGAGGATGGCGCGTGGGCGCTGCGCCAGCACTACGTGCCTAAGGTTATGCCGTCGCAGCCGGGCGGTGCTGATGCGGTGGCTGTTCGCGTGCGGTATAGCACGCTGCGCGCGCTAGTCGCTGATGAGGTTGGCTCGGCCCTGCTGCTGGTGGTTGGGCAGCTGGTTGAGACCGGCCGGTGGGTGGTCGCGCTTGCGGCGGAGCGCGCTTCCATTGTGCAGGTGGACCGGGCCTGTGTTGTCGAGCTGCCGCAAGGTTTCACCGAGGACAAGGCGTTGGCGCTCCTGAAGGTGGTGCTGGCGGAGGGCCTGGCCAGCAGGATTGCGAAGCTGGCTGGCGGTCATGGTGGGCTTGTCTTGGTCCATGAGCCGGATGCGCCGTTGGTTCGTGCCTTGCTCGCGAGGGGGAGCCAGGGGGCCTTTGAGGTCAAATTCACGACGACCCAGGATCCGTCGAAGGCGAAGGATGCCGGCTGGATCTACCTGCATCCTCGCCAGTCGGCACGCGCTGCTCGCCAGGTGCTCCCGAGCACTGCTTCCGCTTTTGTTTCCCTCTCCGGAAGCGACATCGTTGCGGATCTCATCGTTTCCGTCCTGCCAGCGAGCTGCCGGGTGTTGGGATCGGACTTCATCTTCCAGAAGGAGTCCACGGTTCTCCCGACGACGTCTTGGAAGGCTATCGCTTCCCAGCTCACTCCCCTGGTGGAGACGGCGGTTTCGAGCAACTTGGCCGCCCAACCGTTCTCCGATGTCGTTTCGTTGGAGAGCTTGCAGGAGGGCTCGAGTCAAGCCCTTGGCTCGCTGACCCTGGTTGACTGGCAATTCTCGCCTTCCCTTGCACTGGAGGTTTCCCCACCGCTCCCCTCCAAGATCTTCAAGTCAAACAGGTCTTACATGCTCGTTGGTATGACAGGCGAGATGGGTCAATCGCTCTGCCGCTGGATGGTCCGCCATGGCGCTGGCGCTGTCATCATGACCAGCCGCAACCCCAAGATCGAGAAGGCCTGGATCGACGAGCTGGAGGCAACCGGCGCAAAGATCAAGGTCGCTGGATTCGACGCCACCAGCCGCGATGCTTGGGTCAAGTTCGCCGCCGAGGTCAGACAGGACCTCCCTCCCCTAGCCGGTATCATCAACGGCGCCGTCGTCTTGCAGGATCAGTTCTTCCTCGAGATGGACATCAACGGCTTCAACGGGACGCTCAAGCCCAAGGTCGATAGCACGATCCACCTCGACGAGGTCTTCCGCGACGATCCCTTAGACTTCTTCCTCGTCTTCTCTTCCCTCTCCTCCATCATCGGCAACCGGGGCCAGGCCAACTACAACGCCGCCAACGCCTTCATGACCTCCTTCGTGCAGCAGCGCCGGGCACGCGGCCAGGCCGCCTCGGTCCTCCAGCTGGGCAGTGTCGTCGGCGTCGGCTTCCTCACGCGCGCCGGCGACGTCATGGAGCAGATCCTCGTCAAGTACGGCTACCTGCCCGTCTCCGAGGTCGACCTGCAGCACCTCGTCGCCCAGTGCGTCATGGCCGGCCTGCCCGGCTCCGGCGAGAACCCCGACATCATCACCGGTCTGCGCTATGCCTACGAGGATGAGGATACCGGTGTCCATTGGGTCAACAACCCGCGCTTCGCCCACATGATCCTGCCACCGGAGAAGGAGTCGGTTGATAACGGCGACAAGAAGGTGGTCCTGTCTACTAGGGCCCAGCTCGCGGCGGCGAGCTCCGAGCCGGAGGCTTGCAAGGCCCTTGAGGGCTGCTTCGGCGCGAAGCTCAGGGCAATGCTACAGATGGATGAGGCCTCGTTCCGTGATGATGCCGCTTTGATTGAGATGGGTGTGGATTCGTTGGTGGCTGTGGAGATTAGGTCCTGGTTCCTCAAGGAGGTTGATGTGGACATGGCCGTCCTCAAGATCTTGGGCGGTGCCTCGACCATTGATCTGTGCCAGTTTGCGGTGGAGAAGATGCCGAGGGACCTACTTCCCGGGCTGGTTGAGGGTGGCGCGGCGCCGGCGGCGGACAATGCCCCTGCTCCTGCCCCTGTCAAGGTTGAGGAGAAGCCATCTGTTCCCGCTTCGCCGGAAAGCGCTGGTAGCGATACTGGGAAGGACTTTGTGCATGTAAGTGTACAGTCAATTAGTCTTGCTTAGTAGGCTACTAAATTGACATCCCTTACTCGTCGCTTCTCACTCTCTATCCTTGCCACAAAATGAATGATGTTGAGCTGTAACACCAATCTGACAAGACCACAGGCGGATGCGTCGGATAGTACCACCAGCAGCTCGCCCAGCGCGGGAAGTCCTACTCCCTTTACTCCCGCCCAGGACCCCCCGAATGGGAGCCCCCCGTCCTCGATCGGAGAGGACGAGGTCATCGTCAAGAAGCCAGCCCCGGAGGTAACGCGCCGTGTCAGGGTCTCGTCGGCACAGTCTCGGTTCTGGTTTTTGAACATGTTCCTCTCTGACCGCACCTCTTCAAACGTGACTCTCTCTTACAACATGCGCGGCCACGTCCGAATTTCGGACTTCGCTCGGGCCGTGAAACAGACAACCAATGCTCACGAGGCGCTCCGGGCCTGCTTCATCGCGGACGAGGATTCAAGCGAGAAGGCCTGGCAAGGACTAATGCAGACCTCCAAGGTCGAGCTCGACCACAGGACGGTAGCAACCGACGAGGAGATCTCGGCGGCATACCAAGAGGTCCGAAGCACGGTGTATGACCTCGAACAGGGCGAAACCATGCAGATCGTTCTGCTGTCCAAGAACCCAACTACCCACACCATCATCTTTGGATACCACCACATCGTGCTGGACGGTGTCGGTTTCACCGCCTTTGTTGCTGACCTGGAACGGGCATACAAGGGTCAACGGCCGTCACCGCAAGGCCTCCAGTACGCAGAATTCTCTGAACAGGAGGGCGTCGCCATCGGCAAGGGGAGTCTACAACAGAACCTCGAATACTGGAAGAACAAATTCCATGAGATGCCCCCCCTTCTCCCGCTGTTGCCGGTGGCCAACGTCACCGCCAGACAAACCGTGGGCACCTACGGCTCGAGCTACGTCGAACAGCGGCTCAATGCCAGACTCGCAGAGAGCCTCAAGGCCTGCTGCAAGAAGTTCCACGTCACCTCGTCGCACGTCTACCTCGCCACCTTCCGCGTCATGCTCATGCGCCTCGCTGGCGTGGACGACCTCTGCATTGGTCTGGCCGATGCCAACCGCCACGAAAGCAACGTCTCGTCGACGGTCGGCCTCTTCTTGAACATGTTGCCTCTGCGGTTCAAGCAGTCGTCCGAGGCGACTTTCGGCGAGATCCTGAAGGAAACCCGTGGCGCCGTGTACGAAGGTCTCGGTCACGCCGGCGTGCCTTTTGACGAGCTGCTCCAGGCTCTCCAGGTCCAGCGCTCGTCAAGCCACAGCCCCCTGTTCCAGGCCTTCTTTGACTACCATCGGGGTGCGCAGGAGAAGCTCGAGTTTGCCGACACCACGTGGGAGAATGCCGACAGGAACCCGGGTGAGCGGGCCTACGATATCACCCTGGATGTCATCGAGGGGAGTGCTGGCTCGTTGGTCTCGCTGATCGGCCAGGAGTACCTCTATGGGATCCCTGAGATGCAGAAGCTGCTCGACTGCTACCTTACGCTGCTGGATCAACTTGTCAGCAACCCCTCCATGCTACCGTCCGCTGCGAAGGTCTTCAGCGAGAGCCAAGTTCAGGCCGCTTTGGACGTGGGTAACGGCTCGCGTATGGACTTCGAATGGGCCCCCACGTTGGGGCATCGGGTCGAGGAAATGTGCCAGCAGTTCCCGGGCTCCATCGCGCTTAAAGACGGTAGTGCCTCCAGCTTGACCTACCGCGACTTGAAGAACAAGGCCTGGGCGATCCGGGAGCAGCTCTTGGCGGGGGGTGTGAAGCCCGGGGACCGTGTTGCCGTGTTGCAAGAGGCGACCCCTGATTGGATCTGCTCCGTCATCGCCATCTTCTGGGCGGGAGCTGTCTACGTGCCGATGGTTCTCCTGAACCCGGTACCGCGGCTCATCGCCATTATCCAAGCGTCCGAGCCGACAGCGATCCTGGTTCACGATGCGACCGGCCATCTCATCCCGCAACTGCAAGCAGGAAATGCCACGGCGGTGAATGTCAGTCGTGTATCGTCTGCGGGATCTGCGCCCGCAACCGTCACCGTGTCGGCGTCGGCTGAGGACCCGGCTGTTATCCTGTTTACCAGCGGCAGCACCGGCACACCCAAAGGCATTGTTCTCCGCCACAGGAATCTTGTCAATCACATCGAAGGCTACGTCAAGACGTGGGGCATTGGCCGTGAAGTTGTCCTTCAGCAGAGCGCTTTCTCGTTCGACCTTTCCATCGGGCAGATCTTCACTGCCCTGGCCATGGGCGGAACTCTCGTCGTGGCCCCTGAGGAAACTAGGCGCGATCCCTCAATGCTTGTCAGCCTCATCCGCCGTCAGAAGATCACATGGACACTCCTCACCCCTTCAGAGTATGCGGGTGTCCTTCAAGCGGCCCCGGAGGAGTTGCGACGCGCCTCGTCCTGGAAACATGCCCTTGCCTGTGGTGAAGCGCTCACACCGAGGCTTGTCCGCGAGTTCGCCGCCCTCGGACATGAGACGGTCCGACTTTACAACTGCTATGGACCCGCTGAAGCCATCATTTCTGCCACCATGGCCGAGATCCCGTTCCGTGATGGCGCCGACGGCCCAGTACCGGTGGGACGTCCGAACGCCAACTACTCGATCCGCATCATCGATGAGCAACGCAACCTCGTGCCGCAGGGATTCCCGGGCGAGATCCTGATCGGTGGTTGTGGAGTTGGCATTGGATACCTTAACGAGAAACAGCTGACGGATGACAAGTTCCTGCCTAACAAGTTGGTGTCCGCCTGGGACGTTCAGCATGGGTGGAACGTTTCCTACCGCACCGGTGACGTTGGCCGTCTTCGCGCGGATGGAACCCTGATGCACGAGGGCCGGCTCGAGGGAGACAGCCAAGTCAAGATCCGCGGCTTCCGAGTCGACCTTCTGGATATCGAGTCGACACTCTTGAACGAATCCACGGGTGTCATCGCAGATGCCGTGGTAACGATGCGGAGCGAAGCACAAGTCATTGTGGCACACGTCATCTTCGTCAAAGACCAGCTGCCTGCGGAAAGACAGGGGGCATACCTGAGCGAGCTCCTCGCGTCCCTCCCACTACCGGCGTACATGAAGCCGACCGTGGCTGTTCCCGTGGATGAGTTCCCGAAGAACCTTCACGGCAAAAAGGATCGCCGCGCCATCGTGGCCCTCCCTCTTCCGCAGAACGCGAACTCTTCCGCCGCTGCTGGCACCGGTGCCCTCGAGGCCTTGAGCCCCGTCGAGGCAAGGCTCGCTGAGGCGTGGTTCGAGGTGCTTCCTCCCGACTTTACCCAGCTGTCCGCCATCAACGGCCAAACCGACTTCTTCGCCGTGGGCGGCAACTCGCTGCTGCTTGTCAAACTTCAGGCCCGTATTCGCGCCGCGTTCAACGTGTCTCTACCGCTCATTCAGCTTCTGGACGTCAGCATCTTGTCGGAGATGGCCACACTCGTGGAGTCTTCCCGCGTTGTTGATACGATAAACTGGGAGCAAGAGACCGCAGTGGATGCCGAACTGCTGGGGATTGCCAGCCGACCACCAGCATCCTCGGTGAAGACCACAGGCAAGACCGTCGTCTTCACCGGCGCGACCGGATACTTTGGCCCGTACATGCTTGAGCAACTGATCTCCGACTCATCCGTCGCAGCCATCCACTGCGTTGCCGTCCGAGCCAAGAACCAGTCGGACGCCGAATCCCGCCTCCCCAAATCCATCACCGCCAACGCCAAGGTCACCGTCTACCCCGGCGACCTCGGAAACCCTCTGCTTGGTCTCCCCGAACCCGTGTTCTCCGAGCTCACTAACACGGCCGACCTGATCATCCACTCTGGCGCGCGCCGCTCCTTCTGGGACTCGTACTACTCCCTCCGCGACACCAACGTGGCCTCCACGCGCACGCTCCTGCACCTGTCCGCGCCGCGCCGCATCCCAATCCACTTCCTCTCGACAAGCGGCGTCCTACTCCTCTCAGACGCCACCAACCCCTACCTCACCACCACCACCACCCAACCCCAAACCCCATCCCTCCGCCACACCCCGCCCCCCACCGACGGCTCCGACGGCTACGTCGCCTCCAAATGGGCCAGCGAAGTCCTCCTCGAGAACGCGGCACACACCCTACACATCCCCATCGCCGTGCACCGTTTCACGCCGCGCGCGGGGCCGGTCGCCTCGGCAGCGGGCAATCTCCGACAGGGGCCCGACGCAGCCGTCGCAGCCACGGCGCTGGAGGAGCTGCTCGCGCCAACGACGGCGCTGGGCGCGCTGCCCGAGCGCAGCACGTGGTCGGGCCGGTTCGATGTGGTGCGGAGCAAGGTGCTGGCGGGCGCGGTGGTGGGTGCGGATTTCAAGTTTGGGGGGGGTGTTGGGGGTGGGGAGGTGCGGTTTGTGCACCACGCGGGCGAGGCGGCGCTGACGCCGGGGGAGATGTTTGATTTCTTTGAGGCGAGGCTTGGGGGCGTGGTGAAGGGGAGGATGGGGCTGCTGGAGTGGGTGGGGGCGATTAAGAGGGAGGGGTATGGGTGGTTGTTTTCGACGCATGATTTGGCGTTGACGAGGAGGGAGAATGGGGTGGAGACGACGTTGGTGAATCGGCGGTGAGGTGGATTGTGATGGGTTGTGAACTTGTGTGGGTTGGCGTTGAGGTGTTGCGGGTTTGGTTGTGGGAATGGAGGAGTTAACTACTACCTTACCTAATTTTGTTTTGAAATTTTGATGAAGGCAAATGCATGTATTTGATCGGGGAAGTATAATTACGGAACAGAAGAGGCATAAATTGAATGGACATACCAGTTATAATACTTGTTCGAGTCATTATACCGGTGCCTTGTGCTGATATTCTTTGGACTCGCACTGTCGTAAAAGAACTGATGGTAACATGGTGACTTTGAAGACTCCAATTTTATTATCTCTTCTGTGCCACAAACGGTGTTGGCAAGCAAGTACTGGCACAACTCGTGCCCTGTTCTCAGCCGCTGGGCATGCTGGCAGGGGCTCCTTCCTTCGATTGCACTTGGAGGTGGGTGTTGGGGAGTTTGAGGACGGGGAATAGATCACGTGATACCGCGTTCAGCTCAACCTCGCTCAACCCTGAACTTCGCGTGCTCTCTTTTTTCCACCCACATAAACCCCATCTGGAACACGCCAAGACATACCTCCCTACGCAGCCCCCAGCGCACCCATCATGGCTATTTCCAATGAACAGAACAGCGATGACAAGCCTATTTCCTCAATTCCATCATCGCTGCCACCACCAGGATTGTCAATCAACCAACTCGCCGCCCTCCATTCTCGAGAACGATTGCTTGTCCATCCGCTGCGCTGGAGCGACCGACAAGTGGCCCTCCTTGACTGTCGCATCCATTTTTTCGAGGACGCCGGTAGCGCAGCCAGCCATGGGAACGCCGACACCAATACCGATCCGCTGGCTCCAAAATCCCGGCTTGAGCTTTTTCTCGCCGACAACTTGAGGCTCCGATTCACCTGGGACGAGTTCATTGATATCACCCGAAGGCTCCTCCGGCCGCCCGGTGGTCACCTCTCCGTTGAAAATCAGTACGTCCCTCCGACCACGGCCGCTTCCCGCTGGTCCATACTGACACTACCTACTTGGGTACCCTAGGCAAATCACTAGTCTCTACTTCAACAAACGCCCTTGCGCTAATATCATGTACTGTCGTATTTCGCTCCCACCCAAGAGTCCCACGCGCAGGCCTATCACCTTCGCGTGTTTTAACCACGACGAGACTGGTTTGGTGAGGAGAATGTTCTTCTCTCCGGTGAAGAATCCGATCTATGGCATGAATGGCCCTGGAATATACCGTCAGACTACGCTTTTACGCCTCCATCGCCCCGCGGACCCTCTAAAAGACCCATTCTTGGTTGCTGTGCTCATTTCTTTGGCACAACAAAAGCGCCGCCGTGCACCCAAACCAGAGTCTCGGTCTCCCAGCTTCAAGGTTCGTCATAGCTCGCTCTTGCTTTCTGTTCTCCTATCCCGTTCTACCGTAAGGATCTCAAGGATTTGCAACTGACCGTACCTTTATCTGCTAGGTTCGACTTCTTTTTCCTACAGGAAAGGACTCGAAATCATTCAACATTTTCATGGCCAATGTCCAAGCTTCCTTTCTTGATAAATTGGATTTCCCACACAAGGAACCCGCCGTAAATTCGGGTCTCGACATCTACCATCGGCAGATCCCAACCTTGCCTTTCCAAACCTTTCCTCGGCGGCTCCGTCGGGCATTGACCCTTGATTTCTGCGGGGAGACGAAAGGCGCTGTAGGAACCGGCGGGCTTCGACGAAGGATAGGAAAAAAGCGAGTCCGGGCTGATATTTAGATAGAATCCCGATCGTCAAAAGAGAACTATTAATTAAAATCATTGATTCGTGGCTGAATGGTCCCCGCGTGCGATAAACGAGGGTGTCTAAAGAGACAACGCATGATTCATAAGGTAAAATTTAGTAAAAGCAACCCAGCATAACGCCGTCCGCTTTTGTTCGTCCCCCTTTATGGGGGCATACAGATAGTTTCATGGACCATCGTGGCCAGTTCCCCCGAAGTCGCCGTTTCGGCACTGTCGAGGCGTTCCCGCCCTGGCAACGGCGGGACGTCTTCCCGCCGAGGGCACGGGCGGAGTGTGTGGTTCGAGTTAATACAACCATCAAGATCTACTGTGTGAGCACGGTCACGCTTTTTCTCGGCTTTGTACCTATGGGACATTGTATAAGACGGAAGGTTTGAATGTTGTTTTTCAAGCACAACTCGTTGCTGCCCCACCAACGCCTTCCTGGCGCGTATAGAGGTAGGTACCTAAGTAGGTAGGTAGGTAATAGCCTAGGTAGGTAATTTTCCATAGCCACCCAAATGTTGCTGCCCACATCACGCTTTTCCGCTGGCTCAACAACACCAAGGCGGACGTCTAGCTCTGCCCAGTGCCGAGCTCCCTATTCCCTGTGTCGTCAACACACTCACCCGTCCGTTTTCTTTTTACTCCGCTCCGTTTCCTTTCAATTCCCGACCAAGTATTTACCAAAAACAACAAACAACAATATGGACTACTTTAACGAGATCGCTAACGTTGGAGTCTATTCAAGGAAGCGCCCGCTGGGTGTCCTCGACCTGAATGTGATGATGGAGATAAACCCCGGAAGCAAGTGGGCAGAGGATGAGCTCTTCGCCGCCCGCGTGGTGATTCGCACCGCCCGGTCCGATCGCCAGTTTGGCCACATCCTACCCATCCTCCGGAGGCATTCTACCCTCGTGTTGGCCGCACGCGAGCAACCAGGTATACAGGCGCTCTTGAAAGTGCCTGACCTGCTGGACCGGCATCGGGAAATGAATGAGATCCAATTTGGACATTGCTATGGCACAAGCCTGGGATCATTTTGGGACGCTCTCGCTAAGTTTGGTGATGTTGAAGATACCGACGTCGACGTTGACATCAATGACGGCGGCGACGACGACAACCGCAACGCGAAGGGTGAGGACAACGGCGAGGACGACGGCGAGGACGACAGGGAGGACGACAGGGAGGAAAACGAAGAGGACGATTGGGAGGATAACGGCGAGGACGACAGAGAGGACAACGGCGAGGATAACGAAGAGGACGATGGGGAGGATCACGGAGAAGACCATGATGTGGACTGCGGCGACGGCGAATATATGGATAAGAGGGTTGGCAAACCCAAAAAGCGCTCCTACAGCCCGAGTTCCGATGAATCCGCGACCGCTTTGCCCGCTCGGAGCAAGCGAGTCCGAACGGTGCGCATTCGACAAGGATTCGTGGACATCACTCAAACGAAAATCGAGTCGAGCTCGCCGCAACGCTCCTCGCAGGAGACATGTCACGGTTCGGATCCGACGTTTGTCGGCAAATCCCACGCCTTAACTGACGTTCCGGAAGAAGCAACTGTCGAGATTGCCTCGGCGTTCATTCGCCATGTGCTCCAAGCTTGCCCGCCCCAGCACGACACACTGAACCACAACCCCCCGTACATGGTCCTATTCTCACGAGTGTCTCGTCAGTTCACGGGCAAAACTGCTGCGAAAGAACTGATCAAAGCTACGGCGGACGGAGAGCTACAACTGCATCGACTTGATAACAGAAATTGTTATCGTCCCACTGGCCACCGACCCGCCCTCCTTGAAGCGAAGAAGCGGTTCGCAATTATCAAAGACGGGCAGCCATTTCTGACGAACGAGCTTCTTGGCCAAATGACCTGCGAGGCACTTGCGCTGTGTCTCCAGCGGACGAAGGAGACCGGCCAAGCAGAAGAAAAGTGGGAGCCAGCACCCTTCCACCCCATGCTGTTATTGGGTTGTGTGTCGCTAACCATGTCTCTTACTAGCATCTTCATCATTGCGGCTGTGCGGCGATACATGCGCTTCCTGCAGTTTACAATCCCCAAATCGTATATCAACGCCCTGACGACCCAGACAGAGCCCGAAATGCTTACCGACTTTGTAAACGTCTGGGCGACACCGTGGTTTGATCTCGAGGGCCCGGGCGGGCGTCGTGGCGCAGTCGACAACATCGTCGCCTTGGTCAGCCGGCAGTCTCACGTGGAGCATGCGTAAGGCTGAAACTGGATCTGAGGGGGACGGAGTTGGGGGGAAACAGGGTTAGAGGCGATGGCACGCTGCCGATCAGTGCGCATCGCGCTCGAGATGCTGTATGGGCGGTACAGGCATCCTCTTGTATGTACATGTAGGTACGTAGGACCTAGCTCAGCACGTCCCCGCAAGTCAAGTAGGCTTCTGGCGACGGCCACTATACCTAGGTAGCTACCTAGGTAGGTACTCCATCACACCCATTTTGGCACCCAAACTTCGCCCAAACTCGGCTTTGGTACTCTGCGATAATACACCACTAGCATTTGTAAAAGATAAAAAGTAAATGCAAGAAGGTGCGATTTTACATTGAAACCATATGGAGCAAAGTAGGTAGTTTCCATTTTGTCACTTGTAGTAGGTGACTGCATCGGCTTCAACTTGACATTGAGCCCTTCCCATACAATTCTCCACACAACAGTCCGAAAAAAAGTGATGGACTATTTCCTGACCCCGATTGTTGCGAGTCGGCCTTGAAATTTGACGGGGTCGTTGACCGTTTTGGTCAGGTTGTTGTTGTTGGCATTGCCTGTGGTCAGTCTGTCGACGATTGTCTCTAGTCCGTCAAGCTTTGTGGAGTCGTCAGGTTCGTCAACGTCATGCTCTGGCCCGGAGTCGAAGCCTTGGAATTCCGACTCTCCCGTGATTTGTTCGTCGTTTCGTTGTTGTGATCACCCGCGAAGACCTCGGCGACTATACGTGGCCGCGCCCCGGAAGTTAAGTGGTGTAAACAACACCAACAACAACACCCGTACCCTTACGATAACGACAACTTTTGATCATTGAACAGTGCGTTCTCCTATTATTTATCCTACTCCATTTTTACCACAGAAAACCTTTAGTTGCAAATTGTTTCTCGTCAACTCCATAGCTCCGAGCAGATGACACCCTCAACTCGCTTTCCCATCCCATAATCCTACTACCCCTACCCACCTCACGCATTCTCTGCCTTCTCGCCATTCACCGCCACGGCATCGGCACCGTCCTTGGGCGTCTCAAACTTCTGGCGCTTGGCCTCCTCGGCGTCGAGACCGGTCTTGGTGACCTCGTGCGAGGTCATGAGCGCCTTGCTGCGGATGCCAAACGACAGCACAAACCCGACAAAGATGAGCACCGTGTAGAAGATCCACATCTTGGACATGGCGTCGGAGAAGGCGGTGGCGTAGGCCGCGCGCTGCGGCTCGGTGAAGCCGTCGGTCAGCCCAAAGCCGGAGATGGCGCCGCCGTTGACCAGCCGGCTCACGACGTCGGCGGGGATCCCCGCGCTGCGCATCGCGCCGCTGTGCCCGCCCAGCATGCTCTGGAAGATGACCTGCCCCAGCACGACGCTCATGGCGGTGGCCAGGTTGCGCACAAAGTTGAGCGTGCCCGTGGCCACGCCGATGTCCTCGGGGGCGACGAGCGCCTGGATGGCGATGACGAGCGTCTGCATGTTGGCGCCGATGCCGGCCGCGAGGAGGATCTGGAAGATGATGATGCGCGGCCAGTCGCGCGTCGGGCCGTAGGTGATCATCAGGCCGAGCGCCAGCGTGAAGAGGGCCATGCTGCCGCGGATGATCCAGAGGTAGTGGCCGGTGCGCTGGATGACGATGCCCATGATGATGCCGGACAGGGTGAAGGAGATGGCGATGGCCAGCATCCACACGCCGGACTCGATGGGCGTGGCGCCGAGCGCGGCCTGGAAGTAGAGCGGGAGGAAGAAGATGGGCGCGATGAAGCCCGCGCCGTGGCAGAAGACGACGGCGAAGGTGCAGGACCGCGACAGGCCCGCGAAGATGCGCTTGGGGATGACGGGGTAGCGCGCGTACCGCTCGTAGACGGCGAAGAGCACGTAGGCGACCACGCCGAAGACGATGAGGCAGATGACGAAGGCGGATCCCCACGGGTGGGAGACGCCGCCGGATTCGAGGCCGATGAGGAACATGAGAGTGGCGCCGACGATCAGCACGGAGCCTACCCAGTCAATGGCCTTCAGACCCTTGACGAGGGGCGTCTTGGGGTTGTGGATGTGCAGGAAGATGATGGTGATGATGAGGGACAGGCCGTCAAAAGGCAAGTTGAACCAGAAGCACCATCTCCAAGTGGCACGCTCAGTAAATACACCACCTGTTGGTCAAGTCAGTTTCGCCACAGTTCCTCGGTCCCAAAATTGGGGGTGTGGGATATTCAACATACCAATAACAGGCCCAATGGCGGTGGAAACGGCCCACACAGCGCCATAGATACCGTAGAAGAGACCGCGTTCACGCTGGCTGAACATGTCACCCACGGAAATCTCAACGAGGGTGATCAGACCACCACCACCCGTACCCTGGATGGCACGGGCGGCAATGAGCATCTCAAGGCTGTTGGAGAGGGCAGCAACCAAGCTGCCGACGAGGAAAATGAGGTTGGCGACGATGAGAATGGGCTTCCGGCCAAAGATGTCGCTCACTTTGCTCCAGAAGGGCGACGTGGCCGAGAGGGCGAGGAGGTAGGCGGAACCGATCCAGGCGAAGCCGGAGTCCGAGGCATTGAGCTCCTTGGTGATCGTCGGCATGGCCGGCGTGATGATGACCGAGTCGATGGCAGCCAGGAAGACGGCGAGGCACAGGGCGATCAGGATCAGGGTGAGCTCCATCGGTGTGTGGGCTGGCGGCTCCGACGCGTCGGGCGCGTCCGCCGCGCTGGGCCCATCCTGTGAACCCGTTGCCTTGGTGGCATTGTCGACGGCGTCGTTGGCCGCAGGCTGAGATTGGGAGGACGATGAGGACCTCACCTCCTTCTCCGCGGGTGCGGAGGACATGTTGGGGTTGTTGTGGTTATGGTGGCGGTGGTGGTGGTGGTTGTGGTCGAGAGACAGGTCTGAGGGACAGAACCGGTGGCAGAACTGAGAAGGAGGAAGGGAGAAGGAAGTCGAGAGTATTGAAAAGGGACAGACTGCAGCATTCAGAGGTCCACAATGAAGCCGACGATGGTTCGGCAGTGGTAGTCACTGGTCGTTCTGTCTCCAGTCTTCGATATTAGCTGACAAACTGTGAGACACTCCGATCCAAACGTTGGGCCTGATTTCCAATAGCAAGAGGAAAAGTTCAGTATCTGATCGGCAGTTGCTGCATTCCCTTTCCCATCGTTGGTCGTCTGTGTTTTCTTCGGACCGGACATTGTAAGTCGGATACTTTCCCAAAGCGGAAGAAAGTTGCCGATTCAGGGGCAGGGGTTGGCACCGACTCGACCGACTCGAGGCCCGATAACCCTAACCCGGATCGACTATCCATGGCCGCCGATCAGGTACTGTTATGGCAGTGTTACGACATCGGCTATGTTCGAAGTTTTTCGACTTTGCGAAAGACCCGAGTCTCATTCGGCTACGTTCAGGGTCGCCAATGCTGACACTCGAACACCGAGTGCGACTGAGTCATTATGGGGTTTTACGGCGAGTATAATGTACGTAGGAGGCACGAAGCCAAAATGATACCACGGGGAAGTATACAACATAACATTGAGCATATCTCTAGACCAAATTTCTGTCATTTTTGATGTAGAGGTCGGCATTTTGCTTTTTTTTCCGTTTCAAGATGACCTCCGGACACGAACAACAAGACAGATCATCTGAGACACAACCGCTTTTGGCTCAAGCGTCGGGTGATAATGAGCATACCACCGACCACCGCAGCCCATGGCATGATTGTCCTGCCCCAAATGGGTCATTCGGCACCGCGAGAGGTGATGACGAGGGGGGCATAAAAGCCGAAAACAATATATCAAGCGCAAGGGCCAGGTTAACGTTCATCTTCCCAGCCCTCGCCATCGGTGTAGGCTCTTTCTGATTCCTCTGGTTTCAAAATGACACCCTCCGTTCTGACGAAAAAGGCAGATATTCCTCGCTGCTGGCGACCAGACAATAATCGTCTCTAGCTATGGCCGTATCGGGAGCGATCTCGATGAGCTCGACAAGACGGCCTGGCTAGCCACGGCATACCTTTGTACCACGACCGCCTTCCAGCCGCTGTATGGCAAATTAGGGGATATCTTCGGCCGGAAGGCCTGCCTCCTCTTTGCCTACTCCGTGTTCGGACTAGGGGCTCTACTCTGCGGGCTGGCCGGCAACATGACCCAGCTGATCGCCGCGAGGGTATGATTTCCGCCTACCAAACCCCAAACCACATGCTAAGAACTGCCTAAACTAGGCTCTAACGGGCATCGGCGCCGGAGGCATCATCACGGTGGTGTCGATCCTGCTCAGCGACATTGTCACGCTCGAGGAGCGCGGCATCTGGCAAGGCTATGTCAACATGGTCTTTGCCTGCGGCGCGGGGCTGGGGGCACCGCTCGGCGGCATCTTGACCGACGCAATCGGATGGCGGTGGGCCTTCATCGGCCAGGGCCCGCTCTGCGCCATCGCCATCATCCTGGTCGCCATCCTCCTCCAACTCCCCCCACCGCCCACCGACGACAGCACCACCACACCCCCTAACACCAACAAACCCGCCACCACCACCCGCGCCAAACTCGCCCAAGTCGACTTCCTCGGCGCCACAACCCTCATCACCGCCCTAACCACCCTCCTCCTCTACCTCGACCGCCTCTCCACCACCCCCACCCCCAACTCCCCAACCCCCTGGACAACGCACCTCTACCTCCTCACCAGCGCCCTCGCCCTCCTCACCTTCCTCTACACCGAACACACCCTCACCCGCCACCCCCCTAACCCCCCTGGGCCTACTATTCGGCCGCCCCCTCCTAGGCGCCTACCTCGCCCTGGCCTTCGGCAACGTCGCCTGGTACGGCGTGCTCTTTTACGTCCCGCTGCTGTACCAGGCCACGGCGGGGCATTTCTCGGCCTCGGCTGCGGGCGCGTTGTTGTTGCCGGGCATTGCGTCGGGGGTGGTGGGTGGGTTTGTGGGCGGGGCGGTGTTGAGAAGGGGTGGGGGGAGGGGGTTTCGCGGGTTGGCGTTGGCGGCGTATCCGCTGGTGGGGATGGCGTGTGTTGGGGTGGCGGTGGGGGCGGGGGTGATGTTTTGGGCTGGGGGGGGTGGTGCGGCTAGTGGTGTTGGTGGTGGTGGTGGTGATAATGGGGGGTTGTCGGTTGCGGGTGTGGTGTGGGGGATGAGTGGGAGTTTGTTTGTGGGCGGGCTGGGGAATGGGGCGGGCATGACGGCTACGCTGGTCGCGGTTGTGGCGGTGGCGAGCCCGGAGGACCAGGCGGTGGTCACGGCGTGTGTGTACCTCTACCGCCAGCTCGGGGCCACGGTCGGGTTGGCGGTCATCTCGTTGGTGTTTCGCCGGGTTCTCGCGGCGGCGTTGGTTCGTCGGCTTGGTGGTGCGGATGTGGACGAGGTTGTGCGGCGCGTGTTGGAGTCGTTGGACTATTTGCAGCATCTGCCGGCAGAGACGCGCGTGGTTGTCGAGCAGGCATACGGTGAGGCATGCCGTGCTGCCCTGCTGCTCTGCGCGGGCCTGGCTGTCTGCGCCATTGTGTTTTCGTGTTTCATCAAGGAGAAGAGACAGAGCGGCAGGGGTGTGATGTTACCTATACCGACAGTTGAATAAGGCAGGGTATGAACACAATGCATAGACGGGCCGACAGCCCAGGAGTGTGGGTCAGAAACATGAATCGAAGAACTCTAGACGCTCAGATAAAATGGTGGTTCAAAGATCCTTCCGAGGCGGTGAAAGGACTATCGTACGGATACTAGTATTCCGACGAAGAAACCAAGTCGCCTCGTCGGCAAGTTCCTTTTTGCAAGAGCACGCGAGCTAAGTCCGAGCTCGGTTTGTACATACTATGTATGCTTGGATCAGTCATCTTAAAACGGCCGTCTTTCCGGGTCCAGACCCTCCCGGAGCCAGCAATACCAGATATCCAATCGCTTGCCGAGAAGGATGCCCGCTAGTATTCACAGCGGAGCATCATGGGATCTTGACCCCACCGTTGTCATCTCCTTTACCCCTTTGTCCCAGTGGATAAAATGGTCGGCTCGCCCCGGGCATGTTCATCACTATTCATGTGCCAATCAACTTAATCGTTTTACACTCTTTTCTGTCGACGACTCTGTGTATTCACTCGTTCATCACCTCACATCACCGCCCCCCGTCACCCAACGGCCAAAATAATAATCATGCACTCCTTCACACTCCTTTCCGCCCTTGCCGGCGCGTCTCTCGTTCTCGCCCAACCCCTCGAGGCTCCCGCTGCCGCACCTCAGATCACTGCCGCCCCTGATGCCAGACTCGTCAAGCCCGCCCTGGAACACCGTCAGGAGAACAGCGAGGAGTGCGAGTCCAAGGCAGCCGAAATCTTCGAGGACCAGGTCGGGATGGAAATCAGCAACAGCGTGGCGAGGTGGTTGATGAGCAAGGCTGAATCCATTCAAACGCTTTCCATCGGGGACGAAGGATATGTCAGCGGATACTGCTCCGTCGCTTTCCAAACCAGCATCGACGCTCCCGCCCCCATCTCGTCGGCCTACGTGTCGTTCTTGAGCAAGTCTGCGTCCTGGGTGAACGAGGTCAAGCCCACCGTCACGAGCCTGGCTCAGAGCTGCGGCGGCGCCGTGAGCGCCGGCCTTGGCCTTGTGCTCGCCACCGACTTCGACTCCTGCACCTCCGCCTACGACGCGTATATCGATGCCGCACTGGCTGCCGATAACACCAGCAGCCCGGGAGCAAGCAGCACGGGAGCTTCGCCCACCCCGAGCACTACCGCACAGCCCACCGGGACCACTCCCAGCGACGACAACATCGACGACGCTGAGGCTAACGACGTAACCGACGGGGAGTCGACCAGCACATCAACCGGTGGCGCACCGCGAGAGACCGGATTCGCCGTCGCTGCTGCGGCCGCCGTGGTAGCTGTTGCTGGTGCCATGGTGGCTCTGTAAGGGAAGGGAGATGCACGGGAATGAGATGTATATATGTATCGATGTAATTAGTAACTAATTATTGTCTCATGAGGGCGGATATCTGATTTCTAAGGCCCATACTCACTCGAGTTGTGATAGAGCTGCGTTTTCTCAACACGCCTGCCGTAATGATCTCCTTTGCAGCTCCTGTTCTCGATCCGGAATCTCACCGCTCCCATTTTACTCCATCTCACATGGTCTTTTAACACTTATGGGAGGTTCCAAACAGAGCCTCAGGTTGACCTAGAGAACCTTCCTCTACCTCAGGATATCGTGTCGGTGTGTGCTGATTTGGTTACCATTGACGAAGGAAGCGGCATCATCTCGCTAGTTCATTATACGACGCAGAAGTACCTTGAGCGGACACGGAATCAGTGGTTTCCCACGGCTGGCGGCGATATGGCCAAAGCCTGTACCACCTACCTCTCTTTCGACGTGTTCCGGGTAGGGCCTTGCCCGACGGATACCGAGTTTGAAGAGCGACTGCAAATGTATCAGCTGTATGACTACGCCGCCCATTTCTGGGGTCATCACACGGAGCAGCAAGCCAGGATCGTATGATTTTGGAGTTTCTGGAATCCCAGGCCAAGGCCGAAGCATCGACCCAAGCACTTCTAGCCATCAAGAAGTCGGGGGGCTCATGGAGCACCCGGGACGTTTCGGCGGGCATGGCAGGTCTTCACTTAGCAGCATATTTCGGGGTTGAGAAGATGGTGCCTGCTGGTCGGCAAGTATGGCCGGGACCCTGAAGGCGGCCAGAAACGAACGCCGTTGTCATGGGCCGCTCAGAACGGGCATGAAGCTGTCGTGAGACTGTTGCTTGCCACCGGCGCAAACAAAACATCGGCCGATAAGTCACGCATGACACCTCTGTTGTGGGCCACCCGGGGCAACCATCAAGTCGTTGTGCAGCTGCTACTCGGCAATGACATCGATGCTATCTCACCAACTGAAGACGACCAAACACCACTAATCGACCAGGGCGTTTACATCGATTCGGATAACGAAGACAAGGCGAGTCTGGGCGGTCCATGCCCCAGAATATGTTGCGTTCGAGACAGCCCGGACAGCAACGGATAAACTGCCCTACACCGAGCTGCGGCGGACGGGAACGAAGCCATGATCAAAACTCTGCTGCGCCCACTTGCCGAAGAGATGGTGGACAACGCAGGGCGAACCCCGCTGGCGCTTGCCCTTCTCCACGGACACAAGGAAGCAGCCAGGTTGTTGTCGGGATCGCTGGAGGCACCGGATGAACTCCTTTCTACGCACGCTCGCCGAGTCGAAATCGTCAGACCTGACCTTTCCTAGGGTTGGATGACTAGTCTTTCTGGAGTTGGCAAGGCGCAAGCGCTGTTGATAGATAAATACCAGGTAGTTAATACCAGGCAGGCAGTTAGGCGTATTTTGCAACTTGGATGTCGTCCCGTTCCTATCATGATCAATCTAATCTCCCGCCTCATGCCCCAAATAATTTCGAGTTTGAACTGCATGAACCTGAGGCCCGTGCCACTGCAGCCCTTTGTCCAGTCGGAATTGACGGCGAGCTTCTCGACCAATGCCGACGCATACCGTGTGTCGCATCGCATCGTGGGGCATGCGGTTGGTTTGGGGACGTCGTAGTGTTTGATAGTAGGTATGCAGCAAGAAAATCGCGGTGGGCGGGCGACAGGAGCCTGACAATTCCGATAGTGAGGAAGCAATTTTGCATTTTTGGTTGATTCGGGAAGTAGGTTGTCAGATTCAGTTGGCCAAGCTGGCCCGCACGCGGCGAACAACGGGAATCGAAGAAAGCTGGCACACTGACCGGGGGTTTGAGCTGGGGGCACAATGCCGGGCCTCGTGGGACCCATGCAACGCTATACCCAACTTGGCGACCATGGGAATCATCCCCCCAAAGTACCAATCGACGGGTGTCCGGAAGCCAGTCTTTTGGCACTGAGTGGGGGAACTTGGGGAGCTTGGGGAGTCATGGCGCCATCGCCTGGCACCTGCCGTTACATGGCGGGACTCCGGTCATCAATCTGGGCATTCCCGAGAGGCCGAGGAACCCATCTGTGCCCCTGGAGTTGTTGTCAATTGGCCGGCCCGACTCCCTGGCTGCATGCACACTTGAACACACGTTTCCCCCGTCGGTGCCGTTCAGGTGCCATCACCCTGTTCCCTATAAAACTTTAAAATCCACTCTGCGCAGAATTCCCAACAACTGCTTTTCGCTTCGCTTCGAATTCTTCACCCTTTCCCCGCCAACTAAATCAACTAAACGCATACGCCAGCAAACCCGGTACGGCAAGAGGGATACAAAACCCGAAGAATCCCCAAACCACCGACTTGACTTCACCAACAACCAACAACACCAATTGATTGTGACCAAAAATGTCATCACCCGCCAACCCCACATCTCCGCCGCCCGTCTCCACGGACCCGGGTCCCGACCACGACGAGCCCCTGGTTGCCGACGACGTGGGTTTCGCTCGAGTCGTGGCTTGCAGAACCCCACCTTGCTAACATGATGGTCAATGTCTCAGAATCCAGATGCTCAGGAGGATGACTCTACGTATGGGGTTAGTCTGATTCTGAAAATCATGTTGGTTCGGCCCAACGTAGCTAACTCATGTCTAGTCCCTAGCAAGCTCATCCACCTCGCTCGCATCGAGCGTCATGAGGTTTAGGCACGAAAATGGGCGCTCATACCACGGCTGGAAGCCAGAAAGGGGTGGGTGCTCTTGCGCCGGAAGACCAAGGATACCCGCACTAACTGACCATCACCAGGATATATCTTGCCCAGTGATGAGGTAAGGATGACTTGGCCGCATCCACGCCGGCATTTGTGATACTAACAATGTCTCCGCTGATAGCAAGAAAGCGACCGGTTGGGTAAGATGAATGATTACCAGTCTTTTTCTCGTCGTTGGTGCTAACATTCGCCAGATATGCAGCATCACATCTTTTACTTGACCCTCGACGGCGCACTACATATTTCGCCTGCCGGGAAGGAGGGCGCGCCGCTAAAACGAGTGCTAGATGCCGGGACGGGCACGGGAATCTGGGCAATGGACTTTGGTACGGCACCTTCGGAGACTCGGACGCCGTTGCGATATTTTCCCCGCCTCGCTAACCAACCCCTCTTCCAGCCGACACACACCCTGGCACACATGTAAGCTTTCGGTGGTGAAATTCCAGTGACACAATGCACAGCAACGAGTAACACCCAACCACAGGTCATCGGCCTCGATTTGAGCCCGATTCAACCAGGCTTGTAAGCCGTTCCTTGCCGCCCCCCTTTTCCCCCAACTCAGACCGGACCGGCTAACCTACACCCCCCCTGTAGCGTCCCACCAAACCTAGCCTTCTACGTCGACGACCTCGAGGAAGACTGGGAGTTCAGCGAACCCTTCGACTTCATCTACGGCCGCATGCTCGCGGGGGCCTTCACCGACTGGCCGCGATTCATGCAGCGCTCGTTTGAGTAACTTCCCCCCCCCCCCCTTCCTTCCTTTTCCATCCCCCAAAACCATCCCATCCCCCAACACAAGACTTCCCCCAAAACCACTCCCTAAACACATACTAACCAACCCACACAGCAACCTCTCCCCCGGCGGCTGGCTCGAGCTCTGCGACATCACCTTCCCCACCCTCTCCGACGACGGCACCCTGTCGCCCGGCGCGCCCCTCTCCCAGTGGAACGACCACGTCATCCGCGCCGGCCACATGCTCGGCCACTCCATCGAGTGTGCCAAGCACTACCGCCAGCAGATGATCGATGCGGGCTTTGTCAATGTCCAGGCGAAGCTGTATAAGTGGCCGATCAATGCGTGGCCGAAGGATGTGCGGTATAAGGAGATTGGTGAGTCTTTTCTTGTTTCTCTCTCTCTCTCTCTCTCTGCTTTGTTTGTTTGCTCGCGTGGGGTGGTTTGGTTGGGAATGAGGAGGAGGAGGGTTGCTGACTGACTGACTGACTGGCCGGAATAGGCATGTGGTCGGAGCATAACTTCTGCGGCGGCTTGTACGGGCTCAGCGTGGCGCTGTTCACGCGCGCGCTCGGCTGGACGTCGGAAGAGTTGGAGGTGTTTTTGGTGGGTGTGAGGAAGGATCTGAGGAATAGGCAGATCCATGCTTATTGGCCCATGTGAGTCCCGCTGGTGTGGTGTGGGTTGTGGTCTGCTGGGGTCGAGATGCTGACTGGTTCCCGCAGACATGTGGTGTATGGGCAGAAGCCTGAATGATGGTGGGTGAGTGGGTGCGTGATTCGCGTCGGTGGTCATGGAGTACTTTAGGTTGTGCTAGGTGGGACAGTATGTATTTAAGGTAAGGAAGCGTTTGTTTCTATCTGTTACATTTTGAAACGATAATTTAAAAATCTTTTGCCAACTTGGCCCTGATATCTGCCTCCCATCATAGCATACCATCCAGCGCTCGCAAAACAACCTTCAGTGACAATGGCTAAGCTACGAGGACAAAGATACCAACACGCCCGAGAGTCGTTTGCCGCTGCGCCGATTTCGTTGACCTGGGACAAACTGCGGTAATTACAAGGTGTCTCGGCACTGGCAGCCTGTGTTCCCAACTTTTCGCATCACGACGCGAAAGAGCCTTCGGTCACCGGTGAGGCCAACTCAGTCAGTCACCCAGACAATCACACGAAGGGATACCACGGCATTGCGGACGTCAATCAATGAAACGATTTCTAGGCGAGACAGCAACTCCAAATCAGTTATATGCCCGGTACCTACTCGGGCCTCTGGGCCCAAATGATCGTGTGTCTCATCCCACAGCGATATTTCTCCATATCGTCATCGAAGCGAGCCAGGATAGTGTCCTTGTCCGTCTTCTGCTCTCCCAGTGCCTTCAGACTGCACCGCGACTTGAAGTTGGCGCCGGCCTTAATAGACATGAAGAACTGGGCTAGGGATACGTACTCGACCATCTGGATCATGTTCCTTATCACGGCACGCATGTTCTTTCGGCCGCGGGCATCCAGCTCCTTGTTGCTTTGGTACACTCCCACCACAATGTCCAAAGACTCGATGCCCACGTTGATAAATCCACCTTCCTTCAGCGTCGAGACGACAGCGTCCTTCGGATCCGGGGATCCCATGAACATGGCCGCAAGCCGATGCAACATGACGAAGCCAGCGGCATCCGGGCCCGACACGTTCTCGCCCGCAGCCGGCTCGACCAGCTGGATCCAGCCGCCCGGCTTTACGCACGCCATCAATTTGCCGATGAACTCTTTCACGGTGGCGCCGGGGAAAGCTGGGCAGATGAATCGTTGGTGGACAAGGTCGAACCTCTGGTTCCATTCGGCGGGGAGGTCCTTGGTCAGATCGCCGGGGACCAGCTTGACGTTCGGAGGAAGGTCATCAGGGGACCGATAAAGTTCAGGTCTGATCCCAGCATCAACCCCATCAGCACCGGTTTGCAAAGTAAGGGCTCGCCTTTAGAACTCACGCGACGTCGAACCCAACCATTTCGGTCTCGGGCGGGAAGAGACTGCTAATGTCGTAGAGCCAGGTGCCTGTTAAGAGCAAAACAGGATTAACGAGATGGACAGGGGGAAGGGAAATATCATTCGAGCCAGCTCACCGTCTGCCGTCGCCGAGTCCAAGATCTTTTGACCTTGCTTGAAGTAGTCGATTGGGGCCTTGATCAGGCTACCGAAGGAACCCTTGATCCACTCATGCTGGTTTCTCATGCGTTCGACCTCCTTGACAGTGTGCCCAAGCTTGTAATCGGGGTAACTTGAAGCATTGGCATCTGGGGCAGGCCCGCCGTGGTCTCCGTTGCTTGGGGTCATGATTCCGGCAGTGCAAATGATCTTGGATTAAACGGTGTTGTCCTCGGAAAAGATGTGTCAGTCAACAACCAAGTTAGAAGACTAAATTCTGAGAAGGAAGACCATTTATCCATCATAAACATTGGACCGGTCTCCTGTGTTCGGCCGCCGGGGTGGGCCCCGGTTTCCCTGCATTGTTCCAGTCGGCGATGAGTGGTTTCGCCGCCCGGTTACCGAGAAAGGCTGAGTGTGGTGCTCGCGGCAATTAACGCTCACGAACGAACGGACGGCTAGAAATTCATTACGAACTGTTAGAACTGCATGTAGACTGGCAAATGGACGCCTAAAAGTCGCCGAGGTCATGCGGGAGGCCATCGCCCGAGACTAGAGCTGTTAGGACATGCCAGTTCGACGGGCGCTGGTCAGGCCTGGTCTCCAGATTAGCACCCTCCACAACACACAATGCTATCTTCACGCGCTAGAAAGGATAATGCTTGGTTTTTGGAACAGTTCAGGCGACCCCTTTCCCGCCAGGCATCCAAGTCCTCCTCCAACCTTGATCTTGCAACGGCCGAGAATTGGCTGATCCGGCCAGAAATTCTTCCGCTACTCAAGCAAAACGCCCAGTCCCTTCTCGCGGCGGAGCATCTGTCGTATTCTGGTGGATTGGGAGGAACCCCAGAACTGCTGGGTGCCCTGTCCGCATTCTTCAACCACTTCTTCTCACCTAAGGTGCCCGTCAGGCCTGAACATGTCGTGACGGGTACAGGATGCAGTGCCATACTCGACACCTGGATTCACGATATCTGCGATGATGGTGATGGCCTACTCCTGGCCAGACCGATGTGGGGTGCGTACCAAGCGAGTTGTTGGGCCTGGCTCGGGTGCAATACAGCTACTGACCGTTTGAGTAGGTAGCTTCGAGGTATTCGCAGTGTTGCGCAACGGCGTGCGACTAATCCCTGTCAATGTACCTTCGCACCAGATGGATGATGCCCAAGCAGTCGTGGCAGCATATCGGACAGCTGCAACTGAGGCCGAAGCAGGCGGCACCAGAATCAGGGGCCTCCTGTTTTGCAACCCCCACAACCCACATGGACATATCTACACAACCGCGGTGCTCGACGCTTTGCTTCAGTATTGCGAGGAGACCAATATACACTTCCTCTCGGACGAGATCTATGCGCTCTCGACGTTTGGCAGTTCCCAAGAGTCGGCTGGGTCGTTCCGACAGGGCGGCAAGGCTCTCGAATCTGGGTCAGATCATTTCGTCTCTGTCCTGTCCAGAGAACTGAAAGGGCTGGGTGTCGACGGGTCCAGGGTTCACGTTCTGTACAGCATCAGCAAAGATCTCGGTTGCAGCGGTCTCAGATTGGTACGCACTTGACATCAACCCTCCTTTCACCTCAACGGACATCTACTGATCAATCTGAACTACAGGGCTGCCTCGTCACCCAGCACAACAAAGACCTCCGCATGTCACAAGCCATCCTCAACAACGCCAGACTCAGCACCCCAACCGCCGTCATGGCGGCACCCCTCCTGGGCAACGTAGCCCGGCTCAACACGCACGTGGACCTCAACATCCGCCGCCTGCGCCGCGCCGCTCTCGTCGCCACCCAGTTCGCCGAGTTCCACGGCCTGACGTACTACAAGCCCGTGGCAGGTCTCTACATCTGGCTTCGGCTCTGCCCGCACGGCTGCGAGAGCTGGGATGAAGAGGAGGACTTTGTCCGGCGCTGTGCCGAACGCGGCGTGCTCATCGGAAGCGGCGCCGACTATGCCGCCGAGCAGGTCGGCTGGTTCAGGCTTGTCTTTGCTGTGCCGGAGCAGGTGTTTGTGGAGGCGTTGCGGAGGATTGAGGAGACGGTGGGGTATGCGGAGCGGTTTAGGTTTGGTGGCCGTCCTCATGAGGGTGGCTCGAGGAAGAGGCAGCTGTTAACGGCGGCATTTTCGGTATTGGCGTGTCGGGGGTTGCGGGCCGTCGGGTTGAAAAGTGAGAAGTGAAAGAGGTTCCTTCTTGTGGTCTTCAACAGATCCGTGATCGACACCTCGCGTCGTGTCTTGTTCATAATACAGTCATGATGTATACCACATCCACCTGAAATCCAGTCTCAACATTCTAATAAGGCGCCGTATTTTAAAATTCATTGCCTAAAATTACTGCCTTCCTTCTCACTTGTCCGCATCAATCTTCTGAGCCCCTATCAACGCCCCCCCCCCCCCCCCCGCCTCGCCCAGTCAACAGCTTTCGAACGTCATATGCATAAATCGAGACCCAGATTGTTAGACTAGTGACGAGCAGTTTACCCTCTGTTGGAGACACCTCGACTAAATTACACTACCTAAGGGTGGAACCGCACGCATCGCCATTCTGGCCGAGTGGCGTCAGCTTCACTCTCCCGTCCGGCAACCCAATCCAGCTGTCAGCCTGGAGTTCGGCGCCCTCTTTTCCCTCATTCTCGGCCATCTCGAGCTGGTAACGCTGTAGGAGCTCGACAACGATAACGCGCAAGATGAGGTCGGCTACATTCTTGCCCAAACACTGGCGGGGACCGAATCCAAACCGCCACATGTTGTACCGTCGGGCCTGCGTTTTGAACATTGAAACGGTCAGTGACTAAACATATTCCGTGGGCCCAAAGAAAGCATAGTACCTGATTATCTTTCTTTCCAAGATGTCTGGACGGATCAAACTTGAGAGGGCTTTCCCAGTAGGGATTGTCCACGTTGACTGCGTAGGCGTCGACGATCACATCCGTCTGATCATTGAAGATTGTTTCAGCCAACTGCCCATTCCTTTGTTTTGGACAGTAATTGAACCTACATATTTGGGAATTACATAGCCACCGACCGTCTTCTCCAGAGGTGAAGATTCCGGGTTCGAGAATGCTGTCCCCAGATGTGAGTAGCCGGATTGAAGATGGGAAGAAAGAGTAATTAACAAGCCACGCTTACGAAGTATCGGATGCAGTCGAGATACTTCGACAATGCATGCCGCCAGCAACGTTTCCTCTCGGCAAAGATAGTCTTCATATGAGCCCTTTGTCTGCGTATAAGTATGCAACTCCCGCCGCAGGTCTTCCTGGACGTCCGGGTGTTGGGCAATCCGGATGACAGTCCATGCCGTGGCATTGGCTGTAACGTCCAAATTTGCAAACAATGATTCGTCCAGGGTTTGAAGGAGCTACCAAAAACGCGGTTAGCATTGTCCCCGTCCTGGAGACATATCAACCTACCTCTTTCATTGACAGACTGCCATCCTCCAAAGCTTTCCACAGGTCAAGGATTGCCGCCCCCTTCTGAATCCCGGCACGAGCCTCTCTACAGGCCCGGCTCACAAGCCCGTCCCAGCGCTGCTGGAACTCCCGGAGACGTGGCATTGCTGAGCCAGGGAGGTACTTGCCAATCGCGTATCTGCTGATGCCACCTAAGAACGTGTCTCGGAAAAGGGCCTCCCTGAGCGGACCGATGGCGGCCAGTTCTGTTCTCATCTCGGCCGTGAGCTCGCCAAAGAAGATGCTTGCGACCATGAAGAAGGGGCAGTACTTGAGATCATCGGCTGCGTGGATGACCATGTGCTCGTCTCGATTGCTGTTGTCGACATGAAACGAGTTGAGAAATCCTGCGGCTTCCGTGATCAAGGATCCGATTCGGTCCATGGAAGCGGACCGACTGAAGTGGCTTTCGAAAGGCTTCCTCACCCTCCGCCATTCTTGCTGGCTGACCACGCCCACACATTGGCCGAGCAGTTCGCCAAACAGCCAACCCGCGTTGTTGTCGGTGGCTTTGATGTGCATGTGGGAGTCCTTGTAGAACGCTTTCACATGCTCGGGTTTAGTGAGAACACTGCCAAACTATTAACACAAGTTTCGTGCAAGTACAATGTAGCAGCTTTCATGCTTACATTTCGCGCTTGAACCCTGACCAAATGCTGTACATTGAACCATACTTCCTTCGCCATTTCTCAGCGCTACGCCTGCCGTCAAAGAACTTCTCACTTCCCTGTCCATTGGGTGGCTTGAACGGCGCAGATGGAAGGCCCTTCACGTTACAGCTTAGCGTATTGATACCACATAGGTAGGGAGGTGCTTGTCAAACCTTGACGACGGGGCGAGACAAGACCACAGTGCCGAGGAGTTTGAGAAGGAGAGAAGCCAGAAGAGTAAGGGGCAGTGCCAAAACAAGCATGCCCCCGTGGCTGCCGGGCCCTTCGAGAAACACCTCCCAGAGCGTCATTTTCTCGGACCAAGTCATTTCTTCGGGTGACTGAGGCGAAATCGGACTTCACTCCAGAATAATGGTTGGTGATGGTATTGAGATGTTTAGATCGCTCACAAACAGCTACTAGAAGTACCTAGCCAATCGGCATCATTCACAGGACTGGATCAGTGTGCCCTCCCATGGATGGTGGTGGCTACCTTATTTCCCGAGTCTGGCCTATCCTTGGCCTCTCCTCGGTAACCGACTCCTACCTCCGTGTACGCTGGCTAGTTCGATGAGTTTGATCAAAGCTGCTAGGTCCTAAATTCGGACGTAGAGTCACTGTGACAGCGGCCTGAACCCTCCAGGTAGCTCCACCCAGCACCTCATCCTTCGCTTTTACAATGACTACTGAAGCTAGCACAGACTTGTGTGAGCTGTTTGCTCGGGTAGTTGAACAATTCCCACACAACCTCGCAGTAGACCACCCAGATGGACGGCTGACCTACCGAGACCTTGACGAGGTCTCCTCAACCCTTGCAAATGATTTACGGGGTCTTAACGTATCCGAAGGTTGTCCTGTCCTCCTCCTCACGGCTCACGGGACTCTCAATATTGTCGCCATCCTGGCCATCCTCAAGACGGGAGGCTTCTTTGTCCCCATCGACCGCAACACATGGTCACCGGATGCTATCAGATATGTGTTCGATACTGTTGACAGCCAGGTTGCTGTCAACACCACGCCCGAGCCTTTCACCCCGCCAGACGGACGATCCTACCATGTCCTGCACCTTTCCCAGCTTCCACCGGATCATCATGGTCAGTTTGACCATACATTGCCGCCGGTCTTCCGCTCGACCCCGGCAGAACGAACTGCCTGTACTATTTTTACCAGCGGCAGCACCGGTCGAGCAAAAGGCGTCATGATCTCTCACCGATCCCTTGCCTTGTACGCAACAATGAGCCCAGCCAACCTCGGCATCCAGCCGGGAGATCGGCTGCTCCATCTTCTCTCGGTTGCATTTGACGGTAAGCCCCTCTAGTTTGTACCAGATACCATGCAACTATGCCCGTATTAACACGATGATTTTATCACCTCCAGCTTCCACATGCATCCTCTTCTCCGCCCTACTGAACGGCGGCACGGTCGTCCCTGCAAAGCCGGATCAGGTTTACGACCTAAGCTCGTCTTGCACCGTCATGGCGTCGACACCATCGCTCTTGAACCATTTACCGAGACCAAAACCAGGCCAAGGCAGCCTGATGTACGCCAGGATGCACAGCATCCTGCTCGGTGGCGAGACATGCACTTCCGAGCTGCTCGAGCCGTGGGTCGATGCGGGCGTGCGTGTCTGGACAGCGTACGGCGCCACCGAGACCACATCCATGGGCTTCATACGCAAGGTTGAGCGCGATGCGCTGACGGGTGACATTGAGCTTGCCGTGATTGGAAAGCCCATGGCACTGAGCCAGGTCTGGCTCCTCGACGGCGACCTCGGCATCGTTGAGGACGATTTCGCCGAGGGAGAGATCGTCATCGGCGGCGAGGGCGTGGCTCAGGGGTACTACAAGGACGAAACCAAAACAGCCGACGCCTTTATCTGGTGGAACGGGCGACGCGTTTACAAGACTGGCGATTACGGTCGCTGGGTTCCGGCCCGGGGTGTCAGCCAGGACAGAGTCTTTGAATTTCGCGGCCGCAGAGACCGGACGGTCAAGAACAGGGGCTTCCTGGTGAATCTCGACCGCGATGTGGAGGACTGTCTCTATCGTGCCGGAGCCTCACTCGGCGTGAGGTCTGTTCGGGCGGCAATGGCCGAGAACGGAATTGTGGCTGTTGTCAGCCCATCGTGGGTCGACACGACGGCGTTGCTCACCCGGGCAAAACACAGCATGTACGCTTACTGCATCCCGTACCGCGTAGTCGCAGTCGACGACTTCCCCCTTTCACCGAATGGCAAGGCGCAGCTGAGGAACATCCTGGACATCTTTGTCGCCGTCGACCAGGCGAGGATGGACCAAACACCTAATGCCACAATAGGCAAAGAAACAAGGACGCTGACCGACTCCGCAGGAAAGCAGCCTGAGGAGCCTGTGAAAGCACAAGGAAAGTTGGAAAAGATTCTCCGGGCCGCCACCGAGGTCCTCCGACAGCCTGGCGAGGAGCTCAGGAAGATTCGTCCCGAGCAAACATTCGTCGAGGTCGGGGGATCCTCACTCCTGGCGCTAAAGCTCGTTTCTTCCCTTCGCCAACTGGATCTGAACGTTTCGGTCCGAGACCTCTTTGCATGTCACACTTTCTCCGACATTGCCGAGCTTGCCTCGGCAACGACGACTCTCTCTCAAGGTACCGCCAACTTGAACCTGGGCAAGGACTCAGAGGCAACCCCCGAGTTGCCGCGAATCCCGGCCAATCTCACTGCACAGGTCCGCACTGCGCTGAATCTGGCCGCCGATGAGGATATTGAGGTGGCCCCCCTGACAAGTCTGCAGCTGGAGCTCGCGATTCCCACCCTGACCGATACATCCCGGAGCGTCAACCAGGTCCGACTGAGTTACAAGGGCGTGTGGGCGGGCGCGATAGAGAGGGCATGGCGTGCCTCCTGGCAGAGCGAACCCGTGTTCAAGGCTCAAATCTGCTTGGATGTGGCATCTGGCGTGCAGGTTGTGCGCAAACGGGGCCCCAAGGCGCCCACGCGTGTGGTGTTTCACTCTCGCCAGGAGTATGATACGGCCGTCAGCGGGTCGAGCATGGCTGTTGGTCTGGGTGCCAGGTTAGACTTTCTAGCCTACCAGCCGCCCGGAGTCGCGTCCGATGAAACGAGTGGAACGGACGAAGAAAGTCTCACCATCGTTCTCACGGTCCACCACAGCTTGATGGACGGTTGCTCATTGAAGCTGCTGCTAGACAAGCTTGAGCAAGCCGCTCTTGGATGGCCCTTTGGGACTAGCCCTTCCCCAGTGCACGCCAACCTTGCACTCATCAGTACCCAGCAGTCCCGGGATGCCGAGGCCAGAGCATTCTTTCATAGCTACTTGAAGGACATGCCACTACCCCTTCCCAGCCGGAGGAGCAGCGCAGCAGCTGAGAGACAGCACCACGGCATTGCAAAAGCCGCAGTGTTCGAGCCTTCGGTAGATATCGACGAGGTGACAGCCTTCGCGAGCAGGCACTGTGTATCCGCGGCATGCGTCTACTACACTGCCTGGGCAATGGCCGTGAGTGTCTTTGAGAGATGCCCGCAAGTGGTGGTCGGGGCTGTCTTCTCCAGCCGGGGTGCCCTGCCGGCTGAACACGAGGATGCGCTTGGTGTGTACATGTCGACACTTCCTCTCGTGTTTCGCTTTGAGGACACGGATGAGACTGTGGTGGCCAGACTGCAGCATACAATGGGCGACCTCACAACGGTGGGCGAGTACGCCTGGGCAAGATCAGACCAAGTCGGTCTGGGCCGAAATCTCCGCAATCTCCTCTCGATGCAGCTACCGCTGCCGGGCGAGCATTCACGGCCGCCAGCCGTCCGGGCCGAGTCCCTTGTGAACATTGACTTCCCTCTCAGCATGCTCGTTGAAGCAAACGGTTCGCTCCGCCTCCTATACGACGAGACGCAGTTCGACACGACAACAGTACGCCGGCTGGGCGAGCACTTCAAATACGCCCTCTCAGGCCTCATTAGAGAACACCGCGTGGAGGACTGCATGAGAATAAGCCGGCTGCATGAGACATTATTCAACCACACAGAGGGTGTGGGCATCGAGTCCGACGAGCGGTTCACAGTGAAGCGGGCGCTGGAAGAAGCCATGGACCAGTTTGCCGACCTGCCGGCACTTGAGGACTGCTCCGGAACGACGGTGCTTAGTTACGGCGAGCTTGACAGACTGACAGAGACCATTGCTCACCAGATCAACGCGCTATATGGTGATATCAGCCAGAACAACAGACCCATTGCGGTACATGGCGACGGGTCCGTTGACTGGGTTTTGGGCACTCTGGCGGTAGTCAGGACCGGCCGCACCTTTGTTCCGCTGGATCCCAAGTGGCCCGTCGGCCGCAGAGCTGCGGTATGCGAACAGAGCGGAGCGACTGCGCTCATACTGGTGCCGAGGGCATCGCAAGTCGGGGAAGCACCGGCCATCCCAGGGATGAGAGTGCTCGCAGTGGACAGCATTCTCAGCAGCTGCGCCGAGCCCGGTAGTAACACCCCAGGACCGCTTGATGATGCGCCGTCTCCTGATGACTTGTTGACGATTGTCTTCACCTCAGGCACAACCGGTGCCCCCAAGGGCGTGCCCCTATCACACCAGGGTTTCCTGGCACTGCAAAGCACCCCCGAGGGCCGCATGTTTGCAGCCCCGGGTCGGCGCGTTGCGCAGTTTATGTCGCCGGCGTTTGACGTGTGCAACGCTGAGATGTTCTCGACGCTGCTGCACGGAGCCACCTTGGTCCTGCGTGACCCCCTGGACCCCTTCGCCCACCTCGCCAGGGTCAACACGGCGAGCATGGCGCCCTCGGTGCTGGCAACCTTGGAGCCAGACCGATTCCCTAACCTGGAAGTGGTAAGCCATCTTTCTTTCCTTTTCTTCCCGTACCGTCTCCTAGTCCACAGTCTCAGCCCAGGCCATTGACGGATTTACTCCAATGAACCAGATTTATGCCACCGGCGAGGCTCTTACGAGCGGGCTGATGAGTCGGTTCGCGAAACGAGTGCTCCTCTACGACGCGTATGGGCCTGCAGAGTGCACCATCTGGTCGTCGATGACACGAATGATTCCTGGGGACCGCCTCACAATCGGAACGGGACTCGACACGGCTCGCATGTATGTTCTCGACCAAGATCAGCATCACTCGCCGGACAGCACCCGCGGCGAGATCTACATCGCAGGCGTCCAAGTCCTGAGCAGCTACATCAACTCGCCCGAGCAGACGGCCGAACGCATTGTGCCTGACCCCTGGCACCCTGGCCACCGCATGTACAAGACGGGCGACTACGGAATACGAGGTCGGGACGGCCGCATCGTCTTGCAGGGGAGAATCGATCGTCAAGTCAAGATCCGCGGCTTCCGCGTCGAGCTTCCCGGGGTCGAGCAGGCCATTCGATCCGGACCAGCCGACGAGGGCATTTCGCAGTGCGCCGCGATGGCCATCCACGACACGCTCGTCGCATTCGTCGCCTTGGACCATAACCACCCTGATCCGCACGAGGAGCGCATCGCTCGTCTTCGTGACAGGCTTGCCGACACCCTGCCCCCTTCCTGGGTGCCCCAGATCATCCTTCCCCTGGAAGACGGCTTTCCCAGAACGGCTAATGACAAGGCGGATACCCGGGCTCTGGAGGCTGCCTATGCGAGTAGAGTGGCCTCACATCAATCACCGTCGATAGAGACGCTCTCGTCTACGGCCGAGGAGAGCAGCAGTACCAGCGCAAGCAGCACCGGCCAAGACAACAGCAGCCACGTCAGGGATGAACTGGCTACACAGTGGCGACGCGTTCTCCAGCTACAACACGATACGCCGATCAAGGACTCTGACGACTTTATCTCCCTCGGAGGCCATTCGGTGCTGCTCATGCTGCTTGCGACTCGGCTGAGTGCGACGTTCGGAGTCATCATCTCGGTTCACCATCTCGTGACCACTCCTTCATTCCAAGGTCAGGTGGAACTCGTCGAGCGCCTCCTTGTGCAACTCGAGGGTGACGAAGGCAAGACCTCGCCAGAAGAACTGAAGATTGCCACATTACCCACCGAGGAGCTGACCGAGCTGGAGAGGTTGGTCTGGTTCCAGTGCCAGGTCGCCCCCAATCCAGCGGTATTCAATATTGCCATGGCCCTGAACCTCCAAGGCAGCGTTGATCTGCAGAGACTGGAGTGTTCTCTTAATGTGGCCCTCGCTTCTGACCCAGTCGTGCGCTCCAACTTTGTCGGAGGACCAGACGGCCTACGGAGACGGCTGCGCGAGTCGGCCCCCAAGGTCCGCCGATTTGTAGAGCTCAACGAGGAGGCAGAGGCCAGCCGTCGTTTCGACCTGAAGACCGACGAGCTCATCCGTGTCTACATGGTGGCGCCCTTGGACACGGCAAACGAAGCGCGGTCCGTTCGGCTCCTCATCGTCACGACTCATGTCATCGCCGATCTGGGCACACTCCAGAATCTGCTCCAGCTCGCCTCCACTGCTTACTCCAAGACTACCGCGGCCGTAGCTATTTCAAAACACGAGCGACCAGTCCATCTTGACTCGGACCGATGGACACAACATCCCTCGCTCGAGGCCCAAGAGTTCTGGAAGACCTACCTAGGCGGACACTGCTATCACGCCAACAAGCCACCCATCCTGCCGTCTTCGTCGCAAACCCTCTTTCAAGGCACCTCCCAGACCTATCCTTTCAGCGGCCGCCTCGTCACCCCCCTGAACGCGTTGCTCCGCCGACTCGGAGTCACACACCACCAGCTAGCGCTCACAGCCGCCGCGCTCACCATGCAGTGGCTATCACGCAAGACAGGGAACGAGCAGGACGACATCGTCCTGGGCGCCCCCTACGCAGGCCGCTCCTCGCCCGCGGAGCGGCACCACGCCCTGGGCCAGTTCCTGGACCGGCTTCCCGTGCGGGTGAGGTTGGGCGTCGAGGAAGAGGAAGGGGGGGAGGAGGAGGAGGAGGACGGCAAGACCACAACGACGACGACAACGACGACAACGACAACGACGCTGTTAACTCGCGTCCGCGACTCGGCCTGCAAAGCCCTCGCCAACGCCATCCCCTTCAGCGCCATCCTCGCGGCGCTGGACTACCCGCGCGGAGGGCTCCGCCACTCGCTGTTCGAGTGCATGGTGACGTTCCACGCCCGCGGCGCGGGGCTGGAGCATTGGATGCAGCTGGGCCCTGCACCTGCACCACATGGCGGCGGCGGTGGTGGGGGTGGCGTGTCGGTGACGTCGACGCCCGTGTTTGTCCCCGGCGTGGCCAAGTTCCCGCTGATGCTGGAGTGGTTCGAGCGCGGCGGCTGTGAGGAGGCGGATGACGGCTGGATGCTGCATATGGAGCTTCAGCATGTTGACGAGGATGCGGAGAACACGCGCCGCCTCGCTGGTGTTTTGAAGGACGCGCTGGAGATGGTTCTTCGGGCTGTGGCTGACGAGTGCTCGATCGTGGAGCTTAGGAGGAGGTTGGACGGGCTGCAGCTCCCGGACGGCATGCCGTGGGCGATCAACGGCGAGCCGGCGGCTGATGATCGAAGGGATGTGTATTATGGCTACCTTCGGCCAGAAGTGGTCGAGCTCGCCTCCAAGATTCGAGACGAGATGCTTGGCTGCCTGGGGGATACGGGCATGGGGTCCAAGACCCAAATCCTCACTCGAAAGCTCCGAAAGGCCCTCGGTACGTCGTTCTTCGAGGCTGGAGCGGATTCTGTTCACGCACTTATGCTACGTCACCGACTGCGCGAGAGCCTGGGTCTTGACATGTCGCTGCGAGATGTCTTTGTCGCCCAGAGCCCCCTGGGGCTTGCGCAGCGAGTCCTTCAATGATTCAGCCCGAGTCATCGCTTACTTGTTCTCTTTATTTTTCTATTTGCCTCGACTTTTTCTTTGTTTGGGTCTCATGGCTTCCCATTTTCCCAACTCTATGTATTTTCGGAACAAGGACAACAGCGAACAGAACAAATCATGTTAAGTTAGTGTAGCGCCGTTAGTTGCACGGAGGAACGAAGTGCAGGGTTGAATGCTACTCGGTTTGGGATGTATTCAAGATGGTGCTTTCTTGAAATTTGAATCCGTTGTCATCTGATGCCATCGTGAATGCTTCATTAGGGACTTGATCAAGTTGTCCATTGTTTGTTTGGATATCTCCCCCTAAAATGACAGTGTCTGCCTGTCGAATGATCATGAACCGTGACCCCTTGGTCACATGCATCACAAAATATTCCTATCAGTGTATGATCAAATCCGATTGTCTCTCTTTTCAATATATTTTTCTTTTCCTTATCCTCTTCCTGGTTTTCGTCCTCCTTAACTACCTGGAGCCCGCTACCATACTACCGTACTAACAAACAAACCAATCACGGTCGGGCGTATATACCTACACAGGCATTGACAGCACGGTTGAAGATCAGTGAGAGTCAGGATAGGTGGCGCCCCCGTTTCTCCTACTCTTCTCACTTCGGCTTCCGTCTTCCACTTGTCTGGGCGCAGTGGGCGGACAACAACACACTTGGCGTTTTGACGATCACCGAGTTCGATTTCCAACATATGGTGGCTTTTCGTTACACAGGTCTCGGGAACCGATGGCGCGCATCCAGGGTTGCCGATTACTCTGCTGCACTCGGACCTTTTCGACAAATGTTCCCAGAGTAGTACAATGAGTTAAACCAACGGGTCAGTATTCCCTTGCGGGGCGTATGTCGACCCCTGCCTTGTGCCCAAGAACGAACATTGCAGGAAACTACCTAGGTAAGGTAGCCAATGCTGTACGACGCGCGCATTGCATTCGGTACCATGTAATTGCTGAGCCAGGTGCTCAGCTGACTAGGTACTGTTGTGCTAAGAACTGGGTGTCTGTCCATATTTTGCTTGATCTTAACATACTAGTACTTACCAGCTACCTGTTTACGCATTTACATATTGTATCTTTCGTCCTTTTTCTTCTTGTCCCCGAAACAAAACTCCGGCGAGGTTTGCCAAGTGCCAGGTCCCGGGCCAACTCGAAGATGGCCCTGGAGAAGAGGCTTCCGCTGTGGAAGCTGGCAGCGCACGATGTCGACAAGCCGCTGTGGTATCTCGGATACGGCTCGAACATGAGATCCGCCTCCATGACGGGCCGGAACGTGACTCCCCTCGCCACCAAGGTCGTTACCGTCCCAACACACTACGTCACGTTCGACGTGTTTGGAATCCCCTACACGGAGCCATGCTATGCCAGCATCGGACAGTTCCCGGATGGCCAGTCCGGACAGCTCCACCTCGTCCACCGCGGCGAAGCCCCCTTGACGGTTCCGCCCCTATGCGGCATCGCTCACCACCTGACTGCGTCTGACTTCCACCGCCTGCTTATCACCGAAGGTAGTGGGGTTGTGTATGATGTCGTAGAAGTGGAGGCTTACGAGCTGGACGACCGGGGGAGAGCCACAGGTGCACCGTTCCCGGCATACACACTGAAAGCCAAGTTCCCCCAGAGGCCGAGCGGCATACCCAGTGCTCGATACATGGTAAGTGTCACCGCCCCAATAGTCCGTTTTAAGAAATGTGCCACTAATGCTTAGCAACGACAATAGAAGCTCTTCTTAGACGGGGCAAAAGAGAACAACCTACCGGCTGGCTACATCACTTATCTGGAGAATTTCCCTAGGTACCAGAAACTCGAAGGGTCTGACCGACCGTACGGACAGCTTGTCTTTGACTGGGGCTGGAGACCTGTTCTGAAAAGGATTGTTCGGCTCACTACATGGGGGGTTGATGAGAACGGAAACTGCTCGGCCTTGCTGGCGCTCTTGATTGTCCGTCTGTACCAGTTGATGTGGACCTATCATGATGTGATTCACACTCGCATATTTGGAGAAGGAGATGGAAGCAAGCTTTACTGGATTAGACAATGAGATGGAATTACTTTTGTTCGCGGTTCTGATCGTAAGCAAATACTTGTTAGTGTCTCTTCAACCCAACCTTAGTCAAAGACTCCCCGTACTTCCTTCACCTTGCTGCGGAGCTCTTCGTCCCACACAGGCTCAATGACATCTTGCAGCATCTCCTCATTGTCCGCTTTCATCCGAGCCGACACCTCATCCACCGCATCGAGTACACGTAACACGTTCAGCCCCGCGAGATTCCGGACCGACTGCTCTGACACTCCTCGCTTTAAAAGCTCAGCAATGAGCAGCGGAAATTTGGAAACATCCTCGAGACCGTCCGGGCCCTGCATCATACCGTCAAAGTCGGAGCCGATGCCGACGTGCTCGTAGCCGATGCGCTCGCCGACGTGCTGGATGTGGTTTGCGACTTGCCCAAGGGTTGGCCGGTCTGGGTCGGTAAGCTTGCGCAGAAACGACACCATGAAGACGCCGTTGTTGGTCTTGAGCAGGTCTAGCACCTCGTCGGGGCTATTGCGGGGGTGCTTGGTCAGGGCAGAGCTTTGCAGGATTTAGTCACTTCATTTTGCCGTAGCGGTCCGAATCAAGAGGCTTACCATGAGGAGTGCGAGAAGATGACTGGAGCTCTGGAACAAGCCAGGACCTGCTTCTGAACGGCAACCGAGGTATGCGAGATATCCACGATCCTGACCAAGTTAGACAGCAAATCATCGCGCTCTATTTTCCCTCTCTCCTCCGAGTCACTCACATCCCGATACGGTTCATCTCCTTAACCATGGCAGCACCCTCCTTGGACAATCCGTGGTGAATAGGCTCGGAAGCGTTCTGCAGAAATAGAAAGTCCAGGTCAGTAACCATCAGTACTCAGGGGGGACGGTTGACAAGTAGGTAGTTGTGTTACCGTCGCGTCAGCATAGAGATTGTTGCTATCATGAGTCAAGGTGACATAGCGTACACCCAATCTCGCAAAGTTCCGCAGCACGCTCGCGCTGTTTGCGATCTGGTGCAGGCCCTCGACTCCGATCAGACTCGCCACTCTCCCAGACCTGAACGCATCCCACACCTCAGCCGACGTCCGAGCGAGAGAAAGATGGCGGGGATACCGCTCGGCGAGCATATGTATGATGTCGATCTGCTGAATCGTGGCGCGCAGGCTTTCGTAGTGGTGGTCGGTTGAGAAGTCGTTGCTCGTGTTAGCCTCGGGGCACGGAACGTAGGCGCTCCAAAACACTCCGCCGACCCGGCCTTTTCGCAGCCGCGTGATGTCGGTGTGGGCGATGGGCATGTCGCCAGCGTCGACATCGGTGTCGCCGACCCGTCCGAGATGCCAACCGCGGATCATGTACGGGAAGTCATTGTGCCCGTCTAACACGGTGCTGGCGTCAGCAACATAGACCAGCCAAAAAGGGGGGCGAGGCTCGGGGGGCTCTTGCCTATCAGGGGTACTTCTGCCAACAGCTGTTCGGCGCGGCTCAGGCTGTTCGTAATGGAGTCCATACCCGCAGTTGAGCAATGAAGTATGTTTCGTTTTAGTTTGCTTAGAGAAGTGAAAGAAAAAGGGGATGACTTGGCAGTAACCAAGACTGACAACGCCGTTTAAAAGTACCTCCGAAGCGACACTGGTTTACTTATATTGTGTGCTTAGATTCACGTGGATGTCCTGTCAAATCCTCACTCCCACTTGGCTCCATGTCGGGTTCCGGCTGTTGGCGCTGGAATTGTTCGGATCACAGAGCACGCCGTGCATACTACCATTTGCCAAAGTGGTGGAATATTTCCGGCGTTACAAGATCGGGCGCACTGTAAATCCATGTACATTCACGAGAGGAGCGATGCAACATTATCAAGGCTCGAAAACGGCATCCATTTCGATAGTTAATTATCACCAGCTCTACCTCGTAAGCGACACGGGAATGGAGAATCACTCCCCGATGACTGCCTCCTTTCGAGAATCCATCTCTGCGTACGCCTTGGCTACACCCGGGATACGCGCGAATCTGTCGCTCCACGCCTTCAACGCCGGATAATCGTTCTTGTCCAGGCCCATGCGAGCCATGGTGGGATCATCGGCAAACGGGTAGACCGAGATGTCTGCGATAGTCGGCCGGTCCTTGAGGCCGATCCACTGCTGCCCAGGTTGCGAGAGATGCTTGTCGAGAATGCCATACTGGACCCTCAAGTCGTTTAGCATCCTGACCGGATTATTGTCAGCCCTTCGTACGTTGCGTACCCCATGCGCCAGGGTGTTTTACTTCTCTTGAGCCTTGGGGTTCTGATCCTCCGGCTTGCGAATCGCATACCACACCCAATACTTGGCAGTGGGCCTGTGCCAGGTCAAGTTAGAAGTTAGAACCCGTATCAAGCAGCCGGCGGTGTCAAGTGACAAACCCCAGGGATGCCGTCTCAAACGTCAACCAGTTACCAATCTCCAACTCCTCGACTGGGCTGGCCCCAATCCACGCCCCTGTTTTGTCGTACTTCTTGCCTAGGTACTGCAGCATCATAGAGCTGTCCCACGCGGTGACCCGCCTGCCCTGTTCGGCGTCGATCAGGGCCGGCAGGTATCTCTGTGGGTGAATGCGGGTGTACCAATCGGTCCTCGTGGCAGGTCCATCCAAGCAGGCGGCGTCGTAGTCGACTTTGAGACTCTCGAGGAGAATGATGGGCTTGATCCAGTTTTGGTAGCGTCCCTCACTGACGAAGACCAGGGGCTTGTCTGGCACGTCGGTGTCGAGAGACTTGGCTGAAAACTTGTTGATCGGCATCCTGCAGATAGAAGCAATGGCTGAATTCCTCTGGATTCCTCACATGCAATGACACATGAAATGCACACGTCAACTGACATCTTGTTTTGCCACCACTTAAAGCAGACGATGCTTCCTTCTCGGCTAACTGTACGTAAAATCACCGATAGGTGTGCTGGTGTTACCCGATCGGACGCCGAGGTATGTACTTCGTACGTCGGGGATGTAGACCCGGAAGCTCAGAGAGACTCCTTTTCGTTTCGGTGACCGGGGGCCCGGGCCGGGAAACAAACTATGCTGTGATCCGCCACCCCCGCATATCATGACTATTAAGTGCTACGGTGACATTGCAGTAGCTACGCACCAAATCGTGACAGACTGAGATACATAGACGGCTGTCATTTTCTGCATGTCTAACACAAACGATGCATGTTGTGGTTGTGCGTCGAATCATACATGTAACTGGGCCGAGGAGAGACCGCCAAATTGCAGCAGGCCGATCAATTTGGCCAGGCGGTCACAGCAATGGCCAATGACGGCACCGACGGGCTCGCTGCCACCTTGCACCAGTTCCATGGACCCGTCCACCGCCGCCTTCCACTCCTGCAGCTGCCCGTTCAGATCCAAGCTCGCATCCACGAGCACCACCTCGACCAGCATCCGCGCCTCGGAGCTGTCGATGGGGAGCCGCCCGAGCCTCATCTCGCATGATACCAACTGCACTAACGGCACGCCGCGGCCGCTCTCTCCAGGAAGTTGTGTGCTCGTCGGCCCGGGCCGTGCCCATTCCGCCGTGGCAACTGTCAGATGGGCGGCTTCGTAGAAGCTGATCAGTCGGGGTATGAGCTGGGACAGCATGGCTGCCGCGCGCTTCGAGGTAACGCATCGTTCGCACTTGACCATCTTGTGGAGGTGACCTTGCAACTCGGCGCCGAGCTGGAGGACATTGTCCAGGGGCAGGATGCCTTGGCCCAGGCAGGCCGCGATGCGTTGTAGGCCGCTGAATGAACAGTGGCAAGGGCTCCGTTGCATTGGGAAGTTCAGGTTGAATTCCAGTGGTCAGCCGCAGGTAGGGTCGTAGGGACGTATGTCTTTAGTTGTGTTTGTCGTTAATACGTCGCATATTGGTGTTTCCACCATCCAGCATGGTTCAATGGGTCGCTGGAATTTCGCGGCTATTAGTAGGACGGGACGAGGAGACTGTAAAACCACCCCTTGCTCGGCCCGAGTCATGTCTCTCAGCAGCTGAGTGCGTGCTTGCCCACACTCGGTGAGGAAAAGCGAGACCAATCAGGTAGGCCGGCCGGCCTCCTAGAGGCAAAGATGCGGCCCATGTTCAAAAAGCCTTCACAGGAACGTGAGTGATGAGCAACTCCGGATTCATACCTGCTAAGCGAGGTATGACCACAGCTGGATAGCGCGTCGTCTCTTCACATCACTACATGTACTGAAAAGGGAGGTAAACTAGTAAAAAAGGGGATTACCGAGACCCTCGGGAAGACCCAAAACAAGAGCCTACTAATATACCAATAGTAGTGGGGGCCTCTAAGTCTACTCCTATTCGTAACCCCGAAACAATGGGATAGGTACCGCCGTTGGACTTATACTTTAACAAGCGGCCAGCCAACTTCGAGGCCGACTTCGAATACCTGCTCAATACAACGGCCAAGGCGTCAATAAGGTTATAGGGAGGTTGAACTCGAGGAGGAATTGTAGGGCCCGACCCTGAGCCCTTGGGCCATAGGGTCCTATAGTAGTGGAGAAAGCCGCAATCACAATTATATGCAGGACTAGAGAAACCACCGACACGGATTGAATCGTAGACGAGGCGGGACTTTTATTCTGTTCTACGGGGTACTAGTCCCCAAGCTACACGGCTAAGGAGTAGGATACTACCAGGCTGACTGATGCACTCTCAGAGACTGCCGATATACTTGTCTAGGAGGCCAGAGCTGGAACTGCCGCTCTGATTTCCCCTCCTCCGAAGACCTGGAGGCCTTTTTTCTTTTGTATTCGCAGGCTCAGTCGCTGGCGCTTTTCCTTGATCGTCGTTATGGGCTTTTCACCCGGCCTGCGAGGGCACGGTTTTTTTGTACATACAATAAGCAAGATGAGGGTCCGGCAAGGCTTAGGGCACAGCGGTGTAGGAAGAATAAGAATTAAGGTATTTAGCTCATCACAAGGTAAGGAGTTATGCTACCAAGGTTTCCAGCGATGGATCATGCTCGGGAACAACCGAAGAGTACGGCTTATGCTACATCCCCTCTCCAAGTGCCGATTGATGCATTCTGTAATAATGCCCCCGGCGAACCATGAGCTCACCGTGTGTTCCTTGTTCGATGACCCCGCCTGCGTGCATGACGACTATGAGATCGGCGTCTTTGAGAATGTTGAGACGCTGGGAAGGTGGCTCTGTCAGCAATCCATCTTGTCCACATCCTCTGACATTGAAGGGGATGCGAAATGGGCCTGGGGGTTAGGAGAGGTTTGCTTACATGGGTCACGAGAATCAGTGTCCGTCCCTTTCGTATACTCTGAAACGTGTCGATGACAAGCTAGGCGAAGTTTCTCCGTCAGCCAATATCGCAGGAAGCAGATCCGGATATTCCGAAGGAGGTGAGGATTTGCCTACCCGTTCGGACTCTGCATCCAAGGCGCTCGTGGGTTCATCGAGCAGCAAAAGCTCAGGTTTTCGAACAAGTGCCCTCGCAATCGCAACGCGCTGCTTCTGTCCTCCGGATAAGCTAATACCCCTGGCGCCGCAGTCGGTGTCATAGCCTTCCGGAAGCGAGGCGATGCAGTCGGTCAAGTGGGCGGCTTCGGCAGCCTGCACCATTTCCTCCTCACTAACTTGGTCCCCGTCTACACCGAGAAGGATATTCTCGCGGATTGAACCTGGGCACACGTCAGGTCAGAAGTTGAGTTCTCACTGTTCCTAGTCCTGCTATGAAAGAACTTCAACTGACCTCGGAACAAGGTGGGCTCCTGCGACACAACTGCCAATCTCCGGCGGTATGCATCTGGATCCTGCTGTGACAGTGGCCTTCCGAAGACACTCAGCGTTCCGGAACGGGGCTCGTAGAAGCGTTGCAGGAGTGCAAGTAGCGTGGACTTGCCCGAGCCCGAGGCTCCGACTATTCCAATCGTCTGGCCGGGAAAGACTTGCAGGGAGACATTTTTCAGCACCGATACGCCAGGCCGGGTCGGGTAAGCGAAAGTGACTTTGTCAAAGTCTACAACGGCCCCCGTCCCCTGCTCCCTATGAGTGTGGTTGTCCGAGGACTCGTCCTGCGGTCCGGCTTGACTACCAAGTTGGCTGCGGAGACCGAGGATATTGTTCGCTGCAATCTTGGCCTTGCCGATGTCTGGTGTACACACATCATTAGCGGACGCGCCCATATGACCAACAACTGCGTCTCTGCATGTCACTTACTGGATGAGAAGCCAAAGATGGCCCCCGAGGCTTGCCCCGAGACCACAACCGAGATAAACACGGTGAAGAAAGCTTCGACACTCAGCTGTCCATCGCTCCTCAGTCTTCCCCCGTACCAAAAGGTCAAGGCCGCCGCCAACAGCTCGACGCTCTCCGACATAGCAAAGAAGAGCATCATGAGGGCCGTTTGTCGATACAGTTTCCCGATGGTCGAGGCCAGCTGTCCTTGATACGACCTTCGCACCGTGTCTTCGAGGGTGTACGCTTTGACGGTGCGGATCACAGAAAGCGCATCAAACGCGAACCCGGCGCTGTCCTCAAAGATCTTTGCCGTCAAGCCGGCCAGCGACGAGTCCAGCTTCATGCGGGCGAAGCCGGCGGCAAAGACAAACGGCATGGCGCCGAAGATGGCGACCAGCCCCAGCCTCCACGAGTATGCCAGCGCAATGACGCTTCCGCTGATGAGGGTCACGACCATGGAGACCAAGAACCCCAGGTTGACCGAGATGAGATCGTGGAGGCTTGCGGGATCCGCGGACAGGCGCGACGCCAGAGTGCCGGGCGCCGCGCGGTCGAAGAAGTCGATGCGCGGCTGGAGCAGGACGGCGCGGAAGTACTCGAACCGGTAGAACTTGGTGAGGCGGACGCCGAGGAGCGTCATGAAGTAGCCCACCACGGCGTAGGAAATCAGAGCCCCGACGCCGACGACGAAGAACATGAGGGCGTAAAAGTTGGCGTCCGAGACTAGCTCGGCAAGCGGTTTCTGGAAGGATTGCATGACCCTCCCGAGGAGAATGCCCTGCACCGGGAAGAGCTGTGCCGTCACGACGGAGCCACAGATACCCGTCACGAAGATTGGCCAGAAGCGCCTGTGCTCCTTAGCGATGGTCCAGAGATTGGCCATCAGGGAGCGCTTGGGAATCTGGGGAAACTCATCGCTCAGCTGCAACGGGGAGTCGGGGGCTGCCATTAGCTCTTCTTCATCGGCTGCTGGTGCAGAGCCCTCCTCCTTTGATGGTTGGGTGTCTCCGGCCACTGTGCTTGCCGCACTCTTCTCTCCCTCAACCGACATTTGGGCATCGTGAAGCCTTTTGTACAGGCCGTCGGCGCGCATGAGCTCTTCATGGGTGCCCTGCTCGGCGACGGTTCCCTGGTCCAGAACCACCACCCTACTGGCTCGCTTACCCGTCGCGATCTTGTGCAAGATGAAGATGGTTGTTCGGTCCGGGGAAGGTTCCATGAGGTGCTCAATGAGGGTTGAGTTTGCGCTGTCGAGCGCGCTCGTGGCTTCATCCAGGAGAAGAATCGGGCGTCGGCCTATGAGCGCACGCGCGATGGCGATGCGCTGCTTTTGCCCCCCGGATACGAGCGACCCTTGGTTTCCAACAAGCGTATCGAGTCCCTGTCCAAAGCTAGGTGTGAGTACAGATGGAAAAGAGCATCATTTTGACAGAGGGTAACTGACCTGGGGTAACTTGGCGATGAAGCCGGATGCTCGTGCTTCCTGACACACTTTCTCGACAAGTTTTCTTTTCTCCTCCTCAGACACGTTCTCGTAGCCCGTACCGACCAGGCCATGGGCAATATTTTCGAATATCGAGCCACTGAATAGCTGTGGCTCCTGCTGTACGAGCGCAATCTGTCTCCGCAGCCATTGGACGTCAACCCCGGCGACGTCATGGCCATCGATGAGAATCGAGCCAGCGGTTGGCTCGTACCACCGTTCCAAAAGGGATATCAGTGTGCTCTTGCCTGCTCCCGAAGGCCCGCACACAGCAGTGGACGTGCCGCTGACGAAGTCGAGGTTGAGGTTGGAAAGGGCTGGGCGGCCCGGGCGAGATGGGTAGGAGAAAGAAAGGTCGTGCAGCTGAACCAGGCCGCCAGAAGTCTGTTTCTCGGCTTCTATCCTCGGTACCGAAATGGCCTTGTCTCTTGGCTTCGTCTCGGTATTACTGTCATCACCAAGAAGCTTAAGGACAACGCCCGCCCCAGCCACAGCCCGCTGGACAGTAGGCATGTTAGGACCCAAGGCCAATATCGAGCCTAGGCCTATCAGCATGGAGAAGAACACCCTATAGGCTATTAGATTGATGCGCGGTTGGTAGGGACGGGAAAGCTCGGTGTAGGAACGAACGCTAGGATTCTTCCCGGATCTGAGATGCGTCCAGTGCTGTAAAGGTACCCGCCCAGATAAAAGCCGATGGCCCAGCCACCGAAGACGAAGAAATACTGGCAGGAAAACATCAGTCCAACCAAGGGACCCCTGTTCTTTCCGTCCCTCTCTGCCTGGTCCAAGATGCCCCGGTACTTGCTCAGAAATTTATCGGCCGCCCCAAAGGTAATGACCGTCCTGATGTTACCCAGGGCCTCCTCCGCAATGGCGATGCAGGACTCGTAGCGCTTTAGAAGCCCGGCCTCAATTTTCTGGTCCGTGTTGACAACCGTTCCGACCAGGCCTATCGTCAGCACCATCAAGCCCAGCATCACTAGGGTGAGCTGCCATGACTGCGTGAAGGCCACGACAAAAGCGGCAATCATGGTGGACGATGCCTGTACCATTATACCTATCCGGTCGGAGAAGACGGTCTGGATCGCGTTGCACTGCTCTGTGATTACGCTTGACAGACTGCCGGGTGTTCGGGCATCGTGCTCGGAAACGGTGCGACTCAGGATGCGGTCAAGGCACTGCCGAGCCGGATCTTAGCAATCTCTTCTCTAGTTGCCCTGTCTAAAGGTCTGACATATTACCTCGAGGCGGAGTGCTTGTACCATGCCGCTGGCGGCAAAGGTGAAGCCAAAACCCCATATGTAAACAAGCTATTCCCACCAAGTCAGCACCTAGTATAGGTACCGAGTTGGGTTGCCCATTTGTCTGAAGATTCCGTTCTGACTTACTACAAACTTGCCGATGAACAAATAGATAAACCAGAGCCTGTCATAATATCCCAACGACGAGGTGACACGTTAGTTATGGCAGGACAGTCTATGGCGAGCTAGGGAGACGTACGTATTTGTTTCTACTTGTCGCATAAACTCGCTGCGACACACTTGAGCATCGGCGCTCCCGAATTGTGTCAAGCTAGCCGTTAAACGCCCGAGCACCAGAGCCATCAATGGCATGACTAAGAAGGTTTGGAATCAGCCACTGGGTGGCCAACGCGGGGATCACTTCAATTCTCATATGGCCACGAACCTGCTCCGCTGCACACAGCAGCACAGACAGACACGACTTGTATGGTGCGGTTGGCGGGCGTGCTGAACCTCAGGACTCGCTAGAAGAAGCCGTAGTCCATTAGCATCTCTTGCCGGGCGGTGGCAAAATCATCCGCAGGAATCTTACCAGCAGCGTTCCAAATCCCGCCGCTGGCTCTGGCGGGTCCTGCTCCCCATCATCAACCCGGCCGTCCGTTGAGCCGGTAGTGGTTTCGACATCCTGTTGATGGCTGTGGCTATGGTCAGTCGTGTTGTCGTTATCCTGTGAGCGCCTCATCTTGGATTCCGATAGCTGTCCAGGCAAAACAACACGATGTTGCGTGTCTGGGGATCGAAAATCAAGAAAGTCGACTCGACGTGACCGCGGCTGCGCTTAACTGCTACCAGTACCAGTGTAACGAGAGCTGTTCAATTGCTGCCATTGAAACGAGATAATTGAACTTTCTTCTTTCATTGGTCAATCCTCTCTCTCCACTGCATCGTGCCACGGCGTTTGATGGCGCCTCTCTAAAGTGGCCGGAAAGTTGCCGAGCCGAGAGTGAGACATACCTACTTGGTAGCCTGTGTGACCACCCCTCTGAACAAGCGAACTGGATCAACGACCTGGCCTAGATGGTTATTAGAAATGACAATGACTTCACAAATGTCACCGATAGGCTCGATCATCAAACCGCTCATACACAGTACGCAAACGACATGACACTTCCGCTTTTTACACTTGGCTTGCCTCCACCCCGACCCCCCCTGAACAAGCGGGTATCTACACTACAGTAAGTAAGGTAGGTACCTGTAGGTACTTAGCTTCACAAGGTACGTCCCCCCTGAATTCCATGGCAAACGCGGAAGAAGTCCATGATCCCGGCCCATCCTTTGCCACCCGTACTGCATCATGGATGACTCACACCCCCTCCCTCTCCCTGAGCACCATCGTCGCCGTATACTGTGGCAGCAGCTGGCCCGGCAGGACCACATTTTCCGGCCTGCCCTTCTGCCCGTCCTCCCACCCGAACTCGTACCGCATCAGCATCTTGGCAAACACGATCTGCGTGAGCCGGACGCCGAGGAAGCGGCCCGGACAGGACTGCGAGCCGTGGCCAAAGGCAAGGAACGTGTTGGTTGCCGTCGTCGACTTGGTGGTAGCCGTGTTGGTCTTTTCGTCGTAGAACCGCCACGGGTCGAACTCGTGCGCCCGCGGGTAGTGCGCCTCGTCCATCTGGATGAACCATGCCGCGCCTGTGATCATGGTGCCGGGAGTGAGGGTCAGGCCGGATTTGAGCCGCGTTGGCTGTAGGACGGAGCGTGTGAGGCTGACTTCAAAGTTCGAATGATTGTTGGTTAGCGGTTGGACGAATACCTACTGTAATATACCAAACCAAAGTCGGCAAAGAAAAGCCATCCGGGACTTACACAAGGTAGGACCGTCGGCGCGCAGGGTTTCCCGCGTGAAGCTCTCGAGCCGCGGGAGCGAGTTGAACATCTCATGTGACCACTCGCCGCCATGTGCAGCGAGAGCAGACGCGATTTCGTCGCGAAGCGGCTTGACAATATCCGGGTGCTCGATGGATTCAAAGAGCATCTGCGTGAGAACACAAGCAGGTGGGCCGGCAGCTTCAAACGCAGTGAGCCTGAGTTCGTCCGAGAAAATCCGAATCTGGCGCTCCTCGTCGGCTTGGTCCATTGCCTTAGCATCCTGCTTAAGCTGCCCGCTGGCCCGCTTCACATCCAGCAAGGCACCCAACATAGTGTACTGATCCGGTGCGCGGCCCGTCTTACGCCATGTGTCGATGGCCCTCCGAACCTCGTCGCCAATGAACCGGGTCAGCTTCCTGGCGAGTGTGCGGACTCGGAACCCCTGTGGCGAGAGGTACCAAAATACTTTTCGAAGGGGAGTGGGAACACGGAAGTACATGAAGACAAAGTTTGTCATGTCGATACCATACGACTCGATCGCCTTGATAAACTCGGCGTCTTTGGGAAAGTCTGGCCCGATATACGATGCGGCGACAATGTTGACGAGATGCCAGATCGTCAGGAAGGCGGCAAAGGGCTCGCGAGCTGCCGTGTCTGTTAGGTTCTGGACTCAAAACCGCAGAAATTCCTCTGAAAACGCACTTTTGGCATACCCATCGAGAACCAAGGAGATGGATTCATCGCTCTGTCTCACAAGCGCCTGGTGAAGTTGGTCTGGCATTCGCATGTCGTCAGTGCTTTGGTTCGGTAGGTACTCAACTGTCACCATGTGTTGTGCCAAAAATGATGGAATGATACGGACTCATATTCTTGCTGGAAGACAGCCTGATAGCATCGACGTGGTCGCGGCCATTTGTCATGCTGTGCAATCGGAAGTGGTAATTCTGTTCATCAAGTCAGTGCCAGGCACCGAAGCCGGCCATCAGACAAGCACTTCTTACATCCTCGGCGGCCTTCAAAAAGTTCAGCTTGGTCATGTCGGCATTTTTGATCTCTTCGCCGGTTCCGGGTGGCATGACGACGATTAAGTCATCGTGCTGGCCCCAGAACGCCCACGGCTTGGCTTTTCTGCTGAACTGTGTCTCGTCAGTGCCGCGAAAGACTTGCCCGGTAAAGGACAAGGGCATCGTACCGTATCATATCCGCGTTGCAGAACTCTCCCTAGGTTCACGCGATTCTCGGTCCAACCCAAACGCCTCAAGAGGTAGGGGTCATCTCCAACAACTGGTGTGTTGCCGAGCTTCGCTCTCTGTCTGACATAGTTGGCATAGTCGAGTGAAAAGATAACGAAGATGACGGCAAAAACGAGGCTTCCGGCATTGAACAGATTTACAGTCCCCTGGCCAAGGGGAAGGTACCAAGCTAAGACGTCCACGGATGGTGACATTATGGCGGGAATGAACGCAATCTTGGTCGTGTTACAGTGAGACGGATCAATGATGAGAACAGCGATGGGCCCTGGTTTTCATGGTTCTAGACCTCATCTCCTGCACCCGGCTACTGTGACCCCGGGTGTTTTACCCGGCATGTCCAGGTGTGCCGTCGGTAACCGACGGCATAGTAGTATCTATCTACTTGTGCACATGTGAGCAGGCACTTGGTTGGTGGCGTCCTCGAGAGGCTCGTGGCTGACTTAGACGGGCGTCTGATAGTCGATACATTTTGATGGCGCTGGCCTACGCACGCAACTCAAGTGTAACGTGGCGTGCTAGCCAGGGAGTGATGGCGTGCTTTAGGGCGAAACGTCAGAGGCCATCAACTTGACGCCATTCGCAGCCTCCGTAAAGTTGGGTGTCATTACCTTATCTGTATAGGTACCTATATAGCATCCGTATCACCCCCATACCCGCAACCCGGAAGTCACCCATATATCCATGGAAAGTACCTACTCAAACTAGCCGTCAGGGGTTGGAGTTCCAGAGTTCTAGCAATCCCATCACCGTCTGCAACCCCTGCGAAATATCCGCCAGCAGCAGCGATGACGCCCCCGAAAAACAGTCGCGCGAAAGGCTATCATCATCCACCAACCTTTCTCGTCCCTCAACGAGCACCGCTAGTCTATAACACCGTGCCTGTAACAGCCGCCGCAGAAACCTCAGCCGCGCTCGTGGCGTGACTCTGTACTTGCCAATCCAAAGCATCCCGTCTCCTCGTCCTTCCCCTATTAATACCCCCGAATTACTACCATTCATGTTGCTATCATCACTACTACCGACCGTAGGTTCCCGCCCATGTCCAGAGTGCCCCCGAGGCGACGCAAACTCGTCCCGCACCGACCTCTGCAGCAGGCTCAGCATCATGCGCACGCCGACCAGCGCGAGCAGCTGCATGGTGCTCTCGCAGCGGCAGGCTCGGCACCGGTCGAGCCGGGCCAGGGACGCCGCGACTTCGCTCTCCATGAGCAGCGCGCTGTCGAGCGACAACGGCGGTGGGCTCGTCGTCCTCCCCCGGTGGTGGTGATTGTGGCGGCTGTGGTGGTGGTGATATTGATACTGCTGCTGCTGCTGCTGCTGCTGCTGCTCAGCGGCCCGCAGTGACACGATGCATCGTGACACGGCCGAGACGCAGCCGCAGTGGTCGCTTCCTCTCATTCTCGCTCCAGACATGCTGCTGGGGGCTGGCTCGTTTCGGAGGCATGACTGGGGACGGTTGGACGGTGGTGAGAATGACGATGGGATGATGCACGGCCCTTCCCCGTCGTCTTCGTCCTCATCGTCCTCGCTCTCATCGTTCTCGTCGTCGTCGTTGTGATCCGCCTCGTCTTCGTTCTCTCTGGCCGTCTTTTTGCCGTGGAGGCTACTACTACTACGGCAACCATAACCAGTGGAAAGCCGCCGCAGGGACGCGGTTGCAGTGTCGGGAGGGCTCGGCGGGGCAGCACCGGCGCGCTGTTGACGGCCGCCGCTCAAGTTGGTGGAGGGGGAGGCTCGGGAGAGACATGTGTTTCGGGACAGTGTCCGGTCGCCACATGCATCTGCCAGATCAGGGACCCAATCAAACAACGAATCGTCCAGGTTCTGGTCCATTGGAGTACATGCTCGCGCGGTGCATTGTCGGGGAGATGCCGCCGCTGTTGCTTGAGCAAAGATTATATTACTATCTGAGATGAGGCCGGGATATTGCTGTTGTTCTGTTCGTCGCGGCGATGGGGATGGTTCGGCCGGGAACGACGGAGCGTCCTTTTCATGGTCTGCAACGACCGGTTGAGGCATTTGGAGGAGGAGGTCTAGTGGAGATCCAAACAGGTTCTCGTAGGCGGGCGCCGAGATGGACGGGGGCTGGGAGGTCGTTGAGCCCGACATGGTTTGCAAGAAGGAAGGCAGGTCCAGCTCGAAGCAGCGAGACACGCCGTCCACGTCCATGGGTTCCGTCACCGTCACGGACTTGCGCCTGGAATGACTTTCTGTCCCGACCGCCGAATTCATGTTTGGAGCCGGCTCGAATTCGTGGCCGTGCATGAGAGGGCTCCAGGTGTGATCGAGCTCGTCTGGTACTTGGTATGAACCGCCATCGTCCCAACGTTCCGAGTGCGAAGATCCGGGTCTGGCCGCTGCTTCTGCCTCTGCTCCCACCACCGTTGTCGTAGTGTCCAAGACGGTACACCCAGCAGGTGCAGCTGCCGCTGGGGTGGGCGGTCGGGACCTGGTGCTGCCCGTTATGTTGTTGCCGGAGGGTTTAGGACTGGACTGCCTCAGAGAGGAGGAGTCTGGGATGACGCCATTCTTCTTTGACCTGGGACGGCCCATGCGCCGAGAAGGACTGTAGACACACTGGAGTATGTGTAAGGAACATCTGCGGCACGGCTTTCCCTGTCCACATTTTACTTTGGCCGCTTGACAATTATCGCAAGAGGTTCGGTACTTTGGCTCTCGTCTTGCTGCCATCACAGAAGGGCCGTCAAGTCGTCGTGCCATGGCTGTCCAAGGTGTTTACAACAGAGGAGCTATGTGCATGCGGTAAAAGGAGTTGGATATGTGTCCACCCGTGACGGTTGACACAAGAGTGACAAGATTGGAAGCGGGCAGCAGATTCCCCAACAGTAGAGGCTCTCATTTGATGGGAACCTCCTGTACCAGAGTACGGTAGGAGGATTGGATACCTTTAGTTACTTGTGACGACTAACAAGGGGCTTAGAGCCCCGCTTTGCGGGCCGTGGTGGTATTGGCTTTATGATGTACATACATACATACATACATACATCGAGCCTCTCTTGATTTTGCTTATTTTCCCCACCCCCAACATATGCAACCACACCACCTTGCTCCCATGATCCACGAGTCCACCAACCTCACCAGCTGGAACCACGACAAGGACCGACTCAAGCGAGCGCCAAGCGCGCAGTTCGCCCGATCCATAGGACTTCGGTGGTAACCTGATCATCACGGCTTTGAGACTCGGTGTGACATTCACAGGCCAAGCGTGCTTGTCTGCGGGGGCCCAGACCTAACACAAGCTGGCAAGGAGCCAACAAGGTACTCGCGGAATTAGTGTACAAAGTTGTCTTGCAGCTGCCCCTGGGGTATGACGTGTGTGACCATCGTTGGCGACTCGGAGACCGCAGTGAGGTAGTCGGAGTCGGACTTGGCGATAGAAAATCCCCGATCTCGAGGGTAAAGAATTGGGACATTGACATTCGTGGCAGGTATCCCCGCTGTTCTTCGTCATAAACTCACCGGCGCGTACATCAAGGCCACTACCATCGGGTCGGTCCGTCGAGTATGTAGCACTCGACCCGGCCCGGCGAAGGCTGCCAATTGAAGGGCCCCCTAATTAGATGTGTTGAAAGTCCAACAGCCACGTATTTATGGTATCACAGTTGAGAGAAGCTTAAAGCAGTAGGTTGGATGGCAGCTCAGAAGTGAAAGTGATCCGATTAATTATTGACTCTCCTGTCCGATCTTGTTCTGGAGAGAATCAAGGTACCCCCACCCATTGGGCTTCAGAGACGGCTCGATATTGATTTTGGCTTCCTCTCTAGTACTTCTACTTTTGCAGAGAGAGCATCACAGACTCGCCGCTTTTGCCTTCTCCGCTTCAGCCAACGCTCGGTTTCCTTCCTCATCAGAAAGCTGGAGTGACACCACGGCGCCAGCACGAACACCTGTAAACATAGACGGCACGGTCAGCATCAACCCGGCATCGGAGGGCCCGTGAGCCATGAAATACTCACCGTTGGCAGCCGCTACAACGGCCTGCTTGATCGACTCCTGGGTATCACCCGCCACGAGACAGCCCGACACGCTCGACTGCAGCATCATCGGGTCGGCCTGCACGTCGCCGTTGGGCTTGGTTTGGAGGCCCAGCTGCTCGATCAGGTCGTGCGCCCTGCTCCGGGTCGGCGGGCGGTGCAGCAGCATGCCGAGCTTGGCCGGTGGCCCGGACTCGAACTCGACCGTGATGCCGTTCGCGGGACCCTCGCCGTTGTTGACCAGCCGCTTGACCGGTCGCTCGTCGAGCTTAACGCCGGCAGCCAGTACCTTTTTCAGGGCCATCTGCGTAGGTTCGTCGTCCGGGACGGGTCCGTTGCTGTAGATGGTCACGTCCGGGTTAAAGGGGAGGGCCATCAAGGCGAAGCCGGCGTAAGAAGGGTTCGGGAACGTGAACATGCCGATCGGAAAGTCCTTTTGCTCGAATCCGTCGCAGAAAGTGCACTGGTATCTTTTTGCTGTGTCAGTAAATATGTAGGTAGTGGTCTCGGCTCCCAAGGCAGGCAGAACCTACATGTGGTCGGGCCAGTTTTCTTTATAACCATCGACATCTGTAGGGAGGAGATCCTCGGTCCCCGTGGCGAGGACCAGCTTCCTCCCCTGGAAGGTCTGGTTCGCGCTGTCGGTGGCTTCGAAGCCTTTGTAGCCGGGCAGGATCTCCGTGTTGGAAACGCGGACGATCTTGGTTTTCATGAAGGACACCTGGGCCGAGTATTTCTCCTGGATTTGTTGGCGTGCGGTGGCGCGGAACCCAACCGGGTCGATGCCGTCGCGTGACAGGAATGTGTGCATCGCCCGTGCTCCTTGGTTTCTGTAGTCGCCTGTGTCGAAGAGGATGGATGTCCGGCAGACGCGGGCCAGTGCTAGGGCTGCCGACATACCGGCTGGGCCGCCGCCGACGATGAGAGCATCGTAGATCTTTGGACCAGCCGCAGCGGCCACTGCAGCGGCCGCTGTTGTGCCCTTGAGGACTTGCATGTTCTCGGTGTTTCCGATTATCTCGTGCTGTTGGCGGACGAATAGAGACCAGGAATAATAGATGCCCAAAGCGAGCAAAACAGGCAAGAGAAAGTTGAGAATGGTCATGGACCTCTGGTAGGTGGCTTGATAAGAACCAGACCTTGACTCAATAAGATACCTGGTAGGTACCTAGGCAGGTAATCTGAAATGTCGCCGAACTTGGCGGTTCTCCAAGTCCCCAGCCTGACACCACGCCGGTGTCATTGGTTTCACAGCAGTAAACCCGTTTGGAGACATCTTGCCCGGGCAGTTTGCTAGAAAGTCTCCGAGCTCGAACTTCCATGACACCCCCCAGTTCAAGGTACGTACGTAATTACCTCATTGGATTTCAACGAAATCGGGTGCCGAGAATAGGTAACCAGCTGGACTGCAGGGAGTTACCCTTTCGGGGTTTTCCTCTGCTAGGCGTATCAAGACACGGTCACACAGGTGCTTGCACATGTGGTGAGTGCATCCTTCAATGTTGTCCTCCGGTCAGTTGCTCATGTCTTCTCTACAGATATTCAGGGAATACTCAACTAGCACCGAACCCTTTGACAGAGTCGGTACTACGTAATATGTGCCTTGTTCTCCCCAATGCCCGGCCCGCGAGTCCCATGTCCATCAGCGTCCGGTGAACCTTGTTGACGACAACGACTACCTACCTACGATTCGGTACTACCTTTTTTCCACGCAACAGCATGTCTCGGCAGATGATGGATTCCGTGCTCCAGAAACTCAACGAGGCCCTGCAGGAAGCCGTAGATGCCTTCGACGGCCCCTTGCAGCAAGATATCCTCGCCCGGCTCACGGACCCTGACTCAGTGCCAGACGAGGAGACATGGAAGCTCGCGTCTAAAACAGTCGACTTGGCCGACAGGTTGGTGCGCCAAATCCAACCACCAGCCTTGCAGCTTGCAGAGAACTACCTCGCCTATCTCGACACGAAATGCCTCTGGACGGCCGTGTCCAACAACATGCCCGACCTGCTCGCCTCCGGACCGCAATCCATCGCAGACCTCGCCCGGAGCAGCAGCCTACAGCCTCTCCGGCTCCGTCAAGTCATGCGGGTGCTCCACAACAACGGCATCTTTGCCTACGACGCCGCCACCGGCCTGTACAGCAACAGCGCCTCGTCCACACTTCTAACCAAAAGCCACTGGACGCAATGGCACCGCTGGGTCGACCTGTACGGCAACGAGTTCTACGACGCGGCCCGCTCCCTCCCGGCGGCCGTCCGCGACGGCGAGGCCCGCAGCGCCGCGCAGCTGGAGTACGGCACGGACCAGACCATCTTTGCCTACTTTGCCGCGCGCGGCCTGCAGGACAAGTTCCACAAGACGCTGGGCGCGGGCGCCGTCGCGCAGGCTCCCGGCATGCTGGCCGACTATCCCTGGGAGGAGCTGGGGGATGCGGTCGTGCTGGACGTGGGCGGCGGCGGGGGGGACTTTGTTGCGGCGCTGCTGCGCGCGCATCCGACCCTGTGCGGGGCGCTACTCGAGCTCGAGTCTGTCGTGGCCATGGTGCGGCCGCGGTTTCGGGAGGTGGACGGGGCGTTTGCCGACGTTGGTGATAGGATGGCTGCGCTGCATGTTGGCGACTTTCGCGATGCGGTGCCGGCGTATGAGGTGTACACGATGAAGTGGTGTTTGCATAACTGGCTGGATGAGGACGTGGTCCGGATTCTGTCGGCTGTCCGGGCCGCCATCGTAGAGACGCCGCGGGCCAGGATGGTTATCATCGAGGCGGTGCTCGCCGAAGGCCGCAGCTCACGCGTCTGGCGCTATGGGGACCTGACCATGATGTCGACGGCGAACGGACAGGAGCGCACCGAGAATGAATGGCGAAGCCTCGCAGCGCAGGCTGGCTGGGAGGTCAAGAGCATCTCGCCGTTGCGAAATGCCTGGGCCGCAGCCATTGATCTCAGACCTATCAAAGGGGCTGTGGGCACGCCAACGTCGAGTCATGTTGAATAACGAAATCCAACCTTTCCCCTTTATTACTTCCAATGGGAGCTTCCCGGCGGCCTACTGATGGTCGTGATGATGTTGGGCATTGTGCATCTGCTCGTGCTACCTGGTCCTCCGTTAATCTCTTAAGATTCAGGGGGACTTTCCCCGGCGACGGAGCCCATACTTGGGGCTGTGGTCTTTTGAGTGAGGATTATCTCCTACCTTATCCATTAGCAGTGAGTGTGCACAAACCCAAAGTCCTAGGCCCATAGTTCAGCCGCACCCAGCCCACGAAGAGACCACTCCCTTCCACTCCGAGAGACCGGCCACCACACACCACCGACCATCGCCGCCACCAACCATCGCCGCCACCAGTCTCAGCATACCGGGTCGGCCAACGCCGATGGGGAGACAACACCCGCATGGCGAAGCTCGAGAAGATGATAAAACGGATCGATCAGGTGATTCATCGCCTACCACCACAAGTACCTACTTAGTCTAGCCATTCAACGACCATGACCAACTCGAATGAATCAAGATTTCCATCCTAAGGTAATGTCCATCCCGTCCATACTGATATATGGCGAGATGGGTCGGGCCATCCGACAAAATAGTGACCATCCTAACGACGTGTCCATCCCAAGGTACTAGTGTCCGTCTTACCTTTGAGACGGACACTATACCATGAGATGAAGATCTACCGTCTGTCCTAACCTGTGCTGTCCGTCCCAAGCTATACCGTCCATCTCAATCTCTACATAGGCACCAAATTCATAGCGGCATATACCGAACAACCAGTCCGCCTGCAAACTGCAACTATGATTGTCTGGAGCTGGAAAGCAGGTCGAGACGAGTGATGATCTCGGAGTACTTGGTGTCAACGGGTCTACCTGAAGATGTGCCCGTAGGCACTAAACTCAATACTGTAGAGCGGTTTCACCATTCCCAATCTCCCAAACCCATGCTGTCCGATGCCTAATTGTTGCGGGGAGACCGGACCGACGCAGGCAAGCTGTTGCCCGATTCGATGCGCTCCGAGGAGCGGCGGCGGCGCACGGAGACGAACACCACACTCTCGCGGAAGACGCGCCAGCAGGCGCACGGGCGGGGGCGGCGCGGGGAGGCCGGGACGGTGGCGAGGGGAAACCAGCGCAGGAGGTCCTCGGCGGTGACGGTCGGGAGGACGATCAGGGGCGTCTAGAGACCCAGCTCGTCTTGGCGTGCAGGGTCCTGGCCGGAGGTGGCGAGGGTGCGCCAGGTCTCGTAGGCGCCGGTCCGGGCGGCGCCGCAGCGGAACATCCATCCCGTCTAAACCTGTGTTTTGGGCTATCCGATAAAATAGTATATGAAGTAACTGTCCATCCCATTCTATAACGTCCGTCTTAACGAAGTATCCGTCTTAAAATAGTATCCATCCTAAGGTAGTATCCGTCCTAAAGATAAGACGGACGCTATACCGTAGGATGGAAAGACACCGTCCGTCCTAACCCGTGCTGTCCATCCCAAACTATGCCGTCCATCTCAAGCTATCCAATCTCTACACAGTGTAATCTTGTTTATTATCCCGGTAATAGCTGCATCCTCTTCGGCGTGGAAACGCTCGCCCTCGCCTATACTTCTATCCCCATTTCGACTTTCATAGCATATATCGCCTCGACCACGTTCAAGAAAACAAGCTTGATACCGCGGGGAGACTTCGGAAATTCGATGGGAATGTCGATATGAAGTGCGCCATCCGCAATAGCCTTCAAGAACTGGATAACGCAACCAAGAAGGCCGACTGGATCTTCGACGTGGAAACGCTCGGCTCCGCCAAATTGGTCCCAACCGCTTCCCCTTTCCAGCTCCTGCTCGAAGCTATAGTCGACAGCGAGGAATTTCCCGCGAGGCTCCGCAAGTCTAAGGACGACGCCGAACTGCTTCGTAATATAAAGCACTTCATTCCCGAACACTTTCTCACGTACCTCGCGTGTTGGTTTCCGCTGTCGCGGCCATGACCCGCGGCGGGTCGCCAGCTCGGTGGAACCCTAGTCTCGCTATCTATCAGACGCTCGAATGAGAGCTCGTCAGGATGGAGTGAGTCCCGAAGGCGCTGGCACAGCTCTGAGGCGACCTCTCGGTCGGTGCTGAGGGCCGCTGTGAGCAGCGCCGCCGCGAGCATGATCTGGACCGCCTTCATTGTGGCACCTTCGCCCGCCTTCGTCATCGCCGCCGCGATAGTCGATGCAGCCTCCTCGTCGCGACCTTTGATGTCGTTAATGACATCCTCCAAGCTCGACTTGCCATGCGTGAGAGTTGGCTAGCATACTCTCGGTTATACACCTCGTTGTCTCCGTGTTTCATGGTAACGAGGTACCTAACAGGATAGTTGTCGTCAACCAGTTGTTTCGCGCCGTCGAAGGGGGCTTGGCTATCGCCAAACACATGGTTGGCGGTGTGGTCTTCCCCAGCGGCGGGGTCCGGGTGCGCCACGGCCCATTCCGGAAAAGTACGGAGACAACAACGAGAAATACAACCGAGAAGTTGAACCAGGTAATGGCCGGTCTCAATCACTCCTCCACCGCGACCTCGACGACGCCACCCTCGGCTGCAGCCTTGATATCTTCGACCACACGGTTGAAGGTCCGCTGGTCGACGTATGACCTTGTGTACTCGACGCTCTTGCCCAGCGTCACCTTCACAAGGTATTTGCCTGAGGACGCCACCATTGTGAGGAATCGCCAGCTCCTTCTGGTGGTATCCCGACCGGCGCCGTGGGTTTTGTGCCAGGACAGGTTTTGGCCCCAGACCCCGTCGAGTTGCTCGACGTCCAGAGTCTGGGCGAATTCGGCAAACGTGACCGATTTCGTATAGTTGCCCTAGTTTCGAAGGCGGGTCCCACCGCGACGAGTTCACCCCCCTCTCAAGTCCCGGGTTCCGACCACTTCTCAGAGTCGTGGTGCAACACCGCCGAGCCCGGTAAGACGAGGGCATTGCATGCTTGGCAAAGAAGTGAAGAAGTGACTCGGGGAACTGGGAAACGCGGCGACGGGCGTTCCCATCATCTAGGCGTTGGCGAACTTCGTTTGCCAAGGCTAGTCGCTGCCACATTGGAGTCTGGAGTTTGGTGGCGTAGTTTGTTGTATAGAACATGAGAGAGAGCGACCTGGTTGTTGTGGTGAGAAAGGAGATCTCATGGTTATGTCGGAGGCCGACAGCCATAGCGGTGTTCCATCTGTTGATGAAGCCATGGTTTCGCTTGATGTGGATGTCGCCATTGCTGTCGAAGCCTGTCTCTTCTTGGAGCTGCATGAATGATCCGCCAGGGCGGTTGGTTAAGTTAAGATTGAAGCGAGCGACGGGGTTCAGTGCAGATGTATATATATATATAGGTATGTAGTGTGGAGTTTGCAGTTCCGAAGCCGCCAAGGAGGGACCTACCGAGCTGCTGGGCGTTTTCGTCCGGTAACCCCGAAAGTGTGTGAACGTATATAGGTATATAGGTCTACTGTAAAGTAAATCGCCACTCCCACTCGACAAGCTACACGTTCCGACGATGCTTAACAAAGTGAATCCTGGACCCTCGATGAGAGTATACAGAGAGGAGGGTCACAACGCCGTCTTCCGCCAATCTATCCCACCTAGTGCCCCAACGCCTCGCCCAAACTCAAATGTCTATCTATCTAATGTAACAGGATATCATAACCGTCGCGGTTGATCCGCACCTGGTCTCCCCCAAACCCATACTTGCGCCTCACCAGCTCGAAGATGATGAGACCAGCACTGGTGCTGGGCACCTGCCGAACCGTGTTCCACCAGAAGCCCCGGTACAGCCACTGGCGCATCCCCAGACCGGCCGCCTCGGCCTCGGCCATGCACTCTGTCCATGTGAGCCGATAGGCATCACGGTACGCCCTGAGCATACGCCACCGCGATGCTGGATTATGCGGGGTGTCCGGGAGCCTCACCTCGCGCCGCAGCTTGGAGGCCTTAGCATCCAGCGCCTCCAACCGCTCCCAGTGCTCGGCCTGGACGTGCGACAGCGGGTGCAGGACGGCCTGTTGGCTGATGGACGCGCCCATGCCCGCGAGCAGCAAAAAGGCCGGCTCGATGGCGTAGTGCGGGCGGATGATAGTCGGCATCTTGAGTTCCTCCTCCTCCGACACGCGCGGCCCATCCCCCGGCGCGGGCCTCTTGCGCGACAGCAGCACGATGGTGTCCTCGTTGAGCGAGCCGTAGTACCACCGCACAAAGTTGTAGTACCCCTGCGCCTTGACGTACTCAAACACGCTAAAGAACACCGCACTGCCCATGCTATCCTTCAAAAACGACAGCCCCCACCCGGAAAACACCCCCCGCACCCCAATCTCCCTCAACTTAGCCGCGCTAAACGCCCACATACTCCTCGGCCTCCCCACCCCATCCCCCACAACCCGCCCACCCGTAACCCCATCCCAGCGCGCCTGCACCGCATCCAACGGCGCAGCCACCACACTCTGAATCCCACCCGCCAAGAACCCGGCCGCGAAGGCGTCGCCAAACCCGGGCGGCGGGTAGACGCGCTTGGTGGCGCGGGCGCTCTCGGGGTGCAGGCGGCCGAGGATCTGCAGGTAGCTGGTGTAGAGCACGGCGCCGACGCCGACGTTGGCCACGAGCGGCGGCAGGATCTGCTCCGGCACGACCCGCCACCCGTAGTGGCGCACCGCCGAGGCCAGCACCGCCGGCGTGGTGGACCGCAGCCGCGTGCGCAGCCAGCGCTGGGTGCTGTCGGCCCATCGGGCGGCGGCGGGGGTGGTGGTAGTGGTAGTGGTGGGGGTGGGGTTGTGGGTTGGCGGGGCTGTTGATGTTGCCCCTGATGATAATGTGGATGCTATGGGAGGGGAGGATGCAGATGAAGCGGCGGTTTGGTGTAGGCTTCTCGCGGCGTGTTCCTGCTCCTGGAGTGCGCGCGCATATGCTAGGTAGTCGACGCGCGTGCGGAAGAAGGCTTTAACTGGTGCGCGGAAATAGAAGGCCACGGCCTGGGAAGTCAAGGCGCGCACGCCGGCGGCCGAGGCGCCCGTTGCGGCATTAGTGGTGGGGGCTTTGTCTGGGGTCGGGGCACCGTCGGGGATGACGGGGAGGATGCCAGTGTTGAATCCTAGGCTGGGGTGTGGTAGGGCGGCCTGTTGCGAAGGCGTATTCGAAAGTTCGGGTGAAAGTGAGAGCGACGCTGGAGAACTTGGCGAGTCGTCACCTCGGTTGCGGTTGCTGGCGGAGGGCATGGTGAGATGTCATTTTTTGTCTATTATTCGCGATTCCGATGTGTGGGTTTCGGGGTGAAATCTGAAGCTGGAACCCACACATAAGTTGGGTTTCGATGGTAGAGTGAGATGCGTTGGCGTGCTGGCGGTTGGCTGCCGATGAAGCCCGATTTGCGATTTTGCGGTTTCGGAATGGCCCGGTTGGCGGCCGCTGGCGGTTCGGGACACGGTAGTTACCAGCTGAGAACAGCCGTTCCGCTCGCCCGACAGCTGGTCGACCAACACCTTGCGAGGGAGGAGAACAAAAAGCAAGGACAAAACAAACAAAACAAGAAAAATGTCGAAACGAAAAGGAAATCAAACCCGGTTTGATTACTGGTATTAAAATATGTTAGAAATGAAGCCCAAATTCAGGCGCAACCTTGAGCCGGGAGAGCAAAAACTGTTGTTGTGATATAAACATGAACGTAATTTGATATCCCACCAAGAGTTGCAGAAAATCAAAGCTGGGTTGTGAAGAAATGATGATTAATCTTGTGAGCCGAAGGTGGCATCAATGACCAACTTCTGAACATAGGCGACCATTTTCCGATTATTGTTGAGCTCTAATTGAGCGCTCTGAGGGACCAAACAATCTGTCCAATGTATTTGACGGCTAGTTCAGATTTCAATGGAGAGCGAGTGATCCTAATATCACTGCAATAATAACATCGAAAAACTCGGGAACGTGCTACTTACCACCTACTCGTCGGGCCTTCAAAAACGGCGATCCGACTACCCGCCAAGGGGGCTAGTCGGGTACGTTGATTCGGGTCACGACCATTGATTTGGATCACGGCACAGTAACTCCCATTTCCGAGTGAATCCTACCAAAACGGAAGTCTTTCGCATCTTGGCATTTTTCAGTCACGTGCAAGTCAAGCCGGCTTCCCAAATCATCAACCATTCCAATTTAAACATTATCACAACTATCTTTTCCTTATTTAAAACATGCTGAATGAATATACCTGATGTTAAATTCCTGATTCTCGCTTTTTTTCATAAAAAAGTATTGTAGTTGGTTGTCTCCCCTCTTGGCTCTGAGTTTGATCCGAATCAATTGTCGTGACCCGAATCAACGTACCCGACTAGCCCCCTTGGCGGGTAGTCGGATCGCCGTTTTTGAAGGCCCGACGAGTATCCAGATTGCAATGTATGCAAGGATTAGGTACCTAGTCATTCAATGGGAACCTAAGGCTTAGGGTCAGTGTAATAGAAAGATCTCGTCATAGTTAGGTAATTATCGCAACATAAAATGCCCACCCTACCAGCCACTCCTATCGTTACATATTGGGAGTTCCACTTACCTAGGTACACGAACGACACCGGATGAATCACCTCTCCGGTAATCCATTGATTGATCATAGAACCCAAATGATAAATCCATGCTCAGAAAACATACCTTTTTGAGAACCGACTAGGTGGTTTTCTCAGTAACTGTGTTTAATTATGATTTCCAACTGAGGGCGCGTAGATAAGTGATGGATTTGGTTGATACCAAGATATGGACGTGGCCCTTGCTGTAAGGAACCCACATCACCTTGTTAGAAAGTCCGACAACCTTCGTCCTCTGGATTCACTCGGTTTCTCCTAGTATGCTTACTGAATGATCTTACGCTTTTTGGGTTCGGTCTGGGGGGCTAGACTAATCGATACATCATAGTCCTGACTCGGACGCCCGCATTACCGTTGAGTGCCAACCAGGGGATGTTGTCTCGGCTTGTGGCTGCAGCCTTGCTCGGACTGGCAGGTGGCGTACCCAATTGCATCCCAAAGACCGAAATCGTGGCCGGCAGTTGGTAGAAAAAAGGGGTGAAGAAGTGGGCTTGGCAGGCCACCCCCACGATCTCCCCCTCACCATTGGTCCAAGGGGAGGAGGACAAATGCAACCTTCGAAGGACAACCTCGAACCTAACTGGTCTTCTGATCGGCACAGGCAACAGCCCCGCGGGCCGTTTGCGGAGATTGTGCATAAACCACAACCACCTTCCCGTTTCCCCCAAAGCTCCTATCCAAGAGGCGAATGGGATTCGCTGATCGTAACATGCCGGCAGCGTTTTCGAAGGGGCTGAATGTAGCCATGGCATACCGACGAGAATTTTGGGAGTAGCTCAAGGTGACCATGTGAAAATCCACCGAAAGATCGGCTGGGGGGGTTGGAAAGGAGGGGAGGAAAAAAGGAACTTTGTTGTCCATACCGCAGATCTCGGGATGGTATAAGACACGCACTTGTCCGGGGATAACCCTGACCACCAGGGAGATACTCACACCGCATCACGACATCCCACCACCACCACTAGTCCGCCACCATGACAAGACTCTCCCCCGCCCTGATGCTGCTCGCGGCAGCGGCCCCCTCCACACTCGCCGCGCCCTCCTTTCCCCTCCTCCCCCGCGCGCCAAACCCCCCCGCTGCCCTCCCCCAGCGCGCCACTGCCAACGACCTCCGCTGGCAACCGTCGATGGACTTCGACACGGACGGCTGCTACAACGTGCCGGCCATCGACGCGCAGGGCAACATCGTGCAAGGGCTGCCGTACCAGTTCACGGGCCTGTCGAGCGACTGCCGGGACGCGTCGGACCTGGACAACAACAACGTGTACTCGCGGCAGCGGTGCAACAACGGGTGGTGCGTGTACCTGTACGGGTACTACTTCGAGAAGGACGTGGCGGTGCCCAACTTCCTCAGCACGGGGCACACGCACGACTGGGAGCACGTGGCCGTGTGGGTGAGCGACGCGTCCGGCCGCGCCGAGTACGTCGGCGCCTCCCAGCACGGCGGCTTCGAGATCAAGGCCGCGGGCGACGTCCGCTGGGACGGCGAGCACCCCAAGATCGTCTACCACAAGGACGGCGCCAGCACCCACGCCTTCCGCTTCGCCAACGCCGCCGACGACGGCATCGAGAACCACAGGGGTGTGTGGTTCCGCGGCTCGCTCGTCTCCTACAACGGCTTCCCCTCGGGCGAGATCAGGGACAAGCTGATGGCGCACGACTTCGGCTCCGCCACGATCGGCTTCAAGGATTCGTCGTTTGCCGGCCACCTCGAAAAGGCGAAGCCGAGTCAGGTCACGTTTGACGTGAACCAGGACGTTGGGTCGCCGGGGAACCCGTGAGGGTTGGATGAGCGGTTTTGTAAATAGTCCTACAATGTCAATATACTATACCCATTTACGGCATCTGATCTTTGAGCCATCGCAAGACTGAAGACGTCGTTTCGGGTTGACGTGTTGAAGAGGTGAATTTGTGGGCAGCGTGGCAGCCGGATAGCAGAGGTAGGCTACGGAGTATGGGAAGACCACGCCCATGCGCGTCTTCGACAACAGGTCAGGTGCCTGATAATTCAAGAAGCGGCAGAGGCGGAACCGCAGTGTGCGCCAAAGCCAGATAGGACGCGGCGGTTGTAAGGGTGGTATCCCACAGGTATCAGGTGCAGGTACCTACCTAGGGAGGTCCCTATGCAGACGCGCATGCACCTCGGGTACTTCTTTGGAGCCATCGTCCCCCCGACACCATCCAACGAGATTATGCCGGCCAGTGGTCAGTTGTCACCCTTTTCCTTCCGGTTTTGACCACTCGTGTCAGAAATTAACACACCATCCTGAACTCGACTCCTCTCATGATTCAACAACAACTTGCGACTTCCTCGGTTCGAAGATACCGAACCAGCTTGTGACCGGGACTTGCCCGAGGGGAACTCTCCCGTTGGTATCTCGCGGGAAGAGCAACATGTTTTACGCCCGCAGTAAGCGGACGCTCGGTGAGACGTGCCTCGATCTCCGGTGACATCTCCACTGAAGCATGCCCAGAGCTCAATCCATGTGTGCCATGGCGGACAAGCGCTTTCGTTGCCGCCAGCTGCTCGCCAAGCGCGACGCCTCCGTCTCGTCTTTGTTCTTTCTTGGGTGTTCGAACCCCATCAGTGCCATCACCACCGGAGGCCACCCCACATCTCGACCCAATGGGTTGTGATCGACAACGGGGTAATACCCGGAATTGGAACCATGGAAGGCCTTGTACCGAAGTCTCGCGACCCAGTACCCGGGTTGCAACGCGGGCGTCCCGATTAGCCCCTTTCATTCGTTGCCAGCACGGAGGATGCCAAGCTGTTTCGTCCTTGCGGGTGCCCCCCTGGTGCCCAGTTTGGCCGAAAGGGGCAAGAGTTCGGGAGCAAAAGCCGCATGTAACGCTGGCTGCCCCGGGTTTGGCGACGACTGTGGAGAACCCACACCATCAACAGCCGCCGGCCTGGAGCATTCGCATCCACCACCGCACCGGGATCTCGAAACCGGGTTGGGCATGTCAGGCCCATTGGTCTTCATCTATTTCCGGCCGCCGAGCAGCCCTCCATCTCGGTAGCATGCTTGGGATCGAGAAATTCCTTCCACAAATGACACTTCCAAGACATGGCGTGTTCGAGGTCCGGAACTTACAGTCACATTCTCTCCTGGGGCATCCAGGGGTACCGCGGATGGAAGGGGATGGAAGTCCTGCAATCCCATGTGTGGTCAGCGGGAGATCAACAAGTATAAAGACCTGTGCAGACGCGATCCTCGAGATCTCCAGTTGATCACCGCACCGCCACTCCACCAAAGAGACCTCTTGTCAAAATACCCAAACCTTGAAGATGAAGTTCACCTCCTCCGTTGCCCTGCTGGCTGCTGCCGGCGCCCAGGCCCACTGTGAGTCCTCCACACTCTGCCTCTCCTTCACATCCACCGACTAACAAACCAAGACACCTTCCCCAAGACCATCGTCGATGGCGTGACCTCGGCCGAGTGGGAGACGATCCGCATCACCGAGAACCACTACTCGCACGGCCCCATCGAGGATGTCACCAGCTCCAAGATGACCTGCTACGAGCGCGATGTCGGCACCGGCGCGGCCAAGACCGTCGCCGTCAAGGCCGGCGGCAAGGTCGGCTTCACCGTCGACACCTCCATCGGCCACCCGGGCCCCACCCACTTCTACATGGCCAAGGTGCCGTCGGGCCAGACCGCCGCCACCTTCGACGGCAAGGGCGCCGTCTGGTTCAAGATCTACGAGGACGGGCCGTCCGGCCTCGGCACCGGCACCCTCACCTGGCCCAGCGATGGTTCGTTGTCCCCCGACAGCCCACATCTCTGCAAACCCCCCACTAACTAACCGTCCCCGCCTACAGGCAAGACCGAGGTCGACGTCACCATCCCCAGCTGCGTCGAGGACGGCGAGTACCTCCTCCGCGTCGAGCACATCGGCCTCCACAGCGCCGGCAACGTCGGTGGTGCCCGTACGTCCCTTTCCAACCCCCCCCCCCCCCCCCCCCCCCCCAAAAAAAAGAAAAAAGAAAAAAAGAAACCATAACAGAACAACGACTAACAACCCCCTCCAACAGAGTTCTACCTCTCCTGCGCGCAGATCTCCGTCTCGGGCGGCAGCGGCTCGCTCAACGCGGGCTCGCTGGTGTCGTTCCCGGGCGCCTACAGCGCGTCGGACCCCGGCATCCACTTCCAGCTGTACTGGCCCACGCCCACCAGCTACGTCAACCCCGGCCCGGCCGTCGTTTCGTGCTAGGCTGGTTGAGACTAAGTTGGGCGAGGGGTGGGGTGGTTGGGTTAACGAATTCTTTCTTGTATATAAGGAATAGTTACGCTGGCTGTGGTCGCAGTCTTGTATATACGGAATGGTTACGCTGGTTATGAATCATCACAAATATCCTACTTCAGGTTTTGCGTGAACCAGTGAAGAAGATCAGTGGTTTGAGACATTTGAATGACCGTGGCTTTTACAGCGTTGGCCCATCATGGTTCCGTTTCGGTTTATCACAGTTCCTTAATCTCGCCGAGGACGATTGACGCTACATGGGTATTTGGCTTATCACCACATTATCCGTGGTCGGTTTTATGAGATGGCTAGTTCCCTGTTTTTGTGGTCGAGCCGCCTAGCATGTATTCTCGTATATTCGATGGCGAGCGCGACAATGACCATAACACTCGCCCAGCTCATCCTGAGCCCGGCAACTTTAGCACCCGGGCCACGCTCCCCTCCCTCCCAAACCCGTTGACCGAGTCCCGAGTCTCACAGATACGCCACCTGATGTTGAACCCTTCTTAAGAGGTTACGGACATAGACCCAACAATGCCCAACCTCGCGACCATGACCGCTAGCATCGCGGTTATCGAGAAACAGTCAAGGAAGAACATCCAACCCGCCGTCAATGCGGTTTTCCCTTGGAGCCCGACTCAGATGTAACCCGAAATGGGCTGAACGGAAGCTCGGGTATAATCGATGCCGTCACTTCGGGTTGGGTGGTTCGAGCAACGGGGCCGAACTGCTAGGCCTAAGTCGAGGTCGAGCATGGGTTACGGGCGTGCGGAACTGCTGAGGGTGGAGGCCGGAAACGCCCAGAAGCTAGGGCTGGCCCTCGGACGTGAACGCGGCGGCGCGGGCTGGCGACGGGCATTTGCCACGGAATGAGTGATGATAACATCGAATGTCTTTGCTCGCTCTCGTTCCTCCCGAGTCCTAATCGTGAGTTGTCGTCGTGACACGCCGGTATTCACTTCTTCGGCGGTCCCGGAGGAGGGTTTGTTGGCTTCCCGCGGGCTTGGTTCCGCAGCTCCTCGATAAAGTACTTGATGAAGTTGCCGGATCGGTTCGGCTCAGCTGCGTGCGTGTCAGCTTCTAGTTACTAGGTTCGACGACCTAAGTTCTCCCTACCTGTAGCCTCTCCCTGTCGCAGCGGATCGCTCGGATCACGGCCGTAGCGAATATCTTCGACGGTGCGATGCACCCGGCGGACGCCTCGATGAAAGGTTGGGCTTCGGAGGATCTGTCGAGGGCGAAAGGTCAGCGACGAGACAGAACGAAGGCGGCCACGGTGGGGTTCATGACGGAGGGCGTACTTGATTGACGAGAACGTTCTGGGATATGGAAGTTAGCGGGGGCATTCCGGGAAAGGGAGCCAACCAAGTCATGCAACATACCTCAAGTCGTAGAACCACTGCCCACAACAAACGGCCCCAGGGCGCCATCATGGGCTATTTTGCGTGCCTCTGCGGTGTCGGTGCATTCGAGGTTGTCGATGCTTGGCGCAAAAAGTTCGGCGGCTCTCCAGTGCAGCCCGCCACAAAGTGGGATTGGTGCCCACGTGGAAGCGGGGCAAAGTCGACTTGGAAGCTTCCCTGCTCTGCCGCTCAGCGCTCTCTCCCCAACCGCCGCCCAGCGCCGACCAACTGGCCAACACCACCCACGCGAAGCCCAGCAAGTCAGACTCGTACCGCTATAACATCTATTGGTTGCTACACCTCCATTACACAGTACTCTCGAGGCACTTTACCGGCACTGCTTAGGTTGGCCGGTCTGTGCGCGTCGGGAATTGGCCCGTTGGCGATGAAGATTGCGGGTGGGCATGACGGTGGTGACGGCCCGCCGGCCGACAGCATCTCCAGCTTTTTCTTTCCTTTTTCTCATTTTCCTCCATTTTATTTTCTTCTCAATTCCTCGCGCCGATACCAGTATCCCGATGCACATCAGCACTGTGTAATCTGGAGTTACAGATGACAATGACTGCGCTGCAGCCCCCCCTGTCGGATGCGACGGTGGTGGCCAGAGCTCCTCCAGCGTTTCGAGATCATCCCTCATGCATTGTTTCGATATACGTTACAAAAAGTCCATTCCTTTCTTGCTCGAGTTGAGTTAAGAAACCGCCTCGAGAATTCCCTCCCAACTCAGCGAAACAGCCGACTCGGTTATAGTGGCCGGGTCTTCGTGGCCTGAAAGAGGCAAGGCGCGGCACAGTTGACGAGTTGGCCATGCCGGCCCGTGTCCGGCCACCCTTTCAACAACAGGCAAAACACTGTGGAGCAAGCACTGGCAAGGCCACCGGCGTTTCATAAGAGCTTACCGCGCTGTCTCTCCGTTGTGATTCGCGGCACGGGAAAGCTAATAATAATAACGGTGATATGTGACCACGAACACGACCGGCCCGGCCAACGGCTCGACGAGGTCAAAGTTGGGACACTTTACGGCTGCGCCCCGGTCTTTGATGTCATACCTGCCACCATGGGTGCGGCCGTATGTCTAAATTGTTGCTCGTGCCATGTCCCTGGTCTGCAACCTGACCCTGTAATATCGTCCAGTTCATGTGGAGTGTGATGTCTGTTAGGCGGCGACACAATGAAGGTGAAAAAGGACGCTATCAAGCCGGTCGGTCTTACGCTCTTGTATGAGCCGGACTGGCCCATCGACCCAGCAGTTGAGTAGGTAACAGTGTCTTGCAATTTCCAGAGGGCGCTACTGACCGCGGTGGGCACAGCATCGTTCTTGTTCATGGTGTCGGGGGACATCCAGTTCAGTCATGGAAGTTCGAGTCACAACCACACACGCCAACGGCTCCAAAGGCGACCGTGACCGCGCCTTACCCGGGCATCAAGAGAAGGCTAACAAAACCATCAACACCGTTGCTACGTTCAAACTCCGAACCCCTACTTGCCAACGCACGCCGACCGCCGAGTAGGTCCAGGACACTGCTCTGGAAGAACTCCACCAAGTCATCATCCAGACTCAACCTCAATGGCTTTGCCGAGCCCATCAAGCCGGTTTCTTTCGGTGGTTCAAGGGGGTTCATGCGAAAGGCGGCAACAATGTCGCCGCCGAAACTAGGGACTGCCAATTTTGCTGACCCCATCGGCATCGATCGGTATGCCGAACAGAATGTCGAAGCATACTGGCCACTCGAGTTCCTGCCTGCGTCATGCCCCAATGCACGAGTTTTCACCTGGGGCTATCACACGCCGGCAGCCGACAAGAAGCCCGTTCGCGACGAGGGTAACATCTTTGCTCATGCAGAGGAACTGCTGGTTGAGCTCGCCAGCACCCGTGCTGAGTTGGGCGTGGGGGCACGACCAATAGTCTTTATTGCCCACTCGACTGGGGGAGTTCTGGTCAAGGAGGTAATGGTCACCCTGACTTTTCCGCTTGCTGGTCTGACGTCTCTAGCTCCTCCGACTATCCGAAGCTGAACGCGATGGGCCTTTAAAGGGCATCCTGCTATCGACGTCGGCCGTCGTATTCCTCGGCAGTCCGCATCGTGGCACGGAACACTGCAACCTCGGAGATGCCATTCTGAGCATGGCGACCGCCACCCTGCCCAGCGATTTCATCGACCCCAGCGACCCTGTGCTCCAGGAGCTGTGCGGGACCAACACCGCCCAGGTGGAGCTTGGCCGTCAGACGTTTGTACGGCTGTGGAATGATTACAACTTCAAGGTGAAGACGTTTCAAGAGTCAATCATTCCGACCCAACCGTACCCGGAGCTCAGGGCGGAAACGGTGAGTGAACCCGCTCAGAATCGTAGGTAGGCTCCTGCTGAATGAGAACAGACAATCCGGCGTCTTGCGAGCTTCATTGGTGACCCCAGAGAGCATGCGGAGACCATATGTGCCTTGCATGACAATATCTGCCAGTTCCGATCTGCGGATGACAAGGGATACCGTGCTTTAGCCAAGACACTGGCGGCGTTCATCACCACGGAGGAGGATGGGGTGAGTTCGCCTCGGATGAGGTTGGGTTCAAAGCTAACGGCTTCTAGCGCCATGTGCTTAACGTCAAGGAAACAGGTGAGTAGCAACCGTCCGCAGCGTAGAAAGACCAAACTGACAAGCATAGAATGTCTTTCGGCCCTGGCGCAACTGCCACCCCCACCCCCCGAAACCCTTCCGCCATCCGCCTACCCGGGTACCTGCCTCTGGCTGGACGAGCTGCACGACTTCCAAACCTGGCACCACCGAAACGGGCCAAACAAGAACAAAATCCTCTGGATCAGGGGAGAGTCCGGATGCGGCAAAACAGTTCTCCTGAGGTCCATACGGAGAAGACTAGAGCGTCAGTGGGGCCCAGCCGGCGCATCGTTCATCTGGGCCACGGCCGAGGCCGACGATAGGACGAAAGACCCATCCAATCGTCAGAGCACAAGTCTAGCCGGCGTCTACCGTAGCCTTCTCTCTCAGCTGTTCCTTCACGATCCACGTCTCCGAAAGGCGCTCCTGGCGCTTTACAACCAGTCACGCACCCTCCACGACGCGCAGGTTGTCTCGTTCTTTGCCGACTATTATGTCAACCAAAAGGCCGAGATAACGGCCAGGAGAGCCTTCATTTTTGTCGAAATTGCAGATGATGCATGCCCTAGCTACGTTCACGAGCTGATAGGCCGCTTGTCGCATCTCGCGCACAACTCGGACTTCAGCATTTGCGTTGCGAGCGGCTACCATCCGGAGATCATCGAGGAGGAGAACGTCATCAGCATCCCCATGCATTTACGCAACGCCGACGACGTTCTGCGGTATGTCAACTTGAACCTGGTTGCCGAGTGGGAAGAACGGAATCGGACGGTCATCCGGATTGGACAGAAGTCAGGGGGCGTGTTCCTATGGGCGGAAATCGTAGTGAACATCTTAAATGCCGCCATCATGGAGGGCGCCACGCAGGAGATGATCGAGTACACCCTGGAGGAAGTCCCCGGCGACCTTCATGGCCTGTACGAGTGGATGCTCTCGACTCTGAACGACAGGGAGCGAGCCGAATCCCTTCTTCTCTTCCAGTGGGTGATCCTCGCTGCCGAGCCGATGCGCCTCAACGACCTCTTCCTCGCCGTCAGACTCACCGAACCCAATTCCTTCGCCCTCTTTGAACAGTTTGGCCCGCTCATGGCGTTCAATATCGGCAAGCCCTTTTCGATGCGCGAGCTCCGTCAACTGCGAAATTCCGAAATCAGCTCTGACACGCCCTACCAATTTCACCGCTGGCTACGAGCCCGCTCCATCGGCCTCCTCGAGCTCAAATCCGACGCCCCTCATCGCCAATCTACCGCCAGCGAACCCCTAGGTCTGCAGCGCGTCCACACCATCCACTCCTCCGTCCGCAGCTTCTTTCTCTCCGGCCGAGGGTTTGCCTGCCTCGCCGCCGGCAACCCCTCCATCCCCGCCACCCTCCCCATCGCCGACTTCCTCGACATCACCCACTACACCCTCCTCCGCGCCTGCCTCACCTACCTCAACATGCGGGATTTTGAATCCCTCGGGCACGGCTCCCGCCGCCGACGCAAGCCCCCCACCAGCACCACCACCCCCTCCTCCTCCTCCACCACCTCACCCACCCTCCTCAAACTCGAAACCACCCTCCACTGGCACCCCCCACCCACCGTCTCCTCCCAGCGCCACCTGATCATGTCCTCCTACCCGCTCCTGCACTACGCCGTAACCCACCTGCTCCACCACCTCCTCGCCCCGCAGCCCTTCCGCTACTTCCTCCCCCAACATCAGCTCCTAACCACCCTCGCCGCGAACCGCTTCCGCCTCTGGAAGCGCTGGACCTCCCTGCTCGGCACCTACGACCCGGACGTCATCGTCGCGCAGCACGCGGCCCCCTCCGCGGGCGCCGTTGCGGGGTGGCTCAGTCCGGTGTTTGGCGCACGGTTTCGCCTGGAGCGCGTGCTGCGCAAGTTGGCGAGGCTGGCGGCGAGTGAGTCGTATGTGGCGAGGCGGCGGGGGGCCGCGGATCCGGTTACGCCCGTTGGGGCGGTTTCGGTTTCCGCGGCGGCGGTGGGGGTGGGTGCTGGTGGCGGGAAGGGGGACCCCCGCGAACGGGAGTGGGTGCCGGGGACGCCGCGGTTTCGGTTGCCGGAGGAGTTGACCCTGCCGTTGCCGAGCGTGGGGGGCGGGTTGTTGAGTCCGGTGAGGAGGGCGGGGATGATGGAGATGGATATGGATGGGAGGACGGGGGTTGGGGTTGGGCCTGGGTTGGCTGTGTAAGTCTAGGGAAGGTGTAAGATGATCGGGCTTCTCGGAATCTCTTTTTTTCTTTTGTTGGTTTGTTAAGCGTTCTTTGGGGGTGATTCCATATTTGGCTTGGTTATTTTTACTTGCAACCGGAATACGATGGACTGTTGTTAGCTTGATACATGATTCGGATTGATACAGGACTCGGGCTGGAGGTGCTTTGGCTCCTGCTCAATGCACTGTGCTGGGTGGTTCGGGGGCTTCGTGGGGCTCCGGTGGCTCCATACCAAGTCACCCTAACCCTTATCGCGGGCTGCAGGCCCAGCGACCCCCGCCGGCAGAACTTCAACTTTTTGGGTTCGACATGGGCTTGCTGCAACCCATCACTTTCTTCGGTGCTGCCGTGTCTTGTCAATTTTCTTTTTACACGCCTTTCGTCCCCATGTACGCACTCCGCGGCCATGTGGGCAGAGCACTCGTCCCGCGAGCAACGCGCTGCCTCGCCGCGCAGCAGGCCAACTTTGCCACAGCTAAAAGGCCCAACCCGCGCGCGATCATGAAGTCGCAGAATGCGGTCGCCGAGAAGCTTGCAACGACGGGCGCCTGGTCTGTGATGCGGGGGAAACGCAAGGGGGTGAACAGCGACAAGCACCGCGTCAACATCGTCAACGAGAAATTATGCGACGACGTTATCGAGTACCTCAAGCCAACCCTGGCCCGCCACGAAGGCTGCGACCTCGTCGACATTTTCCCGGGCGTGGGCATCTGGAGCAAGAAGCTTCACGAGGTGCTCAAACCGCGCTCGCACGTCCTGATGGAGCCAGACGAAGAGTACTACAAACCGTTCCTCGCACCGCTGCTCGAGCAGCCCGGCACCAAACTGCTTCCCGAGTCCGGCATCGTCTGGGAGCAGTTGAACAAAATCCTAAACCCGACAGTGCTACCACACCAGGTCGAGCGCAGGTACGCCAACGACGAGACACCACAGCGCAATGACACGCTCCTCGTCACCGTGAATTTGTGCATGTACCCGAGACGAAAATTTCGATCTTTCGAGAGCCTCGCCCAGCTCGTTCTCTTCCAGCTGCTCGCCGCGATCCGCCCGGGGTCGGTGTTCCAAAAGTACGGACTCGTTCGCATGCTCATATGGACCGAAGATTCCGAGAAGGGTGCGGTCCTGCCGCGGACCGTGCAGCGGCGGAGGAAGATGGCCATCGAGGCCGAAATATCGACCGACTGGGTCTGCGAGATCGTCGGCGCCGAAGCCGAAGACGCGGCCGCGGCCCGATCCGCCTCCTGGTTCCGCCGCGACGAAGCACTCGACCACGAGAGCACGAGGCGAACGCTCGAACGGATGCGCCAGAACGGATTCAAGATGCCGCCCGGGCGGGAGCCGCAGCACGTGCTGGACTACCTAGCGGTCGCGGACCTGAACGAGCCCGGTGCGCTCGACACTAAGCGCTACGTCGGGCGGCCGTTTATAGCCGAGCTGGAAAAGTTGGAAAAAAAGTTCTCCGACGGGAAATTCGAAAAAAAGACCCCGGAATACAAGCGTCTCAAGACCCTCCAGTACCTACAAACCCATACTACGAGGCGCTCTGGCTTCGTCGTCGATTTGATGAAAGAATACGATGCGATTGTCCAGGCTTACATCGACGCTGGCGCGGACGAGAAGCTACAAGAGGAGGCCGCCGCGGTCGCCTGCGCATTGACGGATAAAATCGAGAAGCTCGAAAAGGCCTTCCGCAGCGACGTCTTCCTCCAGCGCGACAACCTCCACGTCTTGCGGCATGAACCTCCCATCCTAAACTGGGACCGCCGCTACGTCGAACCCCTACGCGCGGCCCCGAGCGACTTCTTCCCCCAAATCCCTTGCACGCTGCTAGACATCCAGCCGAAGGCGGTGCCGTCCATCCTGCGGGACATGGGCCAGCAGTCGAACCGCGGCGGCGACACGTTCGACCTGATCCTGCGCGGGCTCAGCCAGCGGCCCATCGACCCGATCAGCAAGTCGCTCGACACCATCGCGCCCGGCGCGAGCCAGGGCGTCGCGCCCCACTGCCCGAGCCTGTTTGATCCCCGCCGCGACGGCGTTCCCCGAGGCCTGCCCGAGCTGCCCGCACGTGCCATGTCCCAGGACCAGCTGGTCGAGGTCACCCAGGCGTGGATGAGCTGGCCGTTCCGGCCGAGCTATTCGGAACTGGTCTCGCGCACCCTCGAGGACGTGGATATGGATATGGAAGAGGAGGGGCGGCAGTTTGCTCAAAACGAGTGAGATGTTAGCTCAGAGTGAAGTGAGATGATAGATACCTGTACTAAAAGCATATATGGGCAACCGGCGTTTTTTCGGCATCGTGGAGATTGGTTTCTATACGGTAGGAGACGGAAATTAGATGGTCGTATATACAACCTACAGCTTAGATACCAACACACATCACCCCTCCCAGCTGATCTCGTCAGGGCGAAGTGGGGATCGGATCTGCTAATTCCTCGGTGTTTACAACGACAATGTCCGCCCGTCGGTGGGTTCCAGTCCTCTCTCCCTTATTACCTACCCGTGTTAGACACGTTAAGCCACTTTGTCAGCATCCATGACCTTCGGGCTGTGAGAATATCACCGACTGGTCGAAGGATCAATTGAGTTGGTTCCTGGCCAGGCGCTAACACTGTCTCAAAACTGTGTACTCGAAGCAACGTCCCACAAACGCATGTAGCAAACCGCTTTCGTCATTTTGTATACCTCCCGGCTTTCCAGTGTTCCTTCCGTATCGTATTTCATACCCGGCTATTTTCAACGGCCATCTTCGGGAAGCTGACCCTAGGCACAACCGATGCCGCTGTTGCTTACTGTGTTTATGACACTGTGCTTGAGATGCTGTTCCTGGTAGATCGATTTGTGGGACCCTAATCCAGATTGGCGAATGCAGGGTCCTCGCGTGTAAGTCACGGCATCGACCCGTTCACTGCCCGGCATTTGACAGCAGGTACCGTACGGCAGGCACACTCTTCGTGGTTGCTTGTGGTACACAGTAATATCCGATTAGTAAAGTTCAAGTTTGTACAATGACTTTTCGGTAATTCTATCTCCAGTTTGTTTGCTCGTCGCACTGCGCTAACTATACACCACTCGTTTCCTCCGTTCCATCCCACCTCTTCCATCTCTTTCCCTCCTTTCTTTTTACCTTCGAAATCCAGCTCCCGAATTTACAAGTATTCCACCCCAATTCCCAGTTAACCTGACGCAGAGATCGACCGACCTCGTTCCCTTCTGACGCACACCCACTCAACGACAAACGGCCGACAAGCCAAACATTCAGGACCCTCCCATTCGGCGTGGGACCGCAATAACCCAACCTTCTCTTGTCCTCCCTCGCCATGATCACCTAGCAATATGGCTTTCCCTCGCCGGCCGTCAACAGTCCTCCGCTACGTGATAGCCGCTCTCCTGCTAACCCTCACCTTATACATACTCGCCGAACCCATCGACTTCTCACTAATCGGCCCACTGCTACTTTCCACGCCATTGGGTCGGCTGTACTTCTCGAATGAACACCCGATCGATAAGCTGATCAAGGCAGCCGAGATAGAGTTCGCGACCACGATATCCAGAGAAACCCAGACCCTCCCAGATGCAGCCGCCGCTTATCGAAAACGGCGTGGCCGACACCCGCCGCCAGGCTTCGACGAATGGCACAAGTTTGCAAAGGAAAGGCACGCAATTATCGTGGAAGACTTTTGGGACCAAATATACCACGATCTTGAGCCATTCTGGGCGCTCAAACCAGCACAGATCCGTAGGGACGCCCGTGAATTCGAGATGCGCATCGAAGTTCGTGACCACAAGGCCTCAACAGGGAGTGGCTGGTTCTGGACGCAGATATGGCTTGATATGATCCAATCGATTGAGCACTTGCTCCCAGATATGGACCTCGCTCTTAATGCGATGGACGAGCCGAGGATAGTCGTGCCGTGGGAGGATATCGACCAGTATATCCACGAAGCTGCGAACACCAGGAAGATGGCAGATGTGAAGAAGGTGGTGTCTGAGTTCGGGGAGCTGCCGCCGCTTGGACAGGCGTCACTGGAGAAAGGGGGGGCTCGGGAGATAACCTGGGAGCATGAGAGTAAGCTCACCTTGTCTTTTCGTGGCGGCTTCGACACGCGAAGCACGCGAAGCAATATGCTAACCCCGTCTGCAGAGCACTATTGGCTCATTGCCCGCCGCGGGTGCCCCCCAGACAGTCCAGCCCAGAAAGCCGCGGTCGTAACCAACTTCGACCAAACCCCCAACATCGCCAGCCCCTTCAGCCTGGAGCATATGCAAGACGGGTACGTAGCCAACTACACTCTCAGCACCACCTTTTGCCATCAACCAGATCTCCAAGCCCTCGAGGGAATCTTCGTCGAACCCATCAGCGTGTCGGCGACCAAGTCCCTCCTACCCATCTTCGGTGGCTCCAAACTAGCCGTCAACAACGATATCCTCCTCCCAGCGCCCATGTACTGGAACGAGGAGGAACGCTTCATGGGTGCCGAGGGCGCCTCCATCCCGTGGTCGGCCAAAGACCCCACCGCCATCTGGCGCGGCGTCGCGACGGGAGGCACCAACCGGCCCACCAACTGGCGCGCCTTCCAGCGCCACCGCTTCGTCGCCATGAACAACGCGACCCAGCTCCGCCTCGCCGCATCATCATCATCCTCACCAGCAGCACCCCAACCCCCACTCAACTTCGCCCTCCCCGACAAGCGCTACCACCACCACCACCTCCCCTCCCCCTCCACCCCCGCCCTCGCTGACTGGATCTCCACCACCACCTCCATCGCCCTCACAGACCTGATGTGCCTATACCCGGACACCCGGCCCAGCTGCAACTACACCTCTCCTTACTTCGCGCCGGCGCCGCCCCTGCCCATGGCCGAGCAGTTCCGCCACAAGTACCTGCCCGACATCGACGGCAACTCCTTCAGCGGCCGCTACCCTCGGCTTCCTGCGCTCCACGTCCCTGCCGATAAAGGCCACGCTGTGGCGCGAGTGGCACGATGCGAGGCTGGTGGCGTGGAAGCATTTCGTGCCGATGGATAGCCGGTTTGGGGATTGGTATGGGGTGTTGGAGTATTTTGTTGGGGGTGGTGGTGGTGGTGGTGGTGGAGGGGCGAGTGGAAGTGTGGGGGAGGCGGGGAGGGATGGTGTTGCGGAGGGGATTGCCATGGCGGGGAGGGAGTGGGCGGGCAGGGTGCTTCGCCGTGAGGATATGCAGGTGTATGTGCTGCGGCTGTTGTTGGAGTATGCGCGGGTGGTGGATGATAGGAGGGAGGTGATGGGGTGGGTTGGGGATTTACGGTGAGTGAGGGATTTGTGGTGGTGGTGGTGGTAATGGTGGTGGTGATGGCGACGAAGGGAGGGGGTTGTTTCCTGCGTCGAGACGTAATGGCGCTGATGGGCTGCACGTAAAATGGAATACAGGTCAGTGGCTTCAATAAACAGGTGAAAGTTGGTCGAGATGTGGTTGACCGGTGGGCTGGTGGTTGCGCCTCACCCCGAGCTGATTGGGCGGCGGGATACGAATCCCGGGCGCATCACGCCAGGGGTATCGATCGGGCTTCCTGCATCGAAGGGGCTGTCGCCCGGTGGGCATGGGAGTACCAGATCTGGCGTTGCAAAATATCGTGGAGTATTGCCATGACTGAGTGCAGTGAGAGTTGAGCAAGATTCGCGTGTTAGGGCTACCCTAGGCTTATCTCCGTCGGTTTTTCTCATGCCCGAAGAAGGCCGCCGAACGCCCATGTATCACATCTCCGGACCTCCCCTCCCCCCGACACAGCCGCGTGACACAGATCACCGCAAAAACCCCCATTCCGGATCTCAGCCGGATTGAGTTCATTCTCTTACCTAAGAACGAACCCCGTGGCCGTCGCTCAGCGGCAAGGCAGAGGGCCGGAACCGTGGTGAGAAGCGAAGGAAAAACGGTGGAGGAATCGGTGAGCGTGAATGGTGGTTGCGCCAGCGGGTGGGCCGTCGCTTGCCGGCGGTATCCGCCCAAAAGCTTAACGCCTGCCGTTAACTGCAATCGCACTTATAACTTAACGGCAGTCGCCTCCGAGATGATGTCGTACTAGCACTCTGCGGCCACCGAAACACTCTCCACGTGAGTGATTTTGACGGCACAGGGAGAGGGGAGGAAAAAATCAGGGATGCGAGCGATGGAAAAGGACCGAGCCACTGGCTTACAACTGCTGCTGGGGTGGACCCTTGGGGGGGCTTCGATGGGATTACGTGATGGGTGTTGAGGGAGGGATATAAGGTCGAGGCTTATCTTTCTTTTGCGCCTTGATGGGGGGGTTTCTTTTCTGTCAAGACAACTACTAGCTCTCCGGCCACCACTTCAACGTTTTGCTGTGTAGAATTCCTTTTTGCTGGCGTTCTTTCCCACTTCTCTAGCAAACCACTGACAACACCGAACCCCGTTTCGTCTTACACTCCATTTCGGCCTTTTCTTCTTGCTGCGCCAGAATCAACCGGCCCAAGTGCCAACTCAATAAGGTGGGTGTGTTTCGAGATTCTATTGTTGGCTCCCGTTTCACCTGATTTTGCCCCTCGGAGGGTGCGGTCCAATGCGCACAAAGTCGGCCCCACCGGCTCAGCCGGCCGCCAAGGTGCTTGGCTCCCGGGGCGGCGACCTTGGCAAGGAAGTCACGCAGATCAACCGTCCCGAAGCCCAGGTTTCCTTGTTTGACATGTGCCATGTGACATGGTGAAGGGGACGGTGAAGCGAGGTTCAGCCAGCCACGAGCGGCGATAACGCTGATATTTTTGAGATGGCTTTGTGGAGGGTTGCTCTTTTTAATGGAGGGGTTCGGCTCTGACAATCCCCAGATCTAGATCATCAATCTGCAAACAACAACTTTCTTTCGAACTCCTGATCCCAAGAGCCCTCTTCCCTGTCCACCGACATCACGCATTTCATGTCTCCCTCCCGTGTCAACGGCCAGAGCGACAGCCCGTCCGCGCCTCAGACCTCCAACAAATCCTCCCCGCGCTGCTTCGGCAAGATGAACACCTCCATGATCGAGTCCAAGTTCCTCAGCCACCCGGAAGACCTCGGCGTCGTCGCCGTCGGCTTCTCGGGCGGGCAGGGCAAGCCGGGGGTGGACGCGGCGCCGACGGCCCTTATCGAGTCCGGCTTGCTGACGCAGCTACGCGACGAGTTGGGCTATAACTTGCACGGGCACGACGCCGTGCACTCGTACACAGACCTTGTGGCGACGTCGGCGGACCAGGACCCGCCCCACCGCGGCATGAAGAACCCCCGCTCCGTCTCCGGCGTCACCCGCCGCATCGCCGACCAGGTCTACTCCCACGCCCGCGAGGGTCGTCTCGTCCTCACCCTCGGCGGTGACCACAGCATCGCCATCGGCACCATCGCCGGTAGCGCCAAGGCCGTCCGCGAGCGCCTCGGCAGGGACATCGCCGTCATCTGGGTCGATGCGCACGCCGACATCAACACCCCCGAGACGAGCGACAGCGGGAATGTCCATGGCATGCCGGTGAGCTTCCTGACTGGGCTCGCGAGGGAGGAGAAAGACGAATTCTTCGGGTGGCTGAAGGACGAGCACCGGGTGAGCGTGAAGAAACTGGTGTACATCGGGCTGCGCGACGTCGACGCCGGGGAGAAGAAGATCCTGCGAGAAAACGGGATCAAGGCGTTTAGCATGTTCGACATCGACAGGTGAGTTACTCCCCCCAGATACCTAGACCAATGGTGGCGGGCCTCCCGCTGACCTTCATTCACCCAGACACGGCATCGGTCGCGTCGTGGAGATGGCGCTCGCGCACATCGGCAACGACACCCCGATCCACCTCTCGTTCGACGTCGACGCGCTCGACCCCATGTGGGCGCCCTCGACTGGCACCCCGGTGCGCGGCGGCCTCACCCTGCGCGAGGGCGACTACATCTGCGAGTCGGTGCACCAGACCGGCAGCCTCGTGGCTGTCGATCTCGTCGAGGTCAACCCGCGGCTGGCAGCGGACGTGGATCTCGGCGCGCACGAAACAGTCCGGGCCGGCTGCTCCATCGTCCGGTGCGCGCTCGGCGAGAGCCTGCTTTGAGGCGTAGGTATACCAAGGGGGGAGGCATAGGGAAAACGTGAGCGGATTGCGGCACAGGTTTGGTGATCTTAAGTTAGATTTACCGTCACATACAGGCTATCTCACGGCGCACAGCGGCGATTCACACGGCGGGATGGACTGGGATTGGGTATCGGGGAACGAGAGAATGTTTTGGCATGTTCTTTTCAGCGTGTCCCACGATTTGCAGTCGCCGTCTTCTTGATGCATCTACATTCTACATGTATATCCAATCGATAGAGTGCGGACGGGTACCGGATTCCTTCCATACATACAGAGAAGCACGATGACTACTACTTCAAACCGCACGTGAGAACCCGCCGGCACAATACTCAGCAGCCTATGCGCGCCGCCTTGCATTCTTCATCGCCGCAGGAGGATCTCTCGGGCAGTTCCTCGATGGTTTCATGTGGGCGCCCCGCCACGGACTTTTCGGGGGGAGCTCAGGCGATCCAGCCACCAACCAACAGCCTGCAGCCCCACCACCCCGCGCCAACCCGAAAGTGCACGCACGAACCGGGCACGAACCACGAACCACGACCAAGCCCGATCTCGCAAGCCTCATTCGACCACGATGAGTTGTTCGCGGATCGGAGTGAGCTGTGAGCTCGAACTAGATGACCTGTCATATTGGGCCTATTTCTGCCCAATCGGCCGATAGAATTGAAATCGAGGGGTCTCTTTCACCTTTCTGCACTTTTGCCTTTCAAGTTCCCCATCGTCATCGTCTTGCGCCTTGTCCCGCAACTCCCAACTCAATCCCTGCCCCCCCACGGTGTGATCCAGTGTGCCAGTCAGGCACCGATAGGACAAACGGGTCTGCCAAGCCCTTTTAGTTCCCGCACTCCAAATCGACGAGCCTGGCGTTAGAGGGCGCGGCGCGGAAATCCTCGAGGAACCAACACTTCTCCTGTCGCATCCGTCGCATCAGGTCGCACTCTCTATTCTGAGAGGCAACTCATCTTCCCCCATTGCCGCTTTGCGTTCCTTTATCTCATCGTCCTCATCCCCAGCCGACCTGTTTTTCAGACCCGGCCTCTTTTCCCAGCCACCGCATCAAGACTTTTACTCCACCAAAATTGTGGGGAACCCATCAACACCAAACCAAACGGAACCGATTGCTGCTCTCAACTTGTCGCCAACCTCCCGATCTCCATCCCTCCCCACCTCCTCCCGACGACGTGGCGCCCGCTCCTTGTGTGACCAGGCGAGGCATCTGCTTCACCGCAAGTGTTTAGCAGGGCTAGCAGCTCTAGGCGATTCGGAATTATTTTTCTGCGGACTGGTTTTGGGCGTCGTTTGCGCTGGAGACCTTTTGCGACTCGTACGAGGAGACATCCATTGCGCGACAGTGCAGATCGACACACATCGGACGCCACGCAGTGATTCGGCTCGATAAGGGACGCTGCAAAACCGCAGCAGCTCGACGTCGCCACCGCTTTTCGGGACGTGTTCGCATCCGGTGAACACTTCGGACTGCTCCGCTCCCCCCGCGATCCACCACCGTACGAGCCGGACCCCGGGGCACGACCCGGCGCCGGAGCCGAAGCCGCATTCGAACCTCGAGCGCCGACGCGCCAAGATCCGCATCCGATCACGACCCGTCACCCCGACAAACCACCGCCATGGCGTCCACAGTAACAAGCGGCTCGCTCGTCTACGAGCGGCGCGTCATCGAGCGCGTCCACAAATACCACTGGCCGGCCGTCCAGCTCAACCTCTGGATGCTCATTATGCTGGTCGCCTCCTGCCTCATCATTGGCGTGTTTGCGACCTTCATCCAGATCCAGCAGGTCCTCCTGCTGCCAATACCATGGTGCGTCCACCTCCCCCCCGCTACACCTCACATCCTCCACCCCATTTCGCATCCTTCTCTCCGCATAAAAGAAGAACAGGTAGCTAACACCACCCTCCTCCTCCCCCCCCCACGCAGGTACTTCCCCTACTACATCACCGTCGCCTCCCTCAACGTAGCCTTCATCCTGGTCCTTCTCTGGCTCATCTTCCAGCGGCGGCTGCTCCCCTCCATCGTCATGATCGGGGGCTTCATCCTGTTCGTGCTGTGGCTGGTCGGCCTCGTCGTCGTCTCCATCCAGCTGTGGGGGCCCGACGGCTCCGTCAGCTCCACCTGCAGCCTCTTCGTCTTCGGCGCCGACCCCCAGCCCACCGGCCAGACCCTCGAGACCCTCGCCTGGCTGCAGCAGCGCGGCATCTGCCAGAGCTGGCAGGCCGTGTTCGCGTTTGGGTTGGTCGGGGCGATTTTCTTGCTGTGGATCATGGTCATGGCTTATCAGGTCTTTGCGGATGATTCGTGATGAGTGATGAGGGGGTGAGGTGGGGTGGTGTTTTTGGCTTTTTGGTGATTTGGGATGCCAAAGCTTCTGTGTTTCTGTCGAGGCACGGGTGTGGTTTGGGGGGCCTATTTACCGTTTTGGGTATTTCCTGTGCTTATTTTGGGATCTCCCGCTGCATGGATAGACGGAGTTGGGCATCACGGAGGCATTTGTGTTGGCTGAATTTGAGCGTCAGCTGGTGTCGGGAGTTTATGACCGACATGTACATTGTATCGAACGAGTTTGGGCCGAAGCAACGACGGGTGGATAACATGGTCATGTTTAATGCAAATCGAGATATTCAGCAATCATGCCTAATGGCAGGGGTATAACAGGACCCTTCAGAACAGTCTATTCAACGCCTGACCTCGAAACGAAACAAAGCGAAACGGGAACAACAGATCCCCAAAGAGCAATATCTGTAAAGAAACACTGACCCCGGACGAATTCTCACTCTCCTAGCAACCTTTGCTTAGTATCCAGCGGCATCTACAACAACTCGTCAGTCACATCCTGACAGGCCCGACTCAAGCAACCGCCTCCCCGGAGACGGAGAGCGACATACCTTGCTGCCGGCCCTTGTACTGCTGCTTAGTGAACTGCTGAGCCGCCAGGTTGGCTCCCTTCTGGGCGTAGGGCTCAAACTTCTGCCCCCGAGGGCCCATCCCGCGGACGGCGACTGCATAGCCACATTAGCAACCAGAACAACCACAACACCCCACCAGATTCCAGCCACCGCGTGAAAACAGAAACACAACCACCCCCAAAAGAAAGAGAGGAAAAAGAGAAAGAGAGAAACCACTCACAATCCGCCGCCGACCCCGCAATAGCCTTGTTCGTCGCCAGACTCTTCAGGTACTCCGCGTCCTGGATGTTGCCGCCCCCGCCGTACTGCTGCGTGTGCTGCTGCTGGGCCTGGAGCGCCGCCGCCGTCGGCTGGTAGCCGACCTTGCCGCCCTGCACGACCTGCTGCACGGGGCGCGGGGCGAAGCCGTTGGCGCCCGTCTTGGACTTTTTGTTCTTGTTGAAGAGGCCGCAGCAACCCATTTTGAGTGTGTGTGTGTGTTTGGTAGAGTGGGAAGGTTTGTTGGTTGGTTGGTATTAGGCTTTCGCGGAACGAGGGAGCGTTGGCTTGGATGGAAAGAGGTTTAGTTGTCGAGAGGGACAAGACTCCGCTTTGTTGGAGGCGGCAGGGTTGTTATACGATTGCATTTCTGTACGAGCTGATTCATGGTGGTTCGGACCTGGTCCTGCGGTGCCTTGCCCTCGCTCTCTCTCAGGCTTCTCTGCTGCGCGAGTGAGACGGGTCCACGGTCTGCGGCCCGCTTCTGGATGCGCAGACCCGTTGACACAAAACCAAGTTTGGATCCGAGTTGGAAATGTTGCGCGAAACCACTTTGTTCAGGGGATCTCCCGGGGCGAATCCCAGAGATGCAACAATACAATTGTGTTCGCTCATATATTAGTGTGTGTGTCTTTACCCATGTTGTCCATTCGCCTTTCTGTCACTAAATTACTCCGGTTCCATAAATGCCAGCCCGATGATGAGGTTGGTCGGGTTGGTCAGCGCAACCCGGCCGAGTGTTTGAGACCCGAATGCGACTGGAGGAGCGGCCAGAATTGTGGCCGGGCTCGGTACCCGGACCCGGGTCGGGGGTCGGGTCTTGGCGTTCTATTTATGGAAGCTTGAATGCGGCGATCGGCCGATCTGACAGGGGTAAGGTTTGAAGCACAACGTGCGTTTAACGAGAAGACTCGACCCAGCTGTCTTGGATGCCTGTTTAATCATCGTGTGTGGCTAGAATCCTCCTTCTGTGGTGGCTTCGCCGGTATCTTCCGTCATTTCGACTCGCTGAGCAGTATGAATGGTGCTTGTTTTGGTTTTTAGGCGCAGCTAAGGGCAGCTAAGGTGAGCGCATTGTTGTCTTCGCACGTACAAAGTACGAAGGGTCTGTACGTGGGGGTGATGGACTTACTACGCCAGGAACAATAAACATTGTCCGGCTCAACTACTTGACCACAAGTAGGCGGATCGACGTAGTCAATAGTTTGCCATTCTCTCAACCAAGTATGGCACTGTTACCAATATGCCCGTGGTGATTGTGAGAATTCGGGATCGAGGCGGTCATCGCTGCTCGTAATTTAGTGCTTCTCATAAACTTGTAACCGCTCTCGGATGCCAAACAAGTTTCCGTAGAAGTTCTGTGCCAAGGGTTTGCCAATATTACATCGCTCCTGCCAGCCTGTGTGAGATCACAATATGTGTGGCAGTCACAATAGAGGGCCTCGAGGGCTCCACAAACTTTGTTCCCTCGAAAACACTCTTTCCCTAGCCAACCATTTGATTGTGTTTCCGGACCAGGTTTGAGGTCGCCTAGATAAACAATAGGCTTGCAGAGATAACAAGGATTTGAGTCATATGGCCACCATGGATGCCATTGTTGTCATGTTTGACAATACAATACCACTTCTCTATTCCCCAGCATTCATCCGATCGGCCCTGGGAACGTATAGAAACCCATGATACATTTCAAGTGATGTGTTCGCGGGGTGCCACCATGACTAGCCTACCTCAAAAGCACGGGTGCCAGCAAACATATCTAACGCTACCTCTGCACATGACGGCTATCCTCGACATTCAACCCTCCCTCAAAGGCATTTCGGCAGTCATACACCAAGCCACGCTGAAGCAGTATATAGTTCATTCACCGTGCCGGTCAGTTACCGGTTACCCGAGTCCTCGTTACTGCCAAAAAACAATAACAACCCCACGACCTGAACCCCCCACCAACCCGTTCCTACTTGAACTTCATCCAGGCATACCACCCACGCAACCGAATTTGCTATCCCTCATCCATACCTCTACTCATTCACTACCTACTTTATTCGGTCCTCTCTACAACATCATAATGGCATTTACCGCATCTACGAAGTGCCAGTGTCTCCCCTCCGACTTTGTGCAGCCTGGAAAGGGCTGCAAAGGGCCCGATGCTTGTGGAGGTCCAGGGAGCGCTGGTGTCGGCGACTACTGCGAAAAGTGCACTGTAAGTTCCAGCTTCTACAGAAACCCTAGGTACCCAGCTTGAAGATTCACCTCGTTCCGATTCTTACATGCAAATCATCTATCCAGGATAACAAATGTCGGCGTCAAGCGATGGAAGCAGTCCAAAAGACGAAGGACGCCCGACGCCCGAGACAGCAAAGGTCGTCCCGTAAGTGCAAGTGCGCCCACGACAATAAAATCGGCTGCAAGTCTCCAGCGCAATGCGCCGTGTTCGACTGTGGAACCCAAGGCTTTTGCCAGTCATGCGAAGTAGGTTGGCTTCCCAGACCTACCTACCCTACCTATCATCTGTTACAGTCTGCTAATAAGTTTGCCCCCCGGTCCGCTACAGAGTCGCGCATGCAGACCACTATACATCAACAATTCCAAGTACTTCAAACAGCTCTCCAACGAAACCGGGCTCTTTATCGCGACTCAAAGGACCGTCGTAAGGCCCCCCGCCACCCAACCAAACCCGCCGGTACCCCCCCTAGCCCAGAGCTACGCCGAGCAGTCGAGCGAACTGTATCACAACCCGGGCAGCCATTCATACCCGCCGATAGCTCCATCCCAGAGCCGCGCGGAGCAGTCGAGCGAACCGTACGGCAACCCGGGCAGTCACTCATACCCACCCATAGCCCCAGCCCACACCGGCAGCTACGCCGAGCCGTCGGGTGAACCATACCGTGACCCGGCCAACCATTCCTACCCGTCGCCGGCCACCGTCACGACCCCCGCAGAGGCAAATTACCTCCAAGCGGCAAATACTTCCAGCCCGTCTCTCGCTTCCAGTAGTCCTGCCGCAGAGCTTTTAACTCACCCCCCATGTGCTTGCCAGCTGGGCTGGCCATGCAACGCTGGTGGGCTTTGCGAGGAGACCATATTTCTGGAGGGTGACTGGTGCGGAATGTGCACGGTAAGTTTCCCCTCGCTCTCCTCCGTTTACTGCATCTTCTAACTTTTTGGCTTTGTAGCTTCTCGACTGCAACCAGTGAGAAGGGTGACCGGGGCCGGGAAAAGCGCTGGTTTTACGGGGTTGGGCGGGAGGGGATCGTTGTTTTGTGGCGATGGTAGGTCTCGTCACGGTGATGTAATAGCCCATGAGGATTGTAGGGGAGGTCGAGAGGTTAGGTAGGTACCTACCTCAAATTTGGACAACGATAATTTCTATGAGCGAGCCGACCTAGCATGATAGGTGTCGCGGAGCTATTAGGGCATGGGAAAATCTGAGCTTTCACAATTCCTTTTTTGGGATAGATTTATAGGCGCCAGCTACCTACCTATGTAGAGTAGCGGTCAGAAGCCATTCCAGCTTACAAAAGCCTGTGACACGTTTTCCCGTGCCCTATTGTAATACAGATCCCAGAACGCCCAGGAAATGGGTTGCCTTTAGCAACCATACCTAGGTAGGAAGCTGATGCTTCTTCTTCCTGAGATTCCTCACGTTTTCTTACCAGTTATTCGCGATATGGACTAACAATGAGGGACTGACAACGGAGCCCATTCACTTCTACTCCGACCCAGAGCACACCCGTAGAGGGGGCCAAGCCACCCGCAACTTCCCATCCACCTTCTTCATCACGAACCCAGCCCAACCCCTCCCGGCGCATCATAAAGCCCCTTATCCTTCGAGTACTCCAAAACCGACATCTCCCCCAACCAAGATACACTACCATCGCCGTGCACACCTCCACTAACCCCCAAGCGGCGCCTCCCGACTAGGCACAGTCGCATATCGCCCTGCAGAATAGTCACCGCTTTCTCCGCGCCGCCTTGCCTGCCGATGTATGAGATGTCCCGCCGGCAGGGTCCCGGGCTGAGGTGTTTGAATCCGTCCGCTTTGGGGAAGGTGAGGCGGAGACAGTCGTGGGTTGTTTCGAAGGCCGACTGGCGGCGGAACTTACGCTCTGGTAGGCACATGAATATTCCTTCCAATATCGCAACCGAGCTGAGTCGATCAGGGGCCAACGTAATGACGTATGCGGCCGGGTGCTTGCTAGCGTGGTAGGGGTTCAAGTCAAAGCAGTATATTAGTGGCGCATCTAATCTGTAGGTTCCAACACCTTGATGGCTCACTTCTTCCCATAAATTTAGGTTGTCACGTTCATTGCATTCTTTTACCTACCCGTGACAGTCACAGGATATACAACTGTTTTAGGGTTTCCAAACCCATAAAGACGAATCACACACCCATGACCATGCCATAATTTGGAGTTGCATGTGAGGCATGCTAGCTTTCAGAGCCACACGCATAGAATGGATGTGTACATAGTTAAATGTCTCTGAACCGAAGTAACCGTGGTCGTGGGTTGTTCGAGGACACCGAGTAAATTATTGCCCCTAAAACTCTGCTATATCGATGACACACAAGATATCCGTTGTGGCCGGATCATACGGACGACGAGCCGGCTTCCCTTTCAACATCAGTCTTAGAAAGCCATTTTCTGAGACAGCGTGGCAGGTAATGTGCGGGTGCCTACTTCCTAGGCGTAAGGACGAGAAGAAGGGCTTTGAGTATAAGTTGGCGGGTTTCGCATTCTGTAGCCTTATGACTACGCGGCTGTGATATGCTCATCCTCAAGCCGAAACTAAGATTCAACCCATCCCGATTAGTAAACTCACTTTACACACTTGACTGTCGGCAAGGCCCTCCTTACGGGTATACATAACGAGCCCCAACTTCAAGAACCATGTGGAGCCAACCGTGCCTCTGGACAGGTACATTATCATACTAGGTACTGTAAAAACCCATACTGCACAAAAATAGCAAGCCTCAGCAGTAGGTTTTACTGCGATGGATGTGTGCGTCTTTTCTTTGACTCTTATTTTTTATATTCAATAAAATTAACTCGGTTTTCCGCTCCAGAACAGCACATGCTTTAACAACAGCGGCGTTGCCTCTTCTATACTAACCTTTCCTGTTTGATATCTTCAGAATGGCCATTGAAACTCGGCACATATCCGCCGGCAGACACCCACCTTCCCGGGCCGAGGAGCATCTACAAAATCGTGCAAATGCCATAGGTTATTCTCGTTCTGCAGGTCCGTAGGTCAAGGAAGAGAGTGGGAGAGGGTCGCTCGTACTGATGGCGGTTATTTTTATACCTGCTGGGTGGGTTTCCTCCCTGATGGGCGGCCAGCCTCTACCCGCTGAATGACTTGAGGAAGTATGAGGCTAACACTTCCCTACATGCCGAGCTCTCGGAGTGCGAACGACCTTCACCTCTGCCCCGTTCTACCCTTCCTGATACGACATCGCATGGCTGCCCTTCTAGTTCGTCCACTACCGCTGTCGGCGCGGATCTTCCCACCACCAGCCCAGGTCTCACGGAGAGTGCATCGCCGAGATCGTGCCTCTGCGTTGCATACACTCTGTTGTGCAAAGCCAATTGTCTTCGGAGCATCTCCCAAAATGAGACCTATTGTGTCAACTGTAGAGTAAGTTCGCCTACCCATTTTCTCTAGAGTCATTGAGTGTATTCGACCAAGGTACCTCGTGGTTATTGACAATGTTCATAGCTGGCCTGCCATTAAAGCGGTAAAGGAGGTTATGGGCAAGCTTTGATAGCGCCGAACCTAGATTGCAGTGTTATTTCACATTCTCAGAGTACAACCGTGGTCTTAGGCTGTCAGGTCGTCAACGCAGTCGTCGGAATTAACACAAAGGTGCCTAGTAATCCATGTTTCTGGTTCTTACATCTTCCCGGTCCCACTCTGGAGGTTGTCTTCCCGTAAATAGTGAAAGATTCATGTACGAATATGTATGGTGCCGCTCCTAGTCTCCATGGCTGTGTGAGGTGAGGTGGTTGTGTAACTCCCTCGGTTGTGCTTCAGGTCAGAGTTTATGTTTCGGTGCAAGCTCCGGCGAGGAATCCCATTGGATCAATGTTGGGCGTTGGAGCAACCCGCGGCAACGGACCAGGGCGACGGTGGGGTTGCGCACGGACCCGAAAGCGACCAGACCGGAGGATTTTGGGCGTCTCGACCACTCTGGACCAGAGCCAGCAGCCGAGCGTCGAAAGCGCGACAAACTCCCAGGATTCAAGCCAAGGTGCGATTCAAGCTCAACAACGCAGGCCTCGAGACCCCAACCGCGCATTATTGGTCTCCAACCACTGGACCGCATACTATGCCTTACAGACAGAGGCTTCTAGATGCTCGATTCAATTGACCATGAAACCCTGACGACCACACGCCCCCAACAATTGGCTTATGTCCTTGCGCATCCGCATCCGCCCAACCCTGCTACTGCGCTTTCCACAGTCCGAACCACCCCTCCGACCCCCAACGGCTGCTCCAACACGCCGACATGGACGACCACAACGAGGGCCGCCAGCCCGCTTCCCGACCATCCACCGCCCGAAAACTAGATCCTGATGACGAGACTGCATCCCCCTCAAAACACGATGTCGAGCAACACCGCCCTACCGCCAACCCCAACTCCCTCAGGCCCGAAAATATCCCCTTGCTCCACCCACCTTCCCTCGCCGCCCCCGAAAGCAGCTACCTCGAGAGCCCCAGTATGAACCTGAGGCACTCCGACTCCCAAGCCGAGATTATCGTCCGCCAGCACCTGCAAGATTTCGAGTCGAGCTTCACCGCCCCGCCCTCGCCCCTCCCGACCACCAACAACGGCCTCGACGACACCTTCGCTTTCGACTCTCCCTCCAAGAAGCCTGCCCCTGAACGCGCTGCTCCGGACGCTGACGAGTCGGCCGACCAGTCGCAGGTGCTGCCCACGTTAAGCCGCACCGTATCCAGCACATCATACGCCCCCGATGAGTCTAGCCCGCAACCATCCGCTGCAGACCGATCCACGGGAAATGTCGGGAATGGAACGGCGTCCCTGGAGGCATTCTCATCGTCACCGACAGCTGCAGCCACAGCGAGGTCCATATCGCGGGCCGTCTCACGGGCAGCCTCGGTCCGGAGTGTAGCCAACCACGAACACAACGAGTCCACCGCAGAGCAGCAGGGGCAGGACCAGTCATTTGACGACTCCTTGTTGCAACCCGCTTCCGATGCTTCAATGTCACAAGCTAGCCAGGAATACAGCCGAGAACACAGCCAGGAGCGGGCTTCAGCCGACGCAGGGCAGACGCCAGGCCAGTCGCTGAAAAACTCCAAGCCCCCAAAGTACTTGCGGAGTCGAATCGGGAGCCAGCGTTCCTCTGTCTCGTCCCTCCACACGGATACCGAAAGTGACACGACCGTAGGAATGGGCGCCGACTATGCCCTCCAGTCAGGCGGCGCTGTACCTAGCCTGGGAATGCCGCGGAGCTTTAACAATCCCCTGTCCAGGTCCATCAGTATGGGAAGCATGGCCAGTGGTATTGAGAACCTCCACGAGTCTTCCGGTCCCGCTTTTGGCCAGCTCGAGACCCTAGACGAGGTCGACGTGAGCATGTCACCCCAGCCCGAGCCACGCCACGACCAGAGCCGGGGGCTACTACAAACACCGAAACCAACCAAGAAGGCACCGCTCGCCCCGCCAACAGACACGGTTATTGCCCGTCATGTTCGCGATGTGCAAGTCCCGGAATCATTGGCCAAGGAGTACAAGAATCGGGGAGGGCTGATGACCCCAGCACGGCCCGGAACCTCGGACACAGGCGCGTTCGGAACCTCCACGGCGAGCCGCCACGGCAGGAGCCTGACCCTCAAAGAGCAGAGCAGTACCATTGAGCGCCTAAGCAAGGAGAACTTTGACCTCAAGCTCAAGGTCATGTTCCTGAGTGACCGCCTAGACAAGCTCTCCGAAGAAGGTATTAAGGAGATGATCTCGGAGAACGTGGAGCTCAAGACAGGGTTGGCCGTGCTGCAACGCGACAATAAGGTCCTTCGCCGCCGCGTCAAGGAACTCGAGAAGCAGGCCAAGGACGAGGAGAACCGCCCAGGGACAGCTAGGAGCGCCCAGTCCGATGACGAGCAGAGTGCCGCGTACGACCAGGAGGCCCAAGACCGCGAGGAGGAGCTCATCTACCTTAGGGAGCAACTAGAGGAGCACATCACCGAAATCGAGCGACTTCGAAACGAGAACTTGAACAAGGAGGCTGAAAAGCGCCGCATGGCCGAAGTGGTGCGGACGCTAGGGGAGAAAACGGGAGAGCGGCTCGGCGAAGATTTCGAGCGCCAGGAGGAAGCCGACGTCTGGAAGGACTTGCTCGAGCAGGAGACCGCTAGGAGGGAGCAAAGCGACGAAGACAACCGCCGCCTGCGTGACGAGATCTTCCGGATGAAGCAGGAGCTCGCGGCCCAGTCGGGCGCCGGGTCGCTGCATCCGATGCATCACACCACAAACATCTACAATATCACGAAGAAGTCTCGCGAGCGGGCCTTGTCGGCCGCCCGGTCAGGCGCATCGGTATCCGGAGATCCGGACGCTAACGGGCCCATGAGTGTCGGCAGTACGCTGGTTGACGAAATTCGACGGGAGAGCGAACAACTCCGCCACGAAAATGCCGAGCTCCGTCGTGAAGTCGGTGCTCAGACGTCCATGCTGACGTCGAGAAATCGCGAGAAGGACCGGTTGTACCAGGAGATTGAAGATCTCAAGATGGCCCAGCGACGTGGCGGCCCCGCCCCGTCTACCATCGACAGTCTACTGGAGCGGTCGGCGTCTCGCGCGGGGGTTCACGAACGCTCGCAATCTAGGGCGAGTGGCGGCACGCGGGCGACCAACACAGCTGTTGATGATGCAGACGTCGAGGAGCTCGAGAACAGGATGGCAGACTTGCGGGATAAAAACAACGACCTCAAATTGCAGAACCAAGACTTGCAACGAGAGCTCGATGGTTGTATGGAGGACTTTGAAGCGGCCGTCGAGGCGAAGAAGCAGGCCGAGGAACTGGTTGCGGCGCTACAAGAAGATCTCGAGACGGCTATGAATGACCTGATGGCGTTGCAGGCCGAGCGGGATGAGGCCCTGCAGGAACATTCCAACCTCGAGAATGAGTTTGATTCTTTGAGGAAAGAAGCGCAGGAGGAAATCGACGCGCTTGAGGGCGAAGCAGACCAACGCACGGCCGAAATCGAACGACTGCAGCTCGACCTCAACGACCGCACCGAAAGCTTCGACTCCCTCCAAGCCGAGATGCGCAAGATGAGCGAGGGCCTGGTCAGGCTCGAGGACGAACAGGAGTCAAAGCTGCGCAGGATACAAGAACTCGAACAAGAGCTCGGGGACGCTAACAAAGACCTCGAAGACCTGGAGGCGAAGCTCCTTGAGGCTAACGACAAAGCCAACCGTCTCTCGGTCCAGCAGGAGTCCAGCCAGGGCGAGATCGCGTTCCTGCGCGAAGAACAAGAGACCGACAAGATCCGCATCGGCGACCTGGAGGCCGCGTTCGCTAACGCCGAGCAGTCTCTACGGGAGGAGAAGGAGCGCGCGAGGGAGCTGGAGCAGAGGCTCGCGACCGAACGGCGGCAGCGCGAGATCGTGGCCAACCGCGAGAAGGAGGAGGTCCAGCAGTTTGTCAACGAACTGAACAAGGAGGCGTCAACCGCCAAGGATGAGTCGAGGCGGCTGCGGAAGAGCCTGACGAGCAGGGAGGTGGAGGCGACCGAATGGAAGGAGCGGCTTATCGAGCTGGAGAATAACCTGCGTGAGGCGCTTGGTGACTTGAGCGGGACTCGGTCGAGCCTCCTCAAGGTGAGTTTTCTTGGTAGCCGCCAAACTATTCTCAAGCTAACTTTCCAGTCCATCGCAAAACTCCAACGCGACCTCGAGAACACGGTACGCGACCTCGACACGACCAAGTCGTCGCTCGTCAAAAAGGACCACGTCATCAAGCAACGCGATGCCCTACTCGAGTCGCACGCCCTTGAGTTACGCAAGATGGGCGAGATGCTGGATAAGGAACGGCAAGGCCACCGCAACGTTAAGCACCAGTTCGAGACCTTCCAAAAGACGCACCAGCACGTCACCCGCACTGTCAGTTCCCAGGACCAGCGCATCGTGGAACTGGAACAGGCCAAGTCACACGACAAGAAGCGCCTCTCGCAGCTCGAAAATACCTTCAAAGACCAACTCACCGAGCGCAACAATCTGCTACTCATTCTTTGGACCCGTCTCTCCGCGCTCTGTGGCACCGACTGGGCCCATGACAACAGCCTCATTAACGGGCGCGCCCTGCCTAGCCTCGAGGCCGTCGCCACCATGCTCCCCGGCTTCAGTAAAAACCTTCTCGCCGCCGTTAAGACGATCGAGACCATGGTTGGCAACTTCCAAGGCAAGATCAAATTAGTCGAAAAGGACCTCTGGCGGGAATACCAAACGCTGGAGAGCCACCTCGACCAGCGCACCAAGAAACTCGACCGTCTCGAGGCAATTGTCCGCAACGGCATCGTGACAGGTCAGATCAACCCGCATTCCAACAGCGAAGCCCAAGCCCGACTCGTCCGGCTAGAAGACGCGTACCGGCAGCTCAAGGTAGAGAACCACACGCTCCGCGCCGCAGCCGACGCCCGGCGGGCGGCATACGCCGCCGCAGAACACAACGGCGGCCTCGACTCCCCGGGCGGCAGCCCGTCCCCGTCGGTGCCCACGGGCCCGAAAGCGAAGTCCAGCCAGAGCAGGATCCCGAAATCGGGCAGCAGATCCGCACTCTCCAGACCAGTAACATCAAACAGTCAAACAACCCCGTCGCGCAGCACGAGCCAGCACTACTTCAGCCAGCACCACTCCAGACAGAGTCTCGCTGCCCCTGGGGCAGACGACATCGGGGTAGCCCGGTCGCGGGGCACCAGCCCAGCCACGCCAATTAGGACAAGCGGCGGAGGCGACGACGACGACACCCTCACGCTCCCCACCCCCACCCAAGCGTCCCACTCCCACCAGGAACGCGGCCGCGACCGAAGCAGGGGCCGGAGTACCAACCCCCCCAACACCCACCACAACAACCACCATCACAACAACCCCTCCTCCACCACCTCCTCCACCGCCCTCGCCACATCAACAACCACCTCCTCCACCACCCTCTCCAACAGCAACAACAACACCCCGACCACCTCAACCCCCACCGCCGGCGCCCTCGCTAACACCGCAGGGTCTGGGTCTGGTGGCGGTGGCGGTGGTGGGGTGGTCGACACCAAGTGGATGCTGCGGCTGCGGGATCTCGAGTACAAGCTGAAAGCGGAGCGGGAGGGCCGGATCATGGACCGCGGGGAGGCGATGAAGCGGATTAGCGCGAGCGAGGATGAGAATGCGGCGTTGAGGGAGAATTTGGAGAGGGAACGGGAGCGGAGGAGGGCGGGGAGGTAGTCTTTTTTTTTGTTTTTTGTGGGGGGGGGGGGGGGGGGGGGGGTGTGGCGGTGGTCGGGGTGGGTTTGGGGGAGGAGGTGATGGTTTGGGGTGGGTAGGTAATGGTTTGGGGTGGGTAGGTGATGGTTTGGGGTGGTAAGTCAATCAGTCTTGGTTGGGGGGGTAGGAGGTGGGTAGTGGGTCTTGGTCTTGAAGCGGGAGACACCTAGGCGGTTGCCTTCTAGGTCGGAAGCATGGAATGGGCGGTGCAGAGCGGGCGTCGAGGACTTGGGTGTACTTCTTAGGTTGTGGCGGCGCGGCTTTCCAAGGGTGGTGCGTTGGAGGGAGTTTTTGGGCTATGCGATTACTACTATACCATTAGGACGAGGCATGAGATGAGAGATGGAATATCCTTGTCCGTTAGCTATGCCCTGACAATTGTCCGGGTCTTGGTCTCTTTTTTTGCAATGGTGCTAAAAAAGAAGAGACAAAAACATACAACACCGAGGATTCGCTGGTCGTCACCGACCCAACTACTAGTTCAGCGGTCGCCAGTTTAACTAGGGGAGAGCGGACGGGATCCCGTGCTTTCTAGCGCCTATGGTCGTATGTGCTTGTTACTTTTGCAAATTGACATGATATTGAGGTAGTTTGCCGTTGGCCTGGAGTTGGCGCCACAATGAGTATCAACCCTAACCCCAAAACGTCCGCTTTGATGCTTAAGGGTAGTTGTATGATGTATCCCTCTTGATGCCTTTGCTGCGCGCTTTTGCTGGTTGTATCTTTGAGTGTATATGAAATTGTTCGTGGTAAACCTTTTTACCTAAGTAATGAAAGAAATGTTGAGTTTCGTCACCTAATAGTCTCACTTACCTAGAGATCTTTTCCCTCCTATTTAGTCCCCCCCCGAACCCTTTATGGCAGCCTCAGGGGACTAGCAACATGGTCTATAATCATGTATATTATCAATGCCCACTCGAAATATTGACGGGGTAATTCCACTGCCTGTCTATCAAGTACCTAGTCCAAGTTTCAAGCATGGTTATTGACTTGGCTCGAACCCGTTAACACATTCACACCCCAACGACTCTAGAACTTATATTTACTTATTTTGTTTCACAACTTCCGGTCTTAATTGTTTGTTTTCTCGCGGTGAGTAAACGAGACTTGCAAGAAGGTCTCTCTCAGGCGGCAACCAGGCGAGCCTTTCTCGTCTTTTACGTCCGTGATCAGTGCTCATGGCCTCACTGCATGTTATTGCAAGAAAAGGGTGAACTACAGCTTCCTCCATCAGAGGCACACACCGTGTTGGTACTTGCCCGGGAAACCAGGCTGTCGAAGGGTATATACATCAGAGCACTGCATAACCTGCAATTATTCTCCGCTTCCTTCCCGGCAGCGGGAGGCTTCTCAACCCTGTGTGAAGTTGAGTGAGCAATGGCTAGGGAACTGGGGCCAAACGCAGTTGCACCTCACTACTGGTAGTCTTCAGCGACTGCTAGAAGGAACCCAGAAGAACGAACTTCTTAGATCTCACGCATTTACTCTCTTTCCTGCCTGGCCACTGGTCGCTCCTTACTCTCCCACTGGGTTCTTCCTTCTTCACTTCCCACCACCACACATTTCGAGTGCGGCTAGCTACTTCTGTTTAAGAGAAGAGAGGTATGTATTACAACCACCGTAATATTCATAATGTCCTCTAGCATGGGGATTAGGCAAACAGCCACCCATGCGTAGTAGTTTGCTAACAGCCTTTTATTTCTCAACAACAGCCTGTCTTCTTACATACTCACGGTCGAACAAACAATCAATCAATTCTGACAGAACGAGCACACTTTACGCTTTACGAAACGTGCGGACGGAATCGGCCGACTGGACAAGACCTTGCGATCGAAGACCGTGAGCAGAGGCACCCTTGAGACAACAGTTGCATGTTCAGATGTCCGTCGCAACCCCGGATGGCTGTCGGTCGCATGTTTAGACCATTAACTGAGACGAAACAATAGCAGAGCCCCAGAGCCCAACTCACAGCCCTTCACGGCGACAAGAACATAAATAACGGCATCACCACCATGTCGAGCCCCGCGACGACTCAGGCTCCCAACCCCCTTGGCGCCACAGCAACCCCCCACCAGGGCCACCACCCCATCTTCGACCTCCCCCTTGAGCTGTTGTTCATGGTGGCTTCCCACCTAGGAAATGGCTCGTACCTTGCCTTCTCCCTCACCAGCCGCGGCATGCACAGGATCCTGTTCGAGCCTCTCTATACCCGTGACGAGGACGAGGTCGCCGCAACCACCACCTCCACCCCCAGCACCACCACCACCACCACTACTACTATCACCTCGCCCTCTAGCAACGGCGAGACCAGCGCCGCGCCCACCACTATCCCCAAAACTCCCACCGGCACCGTCCCCAACCGCGACGAATCGATCTGCGCCGACTTCTTCGACTGCGAGCTGCAGCCCCATCCCCGCATAACCAACCTGCACCGCGCCTTCTACCACGGCGTGACGCAGAGGCTCCGGCGGCCGATGGAGCTGGCGGAGGCGCTGGGGTGTCAGCGGCCGCACCTGTCGTTTGTGGTGGAGGACTTGTGGGTGATGCTGCCGCTGTACGAGGCGGCGGCGGACTGCGACGTGGGGTTCACGTACTTCCTGCTGCGGCGGTACGCGCCGCTGCTGCGCTACTCGCTGGGCACGGGCCGCATGCTCCACGACGTGCTGCTGCGCGCCCTGCACGCGCGCCGCCAGGGCGGGCCCTGCTACTGGGGCGTCATCTACCCGCTCCTCGACGCCGTCGACCACCGCCACCCCTTCCACCACGACTTCGACGACCGTCTGCTCAAGGTCATGATGCGCTGGGGCGTGCCCCCTTGCTCTGACCATGGCGGCAGCCCGTCCTGCGGCTCCTGCTTCCTGGACCTGGTGGAGATGGCCGTGTCGAAGCGGTTGGTGCGCTTCGGTGGCGTCTCCAAAGACAGGCTGGAACGCTGGATCGATCGCCTGCCGGCCCACCTCCAGAACCGGGTGTATGATATGCTGTGGAAGGTCAGATGTAGCCCCCTGCGGTGGAAAACCGGGAATTCCCAGGTCGGGGGCTCCGAGAGCGAGCACTCAGAGACCAATAGCTCCGATAGCGAGGGAAGCCAGGAGCACGTGGAGGATTGAGTTGGGGGTTAAGCGGGAGGGGGGTTGAAGTTTCGATCCGCCAGGGGACCAGCTCAGGGTTCCCGGAACTCGATTTGTTAGGTTTCAAGTTCCGTAAAGTATATAATTAACTCTTCGTAGCTCTATCACTTTGCGCTCATGATTCTCTGATTGATTTGTGGCAAGCAGTGTCACATATGCGATGTGATGTGTAGTCTAGGCCGACTGTGTTGTCTCCTTGGATGAAAGTTGAAACTGACTACAAGTTAAATAATTGTCAGTATTATTTCAAGCCGACGTCAGTAATATTTTAAGCCTAGTGTTAAATCACACCCAATGGAAGCACGGCCATGGCGTTCACTACCAGACAACATGAAGTACTGTCGGACTCGGAGGCTTCCAAGTTCTAATGATTGGAGTGGTCGATCTTTAAAGCGAGCTGCTTTGCTTTCGTGATTGAACAGAACGCGATGCTCTAAGCTCGCCCGCTGCCATTGCCTTGGTCGAATAGAAAACCCGTGTAATTCGATCCGTGACACTGCCAGGGCAAAGCTCAATCATGCCATCTCATTTTCGAGTTGTTGGCATAACGTGCAGTGCTGTGTAGTCGAGGTTGCAGTGGGGCAGACTCCCGTTTTGAGACGATCGAGACAATGAAGGCCAGGCAGGGGTGTGGATCAGTTTCCCGTCCCCACCACGAGAACCCCGCACGTTCTTGGTTGTAACGGCGTACACGTGGCATGGGATGAAACAAGTCGGCTTGTATCGGGCATGCAGCCCGCAGCCGTCATCCCGCCAAACATGATACACAAATGGTGGTTAAAAAGAAAATCGGTGATGGACGGTGTTGGTATTGGATCGTGTGGGATGGAAAGCGAGACAATGGTGCTTCGTAGTAACGATTTACAATGTTACCCTGGTTAGCTCTGGGTAGGTCCTCAAGTCGGTCTTCCTCAAAACCTGGAGCCAGGAGCTGGGGTACAAGGGGCCATCGCCTTGGCTACCTGTTCCTCTCATTATTATACTTCAGAGAAAAGACCGACATCAACACCGTAAGCCGAGTGTTTTCCGAATTCCCTTCGGTCGAGGATGCAGGTGAGATACTCTTGGCAACCAGCGCGCACGAGCACCGGACCACTTTGCTGCAGTTGGCAGTCAGGGCAAAAGCACGTAGTTATTGCAGAAAGCACACGTAAACGAATTAAAGCAGCATAAAATAGAATGGAAACAAGTCCATCGTTTGCCTTCCTTGTCTCGGCATCAACAGCACGCAGAAGCACTCTGCTGGAACAAGTTGCATCTGATAATGCACTGCGAATACTTTTCTTGATGTTGATGTTTTGTTGATGCAAGGGAGGACGGTGCCATCCATGGATCCCTGCCCGAGGAAAATCTTGCCAAACGCTCGCGGATTCGAATTGGCCCGTCTGCCAGGCTCGATGCCAGGAAGGGGGGTTGCTTTTTCTTCTGGGCTGCAGGGGAATAGGGGCAGGTTGCTTTTGCGCTGCAGGAACGGACCACAGGCTAACGCAGCTCGGCAGCTTCGACATCGCCGCCGGCAGTCGTCAAACACGGCGATGCAACCATAGCACGCAGAGAACAGGAGGTCGGTCGGTTCATATACAGCGTTAATCAAAAATTGATAAAAACTTCAAGATTGCGCTCCCTTCGCCCATGGTTGATTTACCGATTTTCCACCCTCCAACCACGCGACAGTTCCCGAATCTGACAGACTGTTGGCTTTCTCCACTGAACATCAGTGGGTCCCGGGTGCCCAGTGGAAGATCTCGCTAAATTATTGCGGCACCCTTGCATCCAATCGCAGAATCCCAGGGGCAGTGGCACAGTGGGCACCCCATTGTCCAAACGGAACGGGACACAGACGCACACTCTTTACACGTCAGGTCGCTCGCTACGCGCTGCGAAGCCAGTGCATCCCAACAGTGCAGCATTGGCTTGCCGCCGGCTGTGCCCCCGAGATTGGTTCCCGACCAGAGCCTGTGGATGGATGGCGTTGAGCGGCCTGCTTGTGCCACCGCCCGCCTGTTGCTTTTCCCAGCCCCGGATCGCTGCGCTGCCGTTCCCCAGGAGCCGATCATGCCCGCCCCAGACACCACTGCTGCTGCCCGCCGCAGCGGCAGGCGCAAACCCGACTTAAACATCGACACTTCCTCGTCGCCGCCGCCGCCTCCCCCGCCACCGCGTGCTAGAGACCGGGACCGCAACCGAGACAGAGACAGAGACAGAGACCGGGACCGGACCCGGGACAGGGATAGGGACCGAGACAGAGACAGAGAGGGGGACAGAGAAAGAGACAGAAACGCCCTCCCGCATACGCCCACCGGCGATTCTCCCACAGGCGGCCGAGCGGCGCTGCATCTGCAGCCCGAGGGCCAAGGACGGGACACAGCCGACATTGAGACATTCCTCGAGGGCCTCACCCCCGTCGACATCCCGATCGGCATGTCCAACAAAGAAAACGACCGCCCCGAACCACACCGCCCCACCGCCCGCGATTCGCACGACCTCTCGCTGTCCCCGCGCCAGGTTACACGCGACTCGCTCGTCACCAACATGCTGCTCTCGCTCGACCAGCTGTCAATGGGTCAGGTCGGCACCACGTTCGGTCCCTCGACGTCTGCTTTTGACGAGCCCGCCATCTACCCGTCCTACAACGACGACTCCCGTGCCATGACCTTCAATTCGACCTTCAATTCGAGATCAGCCCGCGCCAACGGACACGGGTACTCGTACAGCTCCGATTTTGAGGGCGCCGACGACGCGAGCAGGATATCTTCGAGGGGCCGTCGCAGCAATAGCAGCTCCGGGTACCAACCGGGATTGGGCCGCATCAACAGCATGCGCGAGATCTCACAGCGCAGTCCGGGGCGCGCGCTCCACTCCAGGGGCGGCAAGGGCAGCAAGAGCAGCAGCACGACGAGCGTCGATGCAGGATACGCCCAAGTCTTGGGCAGCCAGCGTTGGGCCCGCGGTTTTGGCGGGAGGTCGTCTAGCTTTGACGGGGAACAGCGCCCCTCGCCCGCCCCGTGGCAGGTCGAATTCCCCAACTCATTTTTCAACGACGGATACGACGCCGCCCCGACCCCGACTGTGCCAGGCGGGCCACGCAAGCTCACCACGGCTCCGTCAATGCCTGTAATGCCTGTGATGCCGCCGTCGGAATCCAGAACGGGCCCGAACTCGCCTGCAAAGGTTGCTGGCCCAGAACGACGGCGCAGTACCCGGTCCTCGAGGAGCGCTACCGTCGGCCGCAAGCCCGAACCCAAGTTCAACCCATTACGCGATGCACCGCCGCTCCCAGTCCTCGATCTTGACTCGGCACCCGCCCCACATGTCGGGTATGAAAAGGCAAAGGATGTGCTCCCGCCGTCATCCATGAGCGTGACCCCACAACCGAAAGAGAAACAAGGCTTTTTCAGGCGCATGTTCGGGTCGTCCAAAACGGCCGTATCGAGTGCGGCCTCTTCGCCCCAGGTCTCGACCTTCTCGCAGCCCAAATCCTCCACCCCGCCACCCCGCGAGTCACAACAACCGACCGCTCATACGCTGCAAAAGAAGACATCCTCCTTCTTCCGGAGGCGGAAGCACTCGGTTACGGATACGGAACCGCCACCGATGCCGGTCGTGCCCGTGGTCAAGCTCCCTCCTGATAGGGTCGAGGCACTCTCTGCAAAGCCCGAGCCGAGCCCCATCACCAGCCTACGCCGGGCCATGGACCCATTTTTGCAGGAAAGCCCACTCTCCTCCTCTGTACAGACGTCTGCCGACATCCCGTTGCCTTCCATTGAGCCCCACGAGGCTCAGGATAACACAGGGCGGAGCGCCGTCGAAGAGGATGAGAGTCGCATGCCGAGGGGTTTCTCGCCCGACTATGAGCCGAGCCCGAAAGCCGTCATTCGCAAAGTTGACCCCGAGCCTACGGGGCCCCGTCCCGCCGGCACTCCAACCCGTCAGCCTGCAGACACGCCTGCGGATTCGCCGCCCAAATCGTTCCTGAGGGACAACAGCGACAGCGAGGACAGCCCCGTGCGGCAGCGCAAAACGCCGCGTTCTGAGCCCCGTGAGAAGGGCCTTAAACCGGAGCCGCGGCCAGATGGCCGCTCACGATCACCCTCACCCGCCGTGTCCAAGTCCAGGAGCGTCCCCAATCTGAACAGGGAGGCCCGATTGTCGGCGCGGGCGGAGCCGAAGCTGTCGCCATCCATTCCGGCCGACCGCCGGGATTCCAACACACTCGGCCTGACACCCGAAGTTGGTGGTGGAATCATGTATAAGCATAGTGTGCCGAGCTTGCGGATCGACAGCGCGGAGCCCAGCCCGAAGGGCATGGGGACCGGTGAGTCAGTTAGCCAGTCGGCCAAGTCGATTGACGAGCCCGAGGTTGTGGTCGGCGACCCCACCGAGGATGATCGTCAAAAGGCACAAAAGATATTTGAAGGCAACGAGGAGTTCATACAGAAGGACAGAGCAGCAGCCTGGATGGGCGAGGAGGGCATCGTGCGCCAGCGGACCCTGCGAGCCTACATGGAGCTCTACGACTTTGAGGGCCAGAGCGCCGTGGCCAGCTTGCGGCAGGTGTGCCAGCGGCTACTCCTCAGAGCCGAAACGCAGCAGGTCGACCGCATCTTGGTCGCCTTTTCGAAGCGGTGGTGTGACTGCAACTCCAACCACGGCTTCAAATCTACCGGTACGTCCCTATCAGACGCTCTTGCGTTGATGGTTGCTAACTACTCTCAAGACGTCATTCACACCATTTGTTATTCGATCATCCTGCTCAACACCGATCTCCACATGGCCGACATCGACCACAAGATGACCAGGAGCCAGTTCATCAAGAACACCATGACAACCATCAGGCAGGCTGTCCTGGACTCGGTCCCCGATGCGTTCGATCGGCCCAGCATCCTCCCGGGTAAGGGAAATTTGGATGGTGATAGCCGCACATCCGACGAGTTCAAGCACAACAGCTTCCGAGCATCTTTTAAACCGCCTGCGCGGCCTAATTCGGCCCTGGGCGTCTTCTCCGACCAAGCACCGGGCGAGAGCTGTGGCCCGCTTGTCAAATCGCCGTTTGACGGGCCGCTCCGCGCCTGGGAGAACCAGGTCGAAATTGTGCTCAAGGACATCTACGCTTCGATTCGCGACGATCGCCTGCCGCTCTTTGGCGCCGACTCTACCCCGCAGACCCCCAGCAGCCTCTCGGTCATGGGAATGCTTAAGCGGACGCCCAGTGTGCTAAGCAAAGCACCATCGGAGAGCGTCGCGTCTAGTCGGGGGAGGGTTTCCGAAGTGGCCAAGGCGAACTCGTCGAGGTGGAACTCCAAGAGCCGCTCCCGGCCGAGAGGCTTTAACACCGGCTTCTCATCGAGTAGGACTAGCTTTGAGGATGGCAACTCGGTCTGGACGCCCACCGACTCGTCTGCAACCTGGAGCAAGCTCTCGCTCGGCAGAACCCACACGTCCATGTCGATGGACTCCTTCGGCTCATCGTATCCCCGCGGCGACTTCCACCAGTCGATCGGCTTTGCCAATGCGCTGAGCCAGGCCATCATCCGCGAGGACAGCGCGCTCGAGTCGCTCAAGGACGAGGTTAAGAGCGAGCAGCTGCTCGAGGACGAGTCCTTGGAGCTTGCTGGCCCGCCCTGGGTCAAGGAGGGTATCGTTACCCACAAGCACCATCTTGACGGCATCGACAAGCGGGCTCGGGACCGCAACTGGCAAGAGGTGTTTGCTGTCATCCAAAAGGGGCAGCTAAGCCTCTTCTCTTTCACGCCAAACAAGTCCCTCCGCCACAAGAACCGCCGGGGACTGGGCGCGAATCCACCCAAGGGCGCCGTGGTCGGCGGCGGCAACTGGCAAGACAACGCCACCAACCAGGGCACCTTCTCGCTCCGCCAAACCCTCGCCTCGGCGCTCCCCCCACCGGGCTACTCCCGCGCTCGCCCGCACGTCTGGGCCCTCTCCCTCCCCACCGGCGCCGTGCACCTCTTCCAGGTCGGCACGCCCGAGATCTGCAAAGAGTTCGTCAGCACCGCCAACTACTGGAGCGCCCGCCTCAGCACGCACCCGCTCGTCGGCGGCATATCCAACATCGAGTACGGCTGGAGCGACGCCATCATCAAGAGCGGCACGACCGCCTCCACCACCGCGGCCGCCAACGACAGCACCACCAGCGTCAACGGACGCCCGCCGAGCAGCGCCAAGGGCCACTCCCGGCCAGGCAGCGCCGTCAATGCCGCCGCCGTCGCAGCCGCCAACATGGCCGGCATCGGCCGCTCATCCATGCAATCCGGCCGTTCCATCCGCTCCGCCTCATTCGACTTCGCCGTGCGCCCGGGCTCCGGCTCCTCCGGCGTCCTCGGCGGCACCCTCCCCCGCCACCTCACCAACACCTCCACGCACAACCACCACCACCAACCGCCCACCGGCGGCGGCGCCCCCTCCTCCTCCTCCTCCCACCACAAGCTCCCCGGCGACCGGATCCACATCACGGACTGGACGCCGCCCACGCAATCCATGCGGCCCTCCCCGCTCGCCGAGCCGGAGCAGCTCGACTCGCTGCTCGCGTACGTGCGCTCCATCGAGGCCGACCTGCAGGCCCACAACGCGCTGCGCTCCCCCATGCTCGGCGCCTTCTCCCCGCGCAGCGCCAACGCCGCCAAGGCCATGACCAACTGGGAGCGCAAGAGCGAGTACCTCCTGCGCGAGATCGTCAAGTTTCGGACGTATGTCGATTGTCTGAGGGGGGCGGGGGAGAGGAAGGCGGAGATTTATCGCGAGCGGGAGGGGGTGAGGCGCGCGGCGAGGGGGGAGGTGGAGGATGGTGAGGGTGAGGGTGATGGTGAGGGTGATGGTGATGGTGAAGTGGGGGGGTTGGGGGATAAAGGGGTGGTGGGTGGGGTTGGGGATGAGGAGGTTGTGGTTGGGGGGTTGGGGGTGCCGCCTTCGGGTTGGGGGAGGTGAGTTTGGATGAGGGCTGCTTTGGGGTTGTGTGTGATCTTGGGTTTTGGGGGGGGGGGGGGGGGTTGGCGTTGGAGAAAGGGTGATGGGAGTTGGTATGCACGATGCACAGGGGTTGATGAGGAGTTGGGTAGGATATGGGTATGACGGTGTAGTGTGGTTGGAAAGAGATCACGTGTTGGGTTAAGGTGTGTGAGAGAAGGTTGTGGCGATGAAGGAGCAACGTGGGAAAGCTGGGCAGGAGGAGGATGGGTCGTGCATGACGCAATGATCGATAGACTTGGTCTTGGTTACGGGGGTGCGGCCCCTTGGGTTGGAGACGACACTCGACTGTCTCGCTTTTTCTTTTGTCAATTCCTCGCTGTTGTTTCTCCCTTGCGGAGCGAGCGGGTTCCAGTCTGACGGCAGAGCAGAGCACAGCACAGCGTGTCGTTCCATTGTTGCAGCATAGCGTTCTTTTCTGTGGGGGCCATCGTTGGCTTTATTTCCCTATATAATATATATACGTGTACTTCTAATGTAGAGGATAGTCTCACATATTCATGTCATTACGGCCAGGGTCGGGGTCTTTGGTCCAGAGGATATCTCATTAATTACACATTGTTCAGCCGTAGGGGCGGTGATGAAATGCGGGAACAAACCAGTTGTTGCCTTGAAACTATAACTCCGTCAACACTCTCTACGCTTTCCCCTACCTTTCAAACTCCTGGGCTGCCTGCCCTTCGACAACGCCTGACTCCTTGTACCCTGTTGGCCTATTAATTAGTTATTAACCAACGCCCTCCATCTCCCAATCTCCGATTCCCAACTATTCACAAACCCCCCCCTTCACTCACTCACCTGCCTCACCCACCACCACCATCACATTATTACACCCCTATGCACAACACAACGCCACAACCACCACCCACCACAACAACAACAACACACACAGACACTCACATACTAAACCTCCCCCCCAACCACCACCCGCCCCCCCCACCCCCTTGGAACTGCCCCTGCCCCTGCCCCTGCCCCTGCGGCGGCGGCAGCAGCGACGCGGCCCACGCCTCGCCGACGCGGCGCGCCCACGCCAGGCCGGCCGCGCCCCCGGCCCGCTGCCAGCTGACGGCGCGCGCCTGGTGCAGCACCTCCGGGTCGGTCCGGTACGCGCCGCCAAAGTAGCCCGTGTGCGTCGGCCCGTCGTACAGCACGTCCCGTATCAGCTCGGCTGCTTCGGGGTCGGCTGCGGGGTTGGGGTCGGCTTCGGTTGCGAGGGCTGCTAGGGCTGGAAGGGCTGGAAGGGAGGGTGGGGAGGAGGGGGAGGGGTTGGGGTTGGTGAGGGTGTGGGTGAGGGTGGTGCTGGATGGTTGGTTCTTTTTCTTTTTTTGCTGTTTTCTGGTTGTCGTTATCGCCTCGCGCTTGACTGGGGCGCTGTGCCAGTGGTAGCCGTCTTGGCGCCAGAGGTCGATGGCTTGCTCTTCGAGGAGCCAGGTCAGGGAGGAGAAGTGGTTTCGGGAGCGGCGAGGCCCGCTCGTGTTCCGGGCGCTCGCCCGGGGTGGTGCCGCTGGTGTGATGTCTACGTACGGTGGGGGCAACTCCTGTGGTGCTGCGAGGGCCGGTGGTGGTCCGGGGGGGCTTCTAGTGTAGGCCGGCGGGGCGATGTAGGGAGGTGGCGGGCTGCGCTGGCGACTGTTTTGTTGGCTCCGATTGTCGTCTTGCTCTGGCCCGGACGGCGTTAGAAGCACACGGCGCCCATTCGGGATCGGGAAGGCTGATTGACCACTGGGGATCTGCCAAGAGTATCGTGGGGAAGGTGTGAGCCCCGCGTTGGGAGCTGGAGGGTCGATGTAGTGGTGGTCGTCCGGGGTGCAGCGCAGCTCGAGGACGAGATCTCCCAGCCGAGGCTGGAGCTGGATAACTTCCTCGGCCTCGGGTCGTAGGATTCTCCGCCTAAGCGGTGGCGGGGGTAGGAGTCCGTCATCTTCTTCCTCCCTTGCCCGCTTCTTGTCCTCCCAGGAGCTGCTCTGTTCCTGGAACCTTCGCAGCATCTTGTGGTTCTTGTTCAAGCGCGCAGCTCTCACGGGATTCCACATGGGGTCCATGAGCCGGTTCCTCATGGTATGGAGTTCCTCGGCAGATAGAAAGATGCGCGACTCCATCAGGTGACGGTGGCAGGGGAACGGCAGCACGCTGGGTTCCGGCCGTAGGGGCGGGTTTGGGTTGTGTCGAAACCCGGTGGTGAGGTTTATTACCTGCTCCCACTTGGGTTTGTACCAGACCTCGCACCCTTGGTAGCAAGGTTCGTGCCTGGTGCGGCCATTCCCTATGGGTGTGACACGATCGGGGCATCCACAGAGGTAAAACTGGTAAAACCAATGGCAGTCGCACACGGTGCGGTTCCAAAGGAGCGGTGCTTTCCCTGGTCTTCGAAATGGCTCGGTTCGAATGTCCATCTTGTCGGTTCTTCTTTCAGTGTTTTGCTGTCTCGGCTGTGTGTGATATTGGTAGCTAGCCTTGTCCTGAGAATTGAAACGTGTTCCTTACCGTTCTAGTTCTTGTTTTTCTGAGACAATGTCGTTTTTAAAGGTTTTGCGGATCCGGGAAGAGGGCTCAACAGGCGGCAGGCGGCAGTGCTTAAGAGGCGCTCCGTTTTCGCTGCAAGCATCGGTTCCCCAATGAAGGCGGCATAGATAATGGGGATGTTCGGTTGCAAAACAATCGGATTGTCATGTTCCGGCGCTCTGGGACAAAGGAGACGAGACGCGATGGCATTGTTTGGAGGGTTCTGTAAGGACAAAGAATCTCTCAGGCCCCGAATCGGAAGTCGGCACGAAACTATTACCGTCGAGAGATTAAACCAAGCTCCTTTGTCCCAGCGACCCCTGAGGAAGAAGGCGCTACCATCATGCGTAACCGAGATCCCAGAAATACCGTGTCCCCGTGTATTTCAGCCACGGCTCCCGAGACAGTCGGGTCTCGAAGAAATTGACCAACGCCCCGGATTAGGGTCTCCAAGGGAGTGACCGTCATGTGTTTGAACAAGTCCTTGTTGGGGGCCGATGTTAGCGTCTGTAAAAAGAGGGTCAGTTGCTCATTCCACGAATTTCACTCCTTCAAAACTCAACTGAAGATGGATGGGGCCACGTACCCAACACGGCAGGTGCGAGCGCGTTAATCTGCATGTCTGCCTGCTCGATAATCCTCGCCGTCGACCGCACCAGCCCCACCACGCCAAACTTGCATGCCGCATACAAAGGCGCAACCGGAAGCGGATACAGGCCCGCGTTAGATGCCGTGCAGATGATGGATCCTCTCGACGCCCCTCCCGCTCCCGGTTTGGGCTTCTTATTCATGTAATGCACCGCCAGGTTCACCGCTGTCCGCCCAAAAAACGAAAGTCCAAAACCTCAGGTCAGCAACTCTCACCAAACACATTGAAGCCCGGCCAACGCAGGAAACACGTTCGCACTCACAGTAAACCGTCCCCAGCAGGTTCACCTCCAGCGTCGCCACCCCCGGCCTCGACCGACCCTCGTCCTCCCCCCCGCCACCCCCATCGAGCGGGAGCCTCACCAGCGTCGTGGCCCCTTGCTCCGACACCCCCGCATTCGCCACCACGACATCGAGGCGGCCCCCGTGCTCGTTGAAAGCCTGTTGGAACGCGGCCGCCTGCTCATCCCAGGACGCGACATTGCACGGGTGGAACGACACGGCCGACCGCGGGAACTCGGCCGCCACCTCAGCGGCCACGCCGGGCCCAGTAGCGGCGTTGAGGTCGAGGATGGCGATGCAGTGCCGATGCCGCTGGCGCCGCCGGTGACGATGATGGACTTGGCGGCCATGGGGTCGGGCTTTGGTGGCTCGTAATGTGCGATACTCTGCGCGGGGAAGGGTGGGGTCTTGCTGTGACTGAGAATCGACGGGACGGTGGAATGGACGTTGTCCGGATAAGAACGCCGTTCGCTTACACAATTGCCGTGTGGGCCGCGCCGGGAATGCTCCTCCGGGGCCCGCCTCCAACCCGAACACCGCATGCCGCATTCGGGTCGGCAGTTAAGGACCTCGGCCAAAACAACGCCGAACTCTGATAGAGAGGGAACGTACGAAAGTAAAAAAAGATCAACTCAAGCAAAAAGAAATGAAGAAAAAAAAACCAAAGTTAAACGAAAACAAATAAAAGAGATCGAGTATAAGGAAGGAAATAACTCGCAAAAAAAATAAAAGCAAACGAGAAAAGTGGACGAGAAAAGGAGACGAAAATAAGAAATAAAAAAAACGAGAGGAAAGAAAAAACGAAACAAGAAACAAGAAATGGAAACGAGGAAAAGAAATCGAGGATTAAACTCGAAATAACTAGGTAGAGTCAATGGGGTATTCGGGTTTTGGGGCAGCCTCAGTCATTTCGTCCCTAAGTCGAGGTTTGGTCTCCTACGACAGCGGACGGCCAGATCTTTTCGTCAACCGTGGTTCGCAAAATTTGGTGGGTTTTCGAGTGCTTCTTCACCCGGACCACTTCGACCGGGTGCTCGGTTTTCTCCGTCCAGACCATTTGGTGGTCTTTGCCAAAGCTTGAGAGGTTCGGACCGAGCTTTGCACACCAGAACAGGCGGCCTGCGTTTTCGCCCAACGAGTAGGCGGACGGCAGACCCGAGTATGGATGCGGCCCCATTACCGCGTCATCTCCGCTATATTCGTCGTACGCGTCGTCCTCGTCCTCGTCGTCCTCATCGGGATCGTAGGCTTCGCGTAGCATGAACATGTTGTAGATAGCGTAGATGCCATCCGTACGCCCGGACGGACTCAGTCTCGCCACCGCGACGAAGCCGGTATTCTTCCACCTGGAGTCGGGCAAGTCGCTCTCCCCGTCGGTCCAGGGACCCCGCCGGCTTTTTCTGCGTCTGCTATATTCGAGTGTCCCCAGCTGGAAGCATACGAAGCCGGGCCCATCGGTGTTATCGCCCCTGCCCGGTCGTGTCGATGCTGTGGATAAGTCGGGATGTGGGATCGGTCCAAATGTACTGTCACGGCAGGATACCGCTCGTGGTTGGACCGTCAAATTCACTCCAAGGAAACAACATCTTAGCAGTAGATCGCTAGAGTGCACCGTCGCAGGAACCTCCCGCGGATGGGCTGGGAGACTGGGAACTTCCACCATAAGACGGTAGATAATATTGCCATCGAATCCCATCGGGACGACGACGCTAAAACGAAACGTGTTCATAGCTTCGAGCAGCTCATCGCAGACCTTGTTGTTGAAAAAGCTTATCGAATCGACTTGTCTAACAAACTCCTCCTCTCTCAACCGGGCACGGCACGCCGCACGATCGCGGGTGTATTTCCAGTTGCGATATGCTTGTCGCTCTAGGGGTTCGGGGAACCAGCGGCGAATGTTACCGAGGCCTGTAGAGAGAGTGTGCTCCGCAATCTCGCAGCGGACGGCTTCAAACTTCTGCAATAATGGCTTCCACTTGTCAAATGAATACTCTGCCATGGTAGCTGCTAAGCGATGTTACCAACCTGACCCGGCCCAATACACCATGTTCAATGGTTGAGGATCATTTTGAAACTAAGCGGATTGTTAATGCTGTTGTCATTCGGTTTAATAGATTCTATCCTTATGCTCAACACATGATCAGAAGAAAGCGGTATGGCCACGCGCCTCGACAGGGCCATTTTTGGACTCAGGGGAGAATGAAGTATCGATCCTCTCTTTTCCATTTAGCGATGCTAATCAGGTACATATTATGTTGCAAAAGAGATGAGACGGAAGATGCGGAATGTGGGTCTGAAATCCCCTCCGGCGTTTGAACCGGATCGAACAGGTTTGGAAGAAAATGAAAGAGATCTTACGTAGAGAATCCTCATGCCTGTAGTTCCTCAGGGACAGTGAGCCAAAGAGAACAAAGGTGGCAGATACCATGAAGGTTAGGTACGTGAGAGAGGGTACTGCAGGGCTTTATCGACTAGCCGGTTGAATCGATGCTAGACGCCAACTGCTATTCGAAACGCAAAGGGTGAATATAGGTACCAAATAGTAAAGCGTTGTTGAGTAGGTAGGTAGCTTCAATTTAAATGGATTGCTGAGCAGTTTGGCTATGAACTAGGTGGGTTGACCGTAACTACCTTACCTATACATACCTAATGTACCTACCGCCGCGGGGCTCTATAGGGGGTGGCATTCTATGCCTGGCCCTGAAAGGCACGCCAAAAGATATGCCACTCGCTGCAAGATGCTATGCCAACCAGGTCCCACTTTTTCCAAAACAATTCGCACCCCCTATTGAAGCCTCTGAAGCGCCCTGAATCAATTGCCAGTAACCACCAAGAACTTGACCACTGAATCGCGGAACGAAGAGAAATGGGCACAATCACGAATCGAACAGGGGGAACGCGCGAAGAGAGGGAAAATGATCAATTGAACTACTGACTAGACTAAACTACGAATGATGACTGATGCTCCTTCTTTGCGAGAAGACAACTATATAGTTGTCCCGAGTTGGAAGCGACGATGTTATATTTGGTGGGGAGGGTGGCATAGCATGTTGACATGGCATAGCATCTTGGCCTCAGCATGCCATGCCACCAAACTAATTTTCCCACTACGGTAGGTAGTCTGGAAGGGATATCTCTTTCCTTAAGCAGGGATGAATTTCCCTTAAAGGCGAAAACTTGATGAGTTTTGAGACTCGGTGTGGGATAACCATGTATTTCCTTCTCCGTTTCACCCGGCTTCCCCGGGTTCTTATTTCACGCTTGCAATTCTATCTCCCTGTCCATAATGGATGCCAAAGGGAGAGCGGGTTAACAAGGGGGGGACGTGCATAGAACTCAGAGGAGGACCCGCACAGTCACGGCAAGCAGAGATGATAGGGGTTGGCTTTGTGAATACCACTGTTCATGGTGTTAGATCAATGCCTAACAGCCTTTGTAAATAGGTACGTACCAACATCGTCTTTATGGTTATTGCTCATTGCGCAAACACCAAAGGAATCACCTAGTTTGTTTACTTTCCCAAGAATACTTGAAGGTATCCCCTTCCCCTTGCCCAACTACAATTCCCAACAGAGCTGCTTCTCTCTCCCTTCTAAGACATCACACAGAGCGGCTTCTCTCTATTCTGGCCCCAAAACCTCGACAGAGCTGTATTTTTTCAATGTCTGATTTACTTACGCGAGCAGATTTCCTCCGAGTTGAGGAGACTGTGCTGAATGGTCCCGATCTCAAGGAGATGAAGCACCCCCCGAAACGTCAGAAGCTTCGCGGGACAGTTACGGTTCAAATGAAGCCGCTAAAGGTTCTCAAGAGGGCCGGCCTGGCGTTGGTGGAAGACATAGACAGCTTCATAGCCACCGGCCTTACCGAGAGTAAAAGCACGAAGACGACAATTTATTTTGTCCGAGCCGCGTACTTTTACGCGTGTTGTCTGATCATCGCCCCGTTCAACCGCATCAAGGACATAACATCCGATGCCACCGGGGTGGAATATCAAGACTTCACAACCCAAGTATCGGACACGGAAACGGTTATCAACAAGGTTGAAGATGGCCTCGGACGCCTGGCTCTTGCAACCGAGAGATGGGGCCTTGACACACAATCGTTCCGCAACCCCACTTCTGTCCCAACCGCCTCCCCTTACCAGCTCCTGTTCGAAGCCCTGTTGGAGAGCGAGGAGGTCGTACAGAAGCTCCAGGACTCTCAAGATGACGCCGACCTGCTTCGTAATATACGGCTCCTATTCCCCGGCGTGCACTTTCCGGCCCAGAGCCAAGACCGACAGGAGCTGGGGGACGGACGGCCTGTCACGGTATTCGCATCGGTGTACCACAAGGACGACGGCACCAAGCGCTTCCTCTTCGGCTGCAGCAAGCCGGACTGGACGGGATTCGAGGCCATTGCCGTATTGACCAAAGACTTGCGGGACACTCGGCTGAAGGAGTGCCTCCCCTTGAGCGAGCCGGCCTTCAAGGCGCTGAAGGCCATGGAGAAGAGGCTCGAGGATGAGGCCGCCGCGAACAACCAAGGTCAGCCCAATCACAGCTCCCTATCGCCAGAGCAGAGAAAGGAGGACGAGAGGGCAGCCCTCCAGTCCTTGAGGGAGGCCGTCGGGGAGGCGATGAGAGAGGACGAAACGTTCCTCTGGACGGACCAGGTCGGCATGGCATTCTCGACCCCGTCCTGGACGCACAAGCCGGCGTGCTACGTCTGCGCTAGCACGATGGGGTACCAAGACCCGGGGGCTGAGACCAACGGCAACAGCGAAGCTCGCTTCTCTACGCATCAATAGGATGATCGTAGGGGTAGCTTCGCCTGTGCCGAGTCGGAGGCATACTTACAGGCCAGCCGCGAGAACGTCTTGGCGGGCAAGGGGCCACGGGGTGAACAAAGGTCTGAATGAGCCAGAATGTTGAGGATATGGCGAAGGGCTGAGCCGAGGCGGCGGGGGTTGAGCCTGGATGGTGAGCGAAGGTTCTTAATGGGCGAGAGTGTTGAGGGCATGGCTAAGTGGCGAGCCGGGATGGCGGGGGCGAGGTGGGATGGCGGGAGCGGGAAAGGGGAATGCTAGCACGGGAGGGAAGAAATACAGAAGAATGTTTTGCGGTTTGTGGTTTGCACTCTGTAATCGCGGAGCCCAAGACATTGTTGATTTAGAGGCGGACATCTGGGACTGTACATTTTTGATCGTTGGACTGGATCTGTACCTAAGGTAGGTAGTGTATTTATTCTGTGGTTTCCTTCGCTCAGAACTGAGCTACCCGTGCCACGCCCCACATTGACTGGCCCTCGCAAATCACTCGCACCAGTAAACTGGTGCTCACGTGCCATTTAACCAGCCCACCCATATGACCACTTTCTCGACATAACTATCTACAACCTGCGCAACAACCTCCCACCCTGTTCAGAATCAACAACAAATGCAGGCTCCAGTTTCCCAGTCAACCGCCAAAATCTGGCCTCCTTTACAGTAGCTGTAAATACCCGTTTGGCTGTATTGCGGGCCCGTTTCTCTGTAGCCTCTAACAGCTTCCTTGCCTTAGCCAGTTCGTCTTCCTTCTTTTATACTACCATCTGGCACCCCTGAGCCACAGTCAAAACCCCCCCTGATTACAGGGCTATATTTTTGTTGTTTCGACGTACCCTTTGTACTGTATCGGCCAATTTCGTCCTCCCGAGGTCCCTCTTTGTTTGGACCAGCTCTGTGGCTGTAGCTAACGAACCCCTGATAAACCGGCCTAAGTCGCCTGCAAAGTCGGGATCTAGGGTATCGTTATCTTTAAGAACGGCTTCTAACCGGTCTGTAACTTTGTTGATTTGACGGTGTGACGAACCTGTCTCTGGACCCGTCCTGTTAGGGTTCAGTATCGGTCGAAGGTATTCTCTCAAGGGTGCTTAGGTTCGGTGCAGCCAAAGGGTGCACAACAAAGACTTGTCTCAACAGTAGGCTCTCGAGCTTGTAGCGAACTGTAGTTGTGATTGCTAACTGGAGAACTCCCAGAGCTCTCCAGAACGAGTGACTATATACTGTCTAATTTCTGGGTGCTTAGTCTGCTCAGTTGCTGAGCACACTGAGCACACTGCTCACCCTGCTCAGTTGCTGAGCACACTGAGCACACTGCTCACCCTGCTCAGTCGCTGAGCGCACTGAGCACACTGCTCATTGGTTATGTTAATGATTGGTCCGGGGCGCCCCGCGCCCCACTCCTGTGCTTCCAGCTCAGTGGTCGTGACACGATGCCCCCTCTCCGTGGCTGACGTCTCGGCGGCCTAACCTGCTACTTTTCTTTTTTTTTCGGCAACGCTGGTCCATTCTTCCCTTAGTGAGTATTCTCCTCGTCCCTCGTCGCCCACCATGTCTAACCGAGTGGTTAAGAGTTCGAAACGTGATTCCTCCAGTACTCAACGCCGCAAGGACCTTGCTCGCGACATCTCGTTCTTTGGCATCGACATGCTTCCTTGTTCTTATTGTGAGGCCAACGATCTTAAAGACTGCCGAGCCCTGGATCGTTCCGTCAAGTGCAACAATTGCCTTGAGCTTGGTCGTCCCGATTGCGACGTCCATGGTCTCACGCGCACCTTATCCGCCTCCTTTCGCCGCCAGAAAGAGAAACTGGACAAGGAGGAAGAAGAGGCGAACGCCGTGATTCTCCAGGCCGCTTCTAAGTTAGCGCGCCTTCGGACTCAGCGTCTTGCTCTGTCGGAGCGCTTCCACAAGGCGGCCGTCCGCGAGGAGCGCATCATCGAGGACCAGGAGCGGGAAGAGGCATTGGCCACTCTTGCCCCGCAGTCTGCCGATCCGTCTGGGGCCCAAGAGTCTGTCGTCCTTTCCTTGATATCGTTCCCCGACTGATTGTCCTCTAGGCCTTCCTTCGACGATTGGCTCGCCGGGGTCGATCCTTCTTTGGTGTTTCCTGTGGCCGGTCAGGGTTCCTCTGGTGGAACTCCTGAAGTTTCTCGGGGCAGTTGAGATTTGTAGCTGGTTGCCATGAATTGTCTTCTGGGCCGAAGTCCAGCCACTTGACCAAATACTCCAACTGTCCTTTCATGATGCGTGAATCTAGGACTTCCTCAACGTCCCATTCCTCCTCTTCGTCTTCTGCCTCGGCGTCCTTGTCGAGTCGCGCGTCCTTGGGTGCTGGTTCCAGAAGCGAAATGTGGAAAACGTTGGTCCGTAGTCGCATTGTTGAGGGTAACGCGAGTGCGTAATTGTTCTCCGAAATCCTTTTGTCGATTTTGAACGGTCCGATTTTGCGAAAATCGAGTTTCCTGCTTGGTCGCTTCGTGCGAAGATTTCGAGAAACGAGGTAAACTTTGCCCCCCTCTTCTAGGCGAGGTCCCTCGAGCCTGTTTCTGTCGTAGAACCTCTTCATCCTGGTTCGTACGAACTCGAGTTCTTCCTTGAGCATCGCATGCAGCGAGCTCATTTTGTCGGCTTTGACTGCCGCTCGGGGCACCGAGACATCGGGCCCCTGTCGCAAATCTGCTTCGTAGCCGTAATTCGCGAAGAATGGCGTGACCTTCGTGGTCTCCGTGACGGTGGTGTTGTAGGCGAGTTGTGCTGCTGGCAACAGCTCGACCCAATCGTCCTGCTGGAAGTTGACGTACAACCGTAGATATTGCTCGACGACCTGGTTGAGTCGTTCCGTCTGTCCGTCCGTCTGTGGGTGGTAAGCAGTCGAGAGCTTACTCTTCGTACCCAGCTTCGTCATCAGAGCTTGCCAAAACTTTGATGCGAACTTTGTATCTCTGTCCGTAATCCATTCCTCCGGCCATCCGTGGACCGAGGTGACGCTGCGATAGATCACGTCTGCAAGTTGTTCTGCTGACCATGTTTCCTTGTAAGGGAGGAAGTAGCTCCACTTGGTGAGTCTGTCCACCATCGTGAGGATGCTGTCGTATTCCACTCCCGTTACTGAGTCCTTGGATAGTGGCAGTTTGGTGATGAAGTCCATCGTCACCGAACTCCATGGTCGTTCCGCGACTGGCAATGGTTGCAACAGCCCGTATGGCTTGTGTCGTGGCGGTTTGCTTCGTCCGCAGAGGTCGCACTCTGCCAGGACTTCTTCCGTCGCTTGCTTGATTCCTGGGAAGTCGTAGTTCTGCTTGACTTTTGCAATTGTCTTGCTGATTCCCATGTGTCCTCCGAGTTTCGACTCGTGAATTTTCCGAATGAGCTCCTTTTGGTCGCCGGGCCTGACGTAGGCCTTGTCGTGGTACCAGAGTCTCGTTCCTTCAAGTCGCAATCCCGCGATCTTGGATTCCGGCTCTTCTTGCCATGCATCGCGTGCGTCGTCCGCGATGATTCCTTGGAAGTCTCGTTCCAATCGTTGTTCCCTGAAGGCTGCACAACATTCTACAAACTGTTGCAGAGGCCTGGCATTGGGATCTTCCTGCTGTCGCTGAAGTGCTGCGATCTCGTAGTCTTCAGTCGGTTGGGAAGCGTGCCGTAGCGATCCGTCTGTCTGTTGATGTAGCAATGGTGGTGAGGCTTCAGATGTGTTGTCATGATGATCCGCTCTCCTACTCAAGGCGTCCGCTCGTGCGTTCTCTGACCCTTTCTTGTAGTGGATCGTGAAGTTGAATTCGGACAGGAACTCTGCCCATCGAGTTTGTCGTCCGTTCAGCACCTTCGTGGTGGTGAAGTAGCGTAAGTTCTTGTGGTCCGTGTACACCTGAACTTCGTGTGTCGTGCCGCTGAGGTATGGTCTCCATTCCTGGAAGGCTTCGATGATTGCGAGAAGCTCCTTGTCGTGGATCGGGTAGTTGAGCCTTGGTCCCTCGAGTTTCTTGGAGAAGAACGCAACTGGGTGAAGCTTGCCGTCCTTGTCCCTCTGACCAAGTTGTCCTCCGATCGCGAAGTCCGATGCGTCAGCTTCGACTTCGAAAGGTGTGTTTGGGTCAGGCAGCATGAGCACTGGATCGGCGATAATCGCGTTGCGGATCCGTTGGAAAGCTTGCTCGTGCTCCTGCTTCCACTGGAATGTGGCATCCTTCTTGGTAAGTTCGTGTAGGGGTCTCGCGATGTCGCCGAAGTTCTTGATGAACATCCTGACAAAGTTGGCGAATCCGATGAATCCTCTGACCTCTGTGGCGTTCGTTGGTGTCGGCCACGTCCTGACAGCTTCCAGTTTCTCGGGTTCGATCTTGACCCATCCTGGGGAGATCTCGTAACCCAGGAATACTGTCTTCTTGACATGAAACTCGCTTTTGTCCTTGTTGACTGACAACTTGTGCTCATGCAGTGCATCCAGCACCTGCTGCACATGCTTCTTGTGTTCTTCGAGTGTCTTGGAGTAGATGAGAATGTCATCCAAATAGCAGACTGCAAATTTATCGAGGCAATGTCGAATTGCGTGGTCGATAGCGGCTTGAAATGTCGCTGGTGCGTTGGTCAACCCGAACGGCATGACGCGGTACTCGTAGTGCCCGTAGGGTGTCCGAAAAGCCGTCTTCCATTCGTCTCCTTCCTTGATGCGGATGTGGGCGTACGCTGTCGGAAGGTCGAGACGCGTGAAGTATTGTGCCCCTGACAGCTGGTCTCGAAGCCTTGAGATCAGTGGCAGTGGGTAGCGGTTCTTCACCGTTTCGCCGTTCAACTGTCGGTAGTCCACACACATCCTGAGTTTCCCATCCTTCTTTGGAACGAAGAGGACTGGGTAGCCCGCTGGAGATGTCGATGGTCTGATGTGTCCTATCTCGAGGTTCTTTTCGAGATAGCTCCTCAACTCTGCATCTTGCTTCTCGTTGGTGTGGTACACCTTGAAAAACTTCAACTGGGCTCCTTCCTTGAGTTTGATCTCGTGATCCCAAGGTCCGTGGTCTGGTAGCCCTGCAAGATGTTTTGCCGTGAACGCCGGGTGCCCCTTGTAGTCGTCTGGGATCTGCCCCGTCTTTGCGCTCTTCGCCGTACCTTCGTAGTACGCGAACTTGTTGTTCCCAGGCTCGATGCTTGCTGCTTCGAGTTCCCTGACTTCCTCTGCTGCCAGCTCGATGCTTGCCGCTTCGAGCTGATTGACCCATTGTTCGTGTTTGAGCATTCCGTGCTCGTCGACTGAGACGACGGCGATGGTTCGTTCCTCCCGTGTCTGCTTCTTTCGTCGTGTGCCGCTTCTTCCGGACTCCAGAGTGCGTGGTTCTGCACTGGCTGCTTCCTGCGGTGGGCCCGTAGAGGGGGTTCGTTCTGACCCGCTGCTCTCCCGTGGCTCCTGTTCTGCGCGTTCTCCCATCGAGTTGGTCGGATGCTCCCGCTGTTCCCGCGGTCGCAGATGGCCATCTCCCTTCCAACTG